CCCAAAACATCTGGCGGGCCGAGTTTGCCTATGCGTGCCTTCATTGATTTGGCAGAAGCTCAGTGAAATAAGTCCCAAGTATTGAACGGAGGGCACTGCTTTGGAATGTATTCTCTGTATTTTCCCCAGTCTTGTTGGCGTTTTCGTTTGGGCTCCCCCCCTTTCCGCTTCCGCGTCCTCCATGGCAGGTGTTGCATTTACAGATGGATTCTGACTTGACACCCATCTTTCTTTTGCAACCCAGAGCCTGGCAAGAGAGGCAAACAGTTTTAATAATCCTTTTAATAATCCTGGGAGGCACAGGAACTGCCAGCTCTCTGCAGCCGGTTGTCCTGCCATTCAAAGCAAAGCAGTCGTGGAAATGTACAGCATAAACCTGGCGAACTTTTAATTCCTTACACCTACGAAACTACGGTTTATAGTATCCCGCTTGATTTTATTTTGATTTTCAATGTGGCTTGAATTATATTTTAAACTTAATCGTTTGATTTTGTGTTTTCAATGTATTATATATTTGATGTTAGCTGCCCTGAGCCCGGTCTCAGCCAGGGTATAAATAAATTTATTATTATTATTATTATTATTATTATTATTATTATTTTCCCCGTTTATTTGGGGAATCCATATTTGCAACGCGTTTGGTTCCTTAAAAAAAACACCACCAAGGAAAGTACACGGGATTTACGAATCATGTCATAAGGAAATCGTTATATAAAACATGGACAAAATATAAGGATCTCCTAGAACCGAAAACACCATGGTGGGCATCACCTCTAGAAGCAATTACAATAAAAAAGAAAAATATGGAATTAGAATGGGCCACATATAAGGATCTGATTAGGGGAAAAGACAATAAATTGGTAATTAAAGATTATGAGGAAATTAAACAACACCTTACGGGTTGGATCCAGTACCATCAATTACATAAAGTGTTCAGGACATATTAAAAAAAAGGTTTCTCAAACGAACCTTCATGATTAGAAGAAGTGTTATTACAAAACAAATAAGGTAATATCAAAAGACGAACAGGTCAAGCAGGTAATGATCAAGTGGGCTTTAGATATTGGAAAAACCATTAACTTATCAGCATGGGAAGAAATATGGAGAAAGAACTGGAAATTTACAGCCTGTGAAGTATTGAGGGAAAACCTAATCAAGATGTTTTATAGATGGTGCTTAACACCTACCAAAATAGCTAAGACAAAAACAAATCTGTGCTGCAGGTGTGGTAAAACAGAGGGGACACTTATACATGTTTGGTGGACCTGTGAAAAAATCAAAAGCTTCTGGAACACAGTGTATGATGAGCTTAAGAAAATGTTTAAGTGTAACTTTATGAAAAATACAGAAGCTTTTCTACTAGGGATAACGGACACAGGTATAGCAAGAGAAGATCAGAAAATATTCCTCTATGCCACAGGAGCGGCAAGGATCCTAATTGCTAAAAACTGGAAAAAAGAAACTGTGCCAACAAAAAAGGAATGGCAAGATAAACTGTTAAGAGTATATTGAACTGGCTAGATTAACAGAGACAGAGATCACACTAGACAAGAGTTTTTAAAAAGCATGGGGAAAATGCAGAGAATACTTCACAAAACAGTGCCCTATACCTGGACTTGTTTCAATTAATGTCTGCAGGAGACTTTGTGGATATTTAGGTTATAATTAGAAAAATCTTAATAATTATTCATAAAGGAAACAGTTTATAAGTAAATAAGGAGGCCAGATACAGGATAAAGGAAGTCTTTTATTTGGTTGTTTGTATTATTGTATGTTATGCTCACTGTGTTATGTTCATGTTTAAAGAGGATGGATTTGTGTATTGGTTGGGAGGGGGTTGTGTAATGTTGTAAATAAAATTCCAATAAAAATTTTTTTAAAAAAATTTAAAACCACCACCAGACCTAGATGGGCAGGTGTATAAATTTATTTATTTATTCTTATTCTTATTCTTATTCTTATTCTTATTCTTATTCGAGTTTGGATCGGCCCCTACAAATATTGCAAAAAAATAGCACCTTGCACCAGTCTGTTCTGAGAATTAAAAGGTCTAAGACGGGGTCAGCAACCTTTTTCAGCCATGGGTCATTCCACTGTCCCTAGGACCTTGTGGGGGCCGGACTGTTTTTTTTGCGGGGGGAATCTAAACCAATTCCTATGCCCAGAGACGCATTTTAAATAAAAGGACAAATTCTACTCATGTAAAAACATGTTGATTCCCGGACCGTCTGCCGGCTGGATCCTGAAGGTGACTGGGCCGGATCTGGCCCCCGGGCCTTAGTTTGCCTACCCGTGGCTTATAACACGGGTGTACAACGCGTTGATCCTGAGCCCCCAGTCCATCCTGGGGTTGTTTCTGGTCGATCGCAGGGCCTTTCTCTGCAACCTCTGCTGCTGCCATTCTCCACAGCGCTGCAAGCTTGAGCGACTGTCTTGTCCTCCTCCTCTCTCATGCTCCTTCCTCCGAAGCTGGCTTGCCATCCTTCCCGCTGCGCTCTTGGGGGATAGTGTGGTAGGGAGGGGGATGCTGCCTTCACAGAGGGAGAGCTGGAGGGAGGAAGGGAGGGAGAGAGCAGCAGTGGAGCCCCCCACCCTGAAAACCCTGGATGGATACACAGCTTTGTGAAAGAGGCTCTTCCTGAACGAGGACAAATAGAGGGCTGGCAATGGGCAGCCGGCAGCGGTGGGGTAACGTCAAGATGTTGCCCGATGTCAGTTTTCCCTTTGGAGGCTTGCTGATTTTGGAGGGTCTCCTCACTGAGGGAGAGACTGGAGGGTTCAGCCCCCCCAGCCCCCTCCCCCGAAAGAGGCAATTGATGGGGCAACAGTTTAATGTTGGAGCTTTCCGTCTCCTGCCAGCAAGTTGCAAAGCGGGCAACAGATCAGGGTGCATTAAAAGCAAGCGACAAATTAGTGAGATGGATAGGGCTCCAAATTACCCTTCGGAGTTGACACCAAAGTAACATCACAAGAGGCAAACATGCCTTCCTAAGCAGCGGAGGGTTTGCTAGGACATTGGCATGGCCTCTTCTCTTTGTTTGGTTCAGATCCTTCTGCCCCCAGGAGACAACTGTGCACATGCATTCTGCACTTTTGTCATCAGAAGCCCCTTTCTCCGGGTTGGGGAAACCCTGATGCTGCTAGAAGGTGCTGTCAGAGAACCTCCCGAGCCAGTCCCCTGCGCTTGGTCCCAGAGCTGTGGTGAGCCTCACTAGGAAAAGTGATGGTGGCGGCAGCGGCAGGATGGGACCAAGCAACCATCCTGGCTTGTTGTTTGTGGCCAGAGTAGGGTGTGTGCTGCTGCTGTTGTGTGGGGCTTGAGGGGAGAGAGCTGCTTTAAACTCCCCCCTCCCGCATTGAGTTAGCCACCTCCTTCCACACAAGCACACCCTGCACGCAAGTGTTAATTGGGTCTGTATTTGGATGGTTTGGATGGTGCTGCTGCTGCCCTGAGCAGGCAACACAGACATCACTGGCCCACTTCAGAGCTTCTTTCTCTAGCCTTGGCTACTGCCCGGAGAAGCAGCACCCGGTGAGAGCTCTGCAGCACACTCCACTAACCCGGCCAATGACCTTCTGGGGTGGGGCAGGTGGGAGAGATCAACAAACAGAACAGTTTGGCCCCGAGGGGGTGTAAAATAAACACAGCTTAAAACACGTGTCAAGGGAGGGGGCGGGGAGAATATGTTTAAGTTGAAGAATGACAATGGGTAGATCACTGCCATTTTTTGATACTGAGTAGTAGATCACAACCTATTTGAAGTTGGACTAGTTTTCTATCTTGTGGTAACCTCCTTTCCAACTATGCTCAGAAATAATGTCCCCGGTCCCCCGCCCCCCATAGATATTCTTTTAATTCTTCATGGATGCTGCTCCATTTTTTTAAAAAAAAAACTTTGTCGCTTCCCCATGTGTGTGATTTCCTTTCCAGTTTTCCAGCTGCTGTGATTGCATATAGGAGGGGTCAGCAAACTTTTTCAGCAGGGGGCCAGTCCACTGTCCCTTGGACCTTGTGGGGGGGCCGGACTAGATTTTTTTGGGGGGAAATAATGAACGAATTCCTATGCCCCACAAAAAACAGCATAAACCTGGTGAACTTTTAATTCCTTACCCCAACAGTTATGGTTCGTGGTTTCCCATTTAATTTGATTTTGATTTCCAATGTGAGTCAAATTATATTTTAAACTAATCGTTTGATATTATGTTTTTTAAACTAATCATTTGATATTGTGTTTTTAATGTATTATATATTTGGTGTTAGCTGCCATGAGCCCAGTCTTGGCTGGGGTACAACATTAATTTCTTCTTCTTCTTCCTCTCCTCCTCCTCTGCGAGCCTGGATCAGCTCCTACAAATATTGCAAAAATAGCACCCTGCACCACTCTGCTGTTATGAGAATTATAAGGTCTAAGACATGGGTAGGCAAACTAAGGCCCAGGGGCCAGATCTGGCCCAATTGCCTTCTCAATCCGGCCCACGGATGGTCTGGGAATCAGCGTGTTTTGACACAAGTAGAATGTGTCCTTTTATTTAAAATGCATCTCTGGGTGATTTGTGGGGCATAGGAATTCATCGTCATCATCATTATTATTATTTCAAAATATAGTCCGGCCCCCCACAAGGTCTGAGGGACAGTGGACTACCCTAACCCTTTTTTAAAAATAAAGCACCTGTAATAGTAATATCTCAAGGCAGCCCTGTTTAGGGAAGTTTTTAATGACTGACATTTTAATGTATTTTTAATCTTTGTTGGAAACCGCCCAGAGTGGCTGGAGAATAAGTAATAACAACATCTTATTATTATTATTATTATTATTCGGTAGGGAGTTGCCCAAAGTGGCTGAGGAAACCCAGCCAGATGGGTGGGGTATAAATTATTATTATTATTAGATGATGATGATTTTTATGGGCTAGTTTTGGGGCAGGTTCCTTTGCCAAGCAGCCTCTCGTTTTGAAGAATGAATCCAATAACCACACTAATAAGCAAACTCAATAAAAAATATTGCCCAAAAAAAACAGAAGAAACGCTCCAAGTCGGTGATTTTCATTTTTATTTGTCCGACACTTATCTGGAAATAGAAGCCGTTACAGTGAGCAAGCAGAAAGAAACACAACGGGAGGAAAGACCCCTTCTTCCCTCGCCTTTTTAAAAACTACACACAGTGGTTAACCTTTCCAGGACATCTTCTGGCGGAAAGTGAAAGCTCAACTCCCTAATCTCCGGACCGAAAGCGAAAGCTCAACTCCCTAGTTTACTCCCAAGGAGATGTGTAGCCTTTCTCCACCGGCGGCAAAATTCAGAATTCTTCGCCATGAAAAGAAAGCGCCGGGCACGGGGGCAACTAAATGCTTCTCGTCAATATTATTATCTATATCTAGAGAATCGATATAACCCAGCCCATAATAAGCCCAAATGAAGGGAACTGGCGCTGCAAAGATTGAAGATTTCACCTCAGGGCCCGGGACAAATGCTTCTTGCTGATATTATCTATATATAGATCATCTATACAATCCAGCCCATATTAAGCCCAAACAAAGGCAACTGGCGCTGCAAAGATTTAAGGGTTGACCCCAGGGCTCGGGCGACTAAATGCTTCTTGCTGATATCTATATATAAATAATTGATATAATCCAGCCCATATTAAGCCCAAAGGGAACTGCAAAGGTTTAAGCACAGCTCAGGGCGACGTACCTGAGGATCAAATTCGAAATATAACAAAAGGCGCGTGAGGCCGGCCACAGATATAAATTATTGGCACGGATCCATGTGCAGCACCACCGCGAGCACAGAAAATGCACCACTCTTAATCTTTTCGGCGTTGGGCAGGGAAGCAATTTGGAAAACAACCCATCAGATACAAGCTTTGCCCTCCAATCAATCATTTTATGGGCTAAAAGCTGGTCAGCGATGCTTCGGATGTGAAAAAGGAGGTTTGCGCTCGACCGTGATATTTCCAAAAAGCTTGCCGAAGTGGAGGCGGAAACCCATACTTACCTGGAAGAGCTGCACTTGACAAAGTCAAAGCGCCGGCGGCCCAGCACATAATTGTTCCATCAACTGAGAAGCGCACATCCGAATGCGCCAACCTGGGCAAAAACCAATGCTCTTCTATTCAGTTTTCAGCCTTGATGGCGGTGTGCAGGCCTGCGCCTCTGTACATAATTTGATGCCTCCCTGGAACGATGCACGGTTTGGCACCGGGTTGCTATCCTCCCCCCCACTTTACGCATTTTTTTGGCGCAGTCAACCCGGTGTGAATTGAAGCTGAAAAAGCCAAAACTTTACATCTTAAATTGCATTTGCTTTTTCCGTGCAATCAACCCGGCGTGAATTGAAGCTGAAAGAAACAAAACTTTAGGTCTTAAATTGCGCTTCCTTTTTCTGCACAGTCGACCCGGCATAAATTGAAGCAAAAAACAAACAACAGTAGCCCCAGAGAGAAGTCCAAGATTAAGAAAGCGGATGTTGGTTTGAGTGGTTTATAAAACCCGTAAAAGCTGCGGCGCATTTATCCCTTCCATCAACCTTGGAAGAAGGATGCGGACTTAAAATGCTGTTAAAAGAGAGCCACTGACGGACCAAGAGGAATTCTTAACAACGTTATCTTTAAAAGCTCCAGATTTGTGTAGGAAGGGAGGGGGGAAGAAAAGAGACTTGTTCATGGGAAATCCGAATCAACTGACCATCCGTTCACGCCTCCCCGCGGCAAGAAGATCCAAAAAAGAGGGTTTTTTCAGGGGGTCGGAAATTGCTGGCCTCCCCGTCATGCAAGAACTAGAGTCACCGGTTGCCACCCAAATCACATCCTTGGCTCCCGCTTCCCTCTGCTCCGGAAGGAGGGACATATCCTGAAGGATTTATATTCCGTGGCTCCGGATCTTTAGGCTGATTCCCCAGTCTCGGCGGGCTTGAGGATGTGGTCTGGTTTGTGGCCGGCGGAGAAGTGGTCCCACATCAGGAGGTAGAGCCGCTCCAGTTCCAGGGTGTACTGCTTGGTGTTGAAGAGGGGGCTGGATATCCTCTGCTTCCACACCTTGCCGCGGATCTTCTTCAGGCTACGTGAGAAAAACGTCCGTTTATTAATTAATTAATTAATTAATTAATAGTAATCCATTTATTAATCAACATTTCATTGATTTTCCCGAAAAGAAAAGGAAAAAACAGGGGAAATCACAAACAAATTAAACGGTAATTTGGGTGGGGTCAACCTCCCTCCGCTCCCCCCTCAGTTCCATTCCAATACTTATATATTTATTATTGCAAAAAGGAAACATTCCTCCAATTGTCCAAATTAAGAGGACGCCAGCAAGGTGGAACCTTTCTGTAAAACAAGGATTTTACGATTCCCAAAAGGAATCCCCCCTCTTGGTTCCTTTCTAATATACGTGTTCATGCACGTCCATAAAATCTTATATACCGTATTATTTTTCCGTTTTTTGCAGCAACAACCAATCGCCAGTCCACCCTCGGCACTATCCACGTATAATTCGCCTGTCTTTAGCACCTGCTCTTTGCAAACTGTTGTTGTTGTTGATAATAATAATAATAATAATAATAATAATAATAATAGAGTATGCAAAGAGCATGTCTCAATGAGTGCCTGTCTTTAGCAACTGCTCTTTGCAAACGGAAGCGTGGCACTCAAAACGGAGTACGTTTGGCTTCCGGAAAAAGTCCACAAACAAGAACACGCTGGGGAGTTTGCAGCGTTTAGCTTCTGGGTCGTTTGAGTGCCAAGGCTTTTGAGCACCAAGGTGCCACTGTATTCTAGGAAGATTTTTCTCCAAAGAAACACGATGCTGAATGCTACCTTCGGGTTTCGTGAGCTGCACAACCAACGCCGCGGCCTCTCCCAACCCCAGTTGCATGTCTACTTACTATTCTGGATCGGTCCCCAGTTTCACGGCGACGTCTTCGTATTCCTGTCGACTCTTCGCGATGAGCTCGGGGCACCCGAGGCAAGTGAGCTGGGAGGCAGCGACGCGTGAGGCAAGGGTTTCCCCTGCAAAACGGAGGGCAGCAGGTCATACAAAGCTCCGTTGCAAGCATGGTCTGTCCTCATCTTGTTGAGCAAACTAAGTGCCAGGGGCTGGATCCAGCCCAATCGCCTTCTTAATCCGGCCCGCGGACATGTCTTTTGACACGAGTAGAATGTGTTCTTTTATTTCAAATGCATCTCTGGATGATTTGTGGGGAATAGGAATTTGTTCATTTCTTTTTTCCAAAATATATTCCGGACCCCCACAAGGTCTGAGGGACAGTGGACCAGCCCCCTGCTGAAAAAGTTTGCTGACCCCTGGCCTATCCTCTATCCCTAACTCCTATCTCTAGCCCCTATCCCTATTTCTAACCCTAAGCCCTATCCCTAATCCCTGTCGACAAAGTTTGCAGACCCCTGTTGTTGAGGAACATCTTCTTAGTGGATTAACGGAAGCGCCCAAGTAGAAGGGCCCATTGCCCAAACTGGATAACCCAAGTCTTCCTTCCTTCCCACTAGCGTAACCATCTGGCTCACAACCAAGCCCTTGGGATACATAGGCCAACCTCCTGACAATCCCCCAGAACACCCCCCTGGTGGGAATCCCAGGTCCAACTCAAAGCAACGTGTCTCGGCACCCAATACCAGAACAATATGCATAATCATCGTAATCATCACAATATCGACTCGAGCTGCCATCTCACCTGGCATGGTCACCATGGGGGTTCCAGCCCAGAGGACATCCATCCCGGTGGTGTGGCCATTGCAAAGGGGGGTGTCCAGGCAGACGTCGGCCAGCTGCCCCCTCCTCACATGCTCCTCTTTGGGGGCGACCGGAGAGAAGATGATCCGGTTCTGGGGGAGGCCCATGTTCTGCGCATACTGCTGGATGTTTGGTTCCCCCACAGCTGGGAAACGCAGCAGCCACAGGACGCTGTTTGGGACACGTTTCAGAATCTGCAAGTAATAGCAATAACATTAACAATAACAATAATAATTTATTATTTCTACCCCGCTCATCCGGCCGGGTTTCTGGGTGGCTCCCAACCGAATATTAAACAGAATAAAACATCAAACATTAAAAGCTTCCCTAAAGAGGGATGCCTTCAGATGTCTCCTAAAAGTCCGATAGTTTATTTCTTTGACATCTGATGGGAGAGGGAGCCACCACTGAGAAGGCCCTCTGTCTGGTTCCCTGTAACCTCACTTCTCACAGGGAGGGAACCACCAGAAGGACCTTGGGTGAGGGACCCCGGAGTCCAGGGTGGAGATGCTCCTTCAAGTGGGGTCTTATCCTGCATCCCAGACGGAGCTGCCCTGGACACAGAATGGACCTGCGCCTCCATGGACAGAGCTGAGTCCAAAATGACTCCCAGGCTGCGTACCTGGTCCTTCAGGGACAGTTACCCCGTTCAGAACCAGGGAGTCCTCCACAGCAGCCTCTCCCCTGTCCCCCAAGAACAGGACTTCTGTCTTGTCAGGATTCAACCTCAATCCGTTAGCCACCATCCATCCTCCAACTGCCTCCAGACACTCACACAGGACCTTCACTGGTTCAGATATGAAGGAGAGGTAGAGCTGGGTATCATCCGCATACTGTTGGAAACGCCCAGCCCCAAATCCCCTGGTGATCTCTCCCGGTGCATTCATATCAATGTTAAAAAGCATGGGGGAAGAGGCACCCCACAAGTGAGAGCCCAGGGGTCTGAACGCTCATCCCCCCCCCCACTTTCTGGATGTAGCCCAGGAGGAAGGAGCAGAACCACTGTATAACATTGCCCCCAGCTCCCAGCCCCTCTAGACAGTCCAGAAGGATATTATGGTCGATGGTATCAAAGTCCGCCGAGAGATGCAGCAGAACCAATAAATAATAATAAAAAATTATTTATACCCCGCCCTCATTGGCCAGGGCCAGGCTCAGGGCGGCTAACACCAAATATAAATTACAATAAAATGTAATAGAAAAAAAACCCCAATTAATTAAAATACGGCTTAAAATACAGCCTCATTTTAGTAGTAGCCCATAAATCAAGACTATAAGGGAGGAAACATCAGCTATTCACCCGAGCCAGCTATCCATGCTGGATGGGCCAGCATGGGCCAGCAAAAAAGCCACGGGAAAATTTATATGCCAAATCCCATACAAGATGTCAGAGTGAGTCTAAGCCGAAGGCCAGGCGGAACAGCTCCATCTTGCAGGCCCTGCGGAAAGATGTCAAATCCCGCAGGGCCCTGGTCTCTTGTGACAGAGCGTTCCACCAAGTCGGGGCTAGAGCTGAAAAGGCCCTGGCCCTAGTTGAGACCAATCTAACCACCTTGTGGCTCGGGACCTCCAAAGTGTTGTTATTTGTGGACCTTAAGGTCCTCTGCGGGGCATACCAGGAGAGGCGGTCCTGTAGGTACAAGGGTTCTAGGCCACATAGGACTTTAAAGGTCAAAACCATCACCTTAAACCTGACCCTGTACTCCACCGGGAGCCAGTGCAGTGGCTGAATGTGATCCTGCGGCGAGGACCCCGTAAGGAGCCTTGCATTCTGCACCTGCTGGAGTTTCTGGGTCAGCTTTAAGGGCAGCCCCGCGAAGAGTGAGTTACAATAATCAAGCCTGGAGGTGACCATCACATGGATCACTGTGGCCAGATCAGGGCGAGAAAGGTAAGGAACCAATTCCTTAATACGGCGGAGGTGGGAAAATGCCACCTTTGCTGTGGCTGCAACCTGCGCCTCCATGGAAAGAGAGGCATCGAAGGTTACACCCAAGCTCTTGACAGAAGGCTCTGGCACTAATTGCACCCCCGCAAGAGATGGGAGTTGGCCCCCCAACCCCATGTTGTCCTGACCCAGTCAGAGGACCTCTGTCTTCGAAGGATTTAACTTCCAACTGGCTCCCACGCAGCCACCCAGCCACAGCTTCCAAGCATCTGGTCAGTGTGTCTGGGGCCGAGTCAGGGTGGCCGCCCATTGACAGATAAAGCTGGGTGTCATCAGCATATTGACGACAACTCAGCCCTAAACTCTGGACAATCTGGGCAAGGGGGTGCATAAAGATATTGAAAAGCATCGGGGAAAGGATTGTGCCCTGCGGCACTCCACACAACAAGGAGTGCCGCAGCGACAACTCCCTTCCTGGATGTTTCATCCAGAAACCTACCAAAATGTTCGGTAACCGCTCTCTCAATTACCCTACCTAGGTACAGAAGATTTGAAACCGGGTGGTAATTGGATAGATCTAAAGGATCTAGAGATGTTTTCTTTAAGAGGAGACACACCATTGCTTCCTTCAACTCCCCTGGGAAAGTCCCTGTGCCAGATTGATGATCTCACCCGGGGGGCTGCACCTCGTCTGGACATGCTCTAATCAGCCAGGACAGGCACAGGTCAAGGGGGCAAGTGGTGGGCCTTCCAGCTCAGAGGAATCTGTCTACATCGGCAAGGAGAAACAGTTTTCACCTTTGTCCCTAGCCCGCTGGAGATCCTTGATTGGCGCGACCAAGGCAGTTTCAGTCCCATGATGAGGCCTGAATCCCGACTGGAAGGGATCCAAATGGTCTGCATCCTCCAGGCGTGCCTGGAGTTGTTCTGCAACCACCCACTCAATCACCTTGCCCAAGAATGGAAGATTTGAGACTGGGCGATAGTTGGCCATATTGGCTGGGTCCAAATATGTTTTTTAAGAAGCGGTTTAATGACTGCCTCTTTTAGTGGTCCTCACAGAGGGAAGCATTTGCCACCCAGTGGATCCCACTGCCTAGCTCTTCCCAGCTCGCTTTTATGAGACAGGATGGGCAAGGATCAAGGAGACAGGTGGTTGGTTTCACTCGTCCAAGTGAGTGGAACAGATTGGAATTGATTCATACAACTCGACTAGACAGGACTCTTAGCTCTCTCCCGCCCCATCACTGATCCCACAGTGGAGTCTATCCCTTTCTGAATCTGAGCAACTTTATCTGCAAAAAACTTTCCAAAACCATTGCAGGAGATCTTGGGGTCTTTCCCAGGCCCCGGTGGCAAAGGTGGTTCTGTGAAATTGTGAACCACCTGAGTCTCCTCCTGCTGTTTTCTGCAGATGCAATGGGGCAGTGAAGTAAGTCCTCTTCGCCGTCACCACTCAGTAGGCTCGACGTTGAGCTCTAACCTGTGTCTGGTCCGATTCAGAATGAGTTTTCTGCCACCGGCGCTCTAGCCGTCTCAGCGATTGTTTCATCACCCTCAGCTCTGGGGGAAACCATGGGGCTGTCCGGGCTCCATGTAATCGGAGAGGGCGCTTCGGAGCCAGGCGGTTGATAGCCCTGATTAACTCCGCATTCCAGCAGCCCCCCAGGGAATCAGCTGAAAGGCCATCAGCATGGGATAAAGCACCCCCTACCACTCTCTGGAAATCATTTGGATCCATTAGGTGGGAGGGGCGGACCATCCGAATCAGTTGCGCCTCCTTGCAGAGGGGAACCAAACTAAGGGTCTCCAGGAGAACATCCACCACGACCAGAATCAGCTTGGCCAGGGAATCTTGGTGCAGCGGGGAGGTCGGTACACCAAAAGGAATCCTGTACTGCCCCTATTGCCCAGCTTCCAGAACATGCACTCAGAGGACTGGGTCTTCCCAAGTGGGCGCCCAGTGTGACTTCTGATTCGCCGCAGGGAGCTACTCACATTGGCCCACATCTGCAGGGTGGCTGGGTCAATCTTGTAAAGCTGGTTGAAGTTGCAGTAGACGACAGAGTCCTCCGGCAGCCCGTACTGGGAGCGGGTGGTGACAATGATGGTGCGTGGCACCTCCTCACCCGTCGCCGCCTTGTTGTTGATCTGAAAGAGAAGCCAGAAAGGAAAGATCGGAAGGAAGCTCAAGGGGCAGAACTTTGACTCAACACTATGCAGCGTCAGATCAGAACCCAATCAATAGGCCAGAACGTTTATTTATTGACCATATTGGCTGTCTCTCATTGATTTCACTCTGGCAACTTCTGCCTTTGGTGATTGGACATGAACCCAATCAATAGGCAAGAACTTTTACTTATTGGAAATAGAGGATGGTGTCCTATTAGAAACATTAGAAACAACAGTGCGGGGGGGGGATAAATATGGGCACTAAATGGGTTACATACAGAGGTGGGGTGAGGGGTGGTGGATGGTGATGGGAAAAGGAATTATTTGTGGGATTGAGTGTAAGTATATCTGAACACTTTTAAGGATTGTATGAAATGTATGTTTGTATGCTTGTATATAATAATTTTTTCAAAAAAAAATCGGTTATGATTAAATGGGCACAAGAGATGGGACACAATATCCAGATGGAGGAATGGGGGAAACGATGGAAGGATGAGATAAAATTGACAGCATGTGTGGCGGTTAAAGAAAATTATATGAAAAGGATGTCTAGATGGTATTTAGCTCCAGTTAAATTAGCAAAGGAAAGCAAGGGTTGGAAATGCAAAACAATAAAAGGGACATTTTTCAGATGGGGTGGGATTACAAAATTATAAAGAATTATTGGGAAATTATCTATAATGAAATCAAAAAGATTTTTAAAACAACTTTTGTTTAAAAGTTACTATCTTGGCTGTCTCTCATCACAGACCCAGTTCCACAGTTGCTGCTCACCATGAACCAACGCTGGCAGTATTAGCAGCAGATCTCTGTTATGCTTCAGGTGATATTTCATTCTTTTGCCAATCGTGCTGTTTTAAATATGCACTTTATATTCGACTACTTCAGTAATGATATTGTTTTAAATCTTAAGATTTTTTTAACTTTGCTGCGTTAAATGTGTGCAATCTATACTTGACCTCTCTTGTAATGTTTTATTTTGAAATCTTTAAGCTAATGTTTTAGATTCATATTAATTATGCTCCTCTGAAAAGTAATAATATTAATAATAATAATAATAATAGCTTAGCTAGTAACTTAGCTTCCCCACAGAGAAAGTGCTTGTGAAGGAGCCTGTGGATAAATAATAACAATAACAGTAACAATAACAACAATAATAATTTATTATTTCTACCCCGTCCATCTGGCTGGGTTTACCCAGCCACTCTGGGCGACTCTCAACAGGACATCGAAAACAGAATAAAACATCAAACTTTAAAAACATCAGTTGTCTTTTAAAAGTCAGATAGTTGCTTATTTCCTCGACATCTGATGGGAGGGCGTTCCACAGTGCGGGCGCCAGCACTGAGAAGGCCCTCTACCTGGAATACTTTACACCTGACTTTATTCCGTGCTGTTTTATCCTGGAGTGCTTAATTTGATGTTTTAACATCAACTGCTTTGGGATTTCCCCCCTTAAAAACATAAAGCAGTATAGAAATAAAAAGAGGAACATTGAATAACAACACTAGGCCTTTTCAAGCCCCCTGCATTTTGGTTATTTGCGAATGGTGCTATTTTATGAAGTCACTCCTTTTTATTTAATTTGCATCCAAGTTGCTATAGATTACACTGAACTCTTAAAAGATTTAAAGCGGGCATGTCCAACTTCCAAGGGACTGAAATCTATTTCCACTATTAAAACAAAACAAAACAAAACACTGCCCATTGGATCAACCAGAAGTTGTGGAGCTTTTTTTTTTAGTCTCATTTTCTCTTTGTAGAATAACAAGGAGGCTCACAGGTCCTTATAATATTGGGGGAAACAGTTTGTTCTGGTGAGTATTAACCACTTTCCATTTTAACCTGAGGACGGCCATTTGTCCCCTTTTAACTTTAATTTATTTGAATTAATTTTGGGGTGCATTTTAATTGATCAATTGCTTCTTTTTATGGACATTGTATTATTGATATGATAGCAGCCACTCTGATCCTGGCTCTGGGCGGGGAGGGTGGGGTACAAATAAAAATTCTTCTCCTCCTCCTCCTTATTTTAGGGAGCCAAACTGTTGAGCTTTTTTTGGGGAGCTGAAGCTGTTGGGCTTTTTTATTATCATCATCTTTATTGCGGTCCAACGACCCATAACATGGATTCAGAATAAAATAGATTCATACAGACAACCCCCCAGAGAAGGGAGACCGAAACGTTATTTGTTTAGTCATGGGTATGTTGATCTTTGATTTGTATGACTACTGAAAGAAACTTTGCCACGGCCACTGTGATATCATTGGACTTGTCGTCCAGAAGATATTTGATATAGTAGGCTTCAGATTGACCCAGCCGATTTGCCAGTAGTGGTTTAATCTATACAGTGGTACCTCGCAAGACGAATGCCTCGCAAGACAAAAAACTCGCTAGACGAAAGGGTTTTTTGTTTTTTGAGCTGCTTCGCAAGACGATTTTCGCTATGGGCTTGCTTCGCAAGACAGAAACGTCTTGCAAGTTTGTTTCCTATTTCTTAACACCGTTAATACAGTTGCGACTTGACTTCGAGGAGCAACTCATAGAACGCGGTGTGGTAGCCTTTTTTGAGGTTTTTAAAGACTTTGGTGATTTTTGAAGCTTTCCCGACACCATGCTTCGAAAGACGAAAAAAATCGCAAGACGACAAAACTCGCGGAACGAATTAATTTCGTCTTGCGAGGCACCACTGTACAGTGGTGCCCCGCAAGACGAATGCCTCGCAAGACGGAAAACTCGCTAGACGAAAGAGTTTTCCGTTTTGGAGGTGCCTCGCAAAACGAATCTGCAATGGGCTTGCTTCGCAAGACGAAAATGTCTTGCGAGTTCCTGGGTTTTTTTTTTCCTTTTCCCCCTCTTTTTCTAAGTCGCTAAGCCGCTTATCTGCTTATCTGATAAGCTGATAAGCTGCTAAAAGCTGCTAAAAGCCGCTAAAAGCCGCTAATAGCGCTAATCCGCTAATCCTATCAATGGGCTTGCTTCGCAAGACGAAAAAACCGCTAGACGAAGAGACTCCCAGAACGGATTCTTTTCGTCTTGCGAGGCACCACTGTAGTTCCCTAGCTTGATCATATTGTTCGCAATGCAATAAAATATGCCTCATGCAGTCAACGTCCTGAGAGCACACACAGATCCTATTTTGATAAGGGATACCTCTCAGTCTGGAGGCAGTGAGAGATTTTACTTTCTTGGGCTCCATGATCACTGCAGATGGTGACAGCAGCAACGAAATTAAAAGATGCCTGATTCTTGGGAGAAAAGCAATGACAAACCTAGACAGCATCTTAAAAAGTAGAGACTTCACCTTGCCAACAAAGGTCCATATAGTAAAAGCTATGGTTTACCAAGTAGCGTTGTATGGAAGTGAGAGCTGAACCATAAAGAAGGCTGATCGCCAAAGAATTGATGCTTTTGAATTATGGTGCTGGAGGAGACTCTTGAGAGTCCCATGGACTGCAAGAAGATCAAACCTATCCATTCTGAAGGAAATCAGCCCTGAGTGCTCACTGGAAGGACAGATCCTGAAGCTGAGGCTCCAATACTTTGGCCACCTCATGAGAAGAGAAGACTCCCTGGAAAAGACCCTGATGTTGGGAAAGATGGAGCGCACAAGGAGAAGGGGATGACAGAGGACGAGATGGTTGGATAGTGTTCTCGAAGCTACCAGCATGAGTTTGACCAAACTGTGGGAGGCAGTGGAAGACAGAAGTGCCTGGTGTGCTCTGGTCCATGGGGTCACGAAGAGTCGGACACGACTAAACAACAACAACAACACCTCTCAGTCTGGCGCTTAACATTTCTGATGGGAATACATTTAATCTGGCTTTGGTGAAAAGACGCCGGTATGTTGGTACAGACAAATTTCTAAGACATGCAGGTGTCTGAAACTCGAACCCATAGTGAATTCCTACTTCTAATGGGCCACAGATAACATGAGATTGAGATCGGAGATCACTATGTGATATGTCCCAGAGGCTTTGCCTCAGAGATTCAAAGGCAGTATCATAGCCCAGATGGTACAGGAGAGAAGGTGGCCTACCAAGCCAAGTGGCTTTTCTAACCATCATTTTCATCTATGAGCTGGCAAACTCCTCGTTGTTTAGGTATGGAAGGTATGGAAGCCCTTCCCTAGGCCAAAGACACAGATCTTGAGCTAGTATCTCAGGCCAGCCCACCATGCTTTAGTTGATAGAGGACATTTACCTGTTTTGAAAAATAGTATTGCATTTGGAACACAATTTGGACCGGAGAAACTTTGCCTGGAAGCCATTGAACCTGGAGAATGAGCCATTGAACCAGGCGTTTGAGGCGTAGAGGAGTTGAGAGACAGATTTTGCATTAAATACCTTAATGGCTGATGGAACATAATGGCCTCCCCTTGTATAAAAGAATTGAAGTATAGCCAGTTTGCTTACCTCCGCCTTTTGATAGGCGGTCTGCCAATGATGTTTCCAGGACTTGGAATAATGGAACAGAAGCCCTAGGTACCGGAAGAATTTGGTCTGCTCTAGTTTGTGACCGTCCAGTACCTATTTACTCAGGGAGAATCTCTTCTCAAACACCAGGACTTTAGATTTTTCATAACTGATGGATAACCCATTACCAGTAGTCTCAGAGTTTCCTTAGTCGATAGTTCAGGCCAGGTCTGGTTCGGGAGAGGATGGCCGCGTCATCCGCATACAACAAGAGAGGGGTCTTTCTCGTCCCTATTTTTGGAACGTGGCCATCAGGGTCCATTAAGCTTGCCTCTAAGTCATTCAGAAACAAACTGAACAAAGTAGGGGCCAAAATGCATCCCTGTCTCATTCCCCTGGCCATCTCAATACAGTCCGAGAGCTGGCCCTGCAACCCACACCTAACCTGCAAATTGCTTCCACAGTGCAGGGCTTTAGTAAGATATAGGAGACGTTTATCCTTCAGTGCTAGATGTAACTTGGCCCATAGTTGGAATCTGGGGATGGAGTCAAAAGGCAAATTTCAGGTCCATAAAGGCCACAAAGTGTTTTCCCTGTCGAGGTCTGGTGTACTTCTCGGCTAGGAGGGACAGCATTAGACAGTGGTCTGATGTTGAGTGGTTCTTGCAGAAAGCTGCCTGAGCTTCAGATAGTATGTTATAGTCATTTAGAAAACTTGTCAGTTTATTACAGAGAAAACGGGCATACAGCTTTCCTATTATTGAAAGCAGACTGATAATTAGAAGGCACGTTTGGCTGGCCTCTCTTCAAAATTGGGACTACTATTGTATGTTTCCAACTAGACGGTACTTTGCCAGAGTTATTTACTATAGTAAAAAGTGCCTCCAGGAGAGGAGCCCACTAGTGCTGATTTGGTATTATCAATTCAGCTGGGATAAAGTCATTTCCCGGGGCCTTACCACTCTTCAGGTTCCCAATTAATGTATAGACTTCTTCCACTGTAACCGGGCTCCATTGTGGGAGCAGTGACAGTTCTGCCGAATCTTCATCATAAAAACTGGCGGGGAGATTTGAATTTCCTGTGAATATATTTCTAAAATGGTTCTCCCATACCTGAGCTGGAATGGCACAGATGGGGGCTGGAGAGACTAGTTTCCAGAAGAGTTTTGTTTCGTTGTTTAGCGAGGCATTCAGTAAGAGACACCAGGAGTTTTGCTCAGACTACCTTTTTTTCAAAGCCAAAAGGGCTTTGTACTCTTTTTTACTTTTGAAATAGGTTGGGGGTAAATAGTTTAGGCCAGCGTTTCTGTAGGCCAAATAAGAGTTCCTTAAGGCTTTCTTCACGTGGCACTCTTGGTTGAACCATCTGCACCCTTTAGTAATGTGGGGCTTGCTGGCTGGATTTATGTTAACAGAGACCACATCCTGCAAGAACTCGATGAGATTATCGTTATTAGTCGGGGAAGAATCTGTTGATATCTTAGCTACAGTAGCCGGCTCAGGTGTCCATTTTTTCCTACACAATGCTGGAACATTAGTTTTATCAATTTTCTCTTGTTCTATGTGAGAGCACTGAATTGAATTTTGGCCAATACAGTGGTACCTCAGGTTAAGTACTTAATTCGTTCCAGAGGTGCGTTCTTAACCTGAAACTGTTCTTAAAGCACCACTTTAGCTAATGGGGCCTCCCGCTGCTGTGCGATTTCTGTTCTCATCCTGAAGCAAAGTTCTTAACCCGAGGTAATATTTCTGGGTTAGCGGAGTCTGTAACCTGAAGCATATGTAACCTGAAGCATATGTAACCCGAGGTACCACTGTAGTGGAGATGATCAGAGGCAAATGATCACTCTCAGTCCTGTTATCGATATTGAAGTTTTTGATTAATTTAAAAGCCTCCATTAGAATTTATGAACTCTCCTCTGTCCCCCGGTAGTGCCCCGTTAACAATCATGAAGTCAGGACTTATTTGTAAAGAGGCCAGACAAAAGCCAGCATAGTTGATTTGGTGGTCTTTAGAAGACCTACGGGGGGGGGGGGGCGCTTAAGGAGAAAAGGCTGTTTTCCTTTAGTTTCCTTAACACTGGAAATTTTATTTCCAGGCAGTCGTCATTTGAGCCTAGTCTGGCATTCATGTCTCCCATTATGTAAAAAGGTACTTAATTTGAAGGTACTTAATTTGAAGAGAGTAAAGGAAACGATGGAATTTACGCCATGTACTCTCAATCTGTGCTTGCACTTTGTATGGTGGAATGTAAGCTGAGACGATACTCCTGGACTCATAGTGCAAGGTGATCCCCTGCGCCAGGTGCTCGAGAACTGAACACTCAGTAACCTGTGACATCAAGGAAGTGGAGACCAGAGTTACTAGCCGCCCCCCCCCCCCGCTTCCCCTTTCGTGCAGTTTAGAGGCCTTAATTTCATAGGCAAAGTACCGTATTTTTCGCCCTATGGGACGCACTTTTTCCCCTCCAAAAATGAAGGGGAAATGTGTGTGCGTCCTATGGGGCGAATGCAGGCTTTTGCTGAAGCCTGGAGAGCCCCACCGCCAGCCCCACAAGCTCGGGGGACAGCGGGGAGGCGCAGCACGCCTTTCCCGCTGTCCCCCGACTTGGTTAGAAGGCTGGCGGGGGGGAGAAGCCTGCTCCTCCCCGTCGCCAGCCCCGCAAACTCGGGGGACAGCGGGAGGCGCAGCGCGCCTTTCCTGCTGTCCCCCGACTTGGTTAGAAGGCTGGCGGAGGGCTTCCCCCTCCCCCAGCCCCGCAAGCTCCCAGAGCGATGCCAAAGCTGCACGCAGCTTCAGCATGGCTCTGGGTCCCGTTCTGGGGGCTGGGGTCGGGGGAAGCTCCGCTTTCCCCGCCCCCAGCCCCGCAAGCTCCCAGAGCGATGCCAAAGCTGCACGCAGCTTCGGCATCGCTCTGGGTCCTGTTCTGGGGGCTGGTGTTGGGGGAAGCTCGGGCTTCCCCTGCCCCAGCCCGCGCCTGGGGGGGGAGATAATTTCCCCCCCTTTATTTCCACCCCCCCCCAAATCTAGGTGCGTCCTATGGGCCGGTGCGTCCTATAGGGCGAAAAATACAGTAACCATCAAGGACTATGTTGTCAGTTGCCCAGGTTTCCTGCAACGTTATCACATCAAAACACGTTATGTATTCACAAAATGTCTCGTCCCGTTTGTTGGCCCAACCCGCTATTTTCCACGAGAAAATATTGCGGCTGCTCAATCCGTCACTGGCTTGGTTTCATTGTGGGGGACAAATTTTGATCAGCTCTCCCTCTGTCTCTGTAATAACACAACCATTCTTAGGATGTAAAAGTTGTTGTTCCTGGGGTTGAGTTACAGAATTGTCCATGTTTTCAGCAGTCAGCTTTTCTTAGGGGGCCCAAGCTGCTGAGATTTTTTTTAAGGGGTCAGAGCTGTTGGGCTTTCTTTAGGGGGCCAAGCTGAAGCTGTTGAGCTTGTTTTGGGGGGCCAAATCTCCCAGGACTCTCTCAGAAGGTCAAGCTTGCTTTTTGGAAACAGAGGCTCAGGGCTGTGCAAGTTCTGTGCAAGCTGGATGGGCGGGGTATAAATCATAATAAATTCTTCTTTCATTCATTCCTTAATCAATTATCATCATCATCTCGTTGAATTGCAGGCGGATTCTGCTTCTGGGCAGTCCCAGCCCCATGGCTCCTCGAAAGTCCCTCCATCCCGTACATTTTATAATATATGGTGGGAATGCAAAAGGGTTAGAAATAAATGGGGAATGATATATATTGAATTAGAAAAAAAATGTTTAAAAAGACTTTTCTTAAGAAACCAGAAGCATTCCTCCTAGGAATTTTAGATCAAGATTTAGAAAAAGAAAATTAGAAATGATTTATCAATGCAACAACAGCAGCAAGAATTATATTAGCACAAGCATGGAAGACGGAAGAAATACCAGTGAAAGAACAATGGCAAGGGAAACTTATGGGATATGCAGAACTGGCAAAATTAACAGATAAATTACATGAAAAGGATAGAAAAGACTTTAAAAGAGAATGGGAACCATTTACAACATATATATGAAGGGGCAACATAAAGAATTGGACTCATTGGCAGGGTTTGAATAAACCAGGCACCCCCCCCAACCTGCGGCCCTCCAGATGTTTTTGGCCTACAACTCCCATGATCCCTAGCTAGCAGGACCAGTGGTCAGGGATGATGGGAACTGTAGTTCAAAACATCTGGAGGGCCGAAGGTTGGGGATGCCTAGAATAACCCAACACAATTGTATATAACCAAAAGCAAGACTATACACATTGGGGAAATAACACCCAATCCTCACCTGAGTCGTTGCCAGCCCGTTGCTGATGTTGAATCCGTTGATGGTGATCTGAATCTGCCCACGATTGATCATGTCAATCACGGCTTCAGCAATGGTGTTCATGGGAATGACTGGCATGCTGAGCCCAGCGGCGCCATCGTCCCCGCCGTCCGGACATTTCATCTGGAAGCCAAGATAATGGAATAATAATGATAATTTATCATTTACACCCCGCCCATCCAGCCCCATGTTCACCACCTCGCTGCCACTCCTGTGCATTAGAAGCATGCATTAGAAGTGAAATGGATTTTGCTACAAAGTCGGCTACAATCAGGTTTTCAACACAGCAACCCCTCTTGTGGCTTTATTGTGTCCGCGTTTCAGGCATTTTAAAGTGGGGAGGGGAGAGAGCTATCGTACGCGGGAAGATTGCAAGGTGATTATAAAAAAAGGGAAATGATATATAATGAACCGAGAGGGGGGGTTATTAATCCCGTTTGCATTCCTTCCCGTGGGAAAGTGTGCCTTGGTTTTGGAACGCCTTGGTTTCGGAACAGACTTTCGGAACGGATGAAGTTTGAGAACCAAGGGACCACTGTGATTTTAAAAGAACCATCTTGCATTTGGCAAGATGTCACAATTTTAAAAGCCATGGGAAAAAATAGATTGAAAAGGCTCCTCATTGTATTTTAATCTTTTGCTGCAAGCCACCCAGAGTGGCTGGGCATAATAATAATAATATCATCCTGTTAGAAGGGAAACCCAGTCAGAGAATAAATAATTTATTATCATCCTCCTCCTCCTCTTGGAAGCTGCCCAGAGTGGCTGGGGAAACCCAGTCAGATGGGCGAGGTATAAATAATATATTATTATTATTATTATTATTATTAATAATAATTACTCCTCATGTGTTGGTCCGATGCCTGTGGGAAAGCTCTTCTCTTGTGGATACAGTGGTACCTCGGGTTAAGAACTTAATTCACGCCTGAGGTCCATTCTTAACCTGAAACTGTTCTTAACCTGAGGTACCACTTTAGCTGATGGGGCCTCCCGCCGCCCCCACGCCGCTGGCTCGCAATTTCTGTTCTCATCCTGAGGTAAAGTTCTTAACCCGAGGTACTACTTCCAGGTTAGCAGAGTCTGTAACCTGAAGTGTCTGTAACCCGAGATGCAACTGTAACGTGCTTTCTCTTTTTTCTTTCAAGTTTCTTATTTTCAATCTTTTATGTTTATTTCCATGCACTCCAAACATTTTCCATATATACAATACTGGGATTAAACAAACCCCTTGGATTTCCCCACCCCACCCCAATTTCCATATTTTGCCCTCTTTTCTTGCATGTAATTATAACAATCCATTATATTCCATCTCCTTATTTACTACTCTAATTCATTTGACTTTATCAATGATATATCCATCCTGCCTGCAGAAAGCCATCTAATTCGATTTCAATTTGATCCTGACTTGTTTTTAGGGCGGGCTTCCTCAACCTCGGCCCTCCAAATGTTTTGGGACTACAACTCCCATGATCCCTAGCTAACTGGACCAGAGGTCAGGGATGATGGGAATTGTAGTCCCAAAACAGCAGGTGGGCCAAGGTTGAGGAAGCCTGGTTTAGGAGGTAATTTCATTATTATTTGATTTTTTAAAAAGTTACTAATAACTTCACATAGTAAAAGACCAGAAACATATCTTTTGGGAATATTGAACAGTGATATTCTAAAAGAAAAAACTCAATTTTTTCTGTATGCAACATCAGCGGCAAGAATTCTAGTGGCTAAGTACTGGAAGGGTAACCAGGTACTGACCAAAGAGGAGTGGCTATATAAATTATGTGAATATTTGGAACTGGCCAAATGGACGGATATAATAAGACTAAAGCCAATGAATACAGTCCAGGAGGAATGGAATTGCTTGAATGACTACTTAGAAAGACAAGGTTCAAATGTAAAAATTTGGCTGCGTCTAGAATGACCTGGTGAATGGAAAAGGGGAAATATACATATATACACATTTATATATTCAGATGAAAATAATACTGAAATACAGATAAAATATGAAAGGTGAAAGGAAGGGTTGTGAGAGTGATGGAAGTCTATTATTATTATTTTGCAAAATAGTATTCATTGTATTGAAATATGCTTTTCTTTATTCTTTGACTCTACTTTTCTTTGCATTTTTTTTCTTTTCCTCCTTTACTTTTTCCTTCTTTCTGTTTTATTGGATATTATTCTTTACGTATGCTTTTGTTTTGATGTATTTACTTTGCAGTAAAAAATTAATAATAATAATAATAATAATAATAATAATAGTTTGATTTTATACTAATGTGATGTATTTGATGCTAGCCGCCCTGAGTCCGGTTTCGGACGGGATACAAATAAGTTTATTATTATTACTACTACTACTACTACTACTACTACTACTATTATTATTATTGAGAGCTAGACTCCAAAACCACCTACACACGCCCGGATTTTCCTGACCTTCACTATTTTCACATCAGGCAGGCTGTCGAGGAATGCCTTCAGGTCGACACCGTTCAAAACAATCCGGTTGTCGTAGATGTGACCATTCGATTTGAAGTCGATGACGGCTTTTTTCTGAAAGAAAGACATATAATGCATCTGAAAAACACGGCAATTTGGATCTGGGCTTTTTTCCAAGAAAAAAAGACCTCTCCCCAAATACCTTCAGGTGTGGGAACATATTGGCGTGATCACCAATGAAGAAGGTATTGGGCATGTAAGCCAGTTTTTCTGAATATTGCTCCGCCACTTCCACCGGGGATGTTTCCTGGTCAGTGATAATGTAATCCATGAATAAGGCCCCGCTGGTTCCCGGGTAGCCCAGCCACATTGCCTGGAAGGCAAACAAATGAGGGTTGTTAATTAATAATAATAATAATAATAATAATAATAATAATAATTTATTTCTACACTGCCCATATCTGGCTGGGTTTTCCCAGCCACTCTGGGCGGCTTCCAACAAAAGATTAAAATACAATAAGGCAGCAAGGCAAGATATCCAGAGCTTCTTTTTTTATAAAAACTTATTCAAGAATTACATATATATAGAGAGAGAGTGTCCAGTAGCCAATTAAGTTTGTTCTTGGTATAAGCTTTTGTGTACGTGCACACTTCTTCAGATACACTGAATAATAATATAAATAAGTAATATAATATAATATAATATAACATAATATAATATAATATAATATATTAATATAAATAATATAAAGAACAAACTTCTTCAGATACACTGAGTAATAATATTTTGACTGTGTCAGACCAACTTGGCTACCTAAATGAATAAATAATATACATACACTTAATTTGACAAAAAAGGAACTGTCCATGTGCAAATCTTCTTCTATAAATTGCCAAAAATTAAGCTTGGGTTAAATTTATGCAGTCTCTTTTTTAAGAGGAAGGCCTCTGGCAAGATATCCAGAGTTTGCCCAAAAAAAAAAAAAAACCACCCCACCTTCTTAAAGAGGACCATGTCTTTCGGCAAGATCTACAAAAAGGCCGCATAAAACAAGATAATTGATCACATAATTAAGGATTTTCTTAAATCGGATTTTTTCAATTTAAAGCAGATTTTTAAAATAAAGTTCTTTGGGAGGAAAAATCTTTCTAAAGATTTTTTGTTTAAGATCCATCGAAAGCCATTGTGAAAGAAGGATTTGTTTAAAGTTTTCCATGTGTGCAGAAACTCAGCCTAAATTGTTGTTTTTTAAAAATTGTTTAACCACATCTGTTAACAAACATGGATACATATGCCATAATGCTATTCTTTTACAGTGGTGCCTCGCGAGACGAAATTAATCCGTTCCGCGAGTGTCTTCGTCTAGCGGTTTTTTCGTCTTGCAAAACAACCCTATTAGCGGCTTAGCGCTATTAGCGGTTTAGCGGCTATTAAAGGCTTATCGGCTTAGCAGATTAGCTGCTAAAAGGCTATTAAAGGCTTAGCGGCTTAGAAAAAGGGGGGGGAGCGAAAAAAAATCTCAAGACTCGCAAGACATTTTTGTCTTGCAAAGCAAGCCCTTAGGGAAATTCGTCCTGCGAAGCAACTCAAAAACGGAAAACCCTTTCGTCTAGCGGGTTTTCCGTCTTGCGAGGCATTCGTCTTGCGGGGCACCACTGTACTTAAATTGTTTAAATGGTATGAAGGGAATGAGTCTTTTTCTCCTTCCAATCGAGTACAGCAGAAAAGCAGTCCAAATAGAATCAAATCAGTCATTTTTGATAGGACTGACAAAACCACTCTGAAAATTTATTCTTCCAAAAATGAAACCTTCCTCTGGTTGTAAATATTAATGTCTTAATCACATTTTTTAACATCACAGCGTTAACATCTTACGACTACGGTAAAGAATATTTTGGGCATGCAGTGGTACCTTGGTTCTCAAACTCTGAAAACCTGGAAGCGTTCCAGTTTTCAAACATTTTTTGGAAAGTCAAGCAGACTTCCAGAACAGATTAAGTTTGGTGCTTTTGTTGTTGCTATTTTGCATTTCTGTTCTTCGGTCAATTTGTTTTTGTGACTGTGTGGACCCAGTTCAGCTACTGATGAATTGATTGTGTGACTGTGGAAACGGATAGAAGCCCCCCATCCAAACAATGACTTTAGCTACTGATGGATAGACCAATGGATGGACCGTGTGACTGCGGAAACGGATAGAAGCCCCCCATCCAAACAATGGCTTTAGCTGTTGATGGACAGATGGATAGAAGGATGGATGGACGGATAGCTACTGACGGATAGACGGATGGTGTGACTGCGGAAACGGATAGAAGCCCCCCCATCCAAACAATGACTATCATCAGTGCAGGCAAGAATTTGTTTTTAAAAAATTCTATCATCTACCATACTGTCTTATTTATTTTATAGTACAGAACACTGATGATTGCTTTCATTTGATGGATCAATGGTCTTGTTAGAGAATAAAATTCATGTTCAATGGCTGTTTGAGTGGTTGTTTTTCAAAGTCTGGAACGGATTAATCCCTTTTGCATTCCTTTCTATAGGAAAGCGCGCCTTGGTTTGGGAACGCTTTGGTTTCGGAATGGACTTCCGGAACAGATGAAATTTGAGAATCAAATCACTGTATGATGAACATTTCACTGTGACTTCCTTTACCTGGATCGGTGCCGGCCGGAGAGCAAACAGCTCGTTACGGGCTCCTTTGGTGTAGCCATTCATGTTGATCAGGATATGTATGCCGTCTTGGTGAATGCGGTCAGCCGCCTTGCCATTGCACGGGACCTAAAACACAAACATTAGAAGCACGTTTATGGAAGTTTTGAATGGCTGATGTTTTAATGTGTTTTTCATCTCTTGTTGTAAGCCACTCTGAGTGGCTGGAGAAATCCAGTCAAATGGGTGGGGTACTTTAAGTAATAAAGTAGTAGTACCGTGGTACCTCAGGTTAAGTACTTAGTTCGTTCCGGAGGTCCATACTTAACCTGAAACTGTTCTTAACCTGAAGCACCACTTTAGCTAATGGGGCCTCCTGCTGCCACCAGAGCACAATTTCAGTTCTCTTCCTGAAGCAAAGTTCTTCGGCTGGGGTGGGCAAAGGCTTCGGCTGGGGAGGGCGGGATATAAATAAAATTTATTATTATTATTATTATTAACCTGAAGCACTATTTCTGGGTTAGCAGAGTCTGTAACCTGAAGCGTATGTAACTTGAAGCGTATGTAACCCGAGGTGCCACTGTATAGTGGGAGGGTGGGTTGGGGATTTTCTCCAAAGGGTAGTAGGATTCAGTGGGTATGGTCAACCTGCTGGCGACTGTTAACAACTGAAAAAGCAAGGGATGGTATGCAGATGACCCAAAATAGCTTTAGCATGAAACTGTTCTTAACCTGAAGCACCACTTTAGCTAATGGGGCCTCCTGCTGCCACCGGAGCACAATTTCTGTTCTCATCCTGAAGCAAAGTTCTTAACCTGAAGCACTATTTCTGGGTTAGCGGAGTCTGTAACCTGAAGCACATGTAACCTGAAGCATATGTAACTCGAGGTACCACTGTAGTAGTAGTACATCTGCTAAGGTTGACTTGACAACCTGGCGACGATGTCCGAGCCCTCGAATGGTCCTTCTGAGATTCTTTCCCTCATACAGTGCACTTGCCGTTGCTTTTGCAAAATCCCACACGGCAGGAAAGTGAGCTGTTTTGGCCAGATTGCCATAGCTCGGGATACGTGCTCCGTGACAAAAAGTGGGCAGGGTATCTGAAGCACTACTCTGCACCCATGACTTGAGAGCATCCAGGAATCATCTGAAATGTAGTTTAGGTTTAGGGTTAGGGGCTAGGGTTTAGAATTAGGGCAAAGGCTAAGGCTGGAGGTAGGGTCAGGCTTAGGCTAAGAATTACTGTTAAGAGTTAAGGTTTAGGGCTTACAGCTAGGGCAAAGGCAAGGGCTAGGCTGAGATCCTTTCAATCCTAAAAAAAGCTCAACAACTTTGGCCGGCCCTTGCACATGTTCACTTCATCAAATCTGGCCCTCTTTGAAAAGAGTTTGGACACCAACTAGTGATTTAAATCAAATCCACCCTGTTATATACATTACCAAGCAAGCACTTCGACCTGCCACTGGGAAGCCCCTGAGAAGCGGCTAAGTGACCCCCCCCCGCCCCCGGTTGCACAACCCTTCGGCCATGAGTTCAGACATGCTTTTCCGAGCTATGCCCAAAAATCTGATTTATAGGTTATTGATCGCTAGCCTGGATGGTTTGCCTCACTAGCTAGTGCAGTCGAAATATATCTATATATATCTATATATCTATACATATCTCTCTCTCTCTCTCTCTCTATATATATATTATTGTCCAGTAGCACCTTAGAGAGGGACGCGGGTGGCGCTGTGGTCTAAACCACTGAGCCTAGGGCTTGCCGATCAGAAGGTCAGCGGTTTGAATCCCTGCTATGGGGTGAGCTCCCGTTGCTCGGTCCCTGCTCCTGCCAACCTAGCAGTTCGAAAGCATGCCAGTGCAAGTAGATCCTCTGGCGGGAAGGTAAATGGTGTTTCCGTGCGCTGCTCTGGTTTGCCAGAAGCGGCTTAGTCATGCTGGCCACGTGAGCCGGAAGCTGTACGCCAGCTCCCTCAGCCAATAAAGCGAGATGAGCGCCGCAACCCCAGAGTCAGTCACGACTGGACCTAATGGTCAGGGGTCCCTTTACCTTTAGCACCTTAGAGACCAACTAAGTTTGTTCTGGGTATAAGCTTTCATGTGCAGGCACACTTCTTCAGATACCTGAAGAATCTACTAGTGCAGATTATTCATGATTTAGCCCCCTCTTCTGATATTGCACATTCGTCCAAACAACGTATAGCATCCAAGAACAGATGGTATCCTGCATTATAGCTTCTTCCTTCCGCCAGATTATGCATTAAAAGGCTGTTCTCTGCGATCAAAGAGCTTTAGCAAAAGATAGAGAAGTAAAGAGAGGCAGGAAGAGATGACCGTATCTCTGAATTTTATTTTGATTTTAAATGTGATTTGAATTGTATTTTAAACCAATCGTTTGATTTTGTGTTTTTAATGTATTATATATTTGGTGTTAGCCGCCCTGTGCTTGGTCTTGGCCGGGGTATAAATAAAATTTATTATTCTTATTCTTATTATTATATCAGATCGCTAAACTCCTCAAAATGACAAATATCTCCAGAAAAGGTTGCCTGGGCAAGAGCATATTTAGGATATACAGGGGGGAAAGAGCTCTCACCTGAGATAAGTCAATAAAGTGATTTGCTTCAGCCATCACCTTGACCCGGAAGTTTGTGCCGTCGTCGGGGCTGAGGGCATAGCAGAAGACCTAGGAAAGAGAGGAATTGCTTAGAACTGAGGCTGACCAGAATCACTGAATGAATGGAGGAATCTTTATTCGCGTCGGGCATCGCAATAAAACAATACAATATACAAAGAATGGAAATAAAAAGTCCATTGTATAAAATACATTTGAGGGTCACTTGAGCAGGGAGCACGTGAGGTGCAGCAAAACACAGGCCGAAAAACAGTAGACAAAGCCCATCTTTCCCAAACATTGCATGAAAAGGCCAGAATTTACGAAGCGCATGAACCATCACAGCTTTCCTCCATGATGAAGCAATTGCCAATATAGAATCATAGAACTAGGGAGTTTGAAAGGGCCACGAGGCTCACCTAGGCTAACCCCCTGCAATGTGGGAATCTTTGCCCAAGAGCTTCCCTCTTGTGGCTTATCCCCACAACAGCTACTGACTTTGGGTTTTAGTCAAGCAAACAGTCTAATCCAGGCATTCCCAACCTGCGGCCCTCCAGATGTTTTAGCCTACAACTCCCATGATCCCTACCTCACAGGACCAGTGGTCAGGGATGATGGTAATTGTAGTCAAAAACATCTGAAGGGCCGAAGGCTGGGGATGCCTGGTTTAATCTGTCGGTGCCTAAATGATCTCAAGTGTCAGAACAACTTGACTGCCATCAGGAAATTTCCCACCGTCCCATTTCGACTCTCCAGCACCTGATCTGCATCACCAAGCAATCCCAAAATGCAGACAGCTTTGAACCTCACAAGATCAAATGTCTCACCCTGGACTGGACTCGAGGGACGATTCCGACAGATTCCACATGGGAAACGCTCATGTCCCTGCAGAGATGGTAGCACCAAATCGGTGGTGCATGTGCTTTATAAAAAGCCTTGAGGAGATGATTGTGTTGTTGTTTAGTCGTGTCCGACTCTTCGTGACCCAATGGACCAGAGCATGCCAGGCACTTCTGTCTTCCACTGCCTCCCGCAGTTTGGTCAAACTCATGCTGGTAGCTTCGAGAACACTATCCAACCATCTCGTCCTCTGTCGTCCCCTTCTCCTTGTCCCCTCCCATCTTTCCTAACACCAGGGTCTTTTCCAGGGAATCTTCTCTTCTCATGAGGTGGCCAAAGTATTGGAGCCTCAGCTTCAGGATCTGTCCTTCCAGTGAGCACTCAGGGCTGATTTCCTTAAGAATGGATAGGTTTGATCTTCTTGCAGTCCATGGGACTCTCAAGAGTCTCCTCCAGCACCATAATTCAAAAGCATCAATTCTTCGGAGATCAGCCTTCTTTATGGTCCAGCTCTCACTTCGATACATCACTACTTGGAAAACCATAGTTTTTACTATACGGACCTTTGTTGGCAAGGTGGTGTCTCTGCTTTTTAAGATGCTGTCTAGGTTTGTCGTGAGATGATTACCCCTCCTTTATTGCCCGTTCCAGGTTGCCCAACCACTACCCCAGAGTCCTCTCTCTTGGCAGATCAAGAGGAGCAGGTAACGGCAAAGGCGGCCAGGTTTTGAGCTGGGGCAGTCAGAATAAGGTCCACTCTCGATTCAAAACCCTCAAATGTATTTGATATCATTGATTTTTCATTTCTATTCCTTGCAGATCATCTCGCCATTTTATTGCTACAACCAAGGGCTGACGCAAATTAAGAGGATAATGATGATGATAATTATAATAATAATAAAAACTTTTATTTGTATCCCGCCCTCCCCGTCCAAACCTGGGCTCAGGGAGGCTAACACCAAATATGTAACATTGGTATAAAATCAAGCAATAACGAAATTACCTCCTGAAAACAAGCCAGGATCAAATTCAAATCCAATTAGATGGCTTTCCGCAGGATTAGGGTTGGGAACAGTAAATGCTCATCAGGCCCAACTGTTTGCGCTGCTCTTATATGGGCCTGTGAGAACGCTGGGAGGCCTCTTTCATACTAGTTCTTACACAAAAAGAGAAGGGGAGTCAGGTTGAACCAAAGGCCCGGCGGAACAACTCCATCTTACAGGCCCTGCAGAAAGATGTCAGATCCCACAGGGTCCTGATCTCTTGTGGCAGAGAGTTCCACCAGGCCAGGGCCAAGGCCAAAAAGGCCCTGGCCCTGGTCGAGGCCAGCCTAATCTCCCTGAGGCCCAGGACCTCTAAGATGTTATTATTTGCAGACTGTTAGATCCTCCGTGGGGTATACCAGGAGAGGCGGTCCCAGGCTGTATTCATTCGTTTGGCCCAACGTGGGGCTCGTACCCATGACCCCAAGATTCAGTGTCTCAGCGCTCTGCCGCCTGAGCTACTCACACGGCTACCCTCTTGTGCACCTCACCTCAAATTTGTCCGAATTGTGCATGCCTGGGATTGACTGCATGAGATGGGAGGTGGGGTGGTTCCCAAAGTCAGAGCTCACGTAGCCAACGCGGAGCCGGCCCTCACTGCCTTTCAGGTCCTTGGGGTGCTCGTAAGGCGGCTTGTGGAGCACGTTGATCTGGCAAGGGGATTCAAGAAAGCCGGGTTACGGAAATGACATTGGGGGGGGACATGAGGCCACATCTTTGAAGTTGTTCCAATGTTACAAATATACATACCTTTGACTTGACAGCCCAAGAAAGACACCTAGCATTATGAATTCGCAGAAAATCTATGCTTTAACCGACTCTCCTCATTCCGACGCCATTTGAACCCTAAAAGGAAGGCGAATTTGGGCTCCACCTCCCTCCATGAGCCAAGAAGCAGGAAGTCATGTAGGCAGCAGGAACAGGGCATCCCGCCAGAATTCCCCAAGCCTGAGAGCACATACACGGCACCCCACTGAGGGAGAGACCAAGGGGGCAACCATAGACATCTGCCAAGGCAGTTTAGCAAGGCAGGTCTTCTGAATGCCCATCTCCAGACAAGTCCAGTGGGAAAGGATGTGTCAAGAGTTTTATTGTTCTTTCGGTGATGGAGATTTAAGGGGTCTGATAAAGGGACCTCATATTGAATGCATAACCCTTGTATACCCCTCCCCATTTGTGATGTGCTAGTGATGTAGTGATGATGTATCAACGATGCTGCTTGAAGTGTATTCTGGGGGGAAGAAGGAAGTTTTAAAAGCTGACATCACCCCATGCTCGGGTTCTTACTCCTGGGCAGACCTGTGGTGCAACAGTAAGAATCATGGTCTACTGACCACTGTTTTGCTCCAAATTACCGGGCTGGGACTTTCTCCTTTTACTGACCGCATGGACCCATGGGGGACAAGTGCCCCGGTGAGCTAGGCTGTCAAGAAGTCACTCACCCTGGAATTTTTTCGCTTAACAGCCATTGGCGCCAATATAGAGCAGGCTTCCTCAACATTGGCCCTCCAGCTGTTTTCAAACTACAGTGCCCATCATCCCTGACCACTAGACCTGCTAGCTAGGGACCATGGAGTTGTAGGCCAAAAGCATCAGGAGGGCCGAGGTTGAGGAAGCCTGGTAGAGAGCTCTTCCTCTCTTTCAAATCAGAGCCGGCAAAGGCGGTGGAGTTCCTGCGCGGGTGCCTGGAGGCGGTTGGAAGATGGATGGCAGCTAACTGGTTGAGGTTGAATCCTGACAAGACTGAAGTTCTGTGGTGTGTGGACGGGTGGGGGGGACTCCCTGGTCCTGAACGGGGCAACTGTGCCCCTGAAGGACCAGCTGCACAGTCTGGGGGTCATTTTGGACCCATAGAGGCACAGATCTGTTCTGTGTCCAGGGCAGCTCCATCTGGGATGCAGGGTAAGACCCTCCCTGCCCTCTCTTGCCAGAGTGGCGCATGCTCTTGTTATCTCCAGCTTGGACTACTGCAATGCGGTCTATGTGGGGCTACCTTACTGCAATTAATCCAGAATGTGGTAGCCAGGGGCCACCAGGTGGCGCGTTGGAAGATGGCCGACAATAACATCTCTCTGACCCATACGAGGTAATTAAGAGGCTGCTATGGGAAGTATGCAGTCTTCCTACCCCCCCAAGGAGATGGGGGGGGCTGCCTTGCCAGCGGTGTCCACAATGCACCCCCTGATCCGAGAGATGGAGGTGCCGGTCACTTGGCACGAGCTCTCGATGAAGTCAGATCTTCCTGACACCGATTCCAATCAGCGCGTGCTGGTTAGCTTCAGCTCGGAATTATAATTGGAAACATACGATTGGAATGAAGCTGATGCACATACATCAAGTAACGCTCGAGAGATAAGACTGCTGATTAATGGATCTCTGTGACCGGGAGTGATGGATGGATAAGTGAATCTTCTGATGAATCACCATTAAGAGACTGTATGTTTGGAATGAAGGGGGGGTGGAGGAAAAAAACTTTTTTCTTTGCACGATGCGATATTAATAACCCTCAACCCCAGATAGAAACAAGATCGTTGCGTTTTACTAATCACAAGCAGGAATTCAAGAACTGTGTGGAACGGATTATAGCTGGAGAGAGGATTGGTGAACGGTGAGAACGGAGGAAAATTTTATGACGCAGTTAAAAAATGGCGTCTCGCCAAGACAGGCTTGCCGGAGAAAGAAGGACAGGGGGAGGAGAATCAGGACCATTGGAAAGAGAAGGATTGTTGGAATGCAATCTTGACCTGACAGAGCCTCCTGATATATTTGGCAAGTCTGAGAAAAGTAAAGGACAGACCGAAGATTTTTATTTTTTTAATGGAAGCGTTGAACAGCGGCTGTCCCTGAGCAATATGATCTTTGGAGAGTACAAAACCCACACAGAGGATGCCTGTTTTCAATCTGCTTGTGAAAATTATCAGAGATCGTAAAGAAAGGAATAGACGATAACAACAAGAAGATGAAGAAAGTAATAAAGGACTATCTGGATTGAACTGGATAGAACTGTTTAATTAAAGCAGCAATATAAGTGATGTTTGGACTCGTTCGGAGCTTTGGACTCGTTCGGAGCTTGATGTATGGGTACCCCCAACAAAAATTTAAAATTCGGCTGTATAATTTAGAACTAATGTGATTTGGATAATGTGATGTGATTGGCCTGTTAATAAAAATTATTTTTTAAAAACAAACAAATAGAATGTGGTAGCCAGACTGGGGACCGTGAACAGCCGCAGAGACCACATAACACCAGTCTTGAAAGACCTGCATTGGCTCCCAGTACGTTTCCGGGCACAATTCAAAGTGTTGGTGCTGACCTTGAAAGCCCTAAACAGCCCAGCAGATGAAACTTTCCTCTGGTTGTCAATATTAAGAGGATGCCAGCAAGATTGAACCTTTCTGTAAAATAAAGGCTTTAAATCCAGTCTTACTGAGACCACATACCAACGGTCCCGAGAGATCTGCATTGGCTCCCAGTACGTTTCCAAGCACAATTCAAAGTGTCGGTGCTGACCTTGAAAGCCCTCAATGACCTCGGCCCAGTAGACCTGAAGGAGCATCTCCACCCCGGACACCGGGGTCCCTCTCCCAAGGGCCTTCTGGCGCTTCCCTCCCCGCAAGAAGCCAAGTTACAGGGAACCAGGCAGAGGGCCTTCTTGTGGTGACGGCCGCCCTGTGGAACGCCCTTCCATCAGATGTCAAAGAAATAAGCAATTATCTCACTTTTAAAAGACATCTGAAAGCAGCCCTGTTTAGGGAAGTTTTTAAATATTTAATGCTGTCTTGTGTTTTTAATATTTGGTTGGCAGCCACCCAGAGTGGCTGAGGATACCCAGACAGATGGGCAGGGTAGAAATAATAAATTATTATATATTATTATATATCCAAAGCCAACATGCATTCAAAATCTGACGGAACGGAGTGGCGCACACCTCTTCACAGCATAAACCCACCTTGTCCAGGCAAAGGTTCCCATGTCTCTCGGCAATAGCCTTTCGGAAGCCGTGAGACAGCGGATACAGCATGCTGTGATGGGGGTGCACCGAAGGGAGCCGGTTCTTCTCCAGCTGGTCAGCCACAATACTGACAAGCTTCTTCATTCTCTCGTCGTAATCGGTCCAATCACAGACGATCTGAAAGGGGGCAAAGAAAACCAGGGTTCTAGATTCAGGTAGGTAGCTGTGTTGGTCTGATGAAGTCAAAATATATATAAAAATTGCCCAGTAGAGCCTTAGAGACCAACGAAGTTTGTTCTTGGTATAAGCCAGGAACCCCAAACCTTCGGCCCTCCAGATGTTTTAGACTAAAATTCCCATCATCCCCGACCACTGGTCCTGTTAGCTAGGGATCATGGGAGTTGTAGGCCAAAACATCTGGGGGGCCGCAGGTTGGGGATGCCTGATATAAGCTTTTGTGTGCATGCACACTTCTTCAGATACACTGAAGCGGAAGTCCCCAGACCCGGATATACAGAGGGAGAAGTCCCCAGACCCTGCTATATAAGAGTAAGGAGAAGCCCCCAGACTCTGATCTATAGTGGGAAGGTGGGGCGGGGTTTTTCTCCGAAGGGTAGTAGGAGTCAATGGGTATGGTCCACCTGCTGGCAACTGTGAACGACTGAAAAAACAAGGGATGGTATGCAGATGACCTAAAATAGTTTTAGGATATGTAATGAGACACAGTCGTCCACAGGTTGACCATACCGATTGAGTCCTAGTACCCTTCAGAGAAATACCCCGCCCCACCCTCCCTCTAAATATCAGGGTGTGGGGACTTCCGCTTCAGTGTATCTGAATAAGTCTGCCTGCACATGAAAGCTTAGACACAGAACAAACTGAGTTGGTCTCTAAGGTGACATTGGACAATTCCTGAATTAGGTGACGCTTTTACCATTACCGTGGTACCTTGGGACTCAAACGCCTCGGTTCCCAAATGCCGGAAACCCTGGGAGTGTTGGCCCTTAATATGCTGAAAAACTCTGCCTCACCTGCAAACAGTGCGCCAGGTTGCAGTAAGCGTCAGGAAAGTCCGGCTTCAGTTTCAAGGCGGTGCGATACGAAGCAATTGCCTCTGGGATGTTTCCGGAATCCTAGAAAGGGAGGGATATTTCAGCAATTGCCACTAGCTTTTTTCCTCAACCATCAAAACCAAAGATGAAGAACAGACAGAAGGCACGATGATCCACACCTGGTGGACTTATAAAGTAACATTTAACAATCATTGGAATAGAACAGGGGTCGGCAAACTTTTTCAGCAGGGGGCCGTCCACTGTCCCTCAGACCTTGTGGGGGCCAGACTAGATTTTGGGGAGGGGGAAAAAAGGAACGCATTCCTATGTCCCACAAATAACCCAGAGGTGAATTTTAAATAAAAGGACACATTATACTCATGTCAAAACATGCCGACTCCCAGCCAGATTGAGAAGGCCATGGGGCCGTAGTTTGCCTCCCCATGCTATAGAATAATATTGAGTATCAGCATGTAAAAATTCAACAGAAACCTACTCTTAACAATTACAATAAATTGTAATTGATCGTACAATAAATGATTATTACAATGAATGATTATTGTAATTGATCATAGAATAAATGATTGTTACAATAAATGGTTATAAAACAACGGCAAGTCACAGTGTCTACAATAGCCGCAGCGAGAATCTTAACAGACAAAGGATGGAAAGGAGAATCCTATCCCTACTAAGTTGGCGTAGCCAGCAAAAAGGCTAAAATACGCAGAATTAGCAAGAATATTATAATACAGACAGAATTACTAGAGGTTTCGGAAGAAACATTTCATAGAGAACAGGACACTTGCAGAGTACAGTGGTACCTCTGGATGTGAATGGGATCCATTCTGGAGCCCCGTTCGCATCCTGAAGCGAATGCAACCCACATCTGCACGTCGCAATTCGCCGCTTCCGCGCATGACGTCATTTTGAGCGTCTGTGCATGCGGCGAAACCCGCAAGTAATGTGCTCCGTTACTTCTGGGTCACTGCGGAACGCAACCCAAAAATATTCATCCTGAAGCATATTTAACCCGAGATAGGACTGTATTGTCTAAATTTACAGGGGTGCCCAAATTTTCCCAAAGAGGGCCAGATTTGACATGAGGGCGGGGCAAATTTGTTGAGCTGTTTTAGGATTTAACCCCAAGGTTGTTGAGCTCTTTTTAGGATTGAAGTTGTTGAGCATTTGGGGGGGGGGTTGCCCCAGTAAGTAAACCAGGTTACGCTCCCCGGCCACACGCTGGACATGTGTGGTCTAAAAAAAATGTTGGGAAAATTTAAATTCTTTGGCAGGTGTGGATTGACAAAGGACAGCAGGAAATATGACAAAACCAATGCATTTTGAGATCTAGGAGAGACGAGCGAAAGGGCGCCATCGGAAATGTGACGTGGGGGTGATTGGAAGTCACAATGAGATTTTTGGGTGTGGAACTCCACCATACTTTCCGTCTATATAAGCCACCCTCTATTTGGGGGGGATCATATTTAAGAAAATGAGCCATTCACCCACCCAATCACCCATATAAGACCTCCCCCCATTTTTATTTCAAAGTAAAAAAACCCACCTGACACGCTGAAAAGTACAGTGATTTTTTCATTTTCCTTTTAAAAATTTATTTACAAACAAACACATAGACACAAAACAAAATTCGTATTACCCTACCACCCAAAATTTCAGACATTAAAACCACCCTTGTGGCTTCCCTCCACCGCCCCTCACCCTCCTATATAATATTTCACATTGCCATTTTTATTTCCCCATTTATTTATTTTTGATTTCATTTTACATGCTAGTTGCCGTACATTTTCAACACTATACATTACATATATGGATTCCCCACATCTAACCCTATACCCAACTCACCATTTACCCAAATACCCATGTGACTTCCTTCACTCACATTCACATTGCAATTTTATCTAAATTTATATTTCTTAACTCTTTTAACTTACTATTTATTATTATTATTATTATTAAACCAGATTTACAAACATTAAACCAAACATATCAACATGTTAGTTTTTGAGCAGTACTTGAACACATAATCTTCAAACCATTTTCATTTCCAGTTTGATTGGTACCTTATTACTGCACTTAACCTTGGCAGTTCTATAAATTCAATTAGTTTCTTCATCCAGTCATCCTTTGTGGGTATATATTTCCTGTTCCAGTTTTGTGCAAGGAGTAGCCTTGCTGCAGCTGTCGCGTATAAGAATAATATCTTCCCATCTTGTGGTATTTCTTTATCTCTTATACTCAGTAAATATGCCTCTGGTTTTCCCCTCTAAATTAATTCTGATCATCTTTTTTATTTCCTCATGAATTTTTTAACGTTTCCATAGCCCCACCATAAACGTATCGGCGTGCCCTCTGCCTCCTCACACTTCCAGCATAAATTCCAATTCTCCCCTTTTTCTTTTTGCGCCCCATCTCGGTTTGGGACGGCTTTTGCCAGTTGTTTTCCTTTGTAAAAACTAACAGATTTCCCTGCTGCCCCCCCCCCCCGCAGTTTTTTAAAAAAAATAGATTTAGCAGAGACACAAAGCTCACCTTATGGATGGAAGCAAGGTTGCTGTGGGCATCGGCAAACGCAGGATTTATCTGGATTGCTCTTGTGTAGCACTGCAGAGCTCCTTGGACGTCTTGCATTTCCTTCAAGGTGTTCCCCATGTTGGAATAGGCGTCTGCAAAAGTGGGGCTTATTCTGACGTGGAGGGCGAGAGAAAAAGTGCAGTTTTGGTACAAAAATACACTGAAGTTACGCTGGAAATGTAAGGGTCAAGAAGGCTCTTTCTATCCTATACGGTGGTCTTTAGGGCAGTTCATTAAAAAAACTTTTTTAAAAAATGCCTTCTCCAAAGCCTTCACAAAATAGGAAAACGGCCAAGAAAACAGCTATTTTCATGGAGGAGGGTCGAGATATTAACTGATATGCACGGAATTTCAGATATAGCTATATAACCCCTAGTGTAGTAAGATAAGACATTGGGAGCAGGCATTTTCAAAAAAGTGTTTTTTATGAACCACCCTAGTGGTCATGTGAGACAGTGAGACCTTGGTTCTCAAATGTTCTTTATACAGGTTTCTTTATACAGAAGGTTTTTTCATACAGAAAGGTTCAGCATTGTGGCATCCTCTTCATACAGACAAGCAGCACATTCCTTTTGGGAAATCCCTGCTCCTCAATTCTGGCAATTATTAATCACTCTCAATTCCACCCTAATAATTGCCACCTGCCCGGATTTTAACTTGTCTGAATTAATTTTTACTTGAATTACTTGATGTCTGCTTTTAGGCACGTTGTGTTGTTTTTATGATGTTAGCTGCTCTGAGCCCAGCCTCGGCCGGCGAGAGTGGGATATAAATAAATAAAATTATTATTACTCAAACGCTTTGGTTCACAAATGCCGAAAACCCAGAAAAAGTGTTCCAGTTTCCAGGCGTTTTTCGGAAGCCAAACATCAAATTCAGCTGTCGGTTATTCTTTCTGGGGCACCTGCACCAATCAAACAGACTTCCGGAACAGATTAAGTTTGGTGCTTTGGTTTATGCAATTTATTTGGTGTTTTTGTTTCAGAGGCTTTTTCGGTTCATTTGTTTTTGCGACTGTGCGGATCCCAGTTTAGTTACTGATTGATTGATTGATTGTGTGACTGCGGAAACAGATAGAAGCCCCGGTCCCCATCCGAACAATGACTATCATCAGTGCAGGTCAGGAAAAATAATAATTTTCATTTTTATCATTTACAAGACTGTCGTATTTATTTTAGAGTACAGTACATGGATGACTGCTTTCATTTTAGGGATCAATGGTCTCGTTAGATAGTAAAATTCATGTTAAATGGCTGTTTTAGGGATTGTTTTTCAAAGTCTGGTACGGATTAATCCGTTTTGCATGACTTTCTATGGGAAAGTGCACCTTGGTTTTGGAACACATTCAGTTTGAGAACCAAGGTACCACTGTATAATTAACTGGGGGGGGGGGGCAGAACATTTGTGAAAAAACCAGAAGCCTTTCTAATAGGTTTAACGGGTGAAGAAATACCAAGAGACCTAAAAAGACAGTGTATTCTGTTTATGCCAGAATGTTCTTAGCCTGGCTGTGGAAGGAAGAGAAGGTCCCAACAAAAGAAGAGTGGATTATCAAAATGACCGTGAAGATCAGACATCAAGATGATAAGAAATTTAAGGAAAGAAAAAAGTTAAAAGGACAAAATGGGGAAAATAATGATGAAATGTGAAAAAAACATGGTGCAAAAACCTTAAGGATATAACCATCGTTAGTTCAAAGATGGCAAAATTAAGGGAGAATGAGATAGGCAGGAGAAGCAAATATTTAAAAAACCAGAAGAGGGAAGCTGGGGGAGATTGGGATTCATCTATGCTATCTGCAAGAATGATGTTTGTGTTGAATATAAAATGCTAAAACTTAATAAAAACTATATATATAGATAAAAATTAAACAAGAATGGAAAAAATTTATTGAATACCTTAAAGGCCACTGTACATATTTAGAAATAATAATAATAATAATAATAATAATAATTGTATCCCGCCCTCCCCGGCCGAAACCGGGCTTAGGGCAGCTAACATCAAATATATAACATTAGTATAAAATCAAACGATAATTAAATTACCTCCTAAAAACAAGTCAGGATCAAATTAAAATCGAATTAGATGGCTTTCCGCAGGCAGGATTGATATAACATTGATGAAGCCAAAGTAGCAAATAAGGAAATGGAATAGAACGGATCATTGTAATTACATGCAAGAAAAGATGGCAAAATATGGAAACCGGGGGGGGGGGGTGTCCCGAGGGGTTTGTATAATCCCAGTATTGTATATATTGAAAATGTTTGGAGTGTATGGAAATAAAATGTTAAAATAAAAAAACTGAAAATATAAAGAACCTAGAAGAAAAAGAGAAAGAGGAGAGCTTTCCCACAGGCACCAGACCAGCGCATGAGGAGTAATAATAATTATTAACAACAGCAACAATAATTTATTATTTATACCCAGCCACTCTGGGCGGCTTCCAGCAAAAGATTAAAATACAATAAGGAGGAGCTCTTTCAATCTATTTTCCCCATGGCTTCGGAAGCTCACCTGATGGCCTCCTTGTAGTGCATGAGGGCCTCCTGGAGCTTCCCCTGCTGTTGCAAAACACTGGCTAAATTCGAATGCGCAGCTGCAAACTCCGGGAAGACCTGCGGGGAAGAAGCTCACTCTTAGTTTCCCTGAGAAGCATTCTAAAGAGACGGAGGCCGCTCTTTGAGGCTCAAAGGTTGTGGGCATGAAATAAATCCTCATTTGGATTGACTTGCAAAAATTAAGGAGGAGGAGGAACCTATGGACTGCCTTTTTAGCATGCATAGGAAATACTGTTGGGAGATCAGACTGTCAAATGACCAATGCCGTATTTTAAAGAGCCCCTCTTTGATGCTCAAATGTGGCAGGGGCTGGCTGCAAAATAAATCACCATTTGGAATGACTTGTGGTAATAATAATAATAATAATAATAATAATAATGGGCCTATGAACTGCCTTTTTCGTACGCATAGGAAATACTGTTAGAAAATAAGACTGTCAGGGGATCAAGCTCAGCCGACACAGAGAACAGCATGTGCCCAGCTTTTATTTCAATTTCTGTACCGTTCCTTAACACCTTGCTTTGTTCTGATGAAAAAGCAGATTTTTGGTCATTCCAGGAGGCCCAGGAATATAAAAAGAGGGACAGACCCTCTTCCTTCCAAAAGGGACTTATCAGACCATGCTTTGTCGAACCTCAAAATGCTACTTCACTTTCAGTTCTTCACCATTATTTCCGTTATTGATCAAGAAAAATCTGATCGGTGATTTTTTAAAAGACCCAGACTAGGAGTCCAGGGTACGCACGCCTAACCCTTATGTGTCAATTTAATTGTTGTAATTCTCCATGCACGTACCTCAAGAGCTTTCCGGTAGAGGCGGACAGCCTCCTCGATATTCCCTTGTTCTCGCTTGATGTTTGCCAGGTTATTAAGAGAATCCGCGTGAGTCGGACATAAACGGAGAGCTGTATTGTAGCATTCCTCGGCTTCGGCAACCTTCGAAACACAAAACAGAGTTTTTACGCGAATATTAGTATGTCTTTCACAGGAGCCCAAAAGGCTGCTCTGTGATGGGATGGCCGGATTGAGGTTTGATATGGCCCTCAGCTCCTGAAGGTAACTTGGTATTAGGGCAGTTCATAAAAAACTCTTTTTTTGAAAATGCCTGCTCCAAAGGTCTTCTCTTACCAACAGTAGAGATTATATAGCTATATCTGGAATGTCATGCATATCAGTTAATATCTTTTATATATATATGCCAGCTGTCCTTTGTCAACAACCAATTGTTGCTGTTTTTTATATTGAATATATGTTATATGGTAACCGTTGCACCTCATAGGTATCTCAAGCCTTCTGCACGTCACAAAAGATGTATTTTATCAAAGTCATTGTTGAACTGAAATACAATTAAGAAGTAGCATATTAACAGTGAAACCCCACAATTGTTGAGACTTTTTTAAGGATTTGACCCCAGAGGTGCTGACCTTTTTTTAGGATTAAAGTTCTTGAGCTTTTTGGGGGGAAGTTTTGCCCTAGTAAACAAACTGCAACGAGGGCCGGATTAAATCGACCAGAGGGCCAGATTAGGCCCCTGAACTGGACTTTGGACATGCCTGGTCTAAAAGAACATTGGGAAAATTTAAATTCTTTGGCAGGACAGCAGGAAATATGACAAAACCAATGCATTTTGAGATCTAGGAGAGATGGGTGGAAGGCCCCCAAAGTGGACTTTGGACATGCTTGGTTTAGGGGAACATAAATACAAGATCAGACTAATCCGATTCAAACTCTCTTTCCCGCACACTTACCGTCTTTTGCAAGACAGTAAGGGAAATGGTTTTGGTCATACTAAATCAAAATTAAGAGACAGAGTTGCTAGATAGTAAAAGAAAATCATTGCCAAAAACGTATAAGAATGGCATACAAAGGATGAAGAAGTTAAGTCGGTTATGATTAAATGGGCTCAAGATTTTGGTCATAACATTGAATTAGATAAGTGGGAAAGATTATGGACAAAAACAATTTATTGCATGTACAGCACTAACGGAAAATTTAATGAAGGTGACGTATAGGTGGTATTTGACGCCGACTAAACTTGCTAAAATATATATAACTCATGATAAGGTACGCTAGAAATGCAAGGAGAAGGAAGTGAATTTCGTCCATAGGTGGTGGATGTGCACTAAAGTCAAAGTCTACTAGGATATGATTTACAAAGAATTGAAAAAGATCTTTAAATATATTGTTATTAAAAAACCAGAGGCTATTCTATTGGGTATTGTGGGAGAAGAAATTCCAAAAGTAGACTTATGTATGCTACCATAGCTGTAAGGACATTTTTAGCCCAGAAATGGAAGCGGCAGGAACTTCCAACTTTGGAAGAATGGCGGACAAAAACGATTGAATATGCAGAACTGGCAAAGCTGGCAGTGAAAATCCGAAACCGGCGCGACAAACTGTTTGAAAAGGACTGGAGTAAATTTATAAAAGATGTGAAAGAACATTGTAAACATCTGAGAATGTTTGATGGTTTGATTTAAAAAATTTTGTCATGATAATTTTTGAAAGTGATTTACAAATGCTAAAGTAAATTGTTTTAAGTAGAGTAAGAAGGTAAATAGGGCGATATATGTTCAGGTAGGCAGCCGTGGTGGTCTAACGCAGTTGAAATATATTAAAAAAATATATAAATTGTCCAGTAGCACAGTTCTGGGCACCACAGTTCAAGAAGGACACTGACAAACTGGAACGTGTCCAGAGGAGGGCAACCAAAATGGTCAAAGGCCTGGAAACGATGCCTTATGAGGAACGGCTAAGGGAGCTGGGCATGTTTAGCCTGGAGAAGAGGAGGTTAAGGGGTGATATGATAGCCATGTTCAAATATAGAAAAGGATGTCACATAGAGGAGGGAGAAAGGTTGTTTTCTGCTGCTCCAGAGAAGCGGACACGGAGCAATGGATCCAAACTACAAGAAAGAAGATTCCACCTCAACATTAGGAAGAACTTCCTGACAGTAAGAGCTGTTTGACAGTGGAATTTGCTGCCAAGGAGTGTGGTGGAGTCTCCTTCTTTGGCGGTCTTTAAGCAGAGGCTTGACAACTATATGTCAGGAGTGCTCTGATGGTGTTTCCTGCTTGGCAGGGGAATGGACTCGATGGCCCTTGTGGTCTCTTCCAACTCTATGATTCTATGATTCATTACAGACCAACTCAGTTTGGTCTTGGCAGAAGCTTTTGTATCTGAAGAAGTGGACCTGCACACAAAAAATTATACCAAGAAGCCAAGTTTAGCAAGCCCTGTTTAGGGAAGCTTTTAATGTTTGACGGACTATTGTATTTTAATATTTTGTCGCCAAGAGTGGCTGGGGAAACCCAGCCAGATGGGTGGGGTATAAATTATTATTATTATTATTATTATTATTATCAGGTGCTACTGGACAATTTTTAAAAGGTGATACAGAAATGCTAAGAGGATCGTGACCGCTTAAGAAAGCCAGGGAGTGGGAGCGGGGGGGGGGGGGGGCAGGGAGTCGACGCTTGGTATGAGCAAAGTTGTATGTGACGATATGATTTGATTTGAACGTGACAAAGGAAAAAATAAAGGAGGACTTCTTCTAGGTTCTGTACCCCAAATCCCCCCCCCCAAAAAAGGCCAATTTCGAGGTCACCATCATCCGGAAGGCTTTTTTCAGCAAACCCTCTGACATACAGAAAGCAAAAGGGACCGGTTTCATTTTCTTTTTTTAATTTTTATTTTATTTATAACATAGTCCACAACAACTCATACATACAAACAGAGCCACCACCACTGACTAATTATCAAAATTAAACTCCTATCCCCTTACACAAAGAAAACATAACATAAAAATAAAAGACTTTATCCTGTTAAATGGCCTCCTTATTTACTTCTTGTATACTATTTCTTTTGTATAGGATTATTACAATTTTTCCTAATTATGACTTAAACCACAAAGTCTCCTGTAGAAATTAATTGAAACAAGTCCAAGTGTATATTTTGGGGCACTGTTTGGTAAAGTATTCTCTGCATTTTCCCCATTCCTTTCGGATTTCTTGTCTGGGTTGTGCCCTAATCGTCTCTGTTAATCTGGCCAATTCAGCATGGGGTAAAAGTCTAAGAAAAAGCTAAACAACTTCAATCCTAAAAAAAGTTCAACAATTTAAGCCCTAAGAAAAGAGCTCAACAACTTCAATCCTTAAAAAAAGTCAACAACTTTGGTCGGCCCTTATGGCCCTTCACTTCATCAAATCTGGCCCTCTTTGAAAAAAGTTTGGACACCACTGCCTAATAGGAAAGCTTCTGTATTTTTTTCCCACAGGCCCACCAGACATGTATAAATGTCCCTTCTGCTTTACTGCACCTCCAGCACAGGTTTTTTGTTTGTTTTGTTTTATACATTTTAGCTATTTTGGCAGGTATTAAGTACCATCTATAAAACATCTTTTATATAGATGTTCCCCCCACCCCAAGGCAAAAGGGACCAGTTTCTTACGCTGCCTTTCTCTTTCAGCGCGTTGGCCAGGTTGCAGTAGGCGTCGGGGAAGTGGGGCTGGAGCTCAATGGCCCTCTTGTAGGTATCGATTGCCAGATCGATCAGCCCCTGTTCGTAATACACACATGCCAGGTTGCCGTGGACAACAGCGTGGTTTGGACTCAGGCTCAGGGCCCGTAGGTAGGCTGCAACGGCTCTGAAATGAGATCAAGGACTGGTTCAGTTTCATTGTCACCAGGGTGGATAAAAATCTGTTTTTTTAAAAATAAAATGCTTTGGGAGGACGATTAAGAGGATCGAGGCGGGCCGGGACTGCTGATTCTTTTAGATTTGTAAGCAGCCTTCGACATGGTCGATCACAAACTTTTGGACCACCACCTTGCCAACGTGGGGATTCAGGGCACAGTCAGACAATGGCTGTGCTCCTTTATCTCAGGTCGGGGAAAGAGGGTGGCGCTAGGGAGGGTGTTGTCGCTGCGGCACTCCTTGTGTGGAGTGCCGCAGGGCACAATCCTTTCCCCGATGCTTTTCACTATCTTTATGCGCCCCCTTGCCCAGATTGTCCAGAGTTTAGGGCCGAGTTGTTGTCAATATACTGATGACACCCAGCTTTATCTGTCAATGGACGGCCACCCTGACTCGATCCCAGACACACTGACCAGATGCTTGGAAGCTGTGGCTGGGTGGCTGCGTGGGAGCCAGTTGGAAGTTAAATCCTTTGAAGACAGAGGTCCTCTGGCTGGGTCAGGACAACATGGGGTTGGGGGGCCAACTCCCATCTCTTGCGGGGGCGCAATTAGTGCCAGAGCCTTCTGTCAAGAGCTTGGGTGTAACCTTCGATGCCTCTCTTTCCATGGAGGCGCAGGTTGCAGCCACAGCAAAGGTGGCATTTTCCCATCTCCGCCGTATTAAGGAATTGGTTCCTTACCTTTCTCGCCCTGATCTGGCCACAGTGATCAATGCGATGGTCACCTCCAGGCTTGATTATTTTAACTCGCTCTATGCTTAAACTCATTCTCACACCCTATATGGGATTTGGTATATAAATTTTCCCGTGGCTTTTTTGCTGGCCCATGTAGGACCAGCATGAATAGCTGGCTTGGGTGAATAGCTGATGTTTCCTCCCTTTATAGTCTTGATTTATGGGCTACTACTAAAATGAGGCTGCATTTTAAGCTGTATTTTAATTAACTGGGGTTTTTTTCTATTATATTTTATTGTAATTTATATTTGGTGTTAGCCGCCCTGAGCGCAGCCCTGGCCAGTGACGGCGGGGTAGAAATAAATAAATAAATAAATAATTCAGGAAATAATTACTTGTTTTAAGTTTTTCATGTGTGCGAAAACTCAGTCCAAGTTTTTCTTGGGGGAAAAATGTTTCAGCACATCAGTTAAGCAACATGGATACATATGCTACCATGTTACTGTTTCAGTGAAATAAATTGCTTAAATTGTTATGAAGGAAATGTTTCTTTTCTCCTTCCAATCAAGTACAGCAGAAAAGTTGTTCAAATAAAAAGTGTTCATTTATTAAAGCTCACCATCATTTCGTCACAATCGGGCTGTATATAGCAGAACCAAATCATTTTTGATATAACTGTAGAAAAGACTCTGAAGTTAGGATTCCAAAAAGGAAACCTGCCTCCGATTGTCAATATTAAGAGGATGCCAGCAAGGCTGAACCTTCCTGTAAAAGGGGGATTTAAATCAAGTCTTATGGATTTGGGATTTAAATCAATTTGCTTTAAATAAAATCAACCCTCTAGGCAACAATGGGAGTTAGTTTGGGTATGGGTGCAACCACTAAACTGAGAATATAAGACGTAATGTGATTATATGCAAAACCAATAAAAACCATTTATATAAAAAAGAGAATATAAGCTCTATGCCTATTTGCTTACCTGTCAAATATGCGCGCCTCCTTCAAGACGTTCCCCAGATTAATGTAAGCATCCAGGAAGTTGGGGTCCAGGGTCACCGCCTGAAAATATTTAAGATAATAGATTTTTGTTACTAATACAGTCATACCTCAGGTTGAAGTAGCTTCGGGTTAAGCACTTTCGGGTTGTGCTCTGTGGCGACCTAGAAGTAACAGAGCATGTTACTTCTGGGTTTTGCAGCTTGCGCATGTGCAGACGCTCAAAATGATGCCACACGCATCCACGGAAGCAACAAATCATGACCCGAGCATGTTCGCTTCAGGATGCGAACGGGGCCCCGGAATGGATCCTGTTCGCATCCAGAGGTACCACTGTATAACAGCATGGTTACTTTTAAATAAGTGGGTCAACTTTGACCTGGCTGCCTCCTACCTACCTTCCTACCTTATCTATCTACCGACTTTATCTTATTATATATCTACTTGCCTACGTATCTTATCTATCTATCTATCTATCTATCTATCTATCTATCTATCTATCTACCTACCTACCTACCTACCCTATCTACCTATCTAACTACCTACCCACCTACCTACCTACCATCTAATCCAGGTGTGGCCCAACTTGGCCCTCCAACCCCCATCATCCCTACCTAACAGGACCAGTGGTCAGAGACAATGTAAGTTGTAGTCCCAAAACAGCTGGAGGGCCAGGTTTGGCCATGCCTGAATCTATCTACCTACCTAATCAATCAATCTATCTAACTAATCTATCTATCCATCTACCAACCTTTCTTATGTATCTATCTAATCTACCTACCTAATCTACCTACCTACCTAATCTATTTATCTATCTATCTATCTATCCTAATCAAATCGAATCGAATCTACCTACCTATCATCTATCTAATATATCTATCTATGCAAGGAATATCAACTGTACGAGAAATGGTACCAACTAATGGTACTAACAGGACACTGGAGGCCCACTGAAGCTGAAAAAATGCCTCCAATTTTAATATAAAAAAGAATGGGAAACGTTGACAAAAGCAGTGCACACAGGTTAATACATTAGCAGGATTAATTTTTTTAAAAAACCCACCTGTAATGGTTAAATTTAAAGTAAGGACAGTCCCTGGTTTTACAAATCAGTCCCCATACAAAATCCATTGAAGTTGAAAAGTATCCCCAGACGCATTGAAAAAAAATCTGATAACCTTAAATTAGTGATGATGATTTTATTGAAGAAGAAGAAGAAGAGGAGGAGGAGTTTGGATTTGATATCCCGCCTTTCACTCCCTTTAAGGAGTCTCAAAGCGGCTAACATTCTCCTTTCCCTTCCTCCCCCACAACAAACACTCTGTGAGGTGAGTGGGGCTGAGAGACTTCAGAGAAGTGTGACTGGCCCAAGGTCACCCAGCAGCTGCATGTGGAGGAGCGGAGACATGAACCCGGTTCCCCAGATTACGAGACTACCGCTCTTAACCACTACACCACACTGGCTCTCCAGTGATGATAATGAATGATGATAATACAAAGGAACCAGGGGAGGCAGGGGAGGGAAGTCAAATAATCCCATAATGTGGGATTAACATTGATTGTGCATACAGTTGTTTTTTTTAAAAATATTATTTAATGTAATGATTTGGTTTTTTGTGAAAACTAAAAAAATATTATACAGTGGTAACTTGGGTTAAGTACTTAATTCGTTCCGGAGGTCTGTTCTTAACCTGAAATTGTTCTTAACCTGAACTTTAGCTAATGGGGCCTCCTGCTGCCGTTGAGCCGCCAGAGCACGATTTCTGTTCTCATCCTGAAGCAAAGTTATTAACCTGAAGCACGATTTCTGGGTTAGCGGAGTGTATAACCTGAAGTGTATGTAACCCGAGGTACCACTGTATATATTAAAAAATTGCATCCAATTTTGACAGTGTTACTACAAACCACTTCATTCAGCCCTGCAACATCTTGCGAAGCAGCGATATACTAATATGCAGCTGTTATTATGTGACATTGGTCAAGGCTTTCTGGGAAATAATACATGATGAGTTTAAAGAAAATGTTTGAAAATACATTTGTCAAAAAGCCAGAAGCCTTCTCACTAGGTATAAGACTTCTTATGTCTGCAACGACGGCAGCAAGAATGCAACTAGCCCAATGGGGCTTAGATTGGATTGTTATGAATGAAAAAAATTAGTAAAAAAATATTTCAAAAGAGAATGCTACTTGCCCAATTAATGGGGCTTAGATCGGGTTATTAATGAAAGAAATGATTAAAAAAAATCTTTAAAAGAAGAGAGAATTCTACTAACCCAATTAATGTGGCTTATATGGGATTGTTATTAATGAAAAAATTAATGAAAAAATAATTTACAAAGAGAATGTCACTTGCCCAATTAATAGGGCTTAAATCAGATTGCTATGAATGAAAATAATAATAAATTCTTCAAAAGAAGAAGAGAGAACGCTACTAGCCCAATTAATGGGGCTTATATTGGATTGTGATTAATGAAAAATTAATAAAACATTATTTAACAGAAGAAGAGAGAACGCTACTAGCCCAATTAATGGGGCTTATATTGGATTGTTATCGTTATCATTATTTTTCCAGGCCTTCCCATCTAGAGTCCAGAAACCCCGTAACAGTTACCTTCTCAAAGTGATGAATCGCCAGCCAGATTTCCCCTTGCGCATTGAACACACAGCCGAGGTTACTCCACGCCACAGCAAAGTTGGGTTGGGTCTCGATGGCTTTCAGGTAGCAGGCCTTGGGAGGGTCGAGAGGTAGGTAGGTACAGGGGGAAGGGGGTATTTGCACAAAAGAAAAGCAAGAGAAAAGTCCCAGTTAGAATCCCTCCTCTGACCGGCCAAAAGTGATCCTGCGGTAGAGGCTCGCTCGCTGGCGCCAAAACTAGCGTGCTGGCGGGTGATGCTGCGCCGGCGCAAACCAGGACCCGAGTGCAAATCCACCATTGTCAGTTATACTGACCCTTCGATATATAGCAATTCTTTCCGAGCAAGCAATTCCTCGGCCAAGGCCACTTGCAATCGGCTTCCAATACGCCGCCGTTTGGATTGCAACAGTTTGGATTGCGACACAGTTTGGATAGCATCCTGGCTGAGGTCAGATGACCTTGGGGCCGGTCTCTCCCAAATATTCTCCAGTTGTCAAAATGACAGCAGGGCCTTGGTTCTCAAACGCCGAAAACCTGGAAGGAAGCTTCAAATTCTTCTTTTACAGCAGCCTTTCTCAACCTTGGGTCCCCAGATGTTGCTGGACTACAACTCCCATAATTCCTAGCCAGCATGACCTGTGGTCAGAGATGATGGGAGGTGTAGTTCAAGAACATCTGGGGACCCAAGGCTGAGAAAGGCTGTTTTACAGGAAGGCTCAACTTTACTGGCATCCTCTTCACACGGACAAGAGGAGGTTTCATTTCGGGAGCCACAAAATCCCTGCTACTCAAACGCCGAAAACCCAGAAGGAAGGGTTAATTCTTCTTTTACAGAAAGGTTCACATGGACAATAGGGCAGTTTATGAAAAAAATTTTTTGGAAAATGTCTGCTCCAGAGGTCTTATCTTACTACACTACGGATTATATAGCTATCTCTGAAATTTCATGCATATCAGTTAATATCTTGACCCTGCTCCACTGAAAAGCATTGGGTGTTCACTAGGGCGGTTCATAAAAAACTTTATTTTGAAAATGCCTTCTCCAAAGGTACTACATGAGGGACCCTCCTTCATGAAAATAGCCGTTTTCATATATCGTGAAGGCTGAAATGTCAATTCAGTGGAGCCGGGTCAAGATATTAACTGATATGCATGAAATTTCAGATATAGCTATATACTGTAATCCCTAGTGTAGTAAGAAAATACCTTTGGAGAAGTCATTTCCCCCCCCCCCCAAAAAAAAGTTAATATGAACCGCCCTAATGGACAGGCACAGGTTTCCTTTTGGGAGTCACAAAATCCCTGCTACTCAAACACCTTGGTTCCCAAATGCCCAAACCCCGGAAGGAAGCGTTCCTGTTTCTGGAGCTTTTTGGAAGCCAGATGTCAGACGCAGCTGTCGGCGATTGTTTCTGGGGCGCCTGCACCAATCAGAAGCTGCGCCTTGGTTTCCAAACATTTTGGAAGTCCAACAGGCTTCCGGAATGGATTAAGTTTGGCGCTTTGGTTTTTGCAATTAATTTTGTGCTTTTGTTATTTCTTGTATAGTACAGTACATTATCGCTTTCATTTTATGGATCAATGGTCTTGTTAGATAGCAGAATTCGTGTTCAATGGCTGTTTTTGGACGGATCCATTTTGCATTCCTTTCCACGGGAAAGCACGCCTTGGTTTTGGAATGCTTTTGAAACTGACTTCCAGAGCGAATGAAGTTTGAGAACCGTGGTAACCAGTCGTTAAAAACTTCCCTAAAGGTTCAGCCTTGCTGGCATCCTTGGTTTTGGAACGGATTCCGTTTGAGAACCAAGGGACTACTGTAAGTAGAAATTACATTAGAAGATCCAGAATACCCCATGAAAGACACGGTCTCTCTCTTTTTAAAGAGCAAAAACTTGCCTCTCCAACCCTGAACTCACCTGTGCAGGACGCACACCTGAATGTTACTTTCACAACCTCAAATGACAGCTTTGCACAAAGGTCCCGGTCCCTGCAATGCGAGCGCGAGAAATCGCCAGCGCCCCCTAACAGCACGCCGCTCGCGCCCTCGCTGCCAACTGCCGCGCTTTGCCGCAACGCCCCTGGGTGCTATGAGTGGCCAACCAGACTGATTCATCTGCCGGACAGGCCCACGCAGAAACTCAGGGGGGTGGGGAGTCTTAAATTTGTGCCGGAAACCTCAATGCATCGCAACCCAATTTTGCCGAGAGGCCTAGAGGAGCCGCCCACATGGAGATGAATCGTCTAGTCCACCATTCACAAGGGCCCCATCACACGCCGTGCGCATTTCCGCTGCGCCGCCCTTGCGCTACCGCAGGACCACAGCGCGTCATCAGCAGAGCAGAACGCTGCAATCCAAACAAAGAAGGAAAAAGGATAAAAAATGAACCACCGGGAAGAGTTAGATACTTTTAACTAAGTCCTTTCCCAATTATCTCTTTTAAATCTTAAGGTACTTTTTTTACGTTTATTTCTCGGAAAGAAACGTGGCTAGGACTATCAATTGCTCTCTAACGTTACTCGCTCGTACAGAAAATACTTAAGCAGTTTCCGAAGCCACAAGACAGAAGATTCAGGCATGGAGCAAATGGTTTTTGTTGTGGCAGTTACAAACCCGTTACCATATTTCTCATGTGAGTTTTCGGTGCGTTCCTTCCTGGAAGAGGAGGAGGAGGAGAGTTTCTGCTTTAGATCCAGCCCTCGAGCTCCCTCTCCTTACGCATGGAAAAGGTTTCCCCCACCTGAAACCTTCTAAATGTAATATCAGTGGTGGAAAACCAAAAACGAGAGAGAAAATAAAACAAGATCATTAGTAAAAAGTTCCAACAAAGCAATCGAAAATCTCTGGGTACGTCTTAACACGGGGGGTGGAGGGGTGGGGGGCGGTTGGTCTGTATCGGGGGGGCATGCAGAAGGGAAAGGGGTTAATGGGGGGCAACAGCAAACTGGAAGAAAGGCTCCGAAACTCCCGCAACAATTGAATTTCAATTCAGGTGGTAAAGATTGTGCTGGTTTGGTCTTGCAAATGCACTGATGGCCAAAGAAATACATTGCCGTTTGTCCAGAATATACATAGATGTATCCCCCCCCCCCCCGGTTTAATGGAGTTCTCGCGAAAAACGGAATAACACTTTCAAGCTAGGCGTGTCTCTCCAGAGCTCTGAAACAAAGAAGTCAGCAACCTAAGGCAGGCGCGGTATCTCAGCTGGTGACCAGTCACGCTAGAAGCCGCGGTGGCGTGCGATTCGAGTTAGCTGTCCGCCTGGCGCTTTGGAGAAGGCGTTTGGATGCCCCTATTCAGAGTCGGCACAATGGGGCTGCCTGGAGCGGCTGCCTGCGCAATCTGCGCTTGGAATTTGTCCATTCCCAGAACCCGAGAGCGGATTCTCCTGGAAATCGGCTTTTCTCCTCTCCCCCCCCCCCCCCCCGCCCAGAACGGCAACCAGTCGGAAGCTACACTGTTGACGCACCCCACTCGAACGCACGCGCATGGGGCTGGAAGCGAAGGACCTCCGGAGCTACTCCTCGTTCCTCCGCGCCCCGGCAGCTGCGTTAAGGTGGCTTGTAACAAGGCAATTTCGGGTCCCGTTGGAAAGCCCCCCTTGGCGGAGAGCCGTTTTGGGGTTCGAATTCTCGGCTGGAAACCGGACTGCTAGAAGCCACCTTCCCACTCTCGGCCGCACGTTTTTCTTTGATCAGCTCATCTCCCGAGCAAACCAGCCACGTCACTTGACCCTTTGGACAAAGACAGATTGTTCAAAGGAAGCAAACCAGGACCAGGACTATTTGCCAGCCTTTCTTCCACTGTGGAGACGGTGGGGTGGGGGGTGGGGAGTTTAAAGAATCGTCTTTTTTTCAATGCCATATTCAGAAGGAAACATTCGATAAGGTTCTTCTCCACTTACAAGCCGCAAAGGACTTTAGAAGAGCGCCTGCTTCTCACAGGAACCACGGACTAAGTCAGCAGGCAAGCCTCAGTTTGGAAGGAATGTTTCTTTCCAGATCAGAGAATGGTGACGCCCCTGAGTCACATCACAATAGTGGGTAGTCTCGTTCTGCGGCAAGACTCAACGTCTTAAAACCAAGTATTAACGGGGGCTTGCCAGATCTGGCCCCGCAACTACGCTGGGGGAATTCAAGGCCTTCGGCTTCTCAGCCATTTCTTGGGAGTCTCGCAGGTCAGCGGAGCATCGAAGACTTGGCGCAAGCGTTCACATTCTCAAAAGACTGATGTTTTAAAACTCATTCTACAGAACACCTACCTTGGCTTCTTCCAAGCGACCCAGGGCTTTGAGCAGATTCCCCAGGTCACTACGCACGCAGTACAAGTCCTGGAAATTAAACGCATTGGGTCAGTCCCCAAAAGAGGAAATGGCAATGTCAAAAGATCATATACAGTGGGGCCTCGGTTCTTGAACAGCTTAGTTTCCGAACAACTTGGAACCCGAAGGCTACAAGCCCAGAAGGGGGAGTTCCGGTTTTCAAACTTTGCCTCAGAAGCTGAATGGGTTCCTGAGCTTCCGTTTTTACTGCTGTGCAGAAAGTTTAAGTCCCCCCCAATTGTAATTAAGGTTTTTCTCATCCTGTTTTACCCTTGCGCAGCAAATTTAAGCCCCCCCCCCCATTGGGTAATTAAGGCTTTTTTCATCCTGTTGTACCCACGCAGCTAATTCAAGTCCCGCCCCCCCCCCCCGCATTGTAATTAAATCCTTCCGTTTCTGATGGCCATGTTCTGAGGCAATATTTCGTGCTTTTGTTTTTGCTATTTTTTGCGTTTTTGTTTGTGTGGCTTTTTCACTTTTGTGACTGTGGCTTGTTTTTTCGTTTTATGATTGATTGATTGTGTGACTGCAGAAATGCATCAGAGCACCCCATCCAAACAATGACTATCATTAGTTCAGGTCAGAAAAAAATTATTTTAATTTTTATCATCTACGATAGTATTTTATTTCTTTTATACTACAGAACATTAATGATTGCTTTCATTTTATGGATCAATAGTCTCGTTAGATCAGGCATGGCCAAACTTGGCCCTCCAATGTTTTGGGACTACAATTCCCATCATCCCTGACCACTGGTCCTGTTAGCTAGGGATAATAATAATAATAATAATAATAATAATAATAGTTTTTATTTATACCCTGCCCTCCCCAGCTCAGGGAGGCTAACAAGCAATAATAAAAACAAGTTGAATGAATACAACTTAAAAACAAGATTAAAATACCACATTAAAATATTGAAACATTAAAATATTAAAATGCAGCCTCATCACAGGAGGAGAAAGGGAAAAGAAAAAAGAAAGAGGGGGAGGGAATCAAATTGGCTCCAAGCCAAAGGCCAGGTGGAACAACTCTGTTCTACACGCCCTGCGGAAAGAAATCAGATCGTACAGGGCCCTGAGAGTTGTAGTCCCAAAACATCTGGAGGGCCAAGTTAGGCCATCTCTGCATTAGATAGTAAAATGCATGTGAAATGGCGGTTTTAGGGGTTGTTTTTCAAAGTCTGGAACGGATTAATCCGTTTTGCATTCCTCTCTATGGGAAAGTGCACCTGGGTTTTGGAACGCTTTGGTTTCAGAACAGACTTCCGGAATGGATTCAGTTTGAGAACCAAGGTACCACTGTATATAGAAATTGTACAGTCTCTCATTATCTTCGTCCTTCGTATGCTTGGTTCCTTTAAACATCAGAACCTTGCGGAAACGGACAGGTCTTGAAAACACCACCAAGAATAACACAGCAGGTAGCACTCCTTTGTTGATTCAACGTGGGGACAAAGTCAGCCCCACTTAAGACCCCCAAAGCGCTGCCCCAGATTAATATATGTGGCGGTATGGACTCTGATCTTCCTGGACTGGTACCAACAACAGGGGGAAGACACAAGCAATGAAAGGAGAGTAGCATAGATGGCCAGTTTCAGGTGGACAGCCGTGTTGATCTGTCATGTTGTTGTTTAGTCGTTTAGTCGTGTCCGACTCTTCGTGACCCCATGGACCAGAGCACGCCAGGCACTGTCATATTATGACTATGATCTGTCATAGTCATAATAAATTACAGGATGAAAGATGAAAAATTCTTTTTGAATAATTCCAGTGCCACCTTAAAGATCAACTAAATATAAGCTTTCAAGGTATGAGCTTTGACCTGTTACCCCCCCCCCAAAACAGGGCTTTCCTTCCCCAAAGAAGGTCAACAACTTTGACCCAACCCCCCCAAATGGGGGTAGATCACTGCCAGTTTTTAATTCTGTAAGTAGATCACAGCCTTTTGGGAGTTGGCCACCCCTGATATACAATTAGAAGATGGGGAACGATTATGGAAAGAGGGAATTAATTTGACGGCTTGCAGTTCGCTGAAAGAAAATGCTGTGGCATCTTTTAAGGCAGAATACTCTTCCTCGGGGCAAATAGGGGTTGCCTGAGTCATGAATGAAAATGACCCCGTATTAGGGAAATGTATTCTGGCAACCTCCCTCTTACACTCTTTTGAGACTTCAACTGACTGCTTTTGACACCCTTCTGATGCAAACTGGGCACGGGGCCCTCTGACAACCAGTAACTCATCTAATAGTTGAAATAAATAAATAAAATCTGAGTATCTGACAAAGTGTATATTACACATGAAAGCTCATACCTTGTATTTAGTTGATCCTTAAGGTGCCACTGGAACTAAAAAAGATTTTTTGTCTTTCATCTTGTTATTTGTTATGATAGATGGGCAGTGTAAGCCATCACCTGGGCACTTGTTTAAGAGTGTTTAAAAACGCTCTTTCAAACAGTCAGAGCAAAAGCGACCCCGTATTTCTATGCATCAGCAAACCTGATTCAAAAAAAGACTAGGAAACTACTGAGGGGAGTTCAAGCCTTTAGACATAGGTGAAATCATTACAGCGCAGTACCACTACAGCCTCGAGAATACCTAAGAGACTTAAAAGGTAAAGGTAAAGGGACCCCAGACCATTAAGTCCAGTCGCGAACGACTCTGGGGTTGCGGCGCTCATCTTCATTTACGGGCCGAGGGATCTGGTGTGCAGCTTCCGGGTCATGAGGCCAGCAAGACTAAGCCGCTTCTGGTGAAAGCAGAGCGGCGCACGGAAACTCCGTTTACCTTCCTGCCTGAGTGGTGCCTATTGATCTCCTTGCACTCGGACGTGCTTTCAAACAGCTAGGTCGGCAGGAGCTGGGACCGCGTGACGGGTGCTCACCCTGTTGCGGAGATTCGGACTGGTCGACCTTCTGACCGGCAAGCCCAAGAGGCTGTGGTTTGCACCACAGCGCCATCCGTGTCCCACTTCCTAAGAGTCTTGGCCTTTCTGAATAAGAAGAGCCAGCTGCAAAGCTCTTGAATCTGAAAATGGAATTGCTTTCGGAATCGCACTGTTCAAACCACAACTTAAGATTTCGGAGGGGACTCAGCCTTCTCCCGGAGGAATTCAACTTACAGGGTTGTACTGCAGGGCAGAGACATAGGCCTGCACCGCTCCTTCCATGTCGCCTGCGGCAACTAAAGCAGCGGCGAGGTTGATGTATCCGTCAATGAAGTCCGGCTTGAGGCGCAGGGCATGCCGATAGTGCTCGATCGCCTCCTGCAGTTGGCCCCGTTCCTTGTACACGTTCCCCAGATTTGAGTAGGCTTCGGCCAGCAGCGGATTCTGCTTGATTGCCAAAGTGCTGAAGTGAGCAGACCTGGGGGGGGGGGGAGACACAATATCATCTGGCATTTAATCTAATAGGTACTTTCGTTTTTATATATCTATAAAATTTCCTCTTTTATAACCAATTACAATCAACAATTATTCAATTTTACATTTTACATTCTGTCCCGCCCCGCAACTTCCCTCATCTTCCATTTCTGGTTTGTTACAGACAGTGTTGTTTTCTGCATGTTGATGTACCGTATTTTTCGCCCTATAGGAAGCACTTTTTCCCCTCTAAAAATGAAGGGGAAATGTGTGTGCGTCCTATGGGACGAATGCAGGCTTTCGCTGAAGCATAGGGCGCGAGAGGGGTCGGTGTACACCGACCCCTCTCGCTCTCCAGGCTTCGCGCAGCTCTTCACAAGCCGTGGGGGCCCCGCGCGGGGGTCCCACGGCGTGCGGAGAGCTGCCTGTTCTGGGGGCTGGGGTCGGAGGCTCGGGCTTCCCCGCCCCAGCCCCGCGCCGAGGGAAATAATTTTTTTTTACTTTATTTCCCCCAAAAAATACTAGGTGCGTCCTATGGGCAGGTGCGTCCTATAGGGCGAAAAATACGGTGCTTTAAACATTGTTACCTTATCTTCCTCCATATGATAATGAAATAAAATTGTGAATGTTTATTCAAAACCTGCCAATGAATCCATTTCTTTATGTTGTTTTTGTAAACAGGTTGTAAAAGATTCCCATTCATTTTTAAAATCTCTATTGTCTTTTTCATGCAACTTATCTGTTAACTTTGCTAATTCTGCATAGTTCATTAGTTTTTCTTGCCACTGCTCTTTCGTTGGTACTTCTTCAGTCTTCCAACCTTGAGCTAATAAAATTCTTGCCGCTGTTTTAGCATACATGAATATTTTCCATTTCTCTTGTAGTTCCATTTCTCTTATAGTAGTTCATGAGCTGAGATGCCTAACAAAAAGGCTTCTCGCTTTTTAACAAATGTCATTTTTAACACTTTTTTCAATTCATTATATATCGTTTCCCAAAAGTTTTTAAGTATTTTACATTCCTACCACATATGATAAAAAGCGCCTTATCTAATAGGTACTTTCAACCCTCTTTGGTACCATCACCATCACATTATTTGATGGTGTACAGAAATCTACAGAACTTCCACACAAAACCATGATTCCTGGCTTGAGGCAAACAAATTCTGCTTGAGCAGTGGGAGAAGTAAATTGCATTTTGTGCAACCTGTCAAGATGCCCACTCTTTTCATCTGAACCCATTAGGAGTTGAACCCAGCTGATGAATGTTCAGTTTAATATTTGCATTTCTCTGCTCTCTGCCACATCCACCTGCACTTGAAACCAACACTGTCAAAAACCTTCTGAATTAGGTGCCAAAATCCCAATGGAGCAGAAAAGATTACTGATGTATGCAACCACAGCTGCTCGGATCTTAATGGTCCAAAGACAGAAAGAAGACAAAGTCCCTAGCAGAGAAGAATGGCAGATTAAGTTGATGGAACCAGGCAGAGGGCCTTCTCAGTGGTGGCACCTGCCCTGTGGAACGCCCTCCCATCACATGTCAAAGAAATAAACAACTATAGGACATTTAGAAGACATCTGAAGGCAACCCTGTTTGGGGAAGGTTTGAAGGACTGATGTTTTAATGTATTTTTAATCTTTTGTTGGAAGCTACCCAGAGGCTGGGGAAACCCAGTCAGATGGGCAGGGTAAAAATATATTATTATTATTATTATTAATAATAATAATAATAATGCCAAATTGGCAAAAATGACCGGAAGATCAGAAAACAGGAAGACCAAAATTTCAATAAGGAATGGAGGAAATATATAATTTACTATATCTTAAAAACCATTGTAGACAGCTAAAATCATGGGTAGGCAAACTAGGGCCTGGGGGCCAGATCTGACCCAATCACCTTCTAAATCCAGCCCATGGACAGTCCAGGAATCACTGTGTTTTCACTTGAGTGGAATGTGTCCTTTTATTTAAAATGCATCTCTGAGTGGGGCATAGGAATTTGTTCTCCCCCCCCCCCCCAAGGTCTGAGGGACAGTGGACCGGCCCCCGGCTGAAAAAGTTTGCTGACCCCTGCCTAAAATCATTAGCAGGATGACTATGACACTTGTAGTTTAATGTTGACTTCTGGACATAATGGAGATGTAAAAGATGTGGATTATTATAAAATATGCCAGAGAAAATGGTTAACAAAAGGACCCACAAAGGGGAGAAGGCAAGCCCAGGAGATTCTTTGGAATCTTGTTTTCATGTTGGTTGTTGGATAATCAATCGTATTTTTCCGTCTGTAAGACGCCCCCACGTACAGTGGTACCTCTGGTTATGAACTTAATTCGTTCCGGAGGTCTGTTCTTCAGCTGAAACCGTTCTTATCCTGAGGCACACTTTCACTAAAGAGGTCTCCCGCTGCGCACACTTCGCAACCAGGGGTAGCCACTTTCAGGTTAGCAAAGCTCATAACCTAAAACGTTCGTAACCGGAAGCATTTGTAACCAGAGGTACCACTGTATAAGACGCCTATTTTGGGGGACTCAGATTTAAGAATATGGGGGGAGATGGCCTAGGACAGGGATCCTCAACCTTCAGCCCTCCAGATGTTTTGGACTACAATTCCCATCATCCCTGACAACTGGTCCTGTTAGCTAGGGATCTAATTTACCAAAGGAAAGGGACCCAGCTATAGCAGCGATCGACAAACCCTCCCGGGGGTCTACCAGTAGATCATGCTGGACCTGTTGGACATCCCTGTTATAGATCATATCCCAACAGGCTTTTACTTTACTTTTTACTTTTACTATACGGCCTAGGACACTTGTACCTATGGGACCACCTCTCCTGGTATGCCCCACAGAGGACCTTACGGTCTACAAATAACAACACCCTGAAGATCCCGTGCCCCAGGGAGATTAGACTGGCCTTGACCAGAGCCAGAACCTTTTCGGTCGTGGCCCTGGCCTGGTGGAACACTCTCTCACAAGAGACCAGGGCCCTGCGGGACTTGACATCTTTTTGCAGGGCCTGCAAGACGGAGCTGTTCCACCACGGTTCAGCCTGACTCATTTTCTCTTTGTATAAGAACAAACACTAAGGAGGTTTCCCAGGCCACTCACAGGTCCTTATAATATCAGTGGAAACAGTTGATCCAGGCAAATATTAACCGCTTTCCATTTTAACCTGAGGATTGCCATTTATCCAGTCTAATCTTAATTTCAATTTATTTGAATTAATTTTAGGATGCATTTTAATCGTTTGATTGCTTGTTTTTATGTATATCGTATTCTTTATATGATTCAGGTAGGTAGATGTGTTGGTCTGACACAGTCGAAATATATATAAAAATAAAAAAGAATTGTCCAGTAGCACCTTAGAGACCAACTAAGTTTGTTCTTGGTATGAGCTTTCGTGTACATGCACACTTCTTCAGATACACTGAAAGAGAAGTCAGGGTAGTAGGAGATGGGTGATTGGCTCAATGGGTATGGTAAACCTGTTGAGGATTGTTAAGGACTGCAAATACAGTGGCACCTTGGGTTACAGACGCTTCAGGTTACAGACTTCGCTAACCCAGAAATAGTACTTCGGGTTAAGACCTTTACTTCAGGATGAGAGCAGAAATGCACGGTAGCGGCACAGCAGCAGCGGGAGGCCCATTAGCTAAAGTGGTACTGTTTTAAACAAAACCTGCCCTTATTCCCTTATGGGGTACAGAAGAGCCCTTATAGAGTCCTTTGTAGGTTTTCCATCAGTAGGAGAAAATAACAGAGGCCAATGAGAGAATATTGAGAAGTAAAGCAGTTCGAAAGCCTGATCTTTATTAAAGCTGTTGCAACAGGGTACTCCCCTCACACACAGGAGAGGTGAGGAGGACCCAGAACAAAGGTGTGCCTCCCCTTATATAGACATTTTGAAATTCCCTGCCCTGGAGCTTAAGACCACCCCCAGAAACATCATACATACATCACAGAAGGGGTGTAGCCCAAGACCACCCCCCAGATACATCATACCTACATCATAGAAAGGGCGGTCGACAACAGAAATCTGAGTGCTTTGTTTATCTCCTGTCTGCCAGGTTATCTGATAATGCCTTATCTGATTGCCTTTCCTGATAGTCTGGCCATTCCTTTGAGATGGTAATCACTTAACTCATGAGACAATGGGAAGGTTCCCTCACCCTCTCCCTCCTTGCAGAGAAACATTTGGTCAGTTTGGGAGTCAAAACGGTTTCAGGACTGTATTCCTGTGCTGCTCCAGACATGTGGTGTATATATTTATGTACATGTTTCTTTGGTACATTTATGAACATTTATTATATATCTAAGATCTTAAAATTCTTATAACAATTCCCCCCTTTGAGGATGCAATTTTTTCTTAAAAATTTTTGCCCCACAAATAATAACATGGTATGTTGTAAGTGGATGCCTTTGTGTAAATATAGGATATCACATAAAAATAACGCATGTTGCATTTTGTTACTAAATTACTTGTGGCATTCTAACACTTTGGGAGAAACATTTACTCAATAGTGGTCTATGCTTTATACACTTAGCAGGAAGGTCCACTAATGACTGAAAAATGCAGTTTGTTTTGTTTCTGCCTTTTTTGCATGTTCTCAGGCGTCAAAGTTAGCTTCACCATACCACAGCAACAACAATCCCTGATGAATCCCCTTAGGGCTTTCATTTTGGCCACATAGCCTTGTCTTTGCCTTGGCCTTTCTATGGGATTTTATTATCAAAGGCTCATGTCTTCCACTGATGGGAAATTGCTCAGGGACCAAAAAGCTAGTTGCAGCCTGGATAAAAAGGTAAAGGGACCCCTGACCACTAGGTCCAGTCGTGACCGACTCTGGGGTTGCGGCGCTCATCTCGCTTTATTGGCTGAGGGAGCTTCCGGGTCATGTGGCCAGCATAACTAAGCCACTTCTGGTGAACCAGAGTAGCGCACGGAAATGCCGTTTACCTTCCCACCGGAGCGGTACCTATTTAGCTACTTGCACTTTGAGGTGCTTTCGAACTGCTAGGTTGGCAGGAGCAGGGACCGAGCAACGGGAGCTCACCCCGTCGCGGGGATTCGAACCACCGACCTTCTGATCGGCAAGTCCTAGGCTTTGTGGTTTAACCCACAGCGCCACCCATGTCCCCTTGCAGCCTGGATACACTTGCCTTATTCAAACTGAGTCCAATTAGAATTTATATAGCCCCATGGTTTCAACTTTTCAAATCAATCTGTAAAACAAACAAACAAACAAACAAAAAACACTATTCCGGAAAAAGGGTACTTGTCCAAATTAGTCAATTTAACTCTATAAGGGATCATTCCTGCTAAACCAAGACATATATGCCTTCATGAATCTGGTGTTTCATGGATCCTGAAGCTTCTCCTTGGTAAAGCGAGTTTTAACCCGTTTAAAAATGGGTAGGGAAGGTTGGCAAAGTGCCAGGTGGGACAAGGAAATGTGGTCATAATATTGGACTACGCAATAGCCTGATCTATTAGAAAGCATAAAATGCACGAGAATCCTCCACTGGGGTGTAAACAATAAGACACCATACACTGAACATAAAAACAATTACACACAATAATTGGAAATGTGGAAATGTATGTGGAAATGACATACTGTCAGACACATTTTAGCATTCCTACATAATAACTGATACACACAACATACAAATAATCCCACACCAGTTGGATATCTTGAGGCAATCATGTGATTTTGAGACAATTCTTGCTGTTTTACATCTCTTTGACAAAATTTTTGTTAATTTGGACACAGTACTTCAGGTTAAGAACAGTTTCAGCTTAAGGATGGACCTCCAGAACAAATTAAGTTCTTAACCTGAGGTACCACTTTAGTCCTACAGGAGAAAGCAAGGAATAGTATGCAAATGATTAGCACATGTAATGAGACAGGAATCCAATATCTCTATTAAGACCAGGTCTCTCCATAGTTTGCAGTTTAATGATAAGTCAACTTATCACTAAACGGCAAATTATGGAGTTTACAACTTGCTGAATTGCAACTTATTACTAAACTGAAAACTATGGAGAGACCTGGTCTGACTAGAAATATTGGATTCTTGTCTCATTGCATAAGCTAAAGCTATTTTTGGTCATCTGCAAACCATCCCTTGCATTTTCCTGCAGGACTAATTGCAGTCGTTCACAGTTGCCAACAGGTTGACCATACCCACTGAGTCCTACTACCCTTTGGAGAAAACCCCCGCCCCACCCTCCCTCTATATATCAGGGTCTGGGGACTTCTCCTCCCTCTATATATCAGGGTCCGGGGAATCCCCTCCCTCTATATATCAGGGTCCGGGGACTCCCCTCCCTCTATATATCAGGGTCTGGGGACTCCCCTCCGTCTATATATCAGGGTCTGGGGACTCCCCTCCCTCTATATATCAGGGTCCGGGGTCTCCCCCTCCCTCTATATATCAGGGTCCGGGGACTCCCCTCCCTCTATATATCAGGGTCCGGGGACTCCCCTCCCTCTATATATCAGGGTCCGGGGACTCCCCTCCCTCTATATATCAGGGTCCGGGGACTCCCCTCCCTCTATATATCAGGGTCTGGGGACTCCCCTTCCTCTATATATCAGGGTCTGGGGACTCCCCTCCCACTATATATAAGGGTCTGGGTACTTCTCCTCCCACTATATATCAGGGTCCGGGGACTCCCCTCCCTCTATATATCAGGGTCCGGGGACTCCCCTCCCTCTATATATCAGGGTCTGGGGACTCCCCTTCCTCTATATATCAGGGTCTGGGGACTCCCCTCCCACTATATATAAGGGTCTGGGTACGTCTCCTCCCACTATATATCAGGGTCCGGGGACTTCCCTCCCTCTATATATCAGGGTCCAGGGACTCCCCTCCCTCTATATATCAGGGTCCGGGGACTCCCCTCCCTCTATATATCAGGGTCCGGGGACTTCCCTCCCTCTATATATCAGGGTCCAGGGACTCCCCTCCCTCTATATATCAGGGTCCGGGGACTCCCCTCCCTCTATATATCAGGGTCCGGGGACTCCCCTCCCACTATATATAAGGGTCTGGGTACTTCTCCTCCCACTATATATCAGGGTCCGGGGACTTCCCTCCCTCTATATATCAGGGTCCGGGGACTCCCCTCCCACTATATATCAGGGTCTGGGGACTCCCCTTCCTCTATATATCAGGGTCTGGGGACTCCCCTCCCACTATATATAAGGGTCTGGGTACGTCTCCTCCCACTATATATCAGGGTCCGGGGCCTTCCTCCCTCTATATATCAGGGTCCAGGGACTCCCTCCCTCTATATATCAGGGTCCGGGGACTCCCCTCCCTCTATATATCAGGGTCCGGGGACTTCCCTCCCTCTATATATCAGGGTCTGGGGACTCCCCTCCCACTATATATAAGGGTCTGGGTACTTCTCCTCCCTCTATATATCAGGGTCCGGGGACTCCCCTCCCTCTATATATCAGGGTCCGGGGACTTCCCTCCCTCTATATATCAGGGTCTGGGGACTCCCCTCCCACTATATATAAGGGTCTGGGTACTTCTCCTCCTCTATATATCAGGGTCCGGGACTTCCCTCCTCTATATATCAGGGTCCGGGGACTCCCTCCCTCTATATATCAGGGTCCGGGGACTCCCTTCCTCTATATATCAGGGTCTGGGGACTCCTCCCACTATATATCAGGGTCCGGGGACTTCCCTCCTCTATATATCAGGGTCCGGGGACTCCCTCCTCTATATATCAGGGTCCGGGGACTCCCTCCCTCTATATATCAGGGTCCGGGGACTCCCCGTCCTCTATATATCAGGGTCTGGGGACTCCCCTCCCACTATATATAAGGGTCTGGGTACTTCTCCTCCCACTATATATCAGGGTCCGGGGACTCCCCTCCCTCTATATATCAGGGTCTGGGGACTCCCCTTCCTCTATATATCAGGGTCTGGGGACTCCCCTCCCACTATATATAAGGGTCTGGGTACTTCTCCTCCCACTATATATCAGGGTCCGGGGACTTCCCTCCCTCTATATATCAGGGTCCGGGGACTCCCCTCCCTCTATATATCAGGGTCTGGGGACTCCCCTTCCTCTATATATCAGGGTCTGGGGACTTCCCTCCCTCTATATATCAGGGTCCGGGGACTCCCCTCCCACTATATATAAGGGTCTGGGTACTTCTCCTCCCTCTATATATCCGGGTCCGGGGACTCCCCTACCTCTATATATAGGGGTCTGGCGACTCCTCCCACTATATATAAGGGTCTGGGTACGTCTCCTCCCACTATATATCAGGGTCCGGGGACTTCCCTCCCTCTATATATCAGGGTCCGGGGACTCCCCTCCCTCTATATATCAGGGTCTGGGGACTCCCCTTCCTCTATATATCAGGGTCTGGGGACTCCCCTCCCACTATATATCAGGGTCCGGGGACTTCCCTCCCTCTATATATCAGGGTCCGGGGACTCCCCTCCCTCTATATATCAGGGTCCGGGGACTCCCCTCCCTCTATATATCAGGGTCCGGGGACTCCCCTTCCTCTATATATCAGGGTCTGGGGACTCCCCTCCCACTATATATAAGGGTCTGGGTACTTCTCCTCCCACTATATATCAGGGTCCGGGGACTCCCCTCCCTCTATATATCAGGGTCCGGGGACTTCCCTCCCTCTATATATCAGGGTCTGGGGACTCCCCTCCCTCTATATATCAGGGTCTGGGGACTCCCCTCCCACTATATATAAGGGTCTGGGTACTTCTCCTCCCACTATATATCAGGGTCCGGGGACTTCCCTCCCTCTATATATCAGGGTCCGGGGACTCCCCTCCCTCTATATATCAGGGTCTGGGGACTCCCCTTCCTCTATATATCAGGGTCTGGGGACTCCCCTCCCACTATATATAAGGGTCTGGGTACTTCTCCTCCCTCTATATATCAGGGTCCGGGGACTCCCCTCCCTCTATATATCAGGGTCTGGGGACTCCCCTCCCACTATATAAGGGTCTGGGTACTTCTCCTCCCTCTATATATCAGGGTCCGGGGACTCCCCTCCCTCTATATATCAGGGTCTGGGGACTCCCCTCCCACTATATATAAGGGTCTGGGTACTTCTCCTCCCTCTATATATCAGGGTCCGGGGACTCCCCTTCCTCTATATATCAGGGTCTGGGGACTCCCCTCCCACTATATATAAGGGTCTGGGTACGTCTCCTCCCACTATATATCAGGGTCCGGGGACTTCCTCCCTCTATATATCAGGGTCCGGGGACTCCCCTCCCTCTATATATCAGGGTCTGGGGACTCCCCTTCCTCTATATATCAGGGTCTGGGGACTCCCCTCCCACTATATATAAGGGTCTGGGTACTTCTCCTCCCTCTATATATCAGGGTCCGGGGACTCCCCTCCCTCTATATATCAGGGTCTGGGGACTCCCCTCCCACTATATATAAGGGTCTGGGTACTTCTCCTCCCTCTATATATCAGGGTCTGGGGACTCCCCTCCCACTATATATAAGGGTCTGGGTACTTCTCCTCCCTCTATATATCAGGGTCCGGGGACTCCCCTCCCTCTATATATCAGGGTCTGGGGACTCCCCTCCCACTATATATAAGGGTCTGGGTACTTCTCCTCCCTCTATATATCAGGGTCCGGGGCCTCCCCTTCCTCTATATATCAGGGTCTGGGGACTCCCCTCCCACTATATATAAGGGTCTGGGTACGTCTCCTCCCACTATATATCAGGGTCCGGGGACTTCCCTCCCTCTATATATCAGGGTCCGGGGACTCCCCTCCCTCTATATATCAGGGTCTGGGGACTCCCCTTCCTCTATATATAAGGGTCTGGGTACTTCTCCTCCCACAATATATCAGGGTCTGGGGACTTCCGCTTCAGTGTATCTGAAGAGGTCTGCCTGCGCACAACAGCCAAGTGTTGTTATTATTATTGACTACAAGTATTAAGAAGATGTCAATCATGGAGGCACAGGTCTGTAATCCTTTTTTAGGAAAAGGTTCAGCTTTGCTGGCATCCTCTCAATATGGACAAGCAGAGGAAGGTTTCCTTTTGGGAACTATAAAATCACCCATCTCCTATTACCCTTCTGAGAAATACCCCACCCCACCCTCCCACTACATATCAAGTCTGGGGACTTCTGTTTCACTGTATCTAGAGAAGGGCGCCTGCACACGAAAGCTTCAACCAAGAACAAACTGAGTTGGTCTCTAAGGTGCTACTGGACAATTTTTTTATTTTTTTTATTTATCTTTGGCTATTTTTGGTCATCTGCATACTCTCCCTTGCATTTTCCTATCGGACTAATTGCAGTCGTTTACAGTTGCCCACAGGTTGACTGTACCCATTGAGTCCTACTCCCCTTTGGGGAAAAACCCTGCCCCACCCTCCCACTATCTATCAGGGTCTGGTTAATAATAATAAATAATAAACTTTTATTTGTATGCCGCCCTCCCCGTCCGAACCTGGGCTCAGGGAGGCTAACACCAAATATGTAACACTGGTATAAAATCAAGCAATAACGAAATTATCTCCTGAAAACAAGTCAGGATCAAATTCAAATCCAATTAGATGGCTTTCCGCAGGATTAGGGTTGGGAACAGTAAACGCTCGTCAGGCCCAACTGTTTGCGCTGCTCTTATATGGACCTGTGAGAACGCTGGGAGGCCTCTTTCATACTAGACTTCGGTTTCTGTGTATCTGAAGAAGGGCACATGCCGACGTAAAGCTTAGACCCAGAACAAACTGAGTTGGTCTCTAAGGTGCCACTGGACCATTTATTTTATTTTATTATTTCTATGATGTTAGCCCAGGGTTCCTCAACCTCGGCCCTCCTGCTGTTTTGAAACTACAATTCCCAGCATCCCTGACCACTGGTCCTGCTAACTAGGGAGTTGTAGGCCAAAAAACATCTGAGGGCTGAGGTTGAGGATGCCTGATAGCCACTCTGAGCCCAGTTTCGGCAGGGGAGGGTGGGATACAAATGAAATGTATTATGGTTTTATTATTATTACTTTGAAAGGCCCCAACCTCCTACCTGTCCAGCCTGCGACACTGGAAGTGAATGGATGAGAGCAGCAACAGGACGCCGGTGTTGTCGGGCTCCTGTCTCCACAGTTGCATGCAGTGCCTCTCAGCCGCTTCAAAGTCTCCTGCCTGGTACTCCCGGTGAGCCAACTCTGCCAGCCCTTGGAAGGAAAGCAGACGTTTTGTTGGTTCTGAAGGATCACCAAGACATTTGGAGGGGGGAAACAAAAAGTTAGAAGAGGGGAGGCAAAAGAGGACAGATGGCAGTGTGCAAATAAAAAGGTGAAATGCTTGGCGTGATGCAAAACCCTAAGGGGGTCTGCCAGGCGAGCACAAACAGATCAGCTATATGTCAAAAGCAGGGGTCAGCAAACTACAATTCCCATCATCCCTGACCCTTGGTCCTGTTAGCTAGGGTCGATTGGAGTTGTAGTCTCCAAACAGCTAGAGGGCCAAGTTGGGCCATGCCTGATCTAGAGCAGTGGCAGCCAAACTTGGCCCTCCAGCTGTTTGGAGACTACAGTGCCCATCATCCCTGACTGCTGGTCCTGCAAGCTAGGTATGATGGGAGTAGTAGGCCAAAAACATCTGAAGTGCCAAGTTTGAGGAAGCCCGCTTTAAGGTATAATCTGGTGGAAGGAAGGCGCGATCATGTTGGGCGCCTTCTGACCTTCTTTGACATAGAAGCATTGGGAAGAGGGCAACAGGAATGAGCTGCATGTAGGCAGCTGGGGAAGCCATACAGGCTACACCAGCGGTCAGCAAACTTTTTCAGCAGGGGGCCGGCCCACTGTCCCTCAGACCTTGTGGGGAGCCGGACTATATTTTTGGGGGGGGGAGGGAATGATGGGTGGGGTAGAAATAATAAATTATTATTATTATTATGAACTGGGCCTGAGTCTGGGCTGGGGAAACTGAGCCATATGGGTGGGGTAGAAATAATAAATTGTTGTTGTTGCTGCTGCTGCTGCTGCACATCTCATAGAAAAGTATGCTAAGAAACTGTGTGGTGGGCTTTACGCAGCCTTCATCGATTTGAAAGCTTCATTTGACTCAATTTTGTGAGTGAAACTCTGGGATAAGTCGAACTCCCCAAGTAAACACAAAAGACAACTGTGCTTGATTAAATGCTTATATCAGGGATCAGCAAACTTTTTTCTGCAGGGGGCTGGTCCACTGTCCCTCAGACCATGTGGTGGGCAGGACTATATTTGGGGGGGGGGGAATGAACAAATTCCTATGCCCCACAAATGCATTTTAAATAAAAGCACATGTTCTACTCATGTCAAAAACACCAAGCAGGCACCACAAATCACCCAGAGATGCATTTTAAAGAAAAGCACACATTCTACTCATGTACACACACTGACCATCCGATGGCAGGATTGAGAAGGTGATTAGGACGCATCCAGCCCCTGGCCCTTAGTTTGCCTACCCATGGTCAAAAGGATCAGTCACCTTTCATTTCATTCAATCCCTTCCAGTGCCATAAAATCCTAGAATTCTAGAGTTGGAAGAGTCCTCTAGTCCAAATGCCAAAATTCAGGAATCTGAACATACAGCCCACCCCAACCAATTTGATACTAAACCAGATAGTGTTCGAAACTCAGATATATAAGCTAGGCGCCAAATGGCTCCTTAGACCAAAGTTGCAGTCAACAAATCGGAACGTCTAGTTCTCATTTGGGGGCAAAAAGGCTCCAAAGTCTTATTTTTCAAACGATGGATTGACAGTGATTGATTCTGAGCTGAACATTTGGCTTGTTCAGATGACAATCTTGAGCTAGGTGAAGATCTTTGAGAATTGAAAGAAAAAAAGCCATATATATACAGGCCCATTCCAGCCTCTTTTTCTTAAGGGCAACTGCTCCTACTCAGGGTAGATAAAAATCAATGATTTAAAAAATAAAATAAAAATCAGACTTTTAAAATAAAATGCTTTTGGAGGAAAAATCTTTCTGAAGATAGTTTTCTATTTAAGTCATAGTCCAAAGGCTATAAACTTAGACTGAAGGAAATAAGGATTTGTTTTAAGATTTTCATGTGTGCTAAAACTCAGTCTAAGGTTGTTGTTGTTTTTATTTTTAAAAAAAGTTAACCGCATCAGTTAACAAACATGGATACATATGCTACCATGTTATTTTTTAGTTGTTTAAATTGTTATGAAGGAAATGTTTTTCTCTCCTTCCAATCAAGTACAGCAGAAAAGTTGTCCAAATATAAACCATTAACTCATGAAACCTCACCATGATTTGGTTCCTCATCATAATTATTGGTCTATGTATTTCTAATAGTAGAACCAAATCAGTCATTTTAGATAGAACTGTAAAAAGGACTCTGAAAAGTTATTATTCCAAAAATGAAGCCTTCCTCCCCATTGTCAATATTAAGAGGATGCCAGCAAGGTTGAACCTTTCTGCAAATAAAACACATTTTATCACTCCAAAAAGAAAACCTTCCTCCACTTGTCAATAATAAGAGCAGGGGTAGGCAACCTTAAAGATCAACTAAACATAAGCTTTCAAGGTATGAGCTTTCATGTGTAATACACACTTCATCATATACTCTGAAGCAGACTTTTGCCATAAAAGATGTAACTCACAGCTGACGCACATTTCACCTGCACACATTCAGCTTGACATGCTTGGCTAATAATAGTAAGCCACTCTGGACAGCTTCCAACAAAAGATTAAAAATACTTTTAAATATCAGTCATTTAAAACTTCCCGGAATTAAAAAAAATTAAAGGGCCATGTGCCTTTGGCGATCCCACTCTCCATCGTCCCCAAGGTGGATTCACAAGATGCCGTTTGAGCAAACGTAACCCCCAAGCTAAGTTGAGAATTGCCTGTATACACAGAATTTTTCGTTTGGACACTTTGAACCGTTTTCCAACCAAGATCAAAAAGTTCTAGTGGTTGACATTAGGACATATAGCAAATACTGACCACCAACTCGTCTCTTTCTTCCAGGCAATGTAAAGGGACATCAATCCCCACCCTTTGAGTTTTAAGTGACTGATGTTTTAATGTACCGTATTTTTCGCTCTATAGGACAGACTTTTTCCCCTCCAAAAATGAAGGGGAAATGTGTGTGTGCGCGCACACGCATCCTATGGAGTGAATGCAGGCTTTCGCTGAAGCCTGGAGAGCGAGAGGGGTCGGTGCGCACCGACACCTCTCGCTCTCCAGGCAGCTCTCCAGGCAGCTATCCGCAAGCCTTTGGAGAGCTCCGAAGACTTGCGGATAGCAGCCTGAAGCCCGGGGAGCGCAGCGCCAACTCCCACTGCACTCCCCGGGCTTCAGGCAGCTATCCGCAAGACTTCTGAGTGCGGTAGGAGTTCCCGCCAGGCTCCGAAGGCTTGTGGATGGCAGCCTGCAGCCTGGGGAGCGCAGCATCAACTCCCGCTGTGCTCCCCGGGCTTCAGGCAGCTATCCACAAGCCTGAAGTCCCCAGCCCCACAAGCTCTGGGAGCAAAGGCAAGGTTGCCGCTCCCCGACCCGTTTTGGGGTCGGGGGAAGCTCGTGCTTCCCTCGCCCCCAGCCCTGCAAGCTCGCGCAGCCTCTCCCGGCTGGAGAGGTTGCGCACGGCTAAAGAGGAAGCCAAGACAGCGAGCAGGATGGATCCTGCTCGCTGTCTTGGCTTCTTTGCTCTTTGGGGCTGGGGGTTTTTTTTTTATCCCCCCCCCAAAAAAAAACTAGGTGCGCCTTTGGAGCAAAAAATACGGTCTTTTTAATCTTCTGCTGGAAGCCACCCAGAATGGCTGGGGAAACCCAGCCAGATGGGCAGGGTAGAAATAATAAATTATTATTACGATTATTATACCTATATTCTCTGCTGCTCCTGGGAGGGGCTTTGTGGAACCCCTGACTGCAACTGTGTTTCAAATATGTCTGTTTCTTTTGTTCAAAAACCAAAGGAACCACACACTACAGTTCAGGCTTCCTCAAACTTGGCCCTCCAGATGTTTTGAAACTACAATTCCCATCATCCCTGACCACTGGTCCTGCTAGCTAGGGATCATGGGAGTTGTGGGCTAAAAACATCTGGAGGGCCGAGTTTGAGGAAGCCTGCTGTAGTTAAATGAGAATATGCAATGAGCAGATGGCTTCTTAAGGAGTTAGGACCATCACCTCTATCATTCAGGCTGGATGTAATCTTGCACAACATCGACTTCTCTGTAATTTTCCTTTCAAGCCGGCTACTTATTACGAGGTCAGTAAACAAGATCAGCAGAGCAGGTTGACACCTAGAGCTGAATTTCAACTGCGTGGACCTATTTTTTTATTTTCTTGTGCTGCCAATGACCAGGCACAGCACTCGAGTATGAGCTGAGATTTAGACTACATCACATTCACATGTCACACTACCTACATAGGGCCTTTGCAAGTAAACCACCCAGGGCCGGATTTACGTATTAGCTCAACAAGCTCTAGCATAGGGCCCCCCTCTCTTGGGGGCCCCCAAAAAATTAAAGGAAAAAAACCTGGATGTACATTTCCAAAATATAAGATAAAAAACGAATAAAATAAAACTGACACACAACAACAGTGCTTGGTGGTGTGTCGGCTCCTATTTGTGATGTGCAAATGGCTTTAGATACCTATCAGGTCCATAAGTTACCATACAGCATGTATTCAACACAAAAAACAGCAACAATTTGTTGTTGACAAAGGACAGCTGGACACAGAAAGGGCCCCATTACCTTCAGTTGCTTAGGCCCTCATCAAACCTAAATCCGGCCCTCTATCTATCATCAATCATCTATTTAATCTATCTATCAATCTATTATTTATCTATCATCTATCTTATCTATTTCTTTCTCTATGCCAGTGCTGGATTTACATATAAGCTAAACAAGCTCTAACTTAGGGCCCCACTCTCCTGGGGGGCCCCAAAAAAATTAAAGGAAAGAAACCTGGACGTACATTTCCAAAATAGAAGGTGATTAATCTGAGTTTTCTGGGAAATTTTGAATGCAAAGGTTTTCCAGTGCCCCAAATCTACTAGGAGCTGAGAACACCTGAGTTTCGTACAGCACTATACAGTACATGCTTGCTGTGGATAATGATCTCCAAAAAGTGAATCTGAACTGCCTCATGTGGTTGACATCCATTCATTCTACTTCCTCTTTACAAAGCAATGCATTTTTAGAAATGGAAATTTCTCTAAGGAAAATAACAAAACGGTAAAAAAATTCCATCCCGCTTTGCCGGTCCACAATAGAGGTAGGAACAAAGAGGTGCAGCTTGGGGTGGAGAGAAAAAACAAACACTAATGGTATCCAAATACTAGATCATGGGTAGGCAAACTAAGGCCCAGGGGCTGGATCCAGGCCAATCACCTTCTCAATTTGGCCTGTGGACTGTCCGGGAATTAGCATGTTTTTACATTAATAGAATGTGTCTTTTTATTTAAAATGCATCTCTGGGTGATTTGTGGGGCATAGGAATTCGTTCATTCCCCACCCCCAAAATTTTTTTTAGTCCCCCCTCCCCCAGGTCTGATGAACAGTAGACCGGCCGTCAGCTTAGAAAGTTTGCTGATCCCTGGACTAGATTGTGCAACTGTCTTTCCTCAATAAACCAACAGTCTTCAGCCAGGTAATTTAGGATATTCAGATTTTTTTGGGGGGGGGGGTGAACCAGCAACCCCAGATGAGCAGATCTAAGAAGTGTAAATCTGCTTATCTATTTGCCCCAGGGGGTGGTTTGGTCAAGCTGGGTTCCAGGGCTGCAGATAGGCACAGAGGTTGCCCGCCCACCCCAACAAACAGCTGCTACCCAGCCTAGTGACTGTATTTTTCCGTGTATAAGACTGTATTTCCCCCCAATTTCTTTAATTCTTGATTTCCTCGACATCTGATGGGAGGGCATTCCACAGGGCGGGTGGCCAACACCAAGAAGGCCCTCTGCCTGGTTCCCTGGAAAGGCCCTCTGGAAAGGAACCCTGGCCTCCAGGGTGGAGACGTTCTTTCAGGCCTACTGGGCATAGGTTCTATAGGCAAAGTGAACTCAACACAGGCTCTCTTTGTGCATCACCCGCGTCAAAACATGCGTGAAAGAGAGAGAGAGCAAACAATAAGAGAGCGGAAAGAAGCAAGAGCGCCTCTCCTACTCCTATTTATTTGGCTTAGTGAAAAGAAGATGATCCCCTAAAAAGTAAGATTTGCAGCCAGACAAAATGGGTATTTTAATATTTTGCTGGGAGCCGCCCAGAGTGGCTGGGGAAACCCAGCCAGATGGGCAGGGTATAGGTTAAGCATCCCCAAACTCAGCCCTCCAGCTGTTTTGGGACTACAACTCCCATCATCCCTAGCTAACAGGACCAGTGGTCAGGGATGATGGGAATTATAATCCCAAAACAGCTGGAGGGTCAAGTTTGGCCATGCCTGGTATAGGTGAAACTGACGGGGAAGAATCCAGAACCAGCAAGCCTTCCACAAAGACTGGAATAAATTTACATTACATTTGAAAGACAACTGTAAGCAATCAACATCATTAGCAGGGTGATCTGAAGATTTGCCGGAAGAAACTGGGATGGAATTCAGGATGCATAATGGAATAACTTCGGGAATGACATCACAAGAATAGGAAAGGACGTGAAATGCATAGAAGGTAAAATGGAAGTTTGTAAAAACCATCGGGTGGAAGGGATGCTCAGCAGAGCCAAAGAGATTTGATACGAGGACATGAGGTCATGCAATGTGACTGTATGTCAAATGAATAAAAAATATTATTATTTTTAAAAAGGAGATGGGCGGGGTATAAATAATTAATTTATAATCATCACCATCAATTGTTGTTGTGGTTGTCACTAGACCAGGCATAGGCGAATTCCAGATGATTTGAGGCCACAATTCCCAGCATCCCTGGCCACTGGTCCTGTTAGCTAGGGATGATGGGAGGTGTAGTCCCAAAACAGCTGGAGGGCCTCAGCCTCCGGGGGTAGCCAAGGCGGCGCCACCCGCCACACCCCCCACCGCGGGCCGGCCCTCTCCCCGTCGGGAGCCAAGCCTGCGTACCTTCCCCCCCCCCCCGGCCTCCTCCTCCTCCTCAGTCCGACCCCGACGGAGAGGCTCCTTCGCCGCTCTGCGCCCTTTCGGAGCCCAAAAGGCGCTCGGGCCTACCGGGCCCAGGCCGGCCGCCTGAGGGGAAAGACCTCCGTCACATCCGGGGACTCGCGCGCGCCTCGTGGCTCTCCCCTGAGGGGCTAAGCACCTCCTTCTCCTCCAGTACCTGTGCTGTCGGCAACGTTGCCCACGGAGGCTGCCATGGCTCCGGCGACTCAGCTCCCCGTCCGGCAGCGGCAGCGGCAACTTGCGAAATGGCGGTCGGGGCGCGCGCGGAGAAAAGCGCTAGGCGGACCGGATCTCCTTTCGACAATGTAGTCCCACCGCTTCCCGCGCCTCGGGGGGGGGCGGCGCGCTTCTCTGCCGCCGGATGAGAAATTGAAAAGAAGAAGGGAGGCGAGACGCCGAAGTATCCAGGGCTAGAGAAGCCGAAACGGCTGCCAAGAACCGAGGGCGTTCGCGTGTATCCCTCCTCCGCGAGAAAGCCAACACACTGCAGTAGATTGGGAGGCGCGCATGCGCACTGGAGTACACTCGGCGCCTCACCTAAGGAAATGCGCGCGCTCCGTCTGCTGGCGCGCATGCGCTCTGAAGGACACTCGCCTCCGCGAAAGAAATGCGCGCGCTCTATCGGCTGCCGCGCACGCGCTCTGGAGGACACTCGGCTCGCCTCAGCGAAAGGCTGAGGGGTGCCGCGCGCAAGGGCCGGCGGGAAGGGGGGGGAAAGGGCGGGAAAGCGATGGCCGAGGGCTGAGGCAAATCAAGATTCATTCATTCGTATTGTTGTTTTGTTGCGATGGGCGAGGGCTGACGCAAAGATTTATGCATGCATTCATTCATTCATTAAGTGATACATTTTTGATAGTCATTCAGTGCCTCTTTCGATTACAGTATTTCTGGAAAATTGGAAATTTCATATGTCGGTCCCACTGTAGCTGCAGACTTCCAGCAGATTATGGTCTGGGTCTCAGAATAAACGATTTTATGGGGCCAAGCGCCCCAGTTGTGGCCGCTAGGCCTTCTTCAATGCTGACCCCACAAACCAGTAAGAAAGCGAATTTCGGGGGGGGGGGAGGCTGAAATTCCATCAAGGGCCATTCACAACATCACAATAATAATAATAATTTTTCCAACGCCTTTTTTAAAAATAGATTTTAAGTTTTACAACTATTCCATTCATTGTTAAAAATAACACTTAAAGTTAAAAAAACCCCACAAGAAACACCAGAACCTGATAGTAAGATTCAACATCTAATAACAATAACAAAAATGTTATTTAAAATAAATTTTATTTTTTTTTAAATAAATTTTAAAAATCCAATTTTAAAAAAGAATTCATTGCAGCCCCTACCCTAACTGTTCCACCAGCTGTTCCAGAGGCATCTCTTGTGACAAGGCTGATGTCCAAAGATCGAGGGGTCGGCCCGTGGGCTCTGGATTCAAATCCTTCCCCACCCAGAGGTTGAACTTCTGGTGGCTAAAATGCAGAGCTGGGCAGTTTCCCTGCGAATTAATTCATTTTCACCTCTCTTTTTTTTGTTGTTTGTCAAAAAAACGCAATAAAGATTTTTAAAAAATAATTTTACTCTCGATTCTGTGTATTTTTTCTTTCTTTTTCTTTTATCAGTATGTTCTGTCCTATTCTTTTCATTTCCATTTTTTCCTTAAACGCATTACTTTATTTTTGGTATACATGGGTGTAAGGATTAATTCATTTTCACCCTTTAGGACGGTTAAAAGGTAAGGGTAAAGGGACCCCTGATCATTAGGTCCAGTCATGGCCGACTCTGGGATTGCGGCGCTTATCTTGCTTTATTGGCCGAGGGAGCCAGTGTACAGCTTCCGGGTCATGTGACCAGCAGGACTAAGCCACTTCTGGCGAACCAGAACAGCGCATGAAAACGCCGTTTACCTTCCCGCTGGGGAACTGCTAGGTGGGCAGGAGCAGGGACCGAGCGCAACGGGAGCTCACCCCGTCGCGGGGATTCGAACCGCTGGCCTTCTGATCAGCAAGTCCTAGGCTCTGTGGTTTAACCCACAGCGCCACCCGCTGTGTTTCTAAAAAAATATTTTAAAAAATGCACTAAGGATTCTTTTTAAAAAAAGGATTTTGCTCTCTAAAGAGACCGTCAATCCCTCAAACAAAAGCAATCTTTTATATTATTTTCCTTATCCCTTTTTTCTTAAACAAAATTACTTTATTTCTCGCGTATGTGGGTATAAGGATTAATTTATTTTCACTTTTTTGTTATTGTTTGTAAATTTTTAAAAAATGCAATAGACTATTTTGTAAAAAAATAATAATTTTGGTCTCTAATGAGACCGTCAATCCGTCAAACGAAAACAATCTTTTATATTCTTTTTCTTTTCCATCTTTTCTTAAATGCATTACTTTATTTTTTATATATGTGGGATTAATTTATTTTCACGTTTTTTTGGTTATTGCTTAAAAATTAAGAAAAAATGCAATAAATTTTTTATTTTACTTTTAAAAAGAATTTGCTCTCTAATTTTGCTCCCTAAAACAAAAGCGATCCTCCATGGACCATACTATAAAATAAAAAAATCTTGGGAGATGATAAATGGGTGGCCATTCCCATCACCTGAAAGGAAACGATTTCCATGCCCAGGACCCACATTTTTTAAAATGAAAATCGGATTTTTAAAATGCAAAGAGGTGTTTTTTAAAAAAATATTAAATTGGTTTTTAAAGATTTTTTTTGAAAACTGCCATTTGAAGGTGAATTATCCTCTAACGAGACCGCTGATCCCTCAAACAAAAGTGATCCTCCAGAGACCGAGCTATAAAATAAATAAAATTTTGTACATCCCTAATCGCTATCCTAAACCCCTATCCCTATCCGTAACCCCTAGTCCTAGCCCAGTTAGCGCGGAGAAAAGCGTGCCGTCAGCGATCGGAGGGGGCGAGGGAGGGGGCTGCCGAGGCTTACAGCGGATAAAAACGGGGCCAGACCTTGCTGGGGGCTAGAGGAGGCGCGCCGGGGTCGCGGGGGCGAGCGCGGAGCGTGGACGTTGCAGGCCGCTAGCCATCTACGCGCCCTCGCCGCTGAGTCGCACGGCGCGCCTCTCCATCCCTCCTGGCTCCCCATTCTGGATGCGCCCGGCTCGGGGGCGGCGCGGGGCTAGCCGCTCCCGTGGGGGGAGGCAAGGAGGGACGAGCAGCGGCGGCAGCGGCAAATCCTAGGCTGCCGCGCGGGCGCGCTCGCTTTGGAGAGGACCGGTAGGAAAGGTGGGACCGGACGCGCGTTTGGCGCATCCAAAAGGAGAGAATTCGGTGGGGGCGGGGGTTGGGGCATATGAACCCAAACCGGTGTGGAGCGGGGGTAGCGGCTCCAGTAGGAGGAGGGCCGAGGCGGGATGAGCACCCGCGGCGGTTCCTAGGGTGCCGCTTGGGCGCGCTCGCTTTGGAGAGGACCAGCCGCTGGCAAGGTGGGAGCGGACGCGCGTCTGGCGCAGTCAGGCGCCGCAGGATCCGAAGGGAGAGAATTCGGAGTTGCTGGGTGGGTGCGGGGCGGCGGCGGAGCATGTTGACCCAAACCGGCGCCCCCTCGGTCTTCCCCAGCTCTTTCCCACGGGGTCTTTTGCGCCGCAGGATGCCAGGAACTCTCTGCCCCACAAGTCCTGGGTGGAACCCCGAGCTGTGGGAGCAGTTCCTCGAGGGGGCAAGAAAGAAAGGCACCCCAAGCTCGCCGCCATTCACACGCGCGCTGCACCCTTTCGCCTGCCCGGAGTCTGTGCGCGCGTCAGGGCGTTCCGACGGATGCGGCCGCATCCTGCGCAAGGAACCAAGCGACCCGAGGCGGGGAGCCGCTTGGGACGCGGCGCAGAATCCCCTCTTCTTGGGAGACTCGGCCCTGTGTAGATCACACGTGACGACGGGACACGTGGCTCTTTTGCAGGCCGGCTCAAGGCGGAGGGCAGGGTGGGGGTGGCTGAATCCGCGTGTGCTGAATTATTTTTATTCATAAACTTAATAATGCAAACCCATTGGGCAATAACAAAAGTTCCTTTAGAAACACCATTTACAAAGACTCTTAGTTTACTCTCTAGAAATGTGCTGTAACATGAAAGAATAATAGATGATCTATGAGGCAAATGACTAATAATTCTAAATATCTTTATTAATGTGGAATTAAGTGTTATAACCTGTACAATGCAATTGTAGTTAATACAAGGCAGTTTCCTATTTGGAATAATAATAATTTATCATTTCTACCCTGCCCATCTGGCTGCATATCCCCAGCCACTCTGGGCGGCTTCCAAAAAAATATTAAAATACAATAGTCCTTCACATATTAAAAGCTTCCCTAAACACAGCTTCCTTCAGATGTCTCCTAAAAGTCTGGTAGTTGTTTTTTTTGTTTTTTCCTTTGACATCTGGTGGGTGGGCGTGCCACTACAGAGAAAGCCCTTTGCCTGGATCCCTGTAACTTCGCTTCCCGCAGTGAGGGAACTGCCAGAAGGCCCTTGGCGCTGGAATAATAAAATAATAAATAAAATAAATAAATAAACAAAAAGGAATAATAAAAGCCTTTTTTACAGAAAGGTTCGGCCTTGCTGGCATCCTCCGAATATTGACAAGCAGAGTGAGGTTTGATGGCATTTTTTTATATAGTATCAATATCACCATTGTAGTCCACACTGTTCATGGGGACAGCAGACCTTTGTGTCCTTGTGACACTTAGTGAGTGTAAAATATGGTATTTCTAGTAATATGTCCCATTCATAAATAATGCCAATACTATACACGCCTGTCCATAAAAAAATTATTCAACAGGACTAATTATATTAATGCATCTACCCAATACCTATTCAATTGTATAATTTTATTGCAATTCATTGTACTGTATACTGTGTATACAAACAGCACACAAACATGATCTAAATTACAATACTTTTATTTGTTTTTTTATCTTATATTTTGGAAATGTGCATCCAGTTGTTTTTCTTTTAAATTTTTCCGGGGACCCCCCAAGAGAGTGGGGCCCTAAGCTACAGCTTGTTGAGCTTATACATAAATCCAGCACTGGCTGATGGCTGACGCAAATATTCATTTGTTCATTCAAACGGCCTGCGGGTCGCAGCATCTGGCCGCCCTAATGCCTCTTCTCTGGCTGGTTCTTTTTCAGGTGAGTAGGAAATGGCCTTGGCAGACCCCGGCGGTGGCAGCGCCCAACCTGGCTCAGACTTCCCGGAGATTGTGGAGCTGAACGTTGGCGGTCAAGTCTACCTGACTCGCCGCAGCACTCTGCTGAGCGTCCCTAACTCGTTGCTCTGGGAGATGTTTGCCCACAATGGTGCCCGGCCCTTGGCCCGCGACAGCAAGAACCGCATCTTCGTCGACCGAGATGGCTTCCTCTTCCGCTACATCCTCGACTACATGAGAGACCGGTGCCTCGTGCTGCCGGAAAACTTCCCGGAGAGGGGCCGGCTGCGGCGCGAAGCCGAGTACTTCCAACTCCCTGAGCTGGCCCGGACATTGGCGCCCAAAACTGGCCAGCAGGACTCAGACGAGGAGGGCCAAAGTGACTCCGAGGATCTTTCCCCTGGGCCTGACGCCCCAGGAATCTTGCCTGACGGACAAAGCACAAGGATACCCGGCTTCATCACCATCGCCTACCGGGGCTCGTACGCCCTGGGCCGGGATGGCCAGGCAGACGCCAAATTTCGTCGGGTGGCAAGGATCACGGTCTGCGGCAAGACAGCACTGGCCAGGGAGGTCTTCGGTGAGGCGCTAAACGAGAGTCGGGACCCCGACCGGGCGCCGGGGTGCTACACGTCCCGCTACTACCTCAAGTTCACATTCCTGGAGCAAGCCTTTGACCGGCTGGCCGGCGCCGGGTTCCAGATGGTGGCCAGCAATTCGACGGGGACCTGCACCGTCGAGCCGGCGGACGGCAAGATCTGGACCTCGTACGCCGAATACGTCTTCTACCGTGAGTGACGCTCCGGCTGAGCCGAACCCAAACACACGCAAAAGCGACCCTCCCTCGATCCTCCCTGTAGAGTGTAGACAAACCAACAAACCCTCTGGCCTCTCCTCCCTCGCTTCCCGAACCGAACCCTCTCTGGAGCCTTCTGAGTAGCGCAACCCTCCCCGGCTTTCTCTGAATCATGGACTTGGACGCTGTGACATGTGGGGTGTGTCTGTGATGATGTATCCATTTTGCTGAGGGAAATTCCCTCGGATCACCAAACCGAGATGCCTGCCAGGAATATAGGAGCAAAACGGTGGTCTTGATTCGAAAGACAGTTGCAACAGGACTCGCACCCCAAACAAAGGGATGCTCCCTCTTTTATCAGTTCTCCCTTTCTCCCCTGGGGAAGCACCATGCACCCATCACAGATACATCATGTATATGTCATGTAAAGGGGGGAAATTCCAGGGTGAGTGACTCCTTGACAGCCTAGCTCACCGGGGCACTTGTCCCCCATGGGTCCATGCGGTCAGTAAAAGGAGAAAGTCCCAGCCCGGTAATTTGGAGCAAAACAGTGGTCAGTAGACCATGATTCTTACTGTTGCACCACAGGTCTGCCCAGGAGTAAGAACCCCGAGCACGGGGCGATGTCAACTTTTAAAACTTCCTTCTTCCCCCCAGAATACAGTGGTACCTTGACTAAAGTCCAGTCTATTATAACTCCGTTTTGGACTAAGTCCAATTGCAACCCGGAAATGACTGCTCCGGGCTGAGTCATTTTTTTGATATAAGTCGGGCCCGGCTGCTGTTTTAGGGGTTGCTTTTCATCATCTGGTTCCTGTTGGGTGTGTTTCGTTTGTTAATTGAGTCCCTCGCTGCTAATCAGAGGCTTCCTGTTGAGTCTGCCAGCTGTTGAGTCTCGAGCACCCAGGCAACACAGAGGTGATATTTGGAAGTTTAGTTTTTGCTAATTTTTTTGCATTTGGGTTTGTATGGCTTTTTCAGCTTTTTGACTGTGACTTCGTTTTATGGGACTGATCTGTGACTGTGGCTTGTGATTTCGTTTTTGTGACTTGTTTTTGTGACTGTGTGGAACTGGTTGATTGTCTGGCTGCAGAAATGGATAAAAGCCCCCCATCCAAACAATGACTATCATCAGTGCACGTAAGAAAAAAAAATGTTAATTTTTTTCATCTACACTACTGTCTTATTTACTTTATAGCACAGTGCTTTGATTATTATAGGGACACGAGTGGCGCTGTGGGTTAAACCACAGAGCCTAGGACTTGCCGATCAGAAGGTCAGTAGTTCAAATCCCCGCGACAGGGTGAGCTCCCGTTCCTCGGTCCCTGCACCTGCCAACCTAGCAGTTCGAAAGCACGTCAAAGTGCAAGTAGATAAATAGGTACCGCTCCAGCGGGAAGGTAAACGGCGTTTCCATGCGCTCCTCTGGTTCGCCAGAAGCGGCTTACTCATGACCCGGAAGCTGTACATCGGCTCCCTTGGCCAATAAAGCGAGATGAGCGCCGCAACCCCAGAGTCGGCCACGACTGGACCTAGTCATCAGGGGTCCCTTTACCTTTACCTTTACCTTTACATTGATTATTGCCTTCATTTTATGGATATGTGGTCTCGTTAGGCAGTAAAATTCATGTTAAATTGCTGTCTTAGCAGGTGTTTTCCATTGTTTAGAACGGATTAATCCATTTTCAGTTACTTTCTATGGGAAAGCATGCTTTGTTTTAAGTCTGCTTCGTTTTAAGACCGGACTTCCGGAATGGATTACGGTCTTAAATCAAAGTACCACTGTACACTTCACATAGCATCGTTGAGACATCATCACGAATCACTAGCACGTCGCAAATGGGGAGGGGTATACGGGGGTAACGCAAGTTCAATATCGTATGCCTTTCCCGACACCCCTTATGTCCAAAGTCTCTTTCGGGGGCCTAATCCCCCGTTTCCGGGGCCAGATGTCGGCATTTCCCAGGGACAGTCTCGGGGTTTACAAATCTGTCCCCGGATTTCATTTCATGTCCCTGGATTTCTATTGTCAGTGTTCTAGATCTCTGAATAGGGAATGAATCTTGCGTGATTGGTTCAACTGCACAAGACACATCATACGGGGATTTCTAGTGAGGCAACATGGCGGACGCCACAGGAACCATATCACTACAATAATCCATGAGATATTTTTTATACATGTCCCATTTTCTAATAAAGGTTTGAATCATAGAATCATAGAGTTGGAAGAGACCACAAGGGCCATCGAGTCCAACCCCCTGCCAAGCAGGAAACACCATCAGAGCACTCCTGACATATGGTTGTCAAGCCTCTGCTTAAAGACCTCCAAAGAAGGAGACTCCACCACACTCCTTGGCAGCAAATTCCACTGTCGAACAGCTCTTACTGTCAGGAAGTTCTTCCTAATGTTGAGGTGGAATCTTCTTTCTTGTAGTTTGGATCCATTGCTCCGTGTCCGCTTCTCTGGAGCAGCAGAAAACAACCTTTCTCCCTCCTCTATGTGACATCCTTTTATATATTTGAACATGGCTATCATATCACCCCTTAACCTCCTCTTCTCCAGGCTAAACATGCCCAGCTCCCTTAGCCGTTCCTCATAAGGCATCGTTTCCAGGCCTTTGACCATTTTGGTTGCCCTCCTCTGGACACGTTCCAGTTTGTCAGTGTCCTTCTTGAACTGTGGTGCCCAGAACTGGACACAGTACTCCAGGTGAGGTCTGACCAGAGCAGAATACAGTGGCACTATTACTTCCCTTGATCTAGATGCTATACTCCTATTGATGCAGCCCAGAATTGCATTGGCTTTTAGCTCCCGCGTCACACTGTTGGCTCATGTCAAGTTTGTGGTCAACCAAGACTCCTAGATCCTTTTCACATGTACTGCTCTCAAGCCAGGTGTCACCCATCTTGTATTTGTGCCTCTCATTTTTTTTGCCCAAGTGCAATACTTTACATTTCTCCCTGTTAAAAATCATCTTGTTTGTTTTTGCCCAGTTCTCTAATCTGTCAAGGTCGTTTTGAAGTGTGATCCTGTCCTCTGGGGTGTTAGCCACCCCTCCCAGTTTGGTGTCATCTGCAAATTTGATCAGGATGCCCTTGCTTGGCAGGGGGTTGGACTCGATGGCCCTTGTGGTCTCTTCCAACTCTATGATTCTATGATATTCTTGTAAAGAAGCTGGTAAAATGCGGTCTTGACTATGCTACCACTCAGTGGATTTGTAACTGGCTGGCTGACTGAACCCAAAGGGTGCTCATCAATGGTTCCTCTTCATCCTGGAGAAGAGTGACTAGTGGGGTGCCACAGGGTTCTGTCTTGGGCCCGGTCTTATTCAACATCTTTATCAACGACTTGGATGATGGACTCAAGGGCATCCTGATCAAATTTGCAGATGACACCAAACTGGGAGGGGTGGCTAACACCCCAGAGGACAGGATCACACTTCAAAACGACCTTGACAGATTAGAGAACTGGGCCAAAACAAACAAGATGAATTTTAACAGGGAGAAATGTAAAGTATTGCACTTGGGCAAAAAAATGAGAGGCACAAATACAAGATGGGTGACACCTGGCTTGAGAGCAGTACATGTGAAAAGGATCTAGGAGTCTTGGTTGACCACAAACTTGACATGAGCCAACAGTGTGACGCGGGAGCTAAAAAAGCCAATGCAATTCTGGGCTGCATCAATAGGAGTATAGCATCTAGATCAAGGGAAGTAATAGTGCCACTGTATTCTGCCCTGGTCAGACCTCACCTGGAGTACTGTGTCCAGTTCTGGGCACCACAGTTCAAGAAGGACACTGACAAACTGGAACGTGTCCAGAGGAGGGCAACCAAAATGGTCAAAGGCCGGGAACGGATGCCTGATGAGGCACGGCTAAGGGAGCTGGGCCTGTTTAGCCTGGAGACGAGGAGGTTACGGGGTGAGATGATAGCCATGTTCAAATAGATAAAAGGATGTCACATAGAGGAGGAGAAAGGTTGTTTTCTGCTGCTCCAGAGAAGCGGACACGGAGCAATGGATCCAAACTACAAGAAAGAAGATTCCACCTCAACATTAGGAAGAACTTCCTGACAGTAAGAGCTGTTCGACAGTGGAATTTGCTGCCAAGGAGTGTGGTGGAGTCTCCTTCTTTGGAGGTCTTTAAGCAGAGGCTTGACAACCATATGTCAGGAGTGCTCTGATGGTGTTTCCTGCTTGGCAGGGGGTTGGACTCGATGGCCCTTGTGGTCTCTTCCAGCTCTATGATTCTATGATTCTATGATTCTACTATCTCCCTTCCTTTTGCATGCTTGGCCAACTGTTCCAGGAAGGCATCATCTATGTCCTCCGTTTGGCTTGGGGATCTATAGTAAACTCCCACAATGAGGTCACTGTTATTTTTCTCTCCCTTAATTTTGACCCAAATGCTCTCACTTTGGCTTTGAGGTTCTAAATCTTGGATCTCTTCACAGGTATACACATCCCTGACATATGACGCCACTCCTCCTTTCTTGTCTGGTCTGTTTCTCTGAAATAGATTGTATCCCCCCATTATTACATTCCAATTGTGGGACTTATCCCACCAGGTTTCAGTGATGCCTATTATGTCATATTTAGTTTGCTGTACCAAGAGCTCAAGCTCATCTTGTTTATTTCCCATGCTTTGCGCATTAGTGTACAGACATTGAAGTCCATTAATCATTCCCCGTGTCTCTTATTTAAGGATTTTTCCTCCCACCACTAGGTCTGCGTGCTGTTTGCTCCATTTGGTCTATGACATTTGGATGATCATCTTCATCAATTGATAGACTCCTACCTTCAGGAGCACTGTCTCCCTCCCCAAATTAGTCAGTTTAAAGCCCTCCTGATGAGGTTTCTGAGATTTTTGGCAAAAACATTTCTCCCAACCGTTGTGAGGTGCAGCCCATCGCTTGCCAGAAGTCCATCTTCAAGAAACTGCAGTCCGTGATCTAAGAATCCAAACCGTTCCTGTTTACACCATTTGCAAAGCCAGCTGTTCACTTTCACTATTTTTCCCTCTCTCCCTGGGCCACGTCGTTCAATTGGGAGGACAGATGAGATGACAATTTGTGCATTTAATTGCTTCAATTTCCTGCCCAGAGCCTCGTAATCTCTTGTGATCTTCTGGAGGCTATTGCTTGCAGTGTCATTGGTTCCCACATGAACCAAGAGGAAGGGGTATTTGTCAGTGGGTTTTATGATTCCTTGCAGTCGTTCAGTTACATCTTGGATCTTAGCCCCGGGGAGACAGCACACTTCCCGAGACATCTTGTCAGGCCCACAGATCACTGCTTCTGTTCTCCTCAGTAGGGAATCCCCTATCACCACTACATGCCTCCTCTTAGGTTTGGTCGGGGTTCTTCTGTGAGCTGTCCGTTCCAAGGTCGCCTGCACATTCCCTGAGGACTGACTTTGCTGCTCATCTTCATATACCTGATCGACTGTAATGAGGGAGAGATCCTCAAATGGAGTCTGCTCTTCGTCTTCCATGTTAGGGGAGAGGACCTCAAAGCGATTGTGTATTTCTAAACAATCAGAGCGAACCCTGGGCCTCCTACTTCTTTGAGTCACGTTTCTCCATATATCTGGCTCCTGTGTTGGTGAACTAGCCTCCTTCTCAGGGAGTCCCCTGTCTCCTCCTTGGTGGAGACAGTGTGCTCTGTTGCTTCCAAGAAGAGCTCCAGCTCTCTAATTCTTTGGAGCGTAGCTACACGTTCCTCCAGTTGCTGGACTTTGTCTTTTAAGAGGGCAATCAACATGCAATTGCTGCAGGTAAAGCTGCCTGCAACCTTTGGCAAGATGGCAAACATTGCGCAGGAACCGCAGGCGACTGCAGCTGTTCCCTCCCCTCCATCTTGAGAACATGTCGTTGGGGGTGGCTACAGCGGTCCTCCATCATAAAAAGCGTGAAGACAGGACAAATAACTCCCCCCCAAAAAAACCTAGGTCTCCCCCAACAAACGTTTGAGACTAGCTCCCCTAAATCTAAAAGATGATCAGGGCGGTTTGATCAGGGCGGTTTCACGGTTTCTCTGTTAACTTTGCCTATTATTATTATTATTATTATTGATCATTTCTTTGTTCTAGCACATCTCATAGACAAGTATTATTATCATTATTATTATTATTAAGATCACTGCTTTGTTCTAGCACCTCTCATAGACAAGTATTCTTATTCTTATTATTTAGGATCATTGCTTTGTTCTAGCACATCTCATAGACAAGTATTATTATTATTATTATTATTATTATTATTATTATTTATAAGATCTATTATTTGATTGTTGATGTAAACCTCCAAAAGGCATTTTGTACCATCAGGTTTCAACTTCTATCTTCAGTACTTTAATGCTATGGCTAGCGGCTGATGCAAATAAAAGATTGTCCTGATCTGGGAAAAAAATAAAAAAGTAAAACCAGGTTTGTCCATAACAAAAAGGAAAATTGGGATATTTGTTCCATTACATCACGTTCTAACATCTATCATCTCTCAACATTTCTTTGTCTAACGCACTATGTATTTCTGTTCTCTCAGTTGAATTTTGACGATAATATCTGATCTTGGATCACAGAAGTTCTTCAAGGGCTGCCACAGACACCATATACCTACAATAATCCATGAGATATTTTTTATACATGCCCCATTTTCTAATAAAGGTTTGATCAGGACAGTTTCTCGGTTTCTCTGTTAACTTTGCCTATTATTATTATTATTAAAGATCATTGCTTTGTTCTAGCACAAATCATAGACAAGTATTATTATTATTATTATTATTATTATTATTATTATTAATTTAATTTCCATACTGCCTGATACCCGAAGGTCTCGGAGTGGTTTGCATAAAATACCAAATGCATAAAATCAAAACGAAACCAACAACCCATTAAAAAAAACCTAGAAGAGCCAGCATTTTTTAAAAGGGTTTAGGATGCTAAGAAAGCGCGTGGTCGGCTTGACACGGCTTTCATCAATTTGATTTTTTAAAAATAATAACAATAATATTTATTCAGTTTTCCATTTTCTCCTGGGGATTCCAGGCCCAGACATACCAAAAAAATGCAAAAAGGAATATTCTTGTATGCGATGGAAGCAGCAAGAATATTCATCGCAACGAATTGGAAGGGAGAGAAAATCCCAACAAAATGAGAGTGGCAAAGTAAGTCGTTGGAGTTTGCAAAAATGACAAAAACAGAGGTAATACTGAGATTTATTCAAAAATGGGACGTGTTTAGAAAATAACTAGAGGATTATTGCAGTAAGATGACATCAGCGGCAATGTTCGAACAACTGTGTTTGGATGTGCAAATATAAGAGAATATAACATTGGCAAAGATTATTAAAAAGAAAATAGAGATAATTTTTTGTTGTCTATTTTTTAAGACAGATAACTTTGATTTTTTTGCCTTTTTTTGAAGTTTGAAAAAGCAATCTAAAAAGGGAGAAAATAGAGATTGTTTATCAGATCAGGAAATACATGGTGAGGTGGCAGGAGGTCCTAGGAATTTAACAAGAATGGATTGAGCAAATATTGATATTCTTTGGTATTTTCGTTTGGGGTTTTCATACACTTTTCTTTAATTCCCCAGAGGGGTTGGGGAAACCTAGGCAGATGGGCAGTGTAGAAATAATAAATTACATTATTATTATTATTATTATTATTATTATTTCCAATAAAGCATTTAATACAAGAAGAAGAAGATACCAGTGTGTTTCAAAACAGCAACGGGAATTCCTAAAATCACTATCCAGCCTTTATTTAAATAATAGCAGCCGGCTGGACTGAAATGGGAGATTGTTATGTTATGAGATTGATCTTCTCTAAAGCTGCCATTTGCTGATTACTTTCTCTCCCTTTCTTCCTTCCTCCAGGTCCTCCGGCTTGTCAGGATTCCCAAAAGGTGTCAGGAGAACACCCCCATTTCCCAGGTAAGAAGAGTTCCACTTTCTCTTTCTCTTTCTCTTTCTCTTTCTCTTTCTCTTTCTCTCAAGTCTCTATAAAAAGTGCAAGCCAGATTCTTTCTTTCTTTCTCTCTCTGTTGCTCTCTCTGTGTCTTTCTTTCTCTCTCTCTCTCTCTCTCTCTCTTTCTTTCTTAGAACCCTCAGACTTCTTCCCTTCTTTCCTTCACGAGTTCTTACCATATCCCACAATTAACTGCATCTCCGCATTTTCCAAATAATTATACAAATCACATGTAAAGATAGAATAAAATTTGACATAACAAGCACCTTCACATTCCTGCCAGCGGTTTTAAATGTGTACAGTGATCTTTTCAATTAAGGAAAAATCTGGCTTAAAAGAGATGTAGAGCTGGGTCTCGTGTTCAACCCGCCAAGTGTTTTTAGTAGGTCATTCCAGCTTCTCTGGGGCCACTTCTTCTCCTGCCTTCCCATAATCCTATTAGCCTGAGAGAAGGGACTGAGCTATAAGAGGAAAAAAGCCCCTCTCTTAGCAGCCCCGCCGACAGCTTGAGATTTTAAATCTTTAAATCTTTAAATCAGTCGCTCTCATCAGGATAGCTCCTTCGGCCTGCAGACGAGCTGCTGGAGAATAATAATAATAATAACCCTATCCCTAATGTTGTTGTTTAGTCGTTTAGTCATGTCCGACTCTTCGTGACCCCATGGACCAGAGCACGCCAGGCACTTCTGTCTTCCACTGCCTCCCGCAGTCTGCTCAAACTCATGCTGGTAGCCTCAAGAACACTATCCAACCATCTCGTCCTCTGTCGTCCCCTTCTTCTTGTGCCCTCCATCTTTCCCAACATCAGGGTCTTTTCCAGGGAGTCTTCTATTCTCGTGAGGTGGCCAAAGTATTGGAGCCTCAGCTTCATGATCTGTCCTTCCAGTGAGCACTCAGGGCTGATTTCCTGAAGAATGGATAGGTTGGATCTTCTTGCAGTCCATGGGACTCTCAAGAGTCTCCTCCAGCACCATAATTCAAAAGCATCAATTCTTCTGCCTCTGTTAGGTCTTCTGCCTCTGTTAGGTCCTTACCACTTTTGTCCTTTATTATGGTAATCTTTGTACGAAATGTTCCTTTCATATCTCCAATTTTCTTGAACAGATCTCTGGTTCTTCCCATTCAGTTGTTTTCCTCTATTTCTTTGCATTGCTTGTTTAAGAAGGCCTTCTTGTCTCTCATTGCTATTTTTTGGAAATTTGCATTCACTTTCCTGTATCTTTCACTATCTCCCTCGCATTTTGCTTGCCTTCTCTCCCCCGCTATTTGTAAGGCCTCATTGGACAGCCACTTTGCTTTCTTGCATTTCTTTTTCACTGGGATGGTTTTCGTTGCTGCCTCCTGTATAATGTTGCGAGCCTCCACCCATAGTTCTTCAGGCACTCTGTCCACCAAATCTAAATCCTTAAACCTGTTCCTCACTTCCACTGTGTATTCATAAGGGATTTGGTTTAGATTGTATCTTACCGGCCCAGTGGTTTTTCCTACTTTCTTCAGTTTAAGCTTGAATTTTGCTCTAAGAAGCTGATGATCTGAGCCACAGTCAGCTCCAGGTCTTGTTTTTGCTGACTATGTAGAGCTTCTCCATCTTTGGCTGCAGAGAATATAATCAATCTGATTTCGATGCTGCCCATCTGGTGATGTCCATGTGTAGAGTCGTCTCTTGTGTTGTTGGAAAAGCGTGTTTGTGATGACCAGCTTGTTCTCTTGACAGAACTCTATTAGTCTTTGCCCTGCTTCATTTTGATCTCCAAGGCCAAACTTGCCAGTTGTTCCTTTTATCTCTTGATTCCATACTTTAGCATTCCAATCCCCTATAATGAGAAGAACATCCTTCTTTGGTGTCACTTCTATAAGGTCTTGTAAATCTTCATAGAACTGGTCAATTTCAGTTTCTTCAGCACCAGTAGTTGGTGCATAAACTTGGATTACTGTGATGTTAAAAGGTCTGCCTTGGATTCGTATCGAGATCATTCTATCATTTTTGAGATTGTATCCCAGTACAGCTTTCACCACTCTTTTGTTGACTATGAGGGCCACTCCATTTCTTTTACAGGTTTCTTGCCCACAGTAGTAGATATGATAGTCATCCGAACTGAATTCGCCCATTCCCGTCCATTTTAGTTCACTGATGCCCAGGATGTCAATATTTATTCTTGCCATCTCATTTTTGACCACATCCAGCTTACCAAGGTTCATGGTTCTTACATTCCAGGTTCCTATGCAATATTTTTCTTTACAGCATTGGACTTTCCTTTCGCTTCCAGGCATATCTGCAACTGAGTGTCCTTTCGGCTTTGGCCCAGCCGCTTCATCAGCTCTGGATCTACTTGTACTTGTCCTCCACTCTTCCCCAGTAGCATGTTGGACGCCTTCCGACCTGAGGGGCTCATCTTCCAGCGTCATAACTTTTATATGCCTGTTGTCTTTGTCCATGGAGTTTTCTTGGCAGGGATACTGGAGTGGCTTGCTGGTTCCTGCTCCAGGTGGATCACGTTTGGTCAAAACTCTCCACTATGACCTGTCCATCTTGGGTGGCCCTGCACGGCATAGTTCATAGCTTCTCTGAGTTATTCAAGCCCCTTCGCCACGGCAAGGCAGTGATCCCTGAAGGGGCTATCCCTAATACCTGTCCCTAACTCCTATCCCTATCTCTAACCCTTATCCCTAACAACAACAACAACAACAATCTACCCTGGTTGGTCCCTGCCAGTTTTGATATTGGATTGTAGATCGCAGCCGACTTCAAGTTGGACATGCCTGGATATGACGATTGTTGGTTACATGTATTTTCAGCAACTTGGAAATAAAGTTGGGGAGGGAGATGCTCGTCTTAGTCCTCTCTCTCTCAGTAGTAGTAGTAGTAGTAGTAGTAGTAGTAGTAATTTATTATTATTTATACCCCCCCCCCCCAGGAAGCCTCTGGCTCAGCGTGGCGCCTTCTGCAGCACCGGTGGGACCAGAGAAGGACGTCCGGAAAAGCCTCGCTTCTTCCTCTGAGCCCATTTTGGACCTCCGGACAGATGCGGCATCCGTGCTTCCAGGTGAGATGCTCAAGAAAATCACCCTTTTACGGTTTAAATTGGGAGAAATAAATGCAGTAGACGGACAAAAGATTCTCAAGAGGAGGAAATCACATGGCGGGAAGCTGGTTACAGGTGCGTTTGAATATCTGAAGTTCAAGGCTTCCAGCTAAGACCCATGGGGTGCCCTCCTCAAAAAATAAAGATGCGCCAGTCTTGGGCATAAGGAACAGTAAGAAGCTAAAGCCCTCCCCTGCTGGGACTGAAGGCAGGCTGGAGGCTGGGGGTTACAAAGAAGTAGGAGGAGTGGGTTGACCCCATATTCATCATTATTATTTACTCATTTCTTCTTCTCCTCCTCTCCTCCTCCTTCTCCTGCTTCTTCCTCCTCCTCCTCTCCTCCAGCGTCCACCATCCCCACCAGCACCACACCAACCGCCCCGCCAACTGCCATGGAGCACCCCCCCACCGCCACCCTCAAAAGATCCCCCGTGCTCTCAGCCGGGGCCACCACCGAACCGGCCCCACCAGACCTACCCCAGAGCTCCAAGGAGGCCACCCAGGAGAGACCTTTCTCTTCCGCCAACTTCTCCCCCGACCCAGATCCGGCTTTGCTCCCTCCTCCGGATCAAGACCCCCTCCCGGAAACCAGGGGATCTTGGGGGTCCTTGCCGTGGCCGGAGGCCCCTGAAGAGTGCGGCCCGCCCCGGCCCACCACCTTGGACTTCTCCCAGCCCCTCCAGAAGCTGGAGGAGGCGAAGCAGGTGGGCGTTGAGGAGAACGGGCTGGAGCGTGGCCCGCCGCCTCCCGGCGAAGAGAGGAAGGCTCTGCAGTTGGAGCTGGGCAAATGCATTGAGGACTTTCGGAGAATCCGAGTGCCCGCCTCATTCCCCAACAAGAAACGGGCGTGGCAAAGCGAGCTGCTCCAGAAATACCAGCTCTGAGGGACTCTCGTGGATCCATCAAACAGAAGCAATCATCAATGGACCATACTATAAAATAAAGGAGACAGTTGTAGATGAGAAAAATAAAAATGGATTTTCCCCCCTGACCTGCAGTGGTGATAGTCGTTGTTTGGATGGGGGGCTTTGATCCATTTCTGCGGTAATGCCATCCATCCATCCGGAGCTGAACCGGGTTCCGCACAGTCGCGAAAACAAAGAAACCGAAAAAGCGGCAAACTGAATCTGCTCCGGAAGTCTGTTTGACGTCCGAAATGTTCAGAAGCCGAGACGCAGATTCCAGTTGGCACAGGCACCCCGGAAAGGGCCACCAACAGCTGCGTCGGACATTCAGCTTCCAAAAAACGTCCAGAAACCAATTTCTCATAACCAGAGAAATTGGTATAAATAAGATCTAAGTTTCAAGTTTTAGGTTCTTTTATAGTAAGATAAGGTTAAAATAGATTAAGGTAATGTAATGACAGAATATTATGAAAAATGGAAAGGATTTGCTGTGACAATTAACAACTAGGATACAAAAAAAGGGAGGAGTGAGGAGGTCAAAGAAAGAAAGTAATGACAGTTAAGGATTTGAGAATATTGGACTTGTTTTTTTAAAAGTTTGTGGCTTATTTTTGTTTTTGGATTGTGTTGTGTTACGTGCTTTGTTCTTATTTTTTTTATTTTGATTTTTATCAATTTGTATTGTTTGATTGTGGTTTGTTTTTCTTCTGTTTTTTCTTTTTCTTTTTGTTTTTTGTTTTTTTCTGTAACTTTAAAATTCTTAATAAATATCATTTAAAAAAAACAAAACAAAAAACGTCCAGAAACCAGAACACTTACTTCTGGGTTTGGGGCATTTGGGAACCAGGGTGTTTGGGAACCAAGGCGTTTAGAAACCAGGGTGTTTGGGAACCAAGGCATTTGGGAACCAGGGTGTTTGGGAACCAAGGCATTTGGGAACCAGGGTGTTTGGGAACCAAGGCATTTGGGAACCAGGGTGTTTGGGAACCAAGGCATTTGGGAACCAGGGTGTTTGGGAACCAAGGCATTTGGGAACCAGGGCTGGTGCGGTCGATGTTTGTTGGAAGTACGAAGGTTATCGCCTCTGGCATGCAGAGCATCCCTGGGTGTGTTCGCAGGAATGCATTTCGGATTAATTCGATTTTCCGGTCCATTGTGATTCCCTCCATGCTCCTGCCCCCCAGCACATTGTCCCAGCATGTCGGTTGTGGCCAAGACAGTCTGCCAAGGGAAATGCTGTTGTTGTTGTACTGTTAAAGGCTGTATTTTGCAGCTTCATTGCTTTCCAGGAACGGTTGCCAGGAAAACCCGGCTCAGCAAACACACCTCACCAAGGAGGCCAGTGGTGGGTGGAAAAATAGGCGCAATCCAGCACAAAACACATACACTGCATTAACTGTTTCCATGCTGTGGCGGCCACCGAGCAAGATGACGTCAGTTTTTTTAGATACTCTCAATGTTTCAGGAAGAAAAAAACCGTTACACACAAACGTATTTTCATAGAACCCGTGCTTTTTATTTTATTTTATTTTTTAATGTTTAGGAGTACTCTCATTTCCCGACTCATCTCGAAATACAGTCCATTTTCGGAGGATGCCAGCAAGGTTGAACCTTTCTGCAAAAAAGAGGCTTTTATGATTCCAAAAAGGAAATCTTCCTCCGCTTGTCCATATTAAGAATATGCAAGTAATGTTGAACCTTTCTGTAAAAAAAGGAAAAGGAAACTTTCCTCTGCTTGTCCATATTAAGAGGATGTCAGCACAGTTGAACCTTTCTGTAAAAAAGGGATTTAAATCTTAAAGGGTTTTATTCTGTTTTTCATCTGTCAGGAGCTGCCCAGAGTGGCTGGGGAAGCCCAGCCTGATGGTCGGGGTATAGATAATATACTTGAATATTACCATTATTATTGTTGTTGTTGTATTTCAGTAGTGGAATGGTCCAAATAGCCTGGGAACCACCAAGAATCGAGGAGATTCAACCTGGAAAGACTGCACCAAACCTGCCCTTCTTTCTTTCTATTTCTCCAACAAAAAATAAAAAATCCTTCTATCTTGTGTTCCTTTAATGAAGAGGGTTTCTGGCCCTCTCATTGGCCGGAGTTGAGTGAGATCCCTCCTGATTGGCTGACAGAGGGAAAGAACTGCCCACTTTCAGACAGGTAAATTTTTCTTGCGGCAGATTGGGATATTCTTAAAGCTGCAGATTAGATGCTTCCGGGTGCCTGATTCTCTGCATCGTCAAAAAAACCTGGTTTTTCTTCTCGGATTTGAGTTTTTTTGCAACTGCAAAGTGGGAATTTTTCGTGCAACAAGATTTGGGATTCTTGAGACTGCAGAGCAACTGGATTCCTCAAGATTAGGAAGAGTGCCTTATTTTTGCATTGTCCAAAAAACTTGCTTTTCTTCTTTGATTTGAGTTTCACAACTCTGCAAATTGGGAATTTTTCGTGCAACAGATTTGGGATTCTTGCTCCAAATTATTAACCGGCCAGTCAGCTTTCCGAGGGGCCAAATTGTCCCAAAAATCTCATTTTTTTTCTCGGATTTGAGTTTTTTCCGCAACTCTGCCAAGTAGAAGAAGGGCAGGGTGGGTAGGATGAGCTGCGGCCCAGTTTCGAAACCCGCCAGCATGGAAGACACAGATGTCTTCAAAGACATCCAACCAACGGGACAAATCTCAGAAAGTCAACAGGCTCTGGCCCAGGTAAGTGAGCTGCAGGAAAACCCCATATTCTGGGTTTTTTATTTATTTTTCATTTTTTCATTTATATATTTACTTACTTACTTACTTTTTATACCACCCTACACCCAAAGGTCTCGGGGCCGTTCACGTAAAATATCAAATACGTAAAATTGAAATAAAAACAATAATTCAGTAAACACCCCCTGCCTAATTGGCGCATATTGGCCTGAATACGGTACCGTATTGGCCTGAATATAAGGCACCCTTTAGCTTTTCACAGTTGGGATTTGGGGGAAAATATGAGGCTTATATTTGGGACAATACGGTACATACTTACTTGGCTCAATGTCATTTTTTATTGTCTCCCTAGTAAATTATTGACCAAGGTCAATATTTGCTCCTCAGATCATTCAATCTTGGTCTTGACCCCGGGTTCAAGATGCTTGTTCTTTTTCCTTCGAGAACACTCTGAGGATAAGAGGGCAAAAGCAGGGTGGATTTGATTTGAATTGAATTGATTTAAATCCCTAGTCCGGGAGACTTGATATAAAATCCTTTTTCAACCTTGCTGTGGCATCCACTTAATATGGACAATCAGAGGAAGGTTTCCTTTTTGGAATAATAAAATTCTTTTTCTACAGAAAGGTTCAACCTTGCTGGCATCCTCTTATATGGGCAAGCAGAGGAAGATTTCCTTTGTGGAATCATAAATTTTCAGAGTCATTTCTACACTTCATTTAAAAAAAATTGTTTAACCACATCAGTTAACAAACATGGATGCATATGGTACTATATTATTCTTTTACTTAAATAAATGGTTATTAAAGAAATGGTTATTTTTCTCCTTCCAATCAAGTATGGCAGAAAAGTTGTCCAGATATCGGCAGTTAACTTATTAAACCTCACCGTCATTTCATAATCTTCGCTCTATGTATTTCTAAGAGTGGAACCAAATCAGTAATTTTTGACAGAAGTGTAAAAACGACTCTGAAAATTTATGATTCCAAAAAGGAAACCTTCCTATGGTTGCCAATATTGAGGATGGCAGCAAGGTTGAGCCTTTCTGTAAAAAATGATTTCATTATTCCAATTAGGAAACATTCCTCTGCTTGGCCATATAAGAAGGTGCCAGCAAGGTTGAACCTTTCTGTAAAAAGGGGGATTTTATTATTCCACTAACTGCCCTTTCTCCTCCAGGCCCCCTTCGAAATGGACCAGTACCTCTCAGGACATTTGCCCGCCACCCCCCTGGACGTCGGGCAGAAGTACCGCCGGGAAAGCGCCTCCGTGGTCGACGAATACTTCTCCGCAGAGATGCCACCTTCCGCCCAGCTTCGCACGGGCCTCTACCGGCCCCCCAAGCCCCTCGCCCCCTTTGCCCGGGTCAAATCGGAACCCGGCACCTTCTTGGCCAGGCCCGGCCCAGCCGGGGCATGGCAGACCCTCCCCGACTTTGGCAGCGCTTTCCACGTCTTCTCCAACCCGGGTCGGATCTTGGGGTGCCTGTCCCTGGGCACCGGCCTGCCGCCGTCACCACCAAACTCGCAGCCTGGCAGCCCGGAGGTTGCCGAGGGCATCTCTCAAAGGCAGGACCAGGCTGCCTCGTCGGTGAAAGGACCCCTCCAGGGCCAAATGCCAACGCTGCATGGTGGATTGCGGACCCTCGCCGTGCCGATCCCCAAGTACAGCCAGAGGAACAACCTGGAGCTGGAGAAGAGAAGGGTCCATCATTGTGACTACTCCGGTAGGACCAATCCTTTTTTACTGAAAGATTCAGCCTTGCTGGCATCCCCTGAATATTGACAAGGAGAGGAAGGTTTCCTTTTTGGGATAATAAATTCTTTTTTTACAGAAAGGTCCAACCTTGCTGGCATCCTCTTAAAATTGACAAGTGGCCTGAATATAAGCTGCACTTTCACTTTTCGCAGTCGGAATTTGGGGAAAAAGTGAGGCTTATATTCAGGCTGATACGGATTATTGTTATTGTTGTTATTATTATTACTACTATTATTATTATTACTGCCACTGCTATTACTACTACTACAACAACAATAATAATAATTTATTATTTATACTCCGCCCATCTGGCTGAATTTCCCCAGCCACTCTGGGTGGCCCCCAATCAAGTGTTAAAAACAATACAGCATTATATTAAAAACTTCCCTAAAACAGGGCTGCCTTCAGATGTCTTCTAAAGATAGAATAGCTGCTTATTTCCTTCACATCTGAAGGGAGGGTGTTCCACAGGGTGGGCGCCACTACCGAGAAGGCTCTCTGTTTGGTTCCCTGTAACCTCACTTCTCACAGAGGGAACCGTCAGAAGGCCCTCGGAGCTGGACCTCCGTGTCCAGGCTGAACGATGGGGGTGGAGATGCTCCTTCAGATATACTGGACCGAGGCTGTTTAGGGCTTGAAAGGTCAGCACCAACACTTTGAATTGTGCTCAGAAACATACTGGGAGCCAATGCAGATCTCTCAGGACCAGTGTTATGTGGTCCTGGTGGCCACTCCAAGTCCCCAGTCTAGCTGCCGCATTCTGGATTAATTCCAGTTTCTGGGTCACCTTCAAAGGTAGCTCCACATAGAGCGCATTGCAGTAGTCCAAGCGAGAGGTAACTAGAGCATGCACCACTCTGGTGAGACAGTCTGGAGGCAGATAGGGTCTCAGCCTGCGTACCAGGTGGAGCTGGTAGACAGCTGCCCTGGACACAGAATTGACCGTCTCCTGTGAGTCCAAAATGACTCCCAGGCTGCACACCTGGTCCTTCAGGGGCACAGTTACCCCATTCAGGACCAGGGAGTCCCCCACACCCACCCGTCTCCTGTCCCCCAAAAACAGTACTTCTGTCTTGTCAGGATTCAACCTCAATCTGTTAGCCGCCATCCATCCTCCAACCGCCTCCAGGCACTCACACAGGACCTTCACTGGTTCTGATTTAAGAGAGAGGTAGAGCTGGGTGTCATCTGCATACTGATGAACACCCAGCCCAAACCCCCTGATGATCTCTCCCAGCGGTTTCATATAGATGTTAAAAAGCATGGGGGAGAGGACAGAACCCTGAGGCACCCCACAGGTGAGGGACCAGGGGTCTGAACACTCATCCCCCACCACCACTTTCTGAACACTGCCCAGGAGGAAGGAGCGAAACCACTGTATAACAGTGCCCCCAGCTCCCAGCCCCTCTAGACGGTCCAGAAGGATGTTATGGTCAATGGTATCCAAAGCCGCTTAGAGATCCAGCAGAACTAGGAAACAGCTCTCACCTTTGTTCCTAGCCCACCGGAGATCTTCGACCAGCGCGACCAACGCAGTTTCAGTCCCATGATGAGGCCTGAATCCCGACTGGAAGGGATCCAAATGGTCCGCATCCTCCAGGTGTGCTTGGAGTTGTTCAGCAACCACCCGCTCAATCAGCTTGCCCAAGACTGGAAGATTTGAGACTGGGCGATAGTTGGCCATATTGGCCGGGTCTAAAGATGTTTTTTGAAGAAGCGGTTTGATGACCGCCTCTTTCAGCGGGTCTGGGAAGGCTCCCTCACAGAGAGAAGCTTTCACCACCCTGCGAAGCCCGTCTCCCAGCCCTTCTTGGCTACCTTTTATAAGCCAGGATGGGCAAGGATCAAGGAGACAGGTGGTTGGTTTCACTCGTCCAAGCAGCCTGGTCACATCCTTGGAGGTAACAGATTGGAATTAATCCCACGCAACTTGATTAGACAGGACTCTAGCACTCTCTCGCCCTGGCTCTGCTCCCACGATGGAGTCTCCTCCTTCTGAATCTGAGCGACTTTATCTGCAAAAAAAAAACTTTGCAAAAGTGTTGCAGGAGATCTTGGGGTCCCTACCAGGCCCCGGTGGTGCAGGTGGTTCCAATAAGATTGCGAACCACGTGAAAGAGTCTCCTGCTGCTGTTTACTGCAGATGCAATAGAGGTGGTGAAAAAGGCCCACTACTACTACTACTACTACTACTACTACTACTATTTCACCCCACCAATTCATCCCGATCTCTTCACAGGTTGCACAAAGGTTTACACCAAAAGTTCTCACCTGAAAGCACATCAGAGAACTCACACAGGTATGTGGTTGGCTGCGGCTAAACCTGAGGGCGGCGAGATGTGCTTGTAAGGGAGATGATTGGGGTGGAATTAGAAATGTCCCCCGCCCCCTGGTGGATTTGATTTAAATGCAGTCATTTTAAATCACCATTTAAATCCCTGGTCAGTAAGAATCAATTTAAATCCTTTTTTACAGAAAGGTGCAGCCTTGCTGGTATCCTAATATGGACAGCTGGAGAAAGGTTTTCATTTTGGAATGATTAAATTACTTTTTTTTAGTTCAACCTTGCTGGAATCCTCTTAATATTGACAAACGGAGGGAGCTTTCATTTTTGGAATAATAAATTTTCAGAGTAGTTTTTTACAGTTATATCCTGGGTAGATTTGATTTAAATCAAATTGATTTAAATTTTGATTTAAATCACAATTTAAACCCCTAGTCAGTAAGACTTGAATTAAGTCCTTTTCCTTACAGTAACACTGTAAAAACTACTCTGAAAATTTATTATTCCAAAAAAGAAACCTTCCTCCACTTGTCCATATTAAGTGGCTGAACCTTTCTGTAAAAAAATGATTTTATTATTCCAAAAATTAAACCTCCCTCTGCTTGTCCACATTAAGAAGATACCAACAAGGATGAACCTCTCAGTAAAAAAAGGATTTCAATCAAGTCTTACGGACTAGGGATTTCAATCGCCATCCATCCTCCAACCACCTCCAGGCATACCCAGCACCTTCGCTGTTTCCGATTTCTGGGTGCCATTCGAACCCGCAGCCCCAACCCCTGGGCATCTGCTACGAAAATGAGCCCTGGGAGGAGAAAGGCTGGGCAGATGTTTCTAACGCCGCTCCTTTTCCTTCTTTCTTCTGCCCCCTTTCCAGGCGAGAAGCCATATCGGTGCACTTGGGACGGGTGTGAATGGTGCTTTGCCCGATCTGACGAGCTGACACGCCACTACCGGAAACACACGGGTGCCAAACCCTTTGGGTGCCTCGCCTGTGGGCGATGTTTTTCTCGATCGGACCACTTGGCGCTGCACATGAAAAGGCACCAGAACTAAAGATGGAGGCCCCCAGCCAAAGAGCCGCATTGTCCATATTAAGAGGATGTCAGCAAGGCTGAACCTTTTTGTAAAAAATGGGATTTTATTATTCCAAAAAAGAAACCTTCCTCCGCTTGTCCATATTAAGAGGATGTCAGCAAGGCTGAACCTTTCTGTAAAAAAGGGAAAAGGAAACCTTTGGTGCTCAAACACCCTGTAAGAGTGCCCCATCTACTTGGTTTCCCCTCCGACCCATTTTTGATTTTGTTTTATACATTTTGAATGTTTTGCTTAAATACCATCTGTCATTGTGTTAAATTTTGTGTTAAATGCCATCTGTTAAACATCTTTATCCCATTTTCCTTTATCGCCTCGCAAGCCGCAAATCTCCAACTCTCCATCCATAATTTCCCCCATGATGATAATCGAATCATTTTACTACCGATATCCATAGCCTATTGGATCATTACCTCTTTTACATCCCATTGCAATAAAATTCCATATATTTTAGAAATCACCTTTGTCTTGCAATAATTCTTGCAATAATTCTTTATCTAATATTGAAATTTCACTTGCAAAACCTGTTTTGTTTTTTTATCTGCTTTGAACATTTTGTTGGTACTGAATCCAACCTATGGCTCACTGGTTTTTGTGACTGTGTGGATCCCAGTTCAGCTATTGATTGATTGATTGTGTGATTGCGGAAACGGATCAAACCCGCCCCCATCCAAACAATGACTATCACTAGTGCAGGTCAGGAAAAAAATAAATTCCAATTTTTATCATCTACAAGATCTTATTTATTTTATCGTACAGTCTATTGATTATTGGTTTCATTTCGGGGATCAAATTCTCAATAAAGAGCAAAATTCACATTCAAATGGCTGTTTTTAAAAGTCCGGAACGGATCAATCAGGTCAGTGCAGGTGAGAAAAAAAATTAATTTCAGTTTCTATCATCTATAAGATCCTATTTATTTCATAGTACAGTCCATTGATTATTGGTTTCGTTTTGGGGATCAATGGTCTTGTTAGAGAGCAAAATTCATGTCAAATTGCTGTCTTAATCCATTTTGCATTCCTTTCTATGGGAAAGCATGACTCGCACTTGGAACGCTTTGGACTGAAGTTTGAGACTCAAAGTAACCCTGTCCTGTCTTATTTACTTCATCAAACGGTCCATTGAAGATTGGTTTCGTTTCAGCGATCAATGCTCTCGCTCGAGAGGAAAATCCACAAACAGCTCTCAATCAATCCCTTTCTATGGGAATGCGCCACTCGCACTCGGAACCCGGGGAGATGTTCATGTCCATATCCCACCCAAAATCTCATATATTGATCCGTACAAGGAAGACCCTCTTCTGTTGCCCCCAGACCCCCCCATCCGCCAAAGGGGAAACTACCCCCATCAGTCGAACCAGGTTTCAGGTTCAAGTCCGGCTTGACCCCTTCTGCCAAAGGGGAATGGCACCCGTCAATTGAGGTTATTCCTCTTATCCCCAAAAGGAAACCTTCCTCCAATTGTCCCTATTCAGAGAATGTCAGCAAGGCTGAACCTTTCGGTAAAGGTCCGAGAGACTCCACCCATCTTGGCTTGGGGAATCAAACTCGCTGTCATGGTTCTTCACTCTGCCAAAGTTTCTCCTTTGACCCCTGGATATTTGGGGGGGGGGATCCGAGGGTGACCGCCGGCCCTCCAATTTCACATCATGATGTGTCTCCGGCGATGGAGAGCCAGGTGGTCCGAGCGCGAGAAGCTCCGGTCGCAGTCCGAGCAGCGGAAGGGCTTGATGCCTGTGTGTTTCCGGAAATGCCGGGTCAATTCATCAGAACGGGCAAATTTCCAGGTACAGCCCTCCCAGGTACACTTATACGGCTTCTCTCCTGCAGGGGGCAACAGAGGGTTATTGTTTTAGTAACATGAAATAAATAGGATGCCAGCAAGGCTGTCCCTTCCTTTTAACAAAGGGATTTTATTATTCCAAAAAGAAACCCTTCATCCCATTGTCAGTATTAGGAGGATGCCAGCAAGGAATTTATTATGATTAAAAAAAGTCTTCCTCTGATTGTCAATATTAAGAGGATGCCAGGAAGGTTGACCCTACCTGTGTGTATCCTTCTGTGAGCTTTTAAGTGTGAGCTCTTTGTGTAAACTTTGCTACAACCCTCAAAGTCGCACTGGTGAATGCGCCTCTTCTTGAGGTCCGGGGAGTCGGTCTGCTGCATCTGGCTCACGGAGGATGGCCTGGCAAGAGATCGGCAGAGAGGAGGGGAGTAACAAAATACTACTACTAGTAGTACTAGTTTATTATTTCTACCCCGCCCACCTGGCCACTCATTGTTAGAAATAAACTAACAATTAAAAAAACAGTAAAAAACAGACACATGACAAACACCAGAACCTGATAGTAAGACTCAACATCCTATTATTATTATTATTATTATTATTATTATTATTATTATTATTATTATTATTATATGATCCATACCCCTCCCATCTGGCCACTCATTGTTAAAAATAAAATAACAATGAAAAAAAAAGTCAAAATCAAGGACAAGAAACAGCAGAACCTGAGAGTAAGATTCAACTAACAACAACTCTATCCCTAATCCCTGTCCCTAACTCCTATCCCTATCTCTAACTCTTATTGCTAACCCTAATCCTAATAATAATAATAATAATAATAATAATAATAATAATAATAACAGTATAAATTAAATCAATTTAAATCACGATTTAAATCCCTAGTCCGTAAGACTCGATTTAAATCCTTTCTTTACAGAAAGGTTCGTCCTTGCTGGCATCCTCTGGCAGGAAACTCACTCTCTCTGGAGCTCGGGGAAGGAGGCCGGGCGGCTCTCCGAAGCGCTGTCGTCGCTCTCGCTGCCAATGCCAATTGGGCAAATAGAACCGGGGTCCACTTTCACTGCAGGGAAAAACAAAGGCACATTCAGAAAAAGGACAAGACTTTCCGGGATATATTTGTAGTTTCCTGGAGTTTAGTGATCTGACATGGTTGTTTCTCCCTGCCTTTGCTTACTTCCCCTTTTGGGAATAATGAAATCCTTTTTTTACAGAAAGGTTCAGCATCCTCTTAATGTGGACAATTGGAAGCAGCTTTCCTTTTTGGAACAATGAAATCCTTCTTTTATAGAAAGGTTCAGCCTTGCTGGCATGCTCTTAATATTGTCATGATCTATGACCACCCTGCAGTGCCCTCACCGGACCCGGCGTCCTTCCCGTCGCCCCCGATGAGGGGCACCGTCACGGCGGCTGCCGCCACCCCGTCGGCCGGCACGGCGGCATAGACGACCGGCAGCGACTGGACCACCAGCGGGATGGTCTGGAGTTTGCCCATCTTGCCGGGCAGCTGGAACGAGGGGATCGTGTGGATCACGTGCAGGATCTGCTGCCCGCCGCTGCCCTGGCTTGAGGCCAGGATGGAGCCCGGAGACAGGACAGCTGGGATGGCCGAGGACGTGGAGCCCAGTGGCGCCGGTGACACGGCGGGCGGTGCACCGGTCCGGAAGCAGGAGAGAGGGATCTGGGGCACTGGTGGCACCTTGGTTTTGTGGACCGATAGATCCACCGGCTCGGCCAGCAGCTCCTCGGGGGGCTCAGTCTTAATGTCACCCAGCAACGCGGCCGGCAGCTCGCCGTCACCCAGCAGTGGCGAGGAACTCATGGTGGGCAGAGGTGCCGGGAGCCTGGGGAAGGGAAGAGAAGGGCCAGTCAGGTCTGGGTTCCTGAACACCTTGGGAAGGTTTCCTTATTGAAATAATAAACCCCCTTTTGTCTTAACAGAAAGGTTCAGCCTTGCTGGCATCCTCTGATTGACAATCGGAGGAAGGTTTCCTTTCTGCAATAATACAGAAAGGTTCAACCTAGCTGGCATCCACTTACTTTTAGACAAGCTGAGAAAAGTTTCCTTTTTGGAATAGTGAAATCCCTTTTTTTACAGAAAGGTTCAGCCTTGCTGGCCTCCTCTGAATATGGCGAAGTGGAGGGAGATTTCCTTTTTGGAATCATCAAATCCTTTTTTATACAGAAAGGTTCAACCTTGCTGGCATTCCCTTAATATGGACAACTGGAGGAAGGTTTCGGTTTTGGAATAATAAAATCCCTTTTTTACAAAAAGCAGAGGAAAGTTTCCTTTTGGGAATCATAAAATTCTTAATGAAATTATTGTTCTTCTTCATTATTATTATTATTATTATTATTAATTTTATCTTTATACCGCCTTATACCCAAAGGTCTCAGGGCGGTTCACATAAAATATTGCATACATGAAATCAAAATACAAACAACAACCCTATAGTAGTAGTAGTATGATGATGATGATGTCCTAAAGCCAAGACTGTGAGCACTCATGATGCTCCCTGCCCAAATAAAACTGAAGATGCTTTTTTTACAGAAAGCTGGGGGTTGCAAGTGCCGCCAAAAGCTTTGCAAAAAGGGCCCCCCTGGCTGCAGCCGGACCCCCAAGGCCTTTCCAAGAGCTGGCAAAGGGCAGCCCCGGAGAACTGACTCAGGTGTGGGGCACCCCTCCAAAATGCACCCACCCACCCACCTCCACCCACAGTCAAAAGGAAAGCCCAGCCAGGGCGCCCTGCCTTTACAGAAAGGTTCGACCTTGCTGGCATCCTTTTTAAAATATTGACAAGCAGAAGGTGGTTTCCTTTTTGGAATGATAGAATCTGTGTTGTTGTTTTTTTTGTTTTTACAAAAAGGTTCAGCCTTGCTGGCCTCCTCTTAATATGGACAACTGGAGGAATGTTTCCTTTTTGGAGTCATAAGTTTTCAGAAATGCATAGACTATTAGAACAATAATTATAAAATTATGGGGAGGTTTAATAAATTAACTGTTTCTGTTTGGACAACTTTTCTACTGTGCTTGATTGGAAGGAGAAAAGGAATCATTTCCTTCATAACTATTTAAACAATTTATTTAACTAAAACAATAACTAAAACAACATTATGGTATATGTATCCATGTTTGTTAACTGATGTGCTTAAACTTTTTTTAAAAGAAAAATTTAGGGCAGGCTTCCTCAACCTCAGCCCTCCAGACTACAATTCCCAGCATCCCTGACCTGCTAGCTACAGATCATGGGAGTTGTAGGTCAAAAACATCTGGATTGCTGATTTTGAGGAAGCCTAACTGACTGAGTTTCAGCACACATGAAAAACTTTAAACAAATCCTTCTTTCCTGATGAATAGCCTTTGGACTAGCTTAAAGAGAAAATCTTGAGAAATATTTTTCCTCCCAAAGCATTTTATTTTAAAAATCTGATTTAAGGCAGCTCAGAGAGAGGAAGGGGGGGGGAGAGATATGTGAAGGCAAGGCTTGCTGGAGCATTACAGGGAAGCCAGCCTGCAGGCTCTGTTGCCATGGCAACTGGATGCACCTGAGGATGGATCTGGTACCCAGGCCCGCATCTCTTTCTAGGAGAAAGCGCACCTCACTTTTGGAATTTGAGTGCAAATTTTGGGGGGCGGGCAAGACGGCAAAAGTCTCTCTGCGCACGAGACAGCGACGAGAGGACAGAGGGCCCAGAGCTCGGCCTCTGGGGCAACGTAGAGTTCCCCTCTGGCCCCTCGCAGGGAGAAGGGACCCTTCCATTGCCCGCCTGCCCACCAAGGGGGCCAAGAGGGACCGGGTCTCCCTGCTGGTCTGAGGCTGCTGGTGCTGATGCTGATGGGGCCAGGTACCAAGCTCTATCGGGTGCATCCCATTGCCGTGGCAACAGAGCCTGCAGGCTGGCTTCCCTGTGATGCTCAAGCAAGCCCTGCCTTCACATCTCTCTCTCTCTGTGTCTTTCTCTCTACTTTTTTGCTCTCTGTTCCTCTCTCAAATCTCCCTTCCTCTATCCCTCTCTTCTTTCTTTCCCTCCCTGGACTACTACTTCTTCTTTTCTCTTTCTCTTTCTCCCCTCTCTTTCTCTCTACTTTTTTCTCTTTCTCTCCATTTCTCTCCAATCTCCCTTCATATATCCTCTCTTCTCTCTTTCCCTCCCTCTTCCTCCCTGGACTTCTTCCCCCCTCTCTCTCTCTCCCCCCCCCCCTTTATTTGCCAGCAGAGAAGGGCGAGGCCCGGAGGAAATTCCTGCCATAGGTGCGGACACGGCTGCAGGCGGCTGGGTGTGCCCCCATCTCGCCAGCTCTTTAGGCCGGCCAGAGCTTTCCTGGATAATAAGGATCATTTTATTATTTTTACTCCGCCCATCTGGCCCTCTCCGCCCAGCTTCAGCTGCCTTGACAAGCCCTAAGCAAGGAGGCGAATCTGGCCCAGAGCCAAGTGCAAGGCGTGGCGCCCGCCCATCCCCTTTGCAACCTCTCCATGACCTGGCGCTACCCAGGCCCTGCCCAGAGTGGAAGAATGTGGGCGTTCCTGCTGCCGCTCGCTCTCCACCCAGCACAGGCTGGGTGTGCCTCCCAGACTTAAAAAAACCCCTAAAACAGCAATTTAACATGAATTTCTCTATCTAACGAGACCTAAAAGGAAAGCAATAAGCAGTCTTTGGACCCCTGGGCTCTCACTTGTGGAATGTCTCTCCCTCCCCCCCATGCTTTTGAACCTGCAGGGAGAGATTATCTGGGGGTTTCCGCTGGGGGTTCACCAGTATGCGGATGGTACCCAGCTCAGCCTCCCTTTTAAATCAGAACCAGTGAAGGCAGTCAAGGTCCTGTGTGAGTGCCTGGAGGCGGTTGGAGGACGGATGGCGGCTAACAGATCTGGACGAGACTGAAGTCCAGTTGTGGGGGGGCACCCTGGTCCTGAATGGGGCAACTGCGCCCTTGAAGGACCAGGTGCGCAGCCTGGGGGTCATTTTGGACCTATGGAGGCGCAGGTCCATTCTGTGTCCAGGGCAGGTATATCTGGGATGCAGGATGAGACCCTCCCTGCCAGCCGACTGTCTCACCAGAGTGGTGCATGCTCTGGTTATCTCCCACTTGGACTACTGCAATGCGCTCCATGTGGGGCTACCTTGGAAGGTGACCCAGAAACTACAATTAATCCAGAATGTGGCAACTGGGAGCGGCTGCCGAGACTACATAACACCAGTCTTGAAAGACCTACATTGGATCCCAGGACATTTCTGGGCACAATTCAAAGTGTTGGTGCTGACCTTGAAAGCCCTCAACAGCCTCGGTCCTGTAGACCTGAAGGAGCGTCTCCACTCCAGACACTGGGGTCCCTCTCCCGAGGGCCTTCTGGCTTTTAGAAGACATTGGAAGGCACCCCTGTTTAGGGAAGTTTGTAAGGTTTGACGTTTTAGTCTGTTTAAGGCCAGAAGGACATGAGCCACAAATTCAGTCCTGCCATCTCCACAGTTTTTCCCAGTGAGATTTTTTGGAATTGTCCCTCGAGGACAGCCGAAGGTGGTACATTCAATCTTGAGAGAGTAGAAGCGCGTCGCTCTTTTGGAATTACAGTGGTACCTCGGGTTAAGTACTTAATTTGTTCCAGAGGTCCGTTCTTAACCTGAAACACCACTTTAGCTAATGGGGCCTCCTGCTGCCGCTGCACGATTTCTGTTCTCATCTTGAAGCAAAGTTTTTAACCCAAGGTACTATTTCTGGGTTAGTGGAGTCTGTAACCTGAAGCGTATGTAACCTGAAGCGTATGTAACCTGAGGTACCACTGTATCAAAGTTGTGCAAATAGGGTGCCAAAGAGTCGAATAGGTGGAAAGTAGTGATACCATGGGAAAAATTTCCCGATTGTGGCCAAGTTGTTCTGACGCTCGAGATTGTTTAGCTTGTTTGCTTGACTAAAACCCAAAGTGATTAGCTGTTGTGGTGATAAACCACAAGAGTGAAGTTTTGGAAAGACAATTTCAGTCCAGGCGCTCTGATGACAATCTTTTCGCACTAGGGATATTAGACGGGGGAATTTGAGTTCAGACGAAGCCAGCCGCGTGGTACCCTGGTTCTCAAACTTAATCCGTTCCGGAACCCTCTCTGCGCGCTCGGCTGCGCCCTCTGCCGCTCCCGTTTCCTGGGGTTGTGCCGCCTCCGCGCTTTCGCCTCCTCCGCCCACCACCCGGGGGCGCCCCCGCCTGTCAATCCGGAGCCAGTCTCACTCCATCGCCTCGCAGACACCGGGGGCGCAGTGGCCACCCATGGATCGTTCTCACGGAGCCTGCTCGAGCCCCGGACTCGCTGCCAGACAGGGGCTCGAGCGCACGCCCTCGGGAGACGCCAAGCAGAGGCTCTCCCGTGCGTAAAAGTCGCGGCTGCCGGTCCTCCAGCTCTTCCTCTTCCCTGCGCGCTGCCCGCCGCTCCCATTTCCTCGGGGGTCACCGCCTCCGCGCTTCCACCTCCTCCACCCACTCACCGCCCAGGGGCGCCCCCACCTGTCGGCGCGGAGCCAGCCTCGCTCCCTCGCCTCCTCCGGGAGCGCAGCGGCCACCCTGGCTCCACCCGCGGGATCGTTCTCACGGAGCCTGCTCCAGCCCCCCACTCCCCGACTCGCTGCCAGACAGAACCATGGGGACTAGGGAGCAGCAGTGCCGCGCCAGAAATCCCCCCACCCCGCCGCCCCACCTCGGGAGAGGCCCAGCAGTGGGTCTCCCGTGCGTAATAACAGGCGCAGTGGCCCGGCCTCTCCAGCTCCTCCTCTTTCCTGCGCGCTCGACTGCGCCCTCTGCCGCTCCCGTTTCCTCGGGGGGTGGCGCCTCCGCGCTTCCGCCTCCTCCGCTAACCGCCCTTGACCGAGGCTTCCTTGCCCGCTTAGCGCCTCCGCGCCGGGCGCACCTCTCTCCGCGGGTCCCCGTGCGCAAAGGCAGCCTGGCTGGACGCGCCGGTGATGATGGTGGCGGCGGCGGTGGCTGCTCTTCTCCGACGAGCCGGGCTCCCCACCCATCTGCCCGTCCCTGACCCCACCCACCACCGCCTCCACCCACCGCCCCCGCCCCCACCTGTCAACCCGAGCCAGAGCCAGCCTTCCCCCCCCCCCCGCCAATCCGCCGCCACCAGGGGCGCAGCGGCCGCCACCCTGGCTCCATCACCCGTGGGATCGGCTCACGGAGCTTGCTCGAGCCCCAGAACCGGGAGCGGCGGCGGGAGAGGGGGAAGCAGCAGAGCCGCGCCAGAAAGCCCCCACCCCCGCCACACCCCCTCGGGAGACGCCCAGCCGAAGCTCTCCTCCGTTAGTAACAGACGCCTCCAGCTCCTCCTCTTCCCGGCGGGCTCGGCTGCGTCCTCTGCCGCTCCCGTTTGCGGGAGGCTGGCGCCGCCTCCGCGCTTCCGCCTCCTCCGCCCACCGCCCTTGACCGCTTCCCTGCCCACCCACCCGCCACCTCCTCCACCCACCGCCCTGCTGGACCACCTCCCTGTCCGCTCCTCTCGCCGGCGGTCCCCGTGCGCTAAGCGAGCCTGTCTGGCTGCTTTTCTCCGACGAGCCGGGCTCACCCACCCATCTGCCTGTCCCTCACCCCACCCGCCACCTCCTCCACCCACCGTCCTGCAGGACCACCTCCCAGCCCGCTCCGTGCTGGGCGCACCTCTTGCCGGGGGTACCCAAGCCTGGCTGGACGCGCCGGGGGCGGCGGCGGCTCTCTTCCGCAGAGCCGCGCTCCCCCACCCATTTGCCCGTCCCTGACCCCACCCATCACCGCCTCCACCCACCGCCCACTGCCCCGGACCGCTTCTCCGCGCGCTCACCGCCTCCGCGCAGTGCGCTCCCCTCGCCGTGTGCGCAAAAGCGAGCCTGGCTGCTGGACGCGGCGCCGGTGGCGGCGGCTCCTCTCTCCCCCACCCAACTGCCTGACCCCACCCAGCGGCTCCACCCAGTCGCGACTCCACGGGCTGTCAATCAGCAGCGGCGGTAGGGGGAGGGGAGGAGGCAGGTGGCCAAATTGCGCGGCCGAGGGCGCAGCCGCCGCCGCCCTCCTTCCTTCTCCCCTCCTTTTCCACCCTTTTACCATTCCCCCCTCCCCGCACCAGCAGGAGCCGATCCGGGTTGGGCTGCTCCGCCCTTTCTGCCTCTACCTTCCCGCGGACAGGAGGCAGGCAGCCTTTCCCAGAGGCGAGTCCAGCCTTCCAAGTCCTTTTATTCGCTTTCCAAATTAATAAGAATCAAACCTAATTATTTTAATCTAATACAATTTTCTAATAATATTAATAACAACAACAACAAATTATTTCTACCTCTCCCATCCGGCTGGGTTTCCCCAGCCACTCTTGGCAGCTTCCAACAAAAGATTAAAAATACATTAGAATGTCTGTCATTCACAACTTCCGCAAACAGGGCTGCCTTCAGATGTCTTCTAAATGTCTAATTTAGTTGTTTATTTCTTTGACATCTGATGGGAGGGCGTTCCACAAGGCGGGCGCCACCACCAAGAAGGCCCTCTTCCTGGTTGCCAACATACAGTGGTACCTGGATTCTCAAACGTAATCCGTTCCGAACCCAAAGCACACTTTCCCATGCAAAGGAATTCCAAACAGATTAAACTATTCCAGACTTTTAAAAACAGCAATCTGAACATAAATTTTACTTTCTAATGAGACCACTGATCCATAAAATGAAAGCAATCACTAATGTGCTGTACGGTAAAATAAATAAGATATTGTAGATGATAAAAATGAAAATTAATTTTTTTTCTTACCTGCACTGATGATAAGTCATTGTTTGGATGCTTCTAGCCATTTCCGCACTCACACTGTCAATCCATCAGGAGCTGAACTGGGTTCCACACAGCCACAAAAAGAGGAACCGAAAAGCCACAAAAACACCAAATCAAGAGCAATAAGCAAAGTACCATTTGACTTCTGAAATGTTCAAAAACCAAGGCTTCAGATTGGCGCAGGCACCCTAGAAACAATTGCCGGCAGCCGCGTCGAACACTCAGCTTCCGGAAAATGTCCGAAAACTGGAACACTTCCTTCGGGCTTTTTGGCGTTTGGGAAACCGAAACCAGGCCGAAACCCCGGTGGAAATGGACCCAGAAAACCAGTTTCTGTGAGTTATGTGGCTATTCCCTGCTGTGTGGAAAACGCAGGCAGCCAACCTGCTTCCCGCTCCAGCGCCCGATCCGGCTCCGGACTAAGCCCTCCGGACATCTGCAGAGCCCCACCCCGGTTCACCTTTGAATGTATTTTTCATCTTTTGTGGGAAGCCGCCCAGAGTGGCTGGGAAAACCCAGCCAGATGAGCGGGGTAGAAATCATAAATTATTATTATTATTCACTTGGGCTCTGCAGAACTCCAGAAGGGAAAACAGGAGCGCTGTTTGCAAAGGTGATAGCGCCGCGAGAACAGTTTTCATCTGGCGAAGATTTTAAGCAACAACAGAAGAGACAGACAGTGGTGCATTTATTAGACATACAGGATGTGCATTTATTATCTCATAACATTCCAAATTTAATTGCCATTTCCAGAGTTGCAGACGGTTGCACCCTTTTCCAGCGTCGGCTGAGCCTCCCTGCGCAGAAGCGGTCGGCGCTGTGCCGCTCAGCGCATGAGGAGGCTGTGCTTGGGCCCGTCCACCCTCTCCAGCTTCTCAAAGTGCTTGCGAGCGTTGCGGATGTTGATCAGGGTGGCGGCAGAAGCTGGAAGTGAGCCGGGAGAGGAGGGATGAGCTTCCTGGCTTCCCCATACCTGCGGAACTCCCCACCCCTGGATTCCCCCAACATTGGACCATTCAAAGGAGCACTTTCCAAATTTTCCCAAAACTGCGGAACTCCCCATCATTGGATTCCCCCGGCACCTGAGCGCTTTCCCACCTTTCTGATACCCATGGAACTCCTTGCCACTGGATTTGCGGAAGATTTGAACCCGAGCCTTTCAAACTTACGTATGGAAGGGTCGGACATGACGACCATCACGTAGGTGTTGGAGGTGAAGATGTCGATGAAGGCGGCGAAATTCGAATTGCGCACCTCCATGCTCTGGAAGGAGGCAGCCAGTTTGCTGGTGGTGGGGGAGGACATTTATGAGCACAGCTCAAACATTCCAGGATTCAGATTTGCAGTTTTTGATTTTACAAATTGATATTTATATGGATTTTAATGTCATAAATTCAGTATTAATAGTAGATTATAGTTACATCAAATTTATAAATATTATAAATTCAATATAAGTATTAAATCTGCATTAAATTTAAAAATATATTAAAATTTTATTGAATTGAAAAAGATTATAAAATAAACATATATTAAAACTATTAAATTTTATAAATTTTATTATAAAATATATATAAATGTTATGTTATATTAAATCTACATTAGATTTATCCTTAGAGTAAATTAAATATAAATATATTAAATCTGTATTAAAATTATAAATACATTCATACCTCAGGTTAAAGACGCTTCAGGTTGAGCATTTTCAGGTTGCATCCCGTGGCATCCCGGAAGTAACAGAAAGGGTTACTTCCAGGTTTCACCACTCACGCATGTACAGATGCTCAAAATGACGTCACGCACATGCGCAGAAGCGGCGAATCACGACCCACGCACACACAGACGCGGGTTGCTTTCTGCTCAGGGCTCCAGAACGGATCCCATTCGCAACCAGAGGTGCCACTGTATTGTAATTTAAATATAAATATTTGATTTATATCTAATTTATAAATATTATCAAATAAATATATTAAATCTGTATCAAATTTGTAAATAGTATAAATTAAATATAACTTTATTAGATTTCTATCATATTTATATGATATGATATATCCGTTTATTGTGAGGACCATGCCTGTACACAAACATTAACACAACAATAGTTAAAAGATATTAAAATTCATTACATACTACGCCAACAAAACCTTCATCCCACAAAATAGAAAGAGAGGGAAAACGAGCAACGAGTTAAACAGACGATGAAGGGGTCTTTACTTTGTCATCCATAAGTCTTTCCCTGGCTTTCACGGCCTTTATCACAAAAACCGCTACCACATGGGTAATACGTGGGTTTGCATCAACTAACAAAAATTTTACTCTATCTTCAGGATTAGTTATAGAGTTGGGTATAATTTGCAGCAATGCGTCTCTAAAGCTCGAGTAGATGGGGCAATAGAGGAGGTAATGTGTAAGATCCTCTTTAATTTTCATAAGGCAAGGGCATAAACGATGTTCTACTGGGGTTTTGTGAATCTACCGGTCAGATATGCAGTTGGCAGTGTTTGAAACCGTGCCATAGTGAAAGCTCTCCGAAGGGTGGGGTCAGTGATCTCCACCAAGTAGTTGGCACAGATTTTGACTGCTTTTACTCGGGGAAACCAGTAGGAAAACCCAGAGTTTTTTATCTTTGTGGAGTCCAAAAAGGCGTCTTTTTCAAAGATCCATTCCCGAATTTTATCAGGGCTCCACAATTTAAGGGTATTAAACTCGGGTAGATTGTATCTGGATAGGATATCTAGTAGGTTTTTATGCCAAGTAGTATTATTTTGTAATAATACAAAGGCTTGTTTAGCCAATAAGGTGTTCGGGGCATCTGTAAGGTTGGTGAAAAAAACGCAGGAATCTTAAGTGGGCCCTGGCAGACACAGAAGGTAATCCTACTTCCACTCTTAGGAGAGCTGCCGGAGTACTCTGAGGGAGGCCTAGAATTCTTCTGAGGTAAAAATTTTGGAAGATTTCAAGCCGTTCTAACAGCTTCTGATTCCATCCCCAGAGTTCCACTCCATAAAGCATCTGGGGAATCACTTTTCCAACAAAAGCTTTTAATGCCGGGATCACCAGTTGCCCTCCCCTCGAATAAAAAAAGCTGAGCAGGGCACCGATTGTCCTACGTGTTAGGAGGGCTACAGTCTTGAAGTGGGCAAGCCAGCTAGATGTAGCTTGGAAAGTGATACCAAGATATTTAAAAAAAAGACACTGTTCAATTTTGTGTTCATCTAAAGACCATCTAAATGTGTGGCGAGCTCTAGTAAATACCACAATTATCATATTTATAAATTATACTATAAAATAAATAAAAATATATTAAACCTGCCTTACATTTATAAATAGAATAAATTAAATATAAATATTATATTGAGTCTGTCTTAAATTTATAAATAGTGCAAATTAAATATATATCAAATTTATCAATATTATGAAATAAATATAAATATTAAATCAGTTTTAAATTTATAAATAGTGCAAATTAAGCATGAATATTATATCACATTTAAGCTACATTTGTAAATATAAATTGAATTATAAAACAAAGATAAATATTATATTAAATCTGTACTAAATTTATAAATAGAATAAACCAAATTCAAATACTACATTAAATCTGTATTAAACTTAGAAATATTATCAATTAATTGCCAATCTTGTGAACTGTATTTGGGAAACAGTTTAAATTGACATTTTAGACTTGTCAGTTAATCGACTTCCCTACCTCCAGCCTCATGGTTACTGTATTTCCTTTCTACGTAATAGCATTTGTAATTTTTCCTACTTATCTTTCATCATTTCAATTGTCACATTTTAAAATAAATATAAGAAAGTATGAATCATAAAAAAATAAAAAATTACATTTTAGACTTGTCAATTAATCGACAACATTATCACCTCATTTTATTTTATTTTATAATTAAATCAACTAAATTAAAACTTGCATTTGAAGAATTTTAAATTTGAGGATTATAATTTTAGGATTGAAATTATAAATTATATTTGATGTTATCAATTAAGCTTATACATGATTATAATAATGAGACAGACCTAATTTCCATGTCACGGCTGCCAAGCTATTTTCCAGAATTCTACCCCTACCCCGAAACGGCCGTCTAAAGTAACATGTTTCTCACCTGCAGCTCAGTTTGAATTGTTTGATGATATTGCTGATTTTCTCAAATCGGTGGATGTCTCGCTGCTCTTTGCACTGATAGTGGGAAATCACCTGTAGGGAGGGGAAAACCATAATAAATTTCTTTTATTTCTACAGAAAGCATTGCCCAATTCCTTTCCCAGAATGCTTTGCTGGAGAGGCAAACAAAATAAAATCTTTTTTTACAGAAAGGTTCAGACTTGCTGGCATCTTCTGAATATCAACGAGCAAAGGAAGGTTTTCTTTTCGGAATGATACATTTTTAGAGCAGGGTGAATTTGATTTGAATCAAATCAATTTAAATTACGGTTTAGATCGCTTGTCAGTTAAGGATTTCCTCCAACTGTCGATATTAAGAGGCGGCCAGCAAAGGATTTAAATCAAGTCTTACTTTATTGGAAGGAGAAAAACAGTCATTTCCTTAATAGAATTTAAACCATTTATTTAACTATTTGTTATTATTAATAATAATAACAAATAATGATAATAATGATAATAATGATAATAACAATGATGATGATAATAATAATAATAATAATAATAATAATAATAATAATACTATCCCGAATCCAGATCCCCAGCTTCTATCCCTATCTCTAAACCTTATCCCTAGCCCTAATAATAATAATAAATAATAATAATAATAATAATAACAATAACAACCCTATCACTAATCCCTATTCCTAACCCTAACCCTAATAATAATAATAATAATTTATTCTTTATACCCCGCCCATCTGACTGGGTTTCCCCAGCCACTCTAGGTGGCGGTAGCAGCAGTGAAACGTGAGTAATCGTAGTTCATTAAAAGGTTGGTTTTATTCCAAAAAGATTACAGATTGCTGAGAGCTCCCCTCCCGGGAGTCAGTCTCCACTTTAAGATGATGACTCGACTGAGTGCGAAGTGTCGCATTTCCTTCGACGAAAGCAACGTGGGAGGAACCTTCTCTTAGCATATTGTGACATAGTTTGCCGCCTATCCTGTACTCCCCCTTTTCTACGCTCAGGAATACTCAAAGGCTGAGCTGCCATCTCTGAAAGGCTACCTGCAGATTCCTCTAGCCTGGGAGATGACCCTTCTCCTACTTCCTGGGAATGAGTTTCCACAGCCACCTCTCTTATCTGCATTTGGCTCTCTGCCCGGGCTGGCAGCTGCTCAGGAAGACTATCTGTAGCCCTGACAGCGGCTCCCAACATAATAATAATAATAATAATAATAATAATAATAATAATAATAACTTTATCCCTAATCCCTATTCCTAACCCTAATAACATCATCATCATCATCATCAACAACAACAACAACAATAATCTTACCAGGAAAGTCGCCCGCTCAAAAAGAAGGACCTCGTCGGCTTCAATGATCTGCGCAAAATTCCTCAGGTTGGTCTCCAGTTGCTGAACGTTGGGGATAAGCTGGTAGACTATACTCGACCACGCCTGCCCCGCGAAAAATCGAATGAAATCAAATTAATTTGTGTTATTAAATCAAATTAAGGAATGAAATCAAACAAATTTGTGCTATTAAATGAAACTCAGTTGAACGAAATTGAATGAATTGGTGATATGAAATTAAACTAAACCGAATTCACTTGAATTAAGGTAGTTCTTTTCCTTTGCAAAAACGAGTCGCATGTTGGCAAGTCATACGGAGTCCATTCCAGAAGTCCGCCCAGAAACTAAAGCACGGTTTCCAATTGGCAGCAGGGAGCTCCTGATAAAATCCCTTTTTACAGAAAGTTTCAACCTTGCTTGCATTTTCTTAATAGTGACAATCGCAGGAAGGAATAATAATAATAATAATAATATTGATGATGAATCCATTTTTTACAGAAAGGCTCAACCTTGCTAGCATCCCGTACCAAAGGCCCGAGTTTGAGGGGGTACGAGGTACAACTATATGGGCAAAAAAAGAAAGAAAATAAAAGATTTCAGGCGCTCCTTGTAGAGCGTTTCATCCCAGATGAAGATCTGGAAGCAGGTGCATTGAATTAATTTGAATGAAATTGAATTAACTTGAATGAAATTGAATGAATTTGTGCTATTAAACTGAATTAATTTGAATGAAATTGAATGAAAACAAATGAATTGGTGCTTTTAAATTGAATGAAATTGAATTAATTTGAAGGAAACCAAATCAACTTGAATCAAATCAAATGAAATCGAATGAATTGGTGCTATGAAATTAAGTTGAATTTCAAAGGAATTCACTTAAATGAAATTGAATGAATTTGTGCTATGAAATTGAATGAACTTGAATGAAACTGAATCAACTTGAATGAAATCGAATGAATTGGTGCTATGAAATTAAGTTGAATTTCAATGGAGTTTAAATCAAATCGAATGAATTTGTGCTATGAAATTTAAATGAATTTCAATGAAATTAACTTCAAGGAAATTGTGTTATTCAGTTGAATTGAAGAATTGAAAGGTCAGAGTTTGAGGGCATTGGGAACCAAGGTACAACTGTATGAGCAAAATGTATATATAAATATTTCAGTCACACCTTGTAGAGAGTTTCATCCCAGATGGAGGTCCGAAAGCAGGCGCACTCCAGCGGGCGCGAGAGCCGCTTCAAATCCTCCTCCCTCTCCTTGAAAATCTGCAGGAGACAAAATCCATCTTGGCAGCGGGTTGGACTAGATGACCCTGGTGCCGCTTCCCCATTGAAATCCCTCGCCTATCAAACTTGATTTAAATCTATTTACAGAAAGGTTCAGCCTCTCAAGAGGGAGAATACTTTTCAGAATCATAAAATAATAATAATGTTATTCTTTATACACGGCCCATCTGGGTGGCTCCCAACAGAATGATGATAATCATGATCATGATCATGAGCATATTTTGCCCCTTGCAGTCGACGTGGAGCACTTGTCCGTCTGCTTCCTGGGCAACCTGGTCCTCAACCTCTAGGAATGTGACGGATAAGTACCTCGCCAAGTTAAAAGGGACCCCTGGCGGTCACCAAGTCTGCCCACCACCAGGCAGGACTCTCTCCTCAAGTAGCCTGGACAGATGGCCGCCCAGCCTCTGCTTGAAATCTAAGCGATGGATGGAAATCGCAATTTAAACCCCTCGCCCGTCCAACTGGGTTTAAATCCCTTCTTTACAGTACAGCTCAGCCATGCTGGCATCCTCTTCATCTTGATTTTTCTCATTGAAATCCCGATTCAAATCCAGATTTAAATCAGTCAGACTCAGGCTTTGCTGGCCTGCTCTTAATTTGGACAATCAGAGGGAGGTTTCCTTTTTGGAATAATAAAATCCCTTTTTTACAGAAAGGTTCAGCCTTGCTGACACCCTCTCAATATGGCCAATCGGAATTCCTTTCCAGAACCCTAAAATCCTCACTGGCAACCCTCCTAAGACCGAAAACCTGAGTCTCCAACCCCTATCCCTATAATTCCCTGCTCATCTGGCTGGGTGTCGGGCGGCTCCCAACATAATACAGTGGTACCTCGGGTTACATACGCTTCAGGTTACAGACTCCGCTAACCCAGAAATAGTACCTCGGGTTAAGAACTTTGCTTCAGAATGAGAACAGAAATCGCGAGGCGGCGGCACGGCACCAGCATGAGGCCCCCATTAGCTAAAGTGGTGCTTCAGGTTAAGAACAGTTTCAGGTTAAGAATGGACCTCCAGAACGAATTAAAAAATCTACATCAGACACTCAAATACCAACAAGCCTGTTATCCCAGCCTGGTTAGCCTCCTAAAAACTCTGATACCCCATTGTTATGTACTGAAGTTCTCACCCTGGGCCAGCAGGGGGATACTGTAGATAGTTTTCACCCAGGGCCGCATATGCAAATAAGGAATTGAAAGTGACATTCAGTGAGTGGATAGTTACAGAAAGTTGTTACTGTTGCCATGTAGTTGAACTCTATATAAGCAGGTTGGCTGAACCCTTCAGCCCTGTTCTGTTCTGGCCTGTGAATAAACAAGAGCTGTCTGAAGAATCACTGTGTTGTCTGATATGTTCACCCACAACTTAACACTGGCGACAAGGATGGGATCAATGGATATCAGAGCACAGCCAGACACGGCCACCCTCTGAGCTGAGCTGAATCACTGAGCTGAAACATAGAGCGAAATCACTGAACAGAACCAATTCAGAGCTGACTGTTCTGGCTAGAGCACTGTGTTCTATCCATCGCCCTCCACGTTGGCATCAGAACCATGACTTCACTCATGCCTCTACCGCCGTTTGCCCCAGCCTCTGAATCATGAGATGCCTACCTCGCTCAGTTTGACTGCTACCTCCAAGCCAACGAGCTGACGGAAGTATCACAGGAGCGTAAGCGGGGCCTATTCCTCAGCCTCTGTGGGCCTGAGGTGTTTGAGACGGCGCGAGCATTGGTTGCGCCTGTAGCAGTCCAGGCAACACCGTGGGACACGATTCAAGAGAAGCTCCGCAGCCACTACGTGCCAAAGCCGTCCAAGATTGCTGCCTGCCATGCGTTCTACCACCAGAACCAGGCAGAGGGGGAGTCAATTAACAACTACACCGCCGCCCTCCGACAGGCTGCAATGCACTGCGAGTTCCGATTGGGGGGGCAACTCCCATCTCTTGCGGGGGCGCAATTAGTGCCAGCACCGTCCGTTAAGAGTTTGGGTGTAATCTTCGACACCTCCCTTTCCATGGAGGTGCAGATTGCAGCTATAACAAAGGCGGCATTTTTCCAGCTCCGCCAAGCTAAGCAGTTGGCTCCTTACCTTTCTCGCCCTGACCTAGCCACTGTGATCCACGCGACGGTCACCTCCAGACTGGATTATTGTAACTCGCTCTACATGGGGCTGCCCTTGAGACTGATCCAGAAACTCCAGCGGGTGCAGAACGCCGTGGCAAGACTCCTAACGGGGTCCTCGCCGTGGGATCACATTCACCCGGTGCTATACCAGCTGCACTGGCTCCCGGTGGAGTACAGGATCAGGTTTAAGGTGCTGGTTTTAACCTTTAAAGTCCTATACGGCCAAGGACCCTCGTACCTATGGGACTGCCTCTCCTGGTATGTCGCACAGAGAAACTTACGGTCTTAAAATAAAAACATCTTGAAGGTCCCAGGCCACAGAGAGGTTAGGCTGGCCTCAACTAGAGCCAGGGCTTTTTCGGCTGTGGCTCCGATCTGGTGGAACACTCTGTCACAAGAGACTAGGGCCCTGCAGGGCCTGCAAGACAGAGCTGTTCCTCCAGGCCTTTGGCCAGGGCACAGCCTGACTCCCTCCCTCGGCAATCTTCGCGGAGCTCTGGCCCAATGGTTGCCAGTGGCTTGATTTGAATTAATTTTATAATGAATGATTTTATAGTGTTGTTTGTGTTGTACTTTTGTACTGTTTTATTGTTGTTAGCCGCCCTGAGCCCGGCTTCGGTTGGGGAGGGCGGGATATAAATAAATTTTTTTATTATTATTATTATTTACTGAAGTTCTCACCCTGGGCCAGCAGGGGGATAACGTAGATAGTTTTCACTCAGGTCCGCATATGCAAATAAGGAATTGAAAGTGACATTCAGTGATTGGATAGTTACAGAAAGTTGTTACTGTTGCCATGTAGTTGAGCTCTATATAAGCAGGTTGGCTGAACCCTTCAATTCAGTTCTGCTCTGGCCTGTGAATAAACAAGAGCTGTCTGAAGAATCGCTGTGTCGTCTGATATGTTCACCACAACTTAACACCCATAATTAAATACAATATACTCCCATAGAGATTACCTTACACTGCGTTTAAAACCAAAATAGCATTTGGATAGAAACTGTTTCTCAGGAGGCTAGTCCTAGTCTTTATAACCCTGTGTGCGCACTAGCCTGCACTATCTCTGCAGTTTCCTATGGCACCTGGAAGCATAGATTTGATCCAAGGTGGGAAGAGTGCACCCAGTTATTCTCCCTGCAGTCTTTACAACCCTGGACAGCTCCCCCCCCCCGACCGTGCAGCTCCCAAACCGCACACACAGACCGTAAGTTAATACACTCTCATCAGTACAATGGTAAAATGCCATCAACAGGTCCTTTGAAAGATTATTTTTCCAGAGGATTCTCAGAAAATATAACCTCTGCTGTGCTCTCTTCATAAGGTCTTGCTGTTTTCTCCCCAGGTTAGGTCATCTCTCAACTCCATTCCCAGAAATCCAAACACCAAGACCTGTTCCACACACTTCCCCTTAATAATAAGTCGCTGAATATTCAATTTACATTTCCTAAAGTCCACAATAATCTCTTTTGTTTTCTTTAAGTTAAGGAGTAAGTTGTTTTTCCTGCACCACGCCCCCAACTGCTCAACTTCCTTCCTATAGGCCGCCTCCCCCTCTCCAGCCGTGATTAAACCAACTACCGTTGTATCATCTGCAAACTTAATGATCTTATTACTGGGATTTTGGGGGGCCCAGTCAGCTGTATAGAGTGTATATAAAAGCGGGCTCAACCACGCACCCCTGCAGCGTTCCCGTATTCATGATGAAATCCGCAGAGACGTGGGAACCCATCCTGATCCGTTGGGAACAGTTTGACAGAAAATCTAATACAGTGGTACCTCTGGTTAAGAACTTAATTCGTTCCGGAGGTCCATTCTTAACCTGAAACTGTTCTTAACCGGAGGTACCACTTTAGCTAATGGGGACTCCTGCTGCCGCTGCACCTCCGCCTTGCGATTTCTGTTCTCATCCTGAAGCAAAGTTCTTCAGGTACTATTTCTGGGTTAGCGGAGTCTGTAACCTGAAGCGTCTGTAACCTGAAGCGTCTGTAATCTGAAGCGTTTGTAACCCAAGGTACCACTGTATCCACCTGCACAAACACGGTGAAAGTCCCAGGTCTAATAGTTTGGGCAGCAATCTATGCAGAAGAATAGTATTAAATGCAGAACTAAAGTCTACAAATAACAATCTCGCCCTTGCTTCTCCAAATGAGTCAGGACAGCATGTAAAACTATTTGCCACAGCATCCTCTGCGGATCCCTTTGCCTTGTACGCAAACTGGTAAGGGTCAAGTCCCACTGGCAAACAAGATATGATGCAGTTCCTCAACAGACTTTCGAAACATTTCATTATAATGGGTGTCAACACCACAGGGCGAAAATCATTCAGACTATCTTTGGGTTTTTTGGCAAGGGTATAATGGTAGCGGATTTCAGACAGGGTGGAATGGTGGCTTGGGCCAGAGACTGGTTAAAAATCTTCAAAAAGATTCCTGCCAGTTGGTCGGAACAATCTCTTAGCACCCTGCCAGCCACTCCATCCGGGCCCATAGCCTTCTTTGTGTTTACCTCCTTTAATATTCGCCTCACTTCTCCCTCTTCTACCCTGGCAGCATTTCTTAATATGGCCCTCTTAATATGGCCAATCAGAGGCAGCTTTCCTCTCCAGAACTGTAAAATCCTTCCTTTATGCGGACGTTCAGGAAGGATTTCACGGTTCTGAAAAGGAAACCTGCCTCTGATTGGCCATATTGAGAGGGTACCAGCGAGGCTGGACATTTGTGTCAAAATAAAAAGGGTTTAAATCAAGTCTTACTGACTAGTGATTTAAATAGTGATTTCAGACGGAGATAGACTGAAATTGCAGAGTTTTGAAAAACTAAAAAATAAAGTGCGAGACTGGCTTCATTATTATCAGATAATGGAGGCATTTAAATTGGACAGGAAAATTGGCTTCCAGGTGGAAAGATCAAAATTAGAAACAGAACTGTTAGAACCCAAAACTAAGAATTTGTCAAGAATGTGTAACTTGCTTCTGAAATGGAATACTCAGGATGAAACGGTAAAATCGGCTATGATTAAAGGGGCACAGGACATTGGACATAACATTATGTTTGCTGACTGGGAACGGTTGTGGACCACGGGTATGAAATTTACGGCATGTAATGCCTTAAGAGAGAATATTATGAAAATTATATACAGGTGGTACATAACCCCAGTCAAGCTTGCAAAAATTTATCACTTGCCCGATAATAAATGCTGGAAATGTAAAGAAACTGAAGGTACATTTTTTCACCTTTGGTGGACGTGCCCAAAGATTAAGGTTTTCTGGGAAATGATATATAATGAATTAAAAAAGGTATTTAAGTATACCTTCCCTAAGAAACCAGAGGCCTTTCTCCTGGGCATAGTCGGCCAAATGGTGTTAAAAAAGGATAGAACTTTCTTTATGTATGCAACAACAGCAGCAAGAATACTCATCGCAAAGTATTGGAAGACACAAGATCTACCCACACTGGAAGAATGGCAGATGAAACTGATGGACTATATGGAACTGGCGGAAATGACTGGCAGAATCCGTGACCAGGGAGAAGAGGAGGTGGAGGAAGATTGGAAGAAATTCAAAGACTATCTTCAGAAACATTGTAAAATCAAAGAATGTTAGAGTGATGTTGGACTGAAAATAAGCGGTTTCCAGCTGTACAGGTTAAAGTTAATGATAGATTAAGATTAAGATTAGGATTAAAGATGTTTAAAGAAATGGAAATCTGACAATTAAGAGGGAAAATTTTAATGTTATATTATATTAAGATTAAAGATCAGGTTTAAAGAAATTGAAGACATATATTACAATATTATATTAAAGTTAAAGATTGGGATTAAAAAGTTGAAAAGAAATTGCTGGACAAACAATTTGGATTGGAATACAAAAGAGGGAGGTATGAGGAAGTCCAGAAAATAAGCAAACTAAAAAAACGGAAATGGAAAAGAGATATTGTTTTTAATTGTTGTTTTTTGTCTTTTATTGTTGAATTGTGTTCCTTTTTGTGTGTTCTTGTTATCTTTTTTTTTCCTTTTTTTGAGATATGTATTGTGTATTTTTTTTCTTTTTTTGTTGTTTAAAACTTAAATAAAAATTATTCAAAAAAATAAATAAATAGTGATTTCAATCGATTCAACTGAAATCAAATCCATCCTCAATAATAATGATGATGATTTATTTATACACCGCCCATCTGGTTGGGTTTCCCCAGCCACTCTTTGTGGCTGCCTCCCAACAGCATAATAATAATAATAATAATAACCCTATCCCTAATCCCTAAGTCCAGCCTCACTGGCACCCTCTTAATACGGCCAGAGACAGCTTTCCTTTCTTTAAGCAGAGGTTCAGCCTTGCTGGCAACCCTCCTAAAACTGATTCCCCTAACCCCTATCTCTATCCCTATCCCTAATAATAATAACCTGCCCATCCAGCTGGCTTTCCCCAGGCACTCTGGGCAGCTCCCGACACAAGATGAAGAAGAAGAAGAAGAAGAAGAAGAAGAAGAAGAAGAAGAAGAAGAAGAGGAGGAGGAGGAGGAGGAGGAAGAGGAAGAACCCTATCCCTAACACCAAGTCCTATCCCTATCTCTATCCCTATTTCTAATAATAATAATAATTTATTCTTTATACCCCAGCCACTCTGGGCGGCTCCCAAAATAAAATAAAATAATAATAATAATAACAACCCTATCCCTCATCCCAGCTTCGCTGACACCCCCTCAATACGGCAAATTGGAGGCAGGTTTCCTTTCCTTTACAGAGGTTCAGCCTCGCTGGCAACCCCCATGACACTGGAAACCTTTGGTAGAATTAAAGCCAGGGGTCCCCTTTTCGCTCACCAGCTCGCGCTGATCCTCCTGGACCAAGTCCATCTTGTGGACGAGGCAGAAGACTTTGGCATCAGGCGAGTTCTGCAAGATGGCCTCCAGGCACGACTGGTAGTAGTGCATGTCCTTCTCAAGCTCCCGACTCTCGACGTCAAAGACGTAAATCAGAACCTCGACGTTGCGGAAGATGTTGTCCCTCTGGCTGGTGAAGTAGTTCTCCATGAAGGTGTCCTGGCTGAGAAAACCGGGGATTTAAATTATTTTATCCCAGTTAAAAAAGCAGCTTCAAATTTCAATTCTATGCCAATTCAAAACAGGTTTGACCAGTCTCAGTCAGGGAGGGCAGGATACAAATAAAAGTTTATTATTATTATTATCATCAATTTTCCAGGCTGGGCAACCAATTCAGGCCATTTCATGCCATTTCAGAGGGGGCTAGCAAGGCGGAACCTTTCTGAAAAAAGGCATTTTTTTTATTTCAAAAAGTATTGTCCCTATTCAGAGGTTGCCAGCAAGGCTGAAGATTTCGATCGGATTTAAATGTTACGGAGCAGGGATTTAAATGGTGGATTTAAATGAAATCCACCCAGCATATCAGTGTAAAAACCACTCTGTGAATTGAGGATTCTAAAGGAAACGTTTCTCCGCTTGTCAATATTCAGAGGATGCCAGCAAGACTGAGTCTTCCTGCTAAAAAAGGCATCTTATTCTTCCAAAAAGGAAACCTCCCTCTGCTTGTCCATATTAAGAGGAGGCCAGCAAGGTTGAACCTCTCTGTAAAAAAAGGGATTTTATTACAGTGGTACCTCGAGTTAAGTACTTAATTCATTCTGGAGGTCTGTTCTTAACCTGAAACTGTTCTTCACTTTAGCTAATGGGGCCTCCTGCCGCCGCCGTGCTGCTGGTGCACGATTTCTGTTCTCATCCTGAAGCAAACTTCTTAACCAGAGGTACTATTTCTGGGTGAATGGAGTCTGTAACCTGAAGAGTATGTAACCTGAAGCGTATGTAACCCGAGGTACCACTGTATTCCAAAAAGGAAACCTTCCTACGGTTGTCCATATTAAGAGGATGCCAGCAAGGTTGAACCTTTCTGTAAAAAAGGATTTAATTCCTTGCTGACTACTGATCTAGATCATGATTTATATCAATTTGATTTAAATCATCATTATTAGTAGTAGTATTTTATTTATACCCCGCCCATCCAGCTGAAGGCAGCCATGTTTAGGGAAGTCTGGCTGATTTAAATCTGGAATTGAATGGGGATTGAAATGAGAAAAATCAGGATGAGAAGGATGCCAGCAAAATCTGAGCTGTCCTGGCGAGGGGTTTAAATTGTGATTTCCATTGTCTGGATTTCAAGCGGAGGGCAGGCGGCCGTCTGTCCAGGATGTTTGAGGCAAGAGTCCCGCCTGACGGCGGGTCAGACTGGATGACCGCCGGGGGTCCCTTTTAACATGGCAAGGGGGGCAAGAGGTACTTACCCGCCGCAGTCCCAGAGGTTGAGGACCAGGTTGCCCAGGAAGCGGACATGCGAGTGCTCCACGTCAACTGCAAGGGGCAAAATGAGATTATTATTATTATAATTATTCTGTTGGGAGCCGCCCAGATGGGCAGTGTATAAAGAATAACGTTATTAGTAGTAGTAGTAGTAGTACAACAAAGCCAGTGGACCTGATGGGATACCTGCCAAAATCTTAAAAGTGGGTGGAACTGAACTTACACAACAACTTCACAAGCTCATCAAAAAAATCTGGGAAAGAGAAGAAATCACAGCAGACTTTAGGGATGCCAAAATTACCAATCTCTTTTAAAAAAAGTAACGGAACTGATTGTGGAAACTATCGAGGCATGTCTCTATTAGCTGCGACCAGCAAAATTCTTGCAAGGATGTTAGCAAACTGTCTTGTAACAATATCCAAGGTGACCCTTCCTGAATCCCAAAATTGTTTTCGGCCTTCTAGGGAGACAGTGGACATGATTTTCACCGCTCGACAGCTTCAAGAAAAATGCAGAGAGCAAAACCAACCCCTGTATATGGCGTTTATTGACCTGACTAAAGCCTTCAACGCTGTAAATCATAATGCCCTGTGGACTGTCATTCTGAAAATTGGCTGCCCTCCATGATTGGCTGCCCTCCTTCATTCGACTCCTCTATGATTACCATATTTTTCGCTCCATAAGATGCATTTTTTCCTCTTAAAAACTAAAGGGAAAGGTCTGTGTGTCTTATGGAGTGTGTGGTCCCTGAAGCTAAACAGCCGGAATGCAGCACACTCCTGAGCTGCTCTTTGGGACTGGCTGGTGAAACCCCGGGTGCCGGCAGATCAACCGGGGCTTCACCCACCAGCCCCAACAAGCTCTGGGAGCAGCGGGAAGGCTGCGTGCAGCCTGTCCGCTGCTCCCTGAGCTGCTCTTTGTGGCTGAGGGGGGGGGGACCCGGGCTTCCCCCTCCAGCCCTGAGCAGCTCTGGGGTAGCCCGCGAAGCCTCCGCAGGGCAGCAGGATGAAGGCTCCCCGCTGCCCTGAGGAGGCTTCACGGGCTACCCCAGAAATCAGAACAGCTAGAGGGAGCGCTGCGCAGTGCTCCTTCTAGCTGCTTTAGCTTCTGCCTTGGCAGCGCAAAGCCCCCGCAGGGCAGCGGGGAGCCTTCATCCCACTGCCCTGCGGAGGCTTCCCGCAGCTATCCCTGGTTTCTGCGGGAGGTGGGGGAAGGGACAGAGCACACGGTCCCTTCCCCCCACCTCCCAGAAAAGCCCCCAAGAGCCATGCTCCCTTTAAAGAGTGCATGGCTCTTGCGGGAGGCGGGGAGAAAGCCAGTAGGCTTGCTTTCGCTGAAGCCAAGAGGGCAAGAGGGAATGGTGTGCACCTCTTCGCTCAGGAGGCTTTGCGTTGCTTTCTTATTTCTTGTTTTCCTCCCCTAAAAACTAATTGCGTCTTATGGTCCAGTGCGTCTAATAGAGCGAAAAATACGGTATATGACAGCAACAATCACAGATAACAATGCCTCTCAAAGTGAACCATTCACAGTAGGATCAGGTATTAAACAGGGTTGCGTTATTGCCCCAACTCTATTCATTATTTTCATTGCCATGATCCTACACTTTGTTTAAGGGAAACTCCCCACCGGAGTAGAAATAATATATCGAACAGATGGAAAGCTCTTCAATCTGAGCAGGCTGAAAGCAAAAAGTAAGGTTACCATAACTTCCATCATAGAGCTTCAATATGCTGGTGACAATGTAGTGTGTGCACGCTCGGAGGATGACCTCCAAACCATCCTAAATACCTTTGCAGAAGCTTACAAAAAGCTTGGCCTGTCACTCAATATCCAAAAAACCAAAGTGCTGCACCAACAAGTACAAAATAACCCCTCTGCAGCGCCACAAATCCAACTCAGTGGTGTAACGTTGGAAAATGTCAATCACTTCTCCTACCTAGAGAGTTATCTTTCTGCAAGGGCTGACATTGATTCCAAAATCCAGACTCACCTGAGCTCTGCGAGTGCGGCTTTCTCCCAAATGAAGTGCCAAGTGTTTGAGGACCGGGACATTGGCAGGGAAACCAAAATGCTTGTTTACAAAGCTATTGTACTACCAACCTTACTATATGCTTGTGAAACATGGACCACTTATAAATGCCACCTACAGCTTCTCAAAAGATTCCATCAACAGTATATCCAAAAAAATTTACACATCACTTGGGAAGACAGGCAAACTAATATCAGTGTACTGGAAGAAGCAAAGGTCACAAGTGTTGAAGCAATGATTCTTCAACAATTGGTCATGTTGCGGGGATGCCTGATTATCGTCTTCCAAAGCAACTACTCTATTCCGAACTTAAAAATTGAAAGCATAATGCTGGTGGTCAGCAAAAGAGGTTTAAAGACTGTCTCAAGGCAAATCTTAAAAAATGTAGTATAAACACTGACAACTGGGAAACACTGGCTTGTGAGCGCTCCAGTTGGAGAACAGCCTTGACCAAAGGTTTCATGGGCTTTGAAGACACTCAAACTCAGGACGCAAGGGAGAAACGTGCTAAGAGGAAGGCATGCTTGGCAAGCCCTCACCGTGGTCAACTCTCGCCTGGAAGCCAATGTCCCCACTGTGGAAGGACGTGTAGATCCAGGATTGGCCTCCACAGTCACTTACGGACTCATTGTTAAAACCGTGTTTATGGAATACAATTTTACTTGGCTACAAGTGATTTCCAAAGAAGAATTATTATCGTTTGCCAAAGAACAGCAGCAGAAGAAGAATGAGCTTGAAGCAGAAAAAGAAATAGAAATTAAGATAATTATTCCTACTATTCTCATTATTTTCATCCTCATTTATCAAAGAACAACTGTGCCAGAATAAGAAGGATCTTGAATGAGAATGAGCTGAAAAAGAGCAGGAGGAGGAGGAGGAGGAGGAGGAAGAAATTATTATTCCTATTATTATCATCATCATCATCATCATCATCTTCATTTGGCCAAGAACAGCAGCACCAGAATGAAAAGAAGAATGAGATTGAATAAGAAGAATGAACTGAAAAAGAAGATGAAGAAGAAGAAAAAGAAGAAATTATTATTCCTATTATTATCGTTATTTTCATCATCATTTGGCAAAGAACAGCAGCAACAAAATAAGAAGAAAATGAGCTTGAATAAGTAGAACGAGCTGAAGAAGAAGAAAATGAGATTATTATTCCTATCATCATCATCAGGCCAAGAACAGCAGAACCAGAAGAAGAATGAGCATGAATAATAAGAACGAGCTGAAAAAGCAGAAAAAGTTCATTCTTCTTTTTATTATTCTGGCACGGTTCTTTCCCTAATAATAATAAAAAAAATGAGCAAGCGACAGCAAAGGTTGCAAGGTTCTCAGCAGTAGTAGTAATAATAGCAACAAGAAATTGAATTAACTTGATTGAAATCCAATGAATTTGTGCTATTAAATTAACTTGAATGAAATCAAATGAATTTGGGGGGGAAATGGCAATAAAACCTTGTCCCCCCCATTTTTATTTTATTTTTCCCCATCTCTACCCAGCACCCTTCCTCTTACTTGTGGCGCCCAGTCGGCGGGTGTCGCGGGCGATGTAGTTGGCAAAGATGATGGACCTCATGCTGGTTTTGCCAGAGCCGCTCTTGCCCATCAGGAGAACCTGGGGCGAATAAAGAATAAATCATAAAATTATTAATAAAATTGTTGTTGTTGTTGTTAGGGTTAGGGGTTAGAGATAGGGTTATTATTATTATTCTGTTCGGAGCCACCCTGAGTGGCTGGGAAAACCCATCTGGATAGACAGTGTATAAATAATTACATTATTTATTATTGAGGGTGGATTTGATTTCAATCAAATCAATTTAAATCACAACTTAAAAAACTCGTCAGTAAGATTTGATTTAAACCCCCTTTTACAAAAAAGCTTCAGCCTCGCCGGCATCCTATGAAATTATGGAGAGGTTTCATCACTCAGCTGCTTCTATTTGGACCCCTTTTCTGCTGTACTTGATTGGAAGGAGAAAAAGAATCATTTCCTTCATAACTCAACAATTTATTTCACTAAAACAAGAACATTATAGCATCACGATTTAAATCACGATTGAAACCACAAGTCAGTAAGACTTGATTTAAATCCTGTTTCAGGTTTAGGCTTGCTGGTATCCTCCTAATACTGACAACCGGAGGAAGCTTTCCTTTTTGGAATAATATATTTTCAGTGTAGTTTTCAGTTACGGTATATCCAGGGTGAATTTGATATATCATTATCTCAAAAGTGACTGATTTGCTTCTTCTCTTAGAAATGTATAGACCAATAATTATGAAATGATGGTGAGGTTTAATAAGTCAACTACTTATATTTGGACACGTTTTTTTGCTGTACTTGATCGGAAGGAGAAAAATAATCATTTCCTTCATAACGATTGAAACAATTTATTTTGCCAAAACTAAAACATGATCCATGTTTGTTAGCTGATGTGCTGAAACAATTTTTTTAAATAAAAAAAAATTATGACTTGAAAAACTTTAAATGAATCCTTATTTCCTGATAAACAGCCTTTTCACTAGAAAGTAACTGAAAAGAGAAAATCTTTACAAAACGGAGGTGTTTGGGGTCCAAGGTTTAACTGTATAAGCAGCAGGCCAAGAGAAACTACAGCCCTCACCTTCTTCTTCATGGCTGCGTTTGGCATCACACGCCTGCAAGGAGAAAAAATGTATATTTTATAATATAACAATACAATACAATACTAATAATATAATATTGCCCCACCCATTATAACATTATTATTAACATTATTATTATTATAGAAGTCACCTGGTGTGGAAAAGGTGAGGCAAAAGCAGCAGGCCCTCACCCAGTGTTGTAATATGATGATGATGAGGATGATAATAATAATAATAATAATAATAATAATAAAACAACAACAACCCTATCCCTTAACCCTAACCCTAATAATAATAATAACCCAATCCCTAATCCTGTCCCTAATTCCTATTCCTATCTCTAACCCCTATCCCTAATATGGTTTTCCCAGTAGTGATGTATGGAAGTGAGAGCTGGACCATAAAGAAGGCTGATCGCCGAACAATTGATGCTTTTGAATTCTGGTGCTGGAGGAGACTCTTGAGAGTCCCATGGACTGCAAGAAGAAGATGGAGGGCACAAGGAGAAGGGGACGACAGAGGACGAGATGGTTGGACAGTGTTCTTGAAGCTACGAACATGAATTTGACCAAACTGCGGGAGGCAGTGGAAGACAGGAGTGCCTGGTGTGCTCTGGTCCATGGGGTCACGAAGAGTCGGACACAACTAAACGACTAAACAACAACAACATATGAGTACAGTATATACGATAAGTATATTAGTATATAGTACAACAGTATACCATTATATGTTATACATATTATATATAATAGTAATTATTATTACTGGGGAAGTTGGCTAGAGAGATTATGGAATACTGTAGTAGAAGTAATAATAATAATAATGGAATTTGACAAGAGTAATAATAATTATTATTATTATTAGGGAAGTTGGCTAGAGTGATAATAGTATAATTATAATTATTATGGAAGTTAGCTAGAGCGATAATATAATAATAATAATAATAATAATAATAATAATAAAAAAATAAAAAAATAAGGGAAGTTAGCTAGAGTGATAATAGCATTAATATTATTATTATTATGGAAGTTAGCTAGAGTGATAATAGAATAATAATAATAATAAGTGAAGTTGGCTAGATTATTAGCATCATCATCATTAGTAGGGAAGTTGGCTACAGTGGTAATAGAAGAAGCAGCAGAAAAAGAAGCAGAAGAAAAAGAAGGCGGCAAGTTGGTTAGAGTGTGTTGCAGGAATTTATGGATAGGTGTGGGGGGTTGCCCCTCCAGCAGATATCAAGCACATGTAGCGCACTACCAAAATCAGCACAATCACTTTTGTGACTTTTGTGATTTGTCCCCACAAAACACTGCATCACAGTTTCTTCCTATCTATTCAAAGGGCCTTTGCTGCATGATACCAAATGTAACAATTCACTGATAAATGTATCTCTGTACTGCCTTCACTGGGAAAACTTCAGAAATTCATATAGACATGTGAGCTCAGCTACTCAGCAGCCCCTCTGCCTGAGTGATCATTCCTGGCATCCTGATACCTCAGTGCCAGACAGGTAGCCATTCCAGAAATAACAAACCCAGATGAAGACAAAAGGGTGGGATTAACTTGGCTGGGAAACAGGGAAATGTGAATATCTCTTTTGTGACACTTGATGGGTGTTTGGTGTAGGGCAAGGGGAACGATGGGGCAGGGTCCAGGATGCTCAGATTACGGCCACCAGACCTTCCCTTTCATGATGTAACTGTGATGTAACCATGATGTAGTTAGAGGGGGTGTAACATGGGGATGAGCAGCTAATAAAAGTTTGGGGGCTCTTTTCTTCGGGGCTTCCATCTTGTTTCACCTGGTGGCAGGTGGGAGTCCTGCTGTAACAGTCTTCAATAAAGACCAAGCCTACTGGCTGCTGTTTTGCTCTGGTATTCCAGGGCTGGTGCCCTGGGAGCCCTCAGATTTCTCTGTTAACAACCGATAATAGCATTATTATTATTATTGAAGTTGGCTAGAGTGATAATAGTATAATTATTATCATTAGTATTATTATTAGGGAAGTTGGATAGAATGATATTATGATAATTATTACGGACGTTGGCTAGAGTTAGAATAATGATAATGATAATAATAAATAATGATAATAATTAGTAGTACTGTAGTAGTAGTATTCGGGGCCCTCCAGTCCTTCCCCAGCGCCACATTCCCCTCAGGAACCAGAGTTCCTCTGAGCTTCTCGGGAAGACGAACCCTCCCTTCTTTTTCCCTTTTCCCGACTAGGCCGCAAAAACCCCGGCCTCGCGTGATCCACTCACCCGGCGACAGACGGCCGCGCCCGGGGGAGAATCAGCGGAGGAGACGAAGCAGCTTGAGCGACCTCTCCCTCGACGTCGCTGGAGGCTCAGGTGACTTCAACCGAACGGCAGCGTGACGAAGGGACGCAAAGGAAGGGCAGAGTCACGCGTGGCGAACGAACGTCGTAGCGTCGCGACGACACGTAAAGGAAGGTCAGGGTCAAGCGAGGCGAGCGGACGTCGCGGCGTCCCGAAGCCGAGGCGGCCATGTTTAAAAAGGGCAGGGAGAAAAGGAAGTCCTTGAATGCCAAGACTTATGGACAAAGAAGGGAACCTAGGGGTCATCTAGCCCAACCACCTGCCAATCTCAGCTCCTGAATGACGGAGTGATTGACAGGGAGAAACGCCGGGTTACGTGCGAAGGAACTCGCGGGAAACAACACAACCATAGATGGTAAGAGACAAGCCACCTATTATAGTCTCCCATATGGTCTAGCGGTTAGGATTCCTGGTTTTCACCCAGGCGGCCCGGGTTCGACTCCCGGTATGGGAAATAGGTATTTTTTTATTATTATTTTCCTTATCTGAAATAAATCAATTAAAAGCTATGGAAGATGAATAACAAGTAATGAGAGCTCCTACGTTTCGCCTACTCCGTTTCAGAGCCTATAAACGCAGGTCACAAATCACAGTTACGTGGTGTGAACTCGCTCGGCCTATAACGGCCTACCTAGCAGGGCTGTTGTGAAAAGGGTTCCAAGGCAGGGAAGGACCGGGAACTCCTGGAGAGGAAAAGGGGGAAGATCAATCCATCAATCACGCCCCTCCAGCAACAGCCGCCATCCCCCATCACCTCCTCCTCCTCCTGCACAGAAGGCCCGCCCCTTCTCTGGCCCCGCCTCTCTAGCGCTCCCAGTACCAGCATCAGTTGAGCGGTTGCTCCTCCTTCTGAAAGGAAGCCCCGCCTCTTCACTGCCCCCCAGCAAGTAAGCCCCGCCCTTTCTCTGCCCCCTCCCGCCTCCAGCATCAGCAGAGCGCTCTCTCGCTCTCCAATCACCTCTCCTCCTCTCTCCTTCTTTTTCCGCGTCATGTGATGCGCCGCGTCACGTGAGAGTTCAAGATGGCGGCGCCCGCTCGCTGAGGAGAGCCGGGATTTCTCGCAGGTGAGCCAGAGGCGCCTTCACAGTTTCCTATTATTATTATTATTAATATTAAGAATATTTATTAGATTTATGTTGCCCCCTGACCCCTCCAGTTTCCTACTAATATTAATATTAATATCATTTATTTAATTTATGTTCCCCCCAGCCCCCCTCCAGTTCCCCATTGCCCCCAAAGTCCCTCCAGTTTCCTACTAATATTAATATATTACTATCCAAAGCCAAAGGCGCCTTCAGTTTCCTATTACGTTTTATTAATATTAAGAATATTTATTAATGTTGCCCCCAGACCCCCCTCCACTTCCCTTTTCCCCCCAAACCCCCTCCAGTTTCCTATTAATATAATTTATTTAATTTATTTTGCCCCACAGACCCCCCTCCAGTTCCCCAATGCCCTCCAAACCCCCTCCAGTTTCCTATTAATATAATTTATTTAATTTATTTTGCCCCACAGACCCCCCTCCAGTTCCCCAATGCCCTCCAAACCCCCTCCAGTTTCCTATTAACGTTAATATAAATATAATCTATTAAAGTTATATTGCCCCCAACCTCCTCCCCCAGTTCCCTATTGCCCCCACCCCCTCCACTAATATTAATATCATTTATTAAAGTTATATTGCACCCCAGGCCCCCCTCCAGTATCCTATTATTAATATTAATATTAATATCATTTATTAAATTTATATTGCCCCCTAGACTCCTCCCCAGTTCCCTATTGCCCCACAGAAATGCCCAGTCCCATGAGGCAGCAGTGAGCATTTCCCTCAGTTTGCCATTGCCCCACAGACCCCCCACCAGCGTCCTATTGCCCCGAGTTCCCCATTGCCTCATACGCCCCCAGGTTCCTTGGCCTCGAGACCCCCACTGTCCCCAGAACCCCCATTTCCCTATTGTCCCACATGTCTCCAGTTTCCTATTTCCTCATATGCCCCTCAGGTTCCTTGCCCTCCAGTCCCTCCAGCTACCTATTGCCCCACAGATTCCCCCCAAGTTGCCTATTGCCCCACAGACCCCACCAGTTTCCTATTGCCGCATACACCCTGCAGCTTCCTTGCCCCACAGACCACTACTGCGCCAGACCGCCCAGCTTCCTATTGCCCCACATGCCCCCAGTTCCCTATTGCCTCATACACTCCCCAGGTTCCTTGTTCCCCAGAACGCCCCCAGATCCCTTTTGCCCCCCCAGACCCCCCCCCCAGTTTCCTATTGCCTCGTATACCCCTCAGGTTCCTTGCCCCACAGACCACCACTGCCCACAAACCCCCCAGTTCCCTTGCACCCCCCAAGTTGCTTTCCCTCAGTACCCCACTGCACCCCAGACCCCCTAGTTCCCTATTGCCCCCCAGACCCCCCAGTTTCTTATAGCCTCATACGCCCCCAGGTTCCTTGACCCACAGAACCCACTGCCCTCCAGACCGCCCCCCCCAGCTTCCTATTGCCCTCCAGACCCTCCAGTTCCTTATTGCCCCCCACACCCTCCCAGCTTTCTCTTGCCCCACATGCCCCCAATTTCCTATTGCCTCTTACACCCCTCAGGTTCCTTGCCCCCCCCCCAGACTCACACTACCCCCCAGACTCCCCAGTTCCCTATTGCTCCCCAGACACACACACCCCAGTTTCCTATTGCCACTTCCCCATCTTTGGCCCCCGCTGCTACCCCAGGGAAGAAGAGAAGTTTATAAAATGTGCTGCGGGTTACAATCAATGGGGTGAGAAACGTGTGCGGGGTATTGCAGTGGATTGCACTCTGGGTGGACTGAAATCAAATAGAATGAAATCACAATTGAAATCACTCCTCTGCCAGACTAGATTTCAATCCTTTTTATGGAAAGGTTCAACCTTGCTGGCATCCTCTGAATATGGGCAATCGGAAGAAAGTTTCATTTATGGAATAATGAATTTTCAGAGTCTTTTTCATTCTTGAGAATTTAACATCACGAGCCGTGATTGATGCCTTACCGGGGGCTTCCATAGATTGGATGCTCACAAGAGAGAGACTGTCTTGTCCAATTCAATTTAAATTTAAATTAGATTCAGAAGCAAGAAAAACGTGGGCCAGTTTCATTGGAAAGGCTGCGTCGACGGTGAAGTGGCGCAAGCTTTTCCTGCCCCGCCTTGGCCAGCTGTCTTGCGTTTCCGGTTCTGTGGCCGCCCTTGCAAATGCACAATTGATTTGTGCATTTTGGGAGGGGCGAGCATGAGTTGTGTTTCTGGCACTCATGCGTGCACATTCTTATTGGTGCAAGCATTCAAATATTATTATTATTATTATTGTTAATAACAACAACAACAATTCAGATAGGTCAGTGGGGGCAAGATGCCTCTGGCCAGGCGTTGACAGTGGATGTTCAGCCCGACTTCTGCTTTTCGGCGCAATTTAGCTGCCACAGCGGAAGAAAAAAACAGTTCTGCAGAAAGGAAGGGTGATGCCTTGCACAATCATCACAAGGAGCTCCTTGCACGGAGGCTGAGAGCCCTCCGAACTCAGCTGAAATACTCTCCAAGGAAGGGAGAGCTGGGAGGGATGCCGAGAGGCATCTAATCCACCCTTGGGCAACTCAAAAATCCCCCCTGTCAATCACATTTGGATCGGGGTTGGGGTAGATGACCCTGGAACTCTTCCCTGTCTATCATTCTAGCAGGGGGTTGGACTAGATGACCAGCTCAACCAATCAGATACCTTTCCAGCTTCAGGTTGGGCTGGATGACCCTGGAACCTTCCCTGTCTATCATCCTAGCAGGGGGGTGGGACTAGATGACCAGCTCCACCAATCAGATTCCTTCCTGGCCATGGGTTGGGCTGGATGACTGCCCGGTGTCCCTTCCAACCTTCCTATAGGAAAGACTTGCCTCTCCTTCTCTCTCGCCACAGATCCTGGACTGGCGGCCGATGGAGGGCCGCCATTTCCGGTGCGGGAGCTTCCAGAGCAGCACCAGCGACGAGGACCTGGTGGAGGTCGGCGACGGCGGGACTCTCGACTTCTCCCTGGCGGGCGACGTGCCCCCTCTGGACCGAGAAATGGCGCCAGGTGTGTGTGTGTGTGTGTGTGTGTGTGTGTGTGTGTGTGTATCAATATATATCACACAACATTTGACATTTGATTTCCCTCAGACGTTTTTGGCATTTTCCTCACCTGCTTAAAGATCAACCCATTCTCTGGGGAAATGACTTTGCTCTCCCGGGACTTTGCCCCTTCAACCCCATTCGCACTTGAGGCTCGTAATGCAATGGCTGGCAAGGGAGCCGCTGGTGGGATCTCAAACCCAGGCCTGTTGCCTCCTAGAAGGGTTGAGCCAAAAGATTTAATAAGAGGACACAAAGCAATTTATTGTGATTATACGTGAAAATTAATAGAAATCAATTTTTTTAAAAGGGAAATTAATAGATTAATTTTTTAAAAAAAATTCAAATTTAAATTGGATTTCTTTTTTCTTTAAAATGGAGATTTAAAACGAAATGCTATTGGAGGAAAAATCTTTACAAAAAATTAAAAATAAAATCATCCTCTTAATATTGACAATATTTGAAAGAATAAAATTTAAATCCTCTCAGCAGGTTTCCTCTCGTATGCCGGCAACGGGTTTGACGAAATCGGCCAGATGCGCGACTTCCTGGAAGAGCCGCTTCCTGGAGTCGGGACTTACGAAGATTTCAACACTATTGACTGGGTGCGAGAAAAATCCCGAGATCGAGACCGGCACCGCGAGGTGAGGGTTCCAGGTTTGAATCTAGGTCTTCGCAAGTGGATATGGCTCTCTTCCAATCAACTGAGATCCAGATTCAAATCCCGTCGGGCTTGCGGTTCCAATCTTTTCCCTATTTTACAAAGAGATTCAACCTCGCTGGCATTGATGTTCCATTTAAATCCCTATTTAAATCAGTCTGGCTGATTTAAATCAGGATTCAAAACCGGGATTTAAATTAAAGATCAGTGCCTGGGAGGTTGAATCTTTCCATAATCATGCAGACTTGATTAAATCCTTTTTTTTTTTTTTAAGGAAAGATTCAACCTCGCTGACATTGATGTTCCATGTAAATCCTGGTTCGAATCCCGATTTACCGTATTTTTCGCCCTATAGGACGCACCGGCCCATAGGATGCACCTAGTTTTTTTGGGGGGGGGGAAATAAAGAAAAAAAATTATTCCCCCCCCCCAGCCGCGGCTTCAGCGCGACTCACGCTCCGGGTAGCAGGCTGCTATCCGCAGCCTAGGGAGCCCTGCAGGAACTCCCGCGGGCTCCCCAGGCTTGCAGATATCTGCCGGAAGTGCGGGGCGCTCTGCTTCAGCGTGCCCCTCGCTCCGGGCAGCAGGCTGCTATCCGCAGCCTAGGGAGCCCTGCGGGAACTCCCGCGGGCTCCCCAGGCTTGCGGAGAGCTACCTGACGCCGGGAGAGCGAGCGGGGGCGGTGCGCCCCGCCCCCTCTCGCTCTCCAAGCTTCAGAGAAAGCTTGCATTCGCCCTATAGGACGCACACAGATTTCCCCTTCATTTTTGGAAGGGAGAAAGTGCGTCCTATAGGGCGAAAAATACGGTGAATCAGCCAGACTTGATTTTTTACAGAAAGATTCAACCCAGCTGGCATCCTCTTCATATTGAATTTTTACTTAAATCCCCGTTCAAATCCCAATTTAAATCAGGCAGACTTGATTTAAATACTTCTTTTTTTACAGGAAGGCTCAGCCTTGCTAGCCTCCTTTTAATATTGACAATTGGAGAAAAGTTTTCTTTTGGGAACAATAAATTCTTTGCATCCCCTTCCACGACATTTATCAGCCCAGAAGCTTTGGGAAACGGGTTCAAATCGGGAGAAGAAACAGCCCATTTTTGGGACAGTTATTTTTATCTTTATTTTCCCAATTTTTCCCAATTATGGGCAATTAATCCCATTTTTTCCCCTTGCCCAGATTACCAACAGGAGCAAAGAGTCGACTTTCGCCCTCATCCACAGCATCAGTGATGCCTTTTCAGGGTGGCTGCTCATGCTCCTCATCGGACTCTCGGCAGGTGAGAAAACAACAAACCTAAAAGAGGAATAATAAAATTATTGTTGTTGTTGTTGTTATTATTATTATTATTATTATATAAAATTACTATTAATAATAATATTATTAGATAGAATCATCTTTTTACAGCAACCCAATAAGTACAAAAAGATGTTATAAATGGTATAAATTGATGGGGTGAATTTTATCTGCAATTTAGCGGAACCACCTGCTCCATCAGGGCCCAGTACGGGCCACATGATCTCCTGCAACGATTTTGCAAAGTTTTTTGCAGATAAAGTCACTCAGATTCAGGAAGAGGTAGACTCCACCGTGGGAGCAAGGCTGGAGCGGGAGAGTGCTAGTGTCCTGTCTAGTCAAGTTGCGTGGGATCAATTCCAATCTGTTACCTCCAAGGATGTGGACAGGCTGCTTGGATGAGTGAAACCAGCCACCTGTGTTCTTGATCCTTGCCCATCCTGGCTGATAAAAGCTAGCCAGGAAGGGCTGGGAGACGGGCTTTGCGAGGTGGTGAATGCTTCTCTCTGTGAGGGAGCCTTCCCAGACCCGCTAAAAGGGGCGGTTATCAAACTGCTTCTTAAAAAACCATCTTTAGATGCGGCCATGATGGCCAACTATCGCCCACTTTCAAATCTTCCATTCTTGGGCAAGGTGATTGAGAAAGTGGTTGCTGAACAACTCCAAGCACGTCTGGAGGATGCGGACCATTTGGATCCCTTCCAGTCAGGATTCAGGCCTCATTATGGGTTCTGTTCTCTCTCCCATGATTTTAAACAACTACACGCAGCCACTGGGAGAGATCCAGCAGAACTTTGAAGGGGACTCGCAAACTATAACTAATCCAGAATGTGGCTGCTGGACTGGTGACTGGGAGCGGCCACCGAGACCACATAACACCGGTCTTGAAAGTCCTACATTGGCTCCCAGTACATTTCCGAGCACAATTCAAAGTGTCAGTGCTGACCTTTAAAGCCCTAAACAGCCTCGGTCCAGTAGACCTGAAGGAGCGTCTCCATCCCTATCGTTCTGCCCGGACACTAAGGTCCAGCGCCGAGGGCCTTCTGGCGGTTCCCTCACAGCAAGAAGCCAAGTTACAAGGAACCAGGCAGAGGGTCTTTTTGGTGGTGGCGTCTGCCTTGTGGAACGCCCTCCCAGAAGATGTCAAAGAGAAAAACAACTACAGTGGTACCTCGGGTTACATACGCTTCAGGTTACAGTTAATTCTGCTTACAGACTCCGCTAACCCAGAAATAGTGCTTCAGGTTAAGAACTTTGCTTCAGGATAAGAAGAGAAATCGTGCTCCAGTGACACGGCGGCAGCAGGAGGCCCCATTAGCTAAAGTGGTGCTTCAGGTTAAGAACAGTTTCAGGTTAAGAACGGACCGCCAGAATGAATTAAGTACTTAACCCGAGGTACTACTGTACTAGACTTTTAGAAGACATCTGAAGGCCGCCATGTTTAGGGAAGCTTTCAATGTTTGATGCATTACTGTATTTTAATATTTTATTGGAAGCCGCCCAGAGTGGCTGGGGTAGCCCAGCCAGATGGGCAGGGTATAAATAATAAATTATTATTATTAGATATAATCATCTTTTTACAGCAACTCCAGGCGGCTTGCCATACATATAAAAACACTATGTTCTTGATGTTTTATAAGGGATAAATTGGTTGGGTGAAATAATAATAATAATAATAATAATAATAATAATAATAATCCGCATTGGCCCGAACATTAGCCGGACTTTCACTATTCAAATCGATTTAAATCAGCACTTAAATCACCATTTAAATCCGTCAGACTGGATTTACAGAATTTACTTTACTAAAATTTACTGAATTTAGGTTTTCTCTACTGAAAGATTCAACCTTGCTGGCATTCTCTTAATATGGGAAGGCCTGGGGGGGAACTGGAAAATTTAGGGGGGGAAACCAGGTTTTTTCCAGAAAAATGGGGGGGCATGTAATATTAAAGCTATATCAAACTGTTTTTTCCCATTTTCCCGGTAAAAAAAACCTCCATTTTTTCGGGTTTTCTCCCCAGGCCTTCCCATGTCTATTGTGCCCGTTATTCTCTCCTCCTCCCTAATTGTTCTTGCAACGACTTCCAATACGAAATTAAATAGTAATGGAGAGATGTCAAGGTGCTTTTTTTTTAAAAAAAAAAAAGAAAATTAACCTGAAGGAATTTAAAGGATTTTTTTAAAAAAAACACTCTAAATTTAAAATGAAAATGGGGAAAACTGAGAATTTTGATTTTTTGAAAATTAAAATGCAATAATTTTTTTTAAAAAAATGAAAATACACAGGGGCTTTGGTTGGCTCAATTGTCCCTTCGGCCCATTGGGTGATTAGATAGATAGATAGATATGTGGTTTTTTAAAAAAAATAAAATCAAAATACACAGGGGCCTTGGCTGGCTTGATTGACATCTCCACCCATTGGCTGACGGATCTGAAGGAAGGCGTGTGCCTCAACGGGTTTTGGTACAACCATGAACATTGCTGCTGGAATTCCCGAAATATCACTTTCCAGGACCGGGACAAATGTCCGGAGTGGCAGACGTGGGCGGAGCTTCTGACCAGAAAGAAGAACGGGGTGAGTGGCTTCCCCCGAATGTCCCCAGAAATAATTGCAAATTAAATCACGATTTAATTCACAATTTACCATATTTTTCGCTCTATAGGACACACTTTTTCTCCTCCAAAAATTGAGGGGAAATGTGTGGCGTCCTGTGGAGTGAATGCAGACTCCTTGGCTTCAGCAATAGCAACGCGAAGCCTCCGAAGCGCAGAGGGAGCGCTCCCTCCGCGCTCCGGAGGCTTCGCGTGGCTTTCGCTGAAGCCTGGAGAGCGAGAGGGGGTCGGTGTGCACTGACCCCTCTCACTCTCCAGGCTTCAGGGGTAGCCACCTGAAGCCTCCGGAGTGCAGCGGCAGCTCCCCCTGCACTCCGGAGGCTTTGGGTTCCTTTTGCTGAAGCTGGGAGAGCAAAACTCTCCCGGCTTCAGCCGAAAGGGAGAGCTGCGCAGCGCCCCTTCAGCGAAGCAGCAGGAGAAATGGAAGGGGCTCCGTTTCTCCTGCCACTTCGGTGAAGGTGCGCTGAGCAGAGAGGGGGAGAATTATTTTTTTCTTATTCTCCCCCTCTAAAACAAAGTGCGTCCTATGGTCGGGTGTGTCCTGTAGAGCAAAAAATACGGTAATTCACGGTTTAAGGGTTTAAATCACAATTTACTTCACGGTTTAAAGATTTGAGTCATTCCAATCGCGATTTCACTCACAATTTCAGTCATGATTTAATTCACAATTTAATTTATTAAATAGTGGGTGGACATAGCAGACGACAGATTTCTCAAAGTAGTTCTTTATAAGTAAGCTGGAACTGAACTGAACAGCAAACAGCTCAGCCGGCCTGCTTTTATAGGCAGCCGGCTGTCAACATTGTAACAACAACAGCCCAGGGTTTCCCGCCTAAATTAACTGACGTGGACCAGAGTTGGGATGCAAACGGGATCTGTTCCGGAGCCCCGTTCGCATCCTGAATAGAACGTAAGACGCGACAGGGCATCTGCGCGTATCACGTTTTGCCGCTTTCACGCATGCATGTGATGTCATTTTGAGCATCTGCGCATGCGCGAGCGGTGAAACCCAGATGTAACGCGCTCCATTACTTCCGGGTCACCACGGAGCGCAACCCGAAAATACTTACCCTGAAGTGTATCTATCCCGTGATATGACTGTACACAATACCCCCTGGTGGCCAGGATGAGAACTTCAATACATAACACCCCTCCCCACTGAGATAAGGCATTCGTTACAATCATAGTGGTTCCATTACATACAGCAGTACCCTTATTGGTTTCAATAAGGCACATTAGCATATCGATTCCAGTTTTACGAATTCGCAGGCATAACTGTTTCACTATCAACTATATTGTCCGTAAGACTCACCATCACATATTAATTGACCCCAGTCACCATACAGCTTTACATGTGCAGTTTGTCCAGTGAACACAGTCTTTTAAGTAAACTGGTCGCTTGGAAACCCTGCCGGACCACCGACTGATGAGAGGAGGGCTTTGACTGTATTGAAAGCCGCCGTTTCCCGATGACCCCAGGACGACGGCCTTTGTGCTGAGGAGGCAGTGTAGAGGCTCGGTTAGTGTTGCTTTGTGGGGAAGAAACAAGTTGTACAAGTTCAGAAACCCCAGGAACACCTGCAACTCTGACATGCTTTTTGGAATCGGGGCCTGCTGAATGGCCCGGATCTTGGATGCCTTCAGGTGAAGACCGGAGGCGTCGATAAGGTAGCCCAGGAACTTCACCTGTAGAACGGCGATCTGGCACTTTTATTTTTTCACTTTGAGCCCAGCCTCCTAGAACCTGGTCAGCATGGTGCAGATGTGCTTGAACAGTTGCTGATTTGAGTCTGCGGATACCAAGACATCATCAAAATATGGCACCGCGCCCGGAAGCCCCTGCAGGAGACGCTCCATGAGGCTTTGAAAGATGCCAGGAGCAACCCTCACCCCGAACTGTAGCCAGCGGCACCGGAATGCCCCTCAGTGGGTGACGATCGTCTGAGCTTCAGCAGTGGCATCATCAACAGGCAGTTGTTGATAGGCTTGGGCAAAGTCCAGTTTAGCAAAGACCTTGCCATCACCCAGGGAATGCAGCAGGTGCCTTGTTGATCGTGCACTTGTATTCTTCACATATTCTCACCGACCCATCCGGCTTAACAGGCGTGACAATGGGGGTTTCCCACTTGGTGTGGTCAATCAGCTCTGAGAGTAAATGGGACCTGGCGTGGCTTTAGCTTCATGGGGGCGACTTGCGGATCAAGGCTAAAGGTGATGGGTGTTCCTGTATATTGGCCTAAAGTGCCATTGAAAACCTCAACAAAGTCTTTGATTAGGCCATCAACCTCCGTGTCAGAGATGGAGTTGATGACGGTGACTTCCCGGCTGAGGGCATCAAACCAGTCTAGCTAGCCCTAGAAGGCTAGGCCACAGGCCTTCAACCACCACCAGTCGCAGCAGGCCTGAAAAATTCTTGAAAGCGACCCGGTACCAGCCGACACCTACCACGGGGATGTTGTTTCCCTGGTAGTCTCTCAAATGTATGCGGTGTGGGTCGAGTTGCCTCTTGGACAGCTTGGACACGAGTCTTTTGATGGTGCTCCAGGATACGACAGACAAGGCAGACCGTCAATCTGCATGTCACATGGAGCTCCTTCGATGAGCACGGTGACATGTAGGCAAGTTGGTTTGGCCAATCGTGAATCCGGACGAGCAGTGGCAGTTGGTGAGGGCGAAACAGCTTCCGTTGGCGGACCAGGGTGAAGACCTGGACTTGCGAGACGGTGAAGGTGGCGTGTCGGATGGAGCAGATCGGCAGACCTTAGCAATGTGGCCCCTTCTGGAGCATCACTGACAGATGGCGTCTCTGAATCGACACTTGACACGGGAATGATTGTCTCCGCACCCAGCACATTCTAATTTGTCCTTGTACCACTGTTTGAACTTCCCACGCTCCCGCTTCGTCTGGTACACATCATCGTCTTTGCTGGCTGACGCCTTGTTACTGTTGGCCTCCTCTTGGTGCACTGGGATTGGCTTCTTAGCAGGATGCAGGCTGCTGCCCTTGCGAATCTCCTGGGCAGAGAGTTCAGTAGCTTCTGAGGCCGCAGCCTCCTCGATGGTCTTCTGCGGTGTGAGGTCAGGCTTGGCGAGAAGACGCCGTTGCAGATGGTTGTTCCAAACACCGGAGAAAATTTGATCCATCAGGGCATCGTCTAAGTCTTGGAACTCACAGTGCAGTGCAGCTTTTCGGAGGGTGGCGATATAGTTGTTGATCGACTCCCCCTCTGCCTGGTCCGGTGGTAGAACACATGGTGGACAGCAATTTTGGACGGCTTTGGAGCGTAGCGGTTTTTTAGCTTCTCTTTTAGCACGTCCCACGGCGCTGCCTGGACTGCTAGTGGCAAGACCAAAACTCAGGCCGTCTCAAACACCTCGAGCCCACAAAGGCTGAGGAATAGGCCCCACTTATGCTCCTCTGACCCTTTGTCACCTCGTTTGCTTGGAGGAAGCAGGTGAACCGAGCAGTAGAGGCACGAGTGAAGCCATGGTTCCGATGACGGATGGGACACAGTGCAACGGTCAGCTCTGAATTGGGTTCTGTTCAGTGATTCCGCTCAGTGTTTTAGCTCAGTGATTCCACTCAGTGAGCGTCCGAATCTGGCTGTGCTCTGATGTCCATCCAATCCTACCTTCGTCGCCAGTATTAAGTAGTGGGTGGACATGGCAGACGACACAGAGATTTCTCCAAGTGGTTCTTTATAGTAAGCTGGAACAGAACTGAACAGCAAACAGCTCAGCCGGCCTGCTTTTATAGGCAGCCGGCTGTCAACACTGTAACAACAACAGCCCAGGGTTTCCCGCCCAAATTAACTGATGTGGACCTGAGTGAAAACTATATACACGATACTCCTGGTGGCCAGGGGGAGAACTTCAGTACATAACACCATTCACGTTTTAAAGATTTAAATCCTATTTCAGTTGCAATTTCTATCGTGATTTCAATCTCAATGGAAATCCCTTGTCCGTCAGACTGGATTTCCATCCTTTCCTTATAGGAAGATTCAGCCTTGCTGTTATCCTCTTAATACTGTATCGTTTTCAGAGCAGGGTAGATTTTATTTTGTTTTATTTAATTTATTTATATTATAATATGTATTTTATTTTATTATTATATTATGTTTTGTTTACTATATAATATTTTATTTGATTTTAGTCTATAATATTCATTTTATAATATTACATATTTTATTATTATATATTATTCATTTTATAATATTATAAATATTAATTGTAAATATTTAAATTTATTCCAATCCAATCGATTGAAATCCACCGTCAGTCAGACTTGATTGAGATTATCTCTTTAATGAAAGGTTCAACCTTGCTGGCATCTGATTTTATTTTTATTTTTTAAGAAAATTGTTTATTTTTATCCCCCCAATTTTAGGGCGCCCTTGCCTACAGCCTCAACTACTTCATCTACACTGCCTGGGCGCTGCTCTTCTCACTGCTGGCCGTGCTTCTCGTTCGCGGTTTTGCACCCTACGCCTGTGGGTCGGGGATCCCCGAGGTAAGGCCAGCTAATCGATTATCAAGTCAATTTTGCTGCGACTTCCCACATGCTAGATTTCTGGCTGCAGGGATTTCATCCCCTCATGCTCCCAAAATCTGAATAATTGTTGTAAATAACATGACTATCAACAGTATGAACTTAATAAATAATAATAACTCATAATGCATAGTATAAATAATTATATAAATTAAATAAGTACACATTATTATGAATATTAATATAAATAAAATGAATAATACTATTATACTTGAAATATACAAGAAATATGGATCCCTAGATTTCTAGCTGCGGGGATTCCCTTCCCTCCTGCTCTCAAAATCTGATTGGGGATTTAAATCACCGGGATCTTTTCAACTAGAAATGTGGCTGGGGTTCATAATAATAATTAGTAATTATTATTATTATAAGCAACATGACTTTCAATAATGAGAAGATAAGAAATAAATAATTATGCACAGTACAAGTTATTATATAAATGAAATAAGTAATAACAACCTCGATGAAGAAGATAAATATAAATATAAATAAAATGAATAATAATCAATATTAATTTTTATTTATTTATACTTATATTCTTTATAATTACAAACCATAATAAATTGGAAAATAATGATAGAGCATAAATCAGGCATAGGCAAACTCCAGCCCTCCAGATGTTTGGGACTGCAATTCCCCTCATCAATGTCTTCTATAGATCTGTTTGGATGTTTTATTCAGTTCATACTTTGATATTTAGTATTTGGCAGTTGACCCATTATGGTAATGTTGGAGACTTTGCAAGAACTTCTTCACCTATGAAAACACATTCTGGATTTTTCTGAAGGGACATTCTAGACAAACATTTGGTGATGATGGGAATTGCAGTCCCAAACATCTGGAGGGCCGGAGTTTGCCTATGCCTGGCATAAATGATAACATGATAAATAAAAATAATGATAAATTATAATAAAATGATAAATAAAAAATAATGAAAGAATTGAAATGATGATAAAAAATGAGAGAGTGCAAATGATAATAAAATGATAAATAAAAAATAATAAATATAAATTATAATTAAAAAGATAAATTATAAAAAAGTGTTATGTACTCACCCTGGGCCAGCAGGGGGATACTGTAGATAGTTATGCAAATGAAGGATCGAAAGTGATGTTCAGCGATTGGATAGTTTGTATGCAAATGAAGGATCGAAAGTGACGTTCAGTGATTGGATAGGTTAAGAAATGGCAACAGTTACTTTGTTCTGGAGCTCTATATAAGCAGGCTGACTGAGCTCCTCAGTTCAGTTCAGTTACAGCTTACAAATAAAGAGCTGCTTTGGAAGAATCACTGTGTTGTCTGATATGTTCGCCCACAACTTAACGAAAAGGATGAATAAAAAAAATATAAATAACATAAAGAATCATCATCCTAAAAATATAAAAGGTAATCCTTTTATTCTTTGCACCCCATCCCTCTGGCCATGCCGCCAACACCCCTCGCTTCCTCCAGGCCCCGAGTGCAAATCCCCAAACTGACATTTCTCCTCCTACCTTTTCCAGATCAAGACCATCCTGAGTGGCTTCATCATCCGCGGCTACCTGGGGAAGTGGACTCTGCTGGTCAAGACGGTCACCCTGGTCCTGGCCGTGGCCTCGGGGCTCAGCCTGGGCAAGGAGGGGCCCCTGGTCCACGTGGCCTGCTGCTGCGGGAACATCCTCTGCCACCTCTTCACCAAGTACCGGAAGAACGAAGCCAAACGGAGAGAGGTGAGGGACCCCTGGGGCACGTGCAGAAATCCTCTGGTTGTCAATATTCACAGGATGCCAGCAGGGCCGAACCTTTGCGTAAATAGTGGATTGGATTCCTGAATCCAATCGGGATTCAGGCCTCATCATGGGACTGAAACTGCCTTGGTCGCGCTGGTTGATGATCTCCGGCGAGCTAGGGACAAAGGTGAGAGTTGTTTCCTAGTTCTGCTGGATCTCTCAGCGGCCTTTGATACAATCGACCATAACATCCTTCTGGACCGTCTAGAGGGGCTGGGAGCTGGGGGCACTGTCATACAGTGGTTTTGCTCCTTCCTCCTGGGCCGTGTTCAGAAAGTGGGGGGGGGATGGGTGTTCAGACCCCTGGGCCCTCACTTGTGGGTTCTGTCCTCCCCCCCATGCTTTTCAACATCTACATGCAGCCGCTGGGAGAGATCATCAGGGGGTTTGGACTGGGTGTCCATCAATATGCAGATGATACCCAGCTCTACCTCTCTTTCAAATCAGAACCAGTGAAAGTGGTGAAGGTCCTGTGTGAGTGCCTGGAGGCAGTTGGAGGATGGATGGCGGCTAATGGATTGAAGTTGAATCCTGACAAGACAGAAGTACTGTTTTTGGGAGACAGGGGGCGGGCTGGTGTGGAGGACTCCCTGGTCCTGAATGGGGTAACTGTGCCCCTTAAGGACCAGGTGCACAGCCTGGGAGTCATTTTGGACTCAAAGCTGTCCATGGAGGCGCAGGTCAATTCTGTATCCAGGGCAGCTGTCTACCAACTCCACCTGGTACGCAGGCACCCTACCTGCCCGCGGACTGTCTCGCCAGAGTGGTGCATGCTCTAGTTATCTCCCGCTTGGACTACTGCAATGCGCTCTACGTGGGGCTACCTTTGAAGGTGACTCGGAAACTACAACTAATCCAGAATGCGGCAGCTAGACTGGTGACGGGGGGCAGCCGCTGAGACCACATAACACCGGTCTTGAAAGACCTACATTGGCTCCCAGTACGTTTCTGAGCACAATTCAAAGTGCTGGTGTTGACCTTTAAAGCCCTAAATGGCCTCGGCCCAATATACCTGAAGGAGCGTCTCCACCCCCATCGTTCTACCCGGACACTGAGGTCCAGCGCCAAGGGCCTTCTGGCGGTTCCCTCATTGCGAGAAGCAAAGCTAAAGGGAACCAGGCAGAGGGCCTTCTCAGTAGTGGCGCCCACCCTGTGGAACGCCCTCCCATCAGATGTCAAAGCGATAAACAACTACCTGACATTCAGAAGACATCTTAAGGCAGCCCTGTTCAGGGAAGTTTTTAATGTGTGATATTTTAGCGTATTTTTGGTTTCTATGGAAGCCGCCCAGAGTGGTGGGGGAAACCCAGCCAGATGGGCGGGGTACAAATAAATTATTATTATTATTATTATTATTATTATTATTATTGTGATTTCAGTGGTGATGAATGGATGGATGGATGGATGAATGAATGAAGCTTTACCTTCCACTCAGTATTTGAATAAAGGAATGAAGCTTCACATGGCAGTCAAGCTTTGAATGAATGATAATAATAATAATAATAATAATAATTTATTTATGCCCCACCCATCTGGCTGGGCTTCTGGGTGGCTTCCAACAGAATATTAAAATACAATAATGCATCAAACATTAAAAGCTTCCCTAAACAGGACTGCCTTCAGATGTCTTCTAAAAGTCTGGTAGTTGTTTTTCTCTTTGACATCTGGTGGGAGGGCGTTCTACAGGGCGGGTGCCATTACCAAGTAACTTGGCTTCTCACAGTGAGGGAACTGCCAGAAGGCCCTCAGTGCTGGAACTCAGTGTCTGGGCTGAACGATGGGGATGGAGACGCTCCTTCAGATATACTGAACTGAGGCCGTTTAGAGCTTTAAAGGTCAGCACCAACACTTTGAATTGTGCTCGGAAACGTACTAGGAGCCAGTGTAGGTCTTTCAAGACCGGTGTTATATGGTCTTGGCAGCCGCTCCCAGTCACCAGGCTAGCTGCCGCATTCTAGGTTAGTTGTAGGTTCCGGGTCACCTTCAAAGGTAGCTCCACATAGAGTGCATTGCAATAGTCCAAGCGGGGAAAATCTAGAGCATGCACCACTCTGGGGAGACAGTTTGTGGGCAGGGAGGGTCTCAGCCTGCGTACCAGGTGGAGCTGGTGGACAGCTGCCCTGGACACAGAATTGACCGCCTCCTTGGACAGCTGTGAGTCCAAAATGACTCCCAGGCTGTGCACCTGGTCCTTCAGGGGCACAGTTACCCCATTCAGGACCAGGGAGTCCTTCACACCAGCCCGCCTCCTGTCCCCCAAAAACAGCACTTCTGTCTTGTCAGGATTCAACCTCAATCCATTAGCCGCCATCCATCCTCCAACCGCCTCCAGACACTAACACAGGACCTTCACCACCTTCACTGGTTCTGATTTAAAAGAGAGGTAGAGCTGGGTATCATCCGCATACTGATGAACACCCAGCCCAAACCCCCTGATGATCTCTCCCAGCGGCTGCATGTAGATATTGAAAAGCATGGGGGAGAGGACGGAACCCCGAGGCACCCCACAAGTGAGAGACCAGGGGTCTGAACACTCATCCCCCAATACCACTTTCTGGACACAGCCCAGGAGGAAGGAGTGGAACCACCGTATAACAGTGCCCCCAGCTCCCAGCCCCTCAAGACAGTCCAGAAGGATGTTATGGTTGATGGTGTCAAAAGCCGCTGAGAGATCTAGGAGACAGAGCAGAACTAGGAAACAGCTCTCACTTTTGTTCCTAGCCCGCTGGAGATCATCGACCAGTGCGACCAAGGCAGTTTCAGTCCCATGATGAGGCCTGAATCCCAATTGGAAGGGATCCAAATGGTCCGCTTCTTCAAGGCGTGCCTGGAGTTGTTCAGCTCAATCACCTTGCCCAAGAATGGAAGATTTGAGACTGGGCGATAGTTGGCCATATTGGCCGCATCTAAAGATGGTTTTTTAAGAAGCAGTTTGATAACCGCCTCTTTCAGTGGGTCTGGGAAGGCTCCCTCACAGAGAGAAGCATTCACCACCTCACAAAGCCCATCGCCCAGCCCTTCCTGGCTAGCTTTTATAAGCCATGATGGGCAAGGATCAAGGAGACAGGTGGTTGGTTTCACTCATCCAAGCAGCCTGTCCACATCTTTGGAGGTAACAGATTGGAACTGATCCCACGCAACGTGACTAGACAGGACTCTAGCACTCTCCCGCCCCGGCCCTGCTTCCACGGTGGAGTCTACTTCTTCCCAAATCTGAACAACTTTATCTGCAAAAAACTTTGCAAAATCGTTGCAGGAGATCTTGGGGTCTTTCCCAGGCCCCGGTGGCAAAGGTGGTTCCGTGAAATTGTGAACCACCTGAGTCTCCTGCTGCTGTTTTCTGCAGATGCAATAGAGGCGGTGAAAAAAGTCCTCTTTGCCGTCGCTATCACCACTTGGTAGGCTCAACACTGAGCTCTAACCCGTGTCCGGTCAGATTCAGAATGAGTTATCTGCCGCCAGCGCTCTAGCCGTCTCAGCGATTGTTTCATTGCCCTCGGATCCGTGGAAAATCACGGGGCTGTCCGGGCTCCATGCAATCGGAGAGGGCGCTTCGGAGCCAAACAGTTGATAGCCCTGGTTAACTCCACATTCCAGCGGGCCACCAGGGAATCAGCTGAAAGGCCATCAACATGGGATAAAACATCCGCTACCACTCTCTGGAAACCATTTAGATCCATTAAGTGAATGAATGAATCTTTATTTGCGTCAGCCATCGCCCATAGCAATAAAACAATGATATGATATACACTGATCTGATTCAGTGGTGATGCCAGCAAGGCAGACTAGTGATTTAATGATGATTTCAATCATGATTTAAATATTTTAAAAGTCTGAAAAATTATGATTCCAAAGGCTTCCCCTGGTTGTTGATATTCCATAAAGAAACCTTTCCGTAAAGAAAGGACTTGAATCCAGTCTGACAGATTTCAGTCAATTGGATTCCAATCAAATCCACCCAGTCCATCCCTATTATCCAACCTGATCAATTCCTGCTTGTCAATACGCAAAACAATCTTATATACCTGGAAAGAAAATGTGCCCTTTTTTTATTTAAAAAAAGTATTAAACTTTCCATTTTAACCGTCAAATAATAACCCCATGAAAAATATTCCTAATTATAATACAATCCAAAAGACCAATTTTTGATCCATTTTTATATCTTTGAAGATTGGGCTCTTTTAACTTTCTCAACTTTCCTGATTTAGGTTCTATCAGCCGCTGCAGCTGCTGGGGTCTCCGTGGCGTTCGGAGCTCCCATAGGAGGTGTCCTTTTCAGCCTGGAAGAGGTAATCAATCAATCAATCAATCAATCAATCAGGTTGTTACGGTAAAACCTGATTTAAATTTATGGAAAATTTCATTTAATCTAAAAATGTTACTCACTAAAATTTTCTCTGCCCATCTGACTGGGCTGCCCCAGCAACCCTGAGCAGCTTCCAACAACTACTTCTTCTTCTTCTTAAAATTGTATGATGATTATATTAACATTATTATTCTTCATTATTAAATGTTATGATAATTATATTGACATTATCATTATCATAATATTTATTATTAAATTTTACGATAATTATATTCCTATTATTATTATTCATTATTAAATTGTATGATGATAATATTTGCATTGTTCTTTTCTATCAAATGGCATGATAATGATATTAAAGTTATATTTTATATATGATTATGTTAAAATTATGTTGATTCATTATTCAATGGCATGATGATATTATATATTAATATATTAATAATTATATAAAATAATCATTGTTTACAACAACCAAGGACAAATTAAATTATAATTACATACTATTCTCATTTACACGACTCTATGATCCCAGGTCAGCTACTACTTCCCCCTGAAGACGCTTTGGCGCTCCTTCTTCGCTGCTCTGGTGGCCGCCTTCACCTTGCGCTCCATCAATCCCTTTGGCAACAGCCGCCTGGTCCTCTTCTATGTCGAGTTCCACGCCCCCTGGCACCTCCTCGAACTCGCGCCCTTTGTCCTGCTGGGCGTCTTCGGCGGGCTCTGGGGGGCTGCCTTCATCCGCGCCAACATTGCCTGGTGCAGGTGCGTGGGACACGCATTCAGATTGCGCCCTGAGATAATATAAATTTTAATAATAATAATGTCATATTTCTTCTACATGCCATTGCATGTCTCTTCTTGAGTGAACATGCAATGTATATTTCTGGGAAATTTAATTGAAAATTCCATTGAAAATTCCGGAAAATTAATTTACTTTTCCTGGATTTTTCCCCTGCAGGCGGCGTAAGACCACCCGGCTAGGCCGCTACCCAGTGGCTGAGGTCCTGGTGGTGACGGCGGCCACGGCCGTCCTGGCCTTCCCTAACCAGTACACGCGCATGAGCACCAGCGAACTCATTTCGGAGCTCTTCAATGACTGCGGGCGCCTCGACTCCTCGCAGCTCTGTGACTACGTCCGCAATGGCACCCCCGGGGAGGGTGGGGGGCCCGACCGCCTAGCCGGCCCCGAGGTGCAAAGCGCCATGTGGCAGCTGGCACTGGCGCTGGCCCTCAAGGGTGTCATCACTGTCTTCACCTTCGGGATGAAGGTGAGAGCTGGCCGGGCAGGTGTGGCACTGAGATTGCACTGGGATTGTGCTGATTGTGCTAATATTGCGCTGATGCCGTGAAGGGCAAACGTACTGCTGCACATGCCTGGGGGGTGCCATGAACATTGCCTTCCCCCAAACCCCAATTCTGGTGGTGGGCTGGTGGTGGGTACAGCCGGGCACTACATTTCCCAGGCCACTGACCCCTCCCGCTTTTTCCCTTAGGTGCCCTCGGGGCTCTTCATCCCCAGCATGGCGGTGGGCGCCATCGTGGGGCGCCTGCTGGGCGTTGGCATGGAGCAGCTTGCCCTCCACCATCCCGACTGGGTGCTCTTCGAAGCCTGGTGCCAACCGGGCGCCGACTGCATCACCCCGGGCCTCTATGCCATGGTGGGTGCGGCCGCCTGCTTGGGTGAGTGGTGGCGGGAGTTATGCCTTGCTGGCATCCTCTTCATTTTGACAATGAAGGTTTCCTTTTTGGAATTGTAAATTTTCGGTCTTTTTTTAGTTAAATAAAATTCATTTCAGTCGTGATTTGAATCAGTCAGGCTTGATTTAAATCCTTTCTTACAGAAAGATTCAGTCTTGTTGGCACAATCTTTCTTTTGGCAAGCAGCTAGAGGTTAAATCGGATTTAAATCAAAAACCTATCTGATTTAAATTTTTAAAAATCTGATTTAAATTTTAAAAATTGTGTTAAAAAAAACCTGATTTGAATAAAAAAACCAAAATTGAAAAAATCTGATTTAAATTGAAAAATCCAGACTTAATTAGAAATATCAGATTTGAATCAAAAGGCCGATTTATATCAAAAAAATCCCATCAATTTTTTTTAAAAACCCATTTAAATTTTAAAAAATCCCATTTAAATTAAAAAAATCCAACTTACCCGTATTTTTCACTCTATAAAACGCACCCGACCATAACACGCACGTAGTTTTTAGAAGAGGAAAACAAGAAAAAAAGTATTTTAAACGAAACAGTGGATGTATGATTTTTGTGGTTCATGCTGTGGCCACAGACATGTGATCTGACAGTGAGTTTGAAGTAGCCCAATGCAAAAATCCTGAGGATCCATGTGGATCCATGCTTTGTAACCACGTTTTTGCACCACTGCGGCCCCAGGCAACAGTGGGTGTGTGAATTTTTTGGTGCAAGATGTAGCCATGGACATGCTATGTGATCTGATGGTGAATTTGGGGTGACCCAGTGCAAAAATCCTGAGGATCCATGTGGATCCGTGCTTTGTAACCACGTTTTAAGTGGGGAGGGAAGGAAAAGCACTCAAGGGACAAGGAGCACGCGTGGGGTGGGTGGAGAAGGATGCTGCTAATAATGAAGAAGAGGGGTATAAGGGGAGGAACCAACTGGACAGGACTCATGTAAGCGGCTCCTCTCCTCTCCTCTCCCGCTTTGCTCCTTTAAAGCAAGCAGGCTCTCTGTCCCTCTCTCCTCCCCACTCAGCAGCTCTTCTCCCGCTTTGCTGTTTCAAAGTGAGCCACGGAGGAGGGAAGGAAGGGGAACCATGGATCCTCTGCTCACGACTGCAGCAGATCCCCCCACCGCCACCCGTTGGCATTCCCTCCATAACACGCACAGACATTTCCCCTTACTTTCTAGGAGGAAAAAAGTGAGTGTTATGGTGCAAAAAATACAGTAAATCAACAAAATCCCATTTAAATCGAGCAAAAAATCCAATTTAAATGTTAAAAATCCAAATTTAAATTTTAAAAAACCATTTAAACCCACAAAACCCAAAAAGAAATCCAATTTAAATATTTAAGAATCTAATATAAATGTTTTAAAAGTCCAATTTAAAACAGAATTCAAATTTTAAAATTTTGATCTCATTTTTAATTTTAATTTTTAAAATTTGGTTTCATAATAATATTGATTTTAAATAATTGTCGGTTCATCTCCCCCCTTCCAGGCGGCGTCACCCGCATGACCGTCTCCCTGGTGGTCATCATGTTCGAGCTGACCGGCGGCCTGGAGTACATTGTCCCCCTCATGGCTGCCGCCGTGACCAGCAAGTGGGTGGCCGATGCAGCAGCCGGGCGCCAGGGCATCTACGACTCCCACATCCGCCTCAACGGCTACCCCTTCCTCGAGGCCAAGGAGGAATTCACACACAAGACCCTGGCCGCCGACGCCATGCGCCCCCGCCGACCCGCCGACCCGCCGCTGACTGCCCTTCCGCAGGATGCCATGACCCTGGGAGACGTAGAGGGGGTGCTGGGCTCCACCGGCTACAGCGGGTACCCGGTGGTGCTCTCCCGGGAGTCACAGCGCCTGGTGGGCTTCGTGCTACGGAGGGACCTGCTCATCTCCATTGGTGAGGGGTTCAAGAAAGGTTAAGCCTCGCTGGCATTATCCTCTTCCTCTCAGTTTCTGGTCAAGGTCCAGTTCGAATCCCCATTGGGATTGATTGAAACGCCAGCAAGGGGGGGAATTTCAGTTGGCTGAGTTTTGCACCCAGACCAATCCTCCTCTCTCTTTCCCCCACCTCCAGAAAATGCCCGCCAGACCCAAGAGGGGATCGTGACCTCCTCAATGGTCTCCTTCTCTGACCACTCGCCCCCGCTGCCCCCGAACTCGCCGCCCATCTTGAATCTCCGCCCCATCCTCGACCTCAGCCCCTTCACCGTCACTGACCACACACCCATGGAAATCGTGGTGGACATCTTCCGGAAGCTGGGCCTCCGACAGTGCCTGGTGACGCACAATGGGTGAGGCACCAGGTGCAAGACGGATGTGCAGTGGGTACGAGAGGTGTCAGGTGCAAGACAGGTGCCGGGTGTGAGAGATGATGGGTGTGTCATACGTGGGTGTGATGGGTGCTGGGTTCGAGATACATCGGTGCTGGATGTGAGGGATGCTGGGTGCGAGACACACGGGTGCTGAGTGCAAAAGATGCGGGTGCTGAGTGTGAGAGATGCCAGGTGCGGGACATGTGAATGCTGGGTGTGAGGGGTGCCGGGTGCTAGACACGTGGGTGCTGGTGCGATATGGACAAGTAGAGGAAGATTTTTCAGACCAGGGTGGATTGGATTTAAATCGAGTTTATTAAAATTAGTTTTCACCCACCCTGACCCCAGAATAGGGACCTCGGTGAAGACTTGAGTTTGAGAATTACACCACCATTCTCTTCCAAATTAACTGTTCTTTTCTTTTCTAGGAAACTCCTGGGAATCATCACCAAAAAGGATGTTTTGAAACACATCGCACAACTGGCTAATCAGGATCCAGATTCCATCCTTTTCAATTGAAAGCGGATTCGGGAGCCAGGTGCAAATGCCGTCTCCCACATGAACCTCTAGCCAAGATTCCTCTTGTTTTTCTTACGGAAAATCCAGATCAATCAAATGATAATCATGTTTTCTTTCTTTCTTTCTTTTTCTACAAAATTGCACTATGGAAATTTGGCAGAGATTTTGATTTCACTTGAAGAAGAAGAGACTTAATTGAATTTAGATTTTGGAAGCGAGATTCCGGGAAGGAATAAAGGAAATAAACTGGAAATAGATCTTGACCGCTTTCTCTTTTCATCCATATTCATAATATGGTGCCTTTGCCCTCTTCCAAAATGGCGCCCATACCTCCTCTGCCCACTCTCTGCTCATATTATGGTGCCTTTGCCCTCTTCCAAAATGGCACCCGTGCCTCCTCTGCCCACTTCACGTGGCAATTCCTGCTCATATGGTGCCTTTGTCCTTTTCCAAAATGGCGCCTGTGCCTCCTCTGCCCACTTAGGAACCGCCCTGTTCCAAAATGGCGGCGGTGCCTCTGCCCACTTCTGAAAATTCCCTCATCGCTTGCTGCTAATCATAATGGTGCCTTTGCTTCAGCTTCAAAAATGGCCCCAGTGCCCTTGTCAAAGATGGTGGGTGTGCCTTCAGCTCTTGAAAGCCTTAGCTTCTGCCCTCACTTCCTTTGCCTGCTGCCCAAAGGGTGCCTTCCCTTTTCCAATATGGCACCGCCAGCTTCCCCTGCTATTACCTTCAACATCATCATCAGTGCTTTTTTCTGGGGGGGACGCATACCCCTAAATATTTTGTGAATCTAAGATTGGCCTCATGGAGGGGCAGGAGTTCAATAGGAGTAGGTAATAATAACAACAACAATAATAATGATTTTATTATTTATACCCTTATTATTTATTACATCTCTCCCTGTGCCCCTCTACTCAGGTCTGCTGCTGCTTGTTTAAAGGTAAAGGGACCCCGGACCGTTAAGTCCAGTTGCGGATGACTCTGTGGTTGCGGCGCTCATCTCGCTCTATGGGCCGAGGGAGCCGGCGTTTGTCCGCAGACAGCTTCCGGGTCATGTGGCCAGCATGACTAAGCCACTTCTGGCGAACCAGAGCAGCGAACGGAAACGCCGTTTACCTTGCCGCCAGAGCAGTACCTATTTATCTTCTTGCACTTTGACGTGCTTTTGAACTGCTAGGTTGGCAGGAGCAGGGACCGAGCAACAGGAGCTCACCCCATTGCGGGGATTCGAACCGCCAACCTTCTGATCGGCAAGTCCTAGGCTCTGTGGTTTAACCCATGCGTCCCATGCTGCTTGTTTATGATTATGTATTTGTACATATTTAATTACAGTAATATAAAATGATTATGATTATTATATCATAGTATATTAAAACTTATTATTTATCATTAAATCTTATGATGACTATTTTATAGTATATTCACATTATTATTATTATTTATCATTAAATTTTACAACGGTTCTATGATAGTCTATTAAAATTATTACTATTTATTATTACATTTTGCAATGATGATATTCACATTATTACTTTGGTAAATTTTACAAATATTATATTCACATATTATTTATTATTAAATTTCTCAACGATTGTAGTAAATTTATTATTTTTATTAAACTTTACGAAGATTATATTCACCTTGTTATTATTAAATTTTGCAACAATTATATTAAAATTCTTGTTTTTATTCAGTCTTATGATTATATTCACATCATTATGATTTGTTATTAAATTTTGCAACAATTATGTTAAAATCATTATTTTTATGAAATTTTATGAAGATTATATTCACCTCATTATGATTCATTCTTAAATTTGTTAATTACACCCTGCCAATTCTATGATCCCACAATAGACCCTTTGAACTGCCACTCTCCTGGCAGTGGCAAAGGCACCTTTGGCTGCGTGCAGAGTGCCATTGCCCAGAGCCACCCCTTGGAGGCTACTCCGGAAAAAGGGAGGAGCTAAGGATGGCTTCCTGATTGGCTGCCCTCTGCACATGCTCCGGTTTGCCCTCACCCAACAGAGCAGGATACAGAAGAAGATTCCATTTCCATTTATTGCTAGGCCACCCAATCCCTGCAGGTATAAAAATCACAATACACAAAACGCAGAATATGCAAAAATCATTAACAGAAGAAAAACAATCAGCCGTCTTTCCCCACCCAAAAAAACCCCTATTATTATTTATTAACTTTTAGCAAGAACACTAGATAGATAGATAGATAGATAGATAGATAGATAGATAGATTATAGAAACTCTACCCATGTAAATGCCAAACTTCCAATTTCAAAGAGAGAAGCTTTGATAAATTACAATATAAATTACATCCAGAGCGTTCCCCTGATCCAGCTAGCTGATATCTCCCTCCCCAGAAGACGTCAGTGGAGAAACCCAGGTCTTCATCATGATGCCCCACACTAGGTCCTCTCGTCCCAGGGCGGTCCTGAGTTCGAGTCCAGTCCGATCTCTAGCAGACTGAGAGAGAGGGAAGGAGTCCCCAAGTTGGAGTTCATCGGTAGGGGGTGGGGATCTTAAGGTCATGATGGGCCACCAAGCTTGGTAGCAGGACCTGGGAGGAGGTTCTTGAGGTCTTCTTGGACCACCAACTTCACCTGAATCTCCCCAAGTTTATTTCAAGTGGGAGGAATGCCAGGTTCGGCATTGAGAGAGGAGGAACCAGATCTAAGATGGGAGTTTGGTTTTCTAGAAGGACCTGGGAGAAGGATCTCAAGGTCTTGGTGGACCTTCATCTTCCGGGCTCTTGGGTCCTCAGGACAGGGTGGCCGGACCTGCAGGGGCTGACGGGACTTGAGGTTCTGGAGCTGTTCTGGGCTGGCCAAGTTCTTGAGCAGGTGGTTCTCCCGCTGCAGACGCCCGTTCTTCTCCAGAAGCTCCTGGATCTGGTCCTTCAGGAGGTCCACCTCCTCTCGCACGGCGTACACCAGATGGGTCTTCACCAGGTCCTGCCAGGGAGAGATTGGGGTTGAGTCGAGGACAGGAATCTCAACCGTAATGGGGGCGGGGCGGGCGGCAGGGATGGGGGTGGGGCGGGCAGGCGCGGGCCCCCTCAAGGTGACACTCACCAGGGCCTGCTCGATCTTGTCGCCGATGGCCCTCGAATCCGGATCGCTGCAGCAAGAGTGGGGAAAGAAGAAGGGAAAGTGGAGTGAGACCCAGATCGGCTCCTTTTCCGAGGCGCACCTGTCTCCCACCTGGATCGAGGGGGAATTTTGAGAGCTGGAAAAAATGGCCACTAAGCATAGCTGTCAAGTGTCCCTTATTTGAAGGGACAGTCCCTTATTCCAGCGCCATGTCCCTCTGCTGTCCCTTATTGATAGATGTCCCTTAAATGTCCCTTAAATGATATCCCTTAAATTTCAAAGAAAGCTGCTCCTCTCCCTCCCTCCCTGCGGGAGGAGGGAGGCTCCAACTGTGTTGCTTGGCTGTGTTGCTCACCCAATAAGAAGTCTAAGAACAACTGGGGGTGGACCTTGCATGCCTTGTGTGTGGCTTGTTAATGCAAGCTGAGGAGGTTTTTGAATGCTGGACGCCATTTTGTTGCACGTGCTGCTGCAAACTTTGCAGTGCAAAGCCAGGCCGGGAGCCATCTTAAGTTGAGGCTGCATAGGCCTTGTGGTGCATGTGATTCAGATTCTATTCAGTTGAACCTCTGGTTACAAAGTTGGTTGGACAGTGTTCTCGAAGCTACCAGCATCAGTTTGACCAGACTGCAGGAGGACAGGAAGACTGGAGTGCCTGGAACAGGTGAGGCTGCAGGTCCCTTATTTTGGCTGCTGGTCCCTTATTTTCAAATCTGTCAGTTGACGGCTATGCCACAAAGTGGGGCTCTAACCCGATGTTCTAACCTGGGGGAGGCCACGCCCACCCAAGCACAAGCTCCGCCCACTTGGCCCCAACTGCCAACCTCGTATCTGCATTGCAGTGGATTGGGCTAGATGACCCGGGTATCCCTTCTCTTGGGGGATTCCTGCATTCCAGGGGGTCCTTCGTTGCATGGGGTTGGGCTAGATGACCCTGAGGGTCCCCTTCCCTTGTCCATCATTCTTGGATCGCTACATGCCTGTTTCTCACTCCCTGGCAAGAGATCGGGCTTGGCTGCCAGCAGACGCAGGACTAGAAAAACAGGAAGAGGGTTCAAGAGATGCCAAAACCTCGTGGGCATGTCAAGATTACATAAGGAGGGAGCAAAATATGTTGTGGCTCAGACCACGCCAAAAACCTCCCTTCTAGCACCCTCTCCCAGCCCAACCCCAAAAAAGCAGGAATCCCCCAAGAGAAGGCATTTAGCCCAACCCCCCGGCAATGCAATTGTACATTTTTATTTTTATGTATTTCATTTAAATATGTATTTCATTATTTTCTTATGATGTATTGCATTATGTATTTTTATTTTTTATGTATTTTTAATGCCTTTCTATTTTTATGTATTTTGTCATGTGTTTTTATTTTTATGCAATTTTATTATATAATTTTTTAATGTATTTTTATTTTTACATATTTTTACGTATTTTTTATTTTTAGATGTTTTATTTTACTATTATGTATTTTATTATATATATTTATTTTTATGTATTTTCTTATGCAATAGAAGGGACACCCAGGAGCATCTAGCCCAAACTCCTGCAATGCAGGAATTTCCAAAAGGGACACCCAGGGTTATCCCGACTAACCCCCCAAAAGCAGGCATCTCAGTATAGAAAAACTTAATCCACCTCACACACACACCCAATGCACCAGAACATCAGATAATGCTGGAGCACGGACCTCGAACCCGCCACCTCCTCCTTCTTTCCTGGGAAGAGGAAGACGCCGATCTCTTCCCAGCCTCTCCTAATCCAAATTTCTATTTCTATTTGTATTTCTCCCTGCTTGGCAGGCACCCAGTTCCAGCTGCTGGGCGGATACTGGTCCTGGCAGGACTCCCAGTTCCCTGCTGGCCGGCACGCCAGGACACAACCTGGGGCGGGAATCTCAGGAATGTCAACATTGAAGCATGAAGCTGGAAGGGGCACCCAGGGTCATCTAGCCCAACCCCCTGCCATGCAATTGTGCATTTTATTTTTATGTATTTTATTATGTATTTTTATTTTGATGTCTTTTCTAGGAGGGACACCCAGGGTCATCCAGTCTAACCCGCTTCCGACGCTGCAACCCTATGATTTCTTCCCCGGTTTTACGCAAAGACTCAGCCTTGCAGGCATCACCTGGTGAATTCATTTCTGGAATCATGACTGAATAACAACAACAACAGTAACAACAACAACTCGCCTATCTGGCTGGGTTCCCCGCCTCCCTCGAACCCGACTGTTCTATGATTTCACGATGCTTTGCTTGGGGTTGGACTAGATGACCCCCGGGATCCTCTGAATCTACATTCCCATTCCTCGGGGGATCTTCCAGCTGCTTCTGGGCCCCCGACGTGCGGAGACACGTGCGGCAAGACACGCCCAGACACGCTTACACGACACGTGTCGGCTCGCATGCTTCCTGTTGTTCTGGGGAAGCGCCCGCCCAGCTACGGCCAAGGACGCAGAACCGAGAAGATGGATGGGGCCATCAGTGGTGGTCATCCAGCCCCAAGCCACGTCTCTCAGCTCCAGCACCCAGGAGGACAGGTGGCCCTGGTGTGGGGTGGGACCTAACGCCCCCCCCCGCCTCCCTAATAGCACCCACCTGCGGAAGAACAGCAGGATGGAGAGGAGGGTCGTGTCGGCGGGCTGGTGGAGGTTTTTCTGGCAGACCAGCTGCACCAAGGCTTGGTTGGTGGTGGTCATGGTGAGGTTGCCCCTGGGGCCGCGCTGGTAGCCCCGCCGCGGGCTGTCCTCGGGGCTGGCCAAGGGGTCCAGGCTCCACTCCTCCTCGGAGGAGGTCGACATGGCGCTGGGCAGGACTCAGGAGAGGTGGGGAACTGGTGAGGAACCACCAGTGGAGATAGCAGTGGTCCAGGAGAACTGGTCCCGCTGCTCCCAGCTGAGCGTGCCGGGCCGCAAGGAGCCAACCAGTATATCTCGGAGGGTTCCTGAAGACCTGGCCACCACCAACCCTGCCGAGATGTCCACCACCAAGCTCTTCCACTTGTCCAAGCAGTCCAGCAGCTGCTCCTGAGCAGGAGAGGTCTCCTCTGAGCCAGAAGAACCCAGCGATCTCCTGGGCGCGGCCAACTCTGCCGAGATCTCCGAGGTGTGCCCGCTTCCCACGCCCCTCCAACCAGCCAACCCGCTGTCTCCGTGATTCGGGAGCTACCTCCTCCTTGGCACACCCCCCAACCCGGCCGAAATGCCACCACCAAGCCTTCGCCCGAGCTGCCCAACAGCTGTCCCTCCGTGGCATCCAGCCAGATCTCTAGACGGTGGCGCTGCCCCCTGCTCGCTGGGAGAGGGCGGCCCAAGGGGCGGACCCGGGGGAGCCACCAGCGCCACCGCCGCGCGCGCCACCCAGAGGCAAGGCAGGCAGGACTTGGTGGTCGTGGTGGCCTCTCGGCAGGGTTGGGTGCGCCGGGGAGGTCGCCCTGAAGTCCCCGAAGTAGAGTTCGAGATACCCCAGATAGGCGGGGTATAAAGAAATAAATAATAATAATAATAATAATAATAATAATAATGACCCTCGAAGCTCTCCTCGCAAATCTCCAAGGAAGGAGAGGATAAAATGGGAGAGTTTATTATTATCAGTTATTATTATTAGTAGTAGTAGTAGTATTAACATCAACATCATCTTCTTCATCATCGAAAATCTCTTAGCAAATTTCCAGCTCAAGGAAGGAGAGGATAGAATGGGAGAGTTGGAAAGAACCCCGAGGGGCAGGCGAGACATTTATCCTAGAAGCCGATAAATATCAGTGGCAGACGGTCCGTGGATAGTGCGGTGCAGCGGGTTGAACTATTATTATTTGTGCTTTTTTTCGTTCTTTCTTAAAAAAAACAAAACATTTAGGGCTACTCTCCTTTTCCTACTCCTATTGAAATACTGTACTGCCACTCCATGAGGCCAAACTGAGATTCGCAAAATGTTTGGGGGTATGCGTCCCCCCAGAAAAAAAAATCTTCTTCCTCTTCTTCTTCTTCCATTGAAAACGGCACAATTGACAAGAGGATAAAATGCTATCCTAAGCATGACTGACCCATGGGATCCCTGCAACTCGTTGATACGATCCAGTCTTCCAGCTGAAGCCTCCAGGGAAGCCTCTGACGCGTGCAGAGCGCCAGTCCCAAGGTCGACTGCGCTGGGCCATGGAAGCTCCTTCCCCCAAAAGGAGGACCTTTGGAAGGAAGAAGGACGGGGTGCAGAAGGACTTTGGGGCAAGTGGCTGAAGGGGCTTCCCCTGGGGAAGTAGTAGCGGATGGGCGAAGCCGGCCCGGCCATCTTCGACGAGGGCAAGCGGAGGTCCATTAAAACGCAGGGGCAACGAAAGGAAAAGAGGACAGAAGTGATTGCGAAAAGGGGGGAGTGAAGGCGGCGGGGCCATGTTTGACGAGGGCAAAAGCTCTCTTTTAAACAAAATAGTTTTTTCCCCTAGGAGAAAAATTTAGGTCGTTTACATTTAAAATCTGTTGTCATTTTCTGCAACAAAATAGTGTCCCCCCCACTCCCAGTAAAGCATTAGGGTAGCAGACGCAAACCCCATTTTATTCCTGTATTCACAATGCACTATGTTTAAAGTAAGTTTTTTAAAGATGCTAAACCTCATATGCTCATAATTTCTTAATTTATTTTTTGATATATATTTTAACATTTTTTAAATTTTATTTTTTAAGGGTTGGCATGTAACAACCTATAGTATTTCTACTTGAGAATCATAGAACTCCTGCTGAAAGATGGCCACACCCAATTCTATCTATAAAATATTTTTTTCTAAAAAAAATGCATTGCAGGGGGTCAGACTGGATGACCCTTGGGGGTCCCAACAGGTCCAGACTGCATACAACTCCACATTCTTGCTTTTGATTTCCCCCCCAACAAAAATATGAAATTCATTTAAAATTCAGCTGATGAGAAGGTCACAAATGAAGCATTCATTTGTGAGCTGCCCTGAGACCTCCGGGTATATAAATTCTAATGATTATTATTATTGCAAGGCTGAATCCTTCTGCAAAAAAGAGGGAGATTTAAATCAATGGGGTTTAAATCAAACCTGTTTTGCTCACCCTCATTTCATCATTTATGTCTTCCAGGTTTGTCAAGATGAAGGGGATACCAGCAAGGCTGAACCTTTGTGTGTAAAAGGGGGAAGAAATCAGTGTCGGAAGGGGGGTTGGTCTGGATGACCCTGGGTGTACCTTCCAGCTCCATGCTTATGTGCTGAGATTCCTGAGATTCCCGCCCTGGGTTCATGTCCTGGTGTCAGTCAATAAAAGACGTAAAAATGATAATACAGTACATTCTCAAACATGTAATCAAATAAATGCATGATAAAATACACAAAAAATAAAATGAAATATATAAAAAATAAAAAATACATAATAAAACACGTAAAAAGAAGAATACATTCTAAAATAGGGGATGCCAGTGAGGCTGAGGGGGAAGGAACCGTGGCCTTGCAGCATTGGAAGTGGGGTTGGTCTGGATTACCCTCAGGGGTCCCTTTCTTCTCCCCACAATGCCTCTCCTTCTTTGCCGAGGGACAAAGACCTCTCTGCCCTCCTGCTGGAGGATCTATGGTCCTCATTGTTCGGATGTTCTCCATTCTCCATTGTTGGGAATAGACAAAGAGGGTCTTGTCCCTGGGCAGCTCCGCCAGCCAGCTCCTCTCCGCGCCGGCCCTGCCAGGCAGCCGCCTGAAGGAGGCCATAGAGGGCCAAAGGCATCCCTCGCGGCACCTGCTGGGGGAACTGGGCCAAACTGGGGAGGGTGGAAGGATAGGATATAGAAGAATAGAATCTTCTTCTTCTTCTTCTCCTCCTCCTCCTCCCTTTAATGGTGATTCTGTAAGGGACTGTGGAGGCCAATTCTGGATCCGCACCTCCTTCCACAATGGAGTTTCCCAGTGAAGGTTCCTTCCTCTTCGCCCGTTTCTCCCTCACGTCCCGAGTTCAAGTATCTTCAAAGCCCATGACTCCTTTGGTCAAGGCGGTTCTCCAATAGAAGAATATACCTTATTGGCCCGGATAGAAGCCCTATTTTCCTCTGAGATAGGCGAGATCCCTTCAGGTATCCATATTTCCTGGAGAAGTCTCTGATTTAAAGCCATCCCAGTTTCCAATCACCTTCCTATTGACAAATCCTTTTTTTCATTACGCAAAGACTCGGCCATGCTGGCATCACCTTCCTATTGACCAATCTGGGAAATTCATTTCTGGAATAGTAACTTATTTACTTCTGCTCTTAGGAAGACATCGACCGATCACAATGAAATTGTGGTGAGCAGGGCAGATTCTTCACTGTTTTTCTAGAAAACCAGGTGTCCCCTATCTTAGATCTGGTAACTCCTACCTCAGTGCAGACCCTGACCTTCCTCCTTCTTGAAATTCAATTGGTGAGACTGATGTGAGGCTGGCAGTCCACCAAGACCCAGACACAGATGTCAACCACCCTTCTGTTGCTCCACTTGATTCTCCATAAAGGCAGAACCTGACCTTAGTCCCTCTTGAAACCCATTGGACTCAGGTGAAGATGGAGCTCCACCAAGCCCCTGAGAACCTTCTCCCATATCCTGGTGGCCACCTGGTGGTCCACCAAGACCCTGAGGTCCACCATTGTTCTATTGGTCCACCTAATTCTCCATAAAGGCAGAACCTGACCTTTGTTCCTTTTGAAATCCTTTGGGTTGGACTCAGGTGAAGATGGGGGGAGGGGTCTACCAAGACCCTGATATCCGTCTCCTTTGCCCTGCTAGCAAAAGTTGGTGGTCCACAGAGAATGTGAGCCACGGGTCCTCTAGCCTGAGCTCAGAACTTTCCACCAAAGCTGGAAGCTCCCACAGATCTTGGGACTTTCCATCAAGCAGATCTTGTCCATCTCAGAGTTAACAGGGAGGAGATGGAGCAGGAGGAGACAGGGCCGGCTTCTCCTTTAAGGGGCATGGCTCTACACAACAGATCCCTTTTTCTTTGGAGGATCTGAGGGGGCAGAGAGAAATCCAGCGAAGTGAGGAGGAGGAGAAGAAGACCGGGTTGTCCTAGCTGAAGAAGAGACCAGTTGCACTCCACCTGAACCCCAAGGCGATGGGTGAGTTGGACCAGGGGTATCAGTATCTCCATCACCCATTAATTTGGCCATGGCGGATCTCAGGGATTTGGGAAGCCGTCCCGGGTTCTGATCTCACCCCGGACTGTCCCACTTGTCCTGAGACCTCTGAAAAGTGATGTGTTTCTGGGGTGGGAAAGAGGACCTCCCTATTTTCACCAGAGACATACTGGGGGGCTGGAAGAAGGGGGTCTGTATCTTCATTTTAGGGGATAGAAGAGGAGGTCTGTATTTTCATTTTAGGAGATGGAATAGGAGATCTGTATTTTCACTGGAGAAATATTTGGGGGACAGAATTGGGGGTCTCTATTTTCATTTTAGGGGATAGAATAGCAGGTCCGCATTTTCACAAGAGAAATGCTGGAGGACCCCCCCCCCCCGTTTTCACCAGAGAAATATTTGGGGGATAGAATAAGGGGGATATTTGGGGTATAGAAAATAAAATTTCATTTTAGGGGGTAGAATTGGAGGTCTGTATTCTCACAAGAGAAATATTGGGTAGGTGGGCTAGATCCCTCCTGCTCCTCACCTCCCTTTCACAGCGACCTGGCCAGGTAGGTCTCTCGGCTGAGAAGCCAGCCAGAGGGAATAGGACCCAGGAGATCGGCTCGGCAGTCAAAGGGACTCTGAGATTCACCCAGGCCTGGGGAAAAACCGGAAAATTGGGGGGAACCCGTTTTCCCCCCTTTTCTCCCCAAAGCCACTTCCCCCCTGAAAAACTGAAGGGAAAAAAGAGTGTGGAATATTAAAACTATCAAACTGGTTTTTATTTCCAGTTTTCCTGGTTTTAACCCAGGCCTTCCCATCTATGCCATATATACAGAGTAAAAAACAATGCTCCTGTGAAATAAAGCTGTCCATTAATGGGCCCCCGAAAATCTTAACGACCCACGTTTCTTTTCACAAAACTGCCCTGAGATTCCCGGGTCAGACTGGATGACCGCCAGGATCCCTTTCAGTTCTAGTGTTTTCTGTACCAGCCGGGACCACTCTCTGGGAGGCGGCATGAAGGAGAGCATTGTTTCAAACTCACAGCCCATCCCTCATTGTCCATTGTCTTCGGGACAATAGGAGCCTTTTTATCTCTGTGCTCTGCTTCGTCCCACATGCCCTCCATCCATCCCACCCCCGAGATGAAGAGGCGAGGAATGGTCCAGTTAGAGTCCTGGGAAGAGGGCTCTGGTTCGAATCCTCAAAACCTTCCTGGCAGGATGAAAATAAAGACCCCCAATTCTATCCCCCGAATATTTCTCTGGTGAGAATCCTCTAAAATGAAAATAGAGACCTCTTGTTCCATATTTTCATTTTAGGGAATTTTGTTTCCCATAATTCCTGGCAGAAATTAAAAAAAGTTTAAGAGAGTTTTTATGGAGAGTTGCTGCCAAGAATTTAATCGCAAAAGGTGGGAAGGGAGAGGATATCACAATCAAATCAGGCTAGCAAAATCAATTAAACAAATAAACTAACTAACTAACTAACTAAATAAATAAATAAATTTAAATAAATTAAGAGAGGATGTTGAACTAGCGAGACTATCAGCAAGGTGACAGAAAATTTTTTTACCAGAGAATGGGAAATATACAGAGTCTGCGTAAAAGAACATGTTCAAAATATCAGGCTTCGACTGAGCTGTTTGTAAAAAGGAGAACCTTATCAAATAAGGTTTGATATAAAGTGAGATAAAAGGAGAGGAAATAAAGTTGTGCATATTTAAAGAACCTAATTCGGGAACATAATGGGAAGATCAAAGGTCACGTTAATTAATGTACAAAACAAGTATCCATTCAGAAATGTAGGATTTTAAAAAAATTTCTATCTTGTCTTTTACATTTCTTGATTATTTCTCTTATACAGTTTTAAAACCAGTAAATCATTAAAAAAAATATTGATTTTAGGGGATGGAATAGGATGTCTCTATTTCCATTTTAGGGGATGGAATAGTTCTCTATTTTCATTTTAGAGGATAGAACGGGAGGTCTGTCTTTTCACCAGCGAAAGATTGGGGGGATAGAATTGGGGAAGTCCCTATTTTCACCCGGCCAGGTAGGTCTCGGGGATTTGAACCCGGGGCCCTCTTCCCAGGACTTTAACTGAGCCATTCCTCACCATCCCTGGGGTGGGATGGGGGGCAATGTGGGACAGAGAGATCAAGGCTCCATTGTCCCAAGGACAATGGACAATTGAGGATGAGCTGAGAGTTCAAATCCAAACCTGACACTGTTTCTGGCATCTCAGAGCTGCTTGTTCCCAGCAGAGATAAAGCAGAACATTGGACCAATTGACCCTCGGGGTCAAATCCAGATTTCTGCTCCTATTTTGAAATTCCTGCCAATTCAACGACCCTCAGGGCGGCGGGGTCTCAGCATTCCAGGAAACCCAGCCAGATGGGTGGGGTATAAATAACAAATTATTATTATTATTATTAGGGGAGAGGAAGGAGCCGCAGGGAGGCCTGCCCGTCCTGCTGACCCTTGTATTTTTCGCAATGTAGATAATGTTAGCGGCGGGCCTGAACCCCAACCAACCACGGCTCCGCAGAACTCGAACCCGGATCCAGTTCCCCGAGCCGGTTCTCCAGGTAGCCATCTGAAGCCTGAGAAACCCAGAGCCTGCCTAGCAGGGCTGGGTTGCCCTCCGATGCGAGGCCACGTTGAGATTCCCGTCTTTCAGGGGTGGGACTGAATAATAATAATAATAATAATAATAATAATAATAATAATAATATCGTTTAACCACATCAGTTAATGTGGATACATATGCTATCATGTTATTGTTTTAGTGAAATAAATGGTTTAAATTGTTATGATGGTTTTTCTCCTTCCAATCAAATGCAGCAGAAAAGTGGTCCCAATAGAATTTCTTAAACCTCACCAGAATTTCATCATTATCGGTCTATGTATTTCTAATAATAGAACCAAATCAGTAATTTTTGATGGATGTGTAAAAACGAATTTATGATTCCCAAAAGGAAACCTTTCTCTGGTGGTCAATATTCAGAGGATGCCATAAAGGCTGAACCCTTCCTGTAAAAAAGGGATTTCAATCAAGTCTTACTGACTAGTGATTTAAATTGTGATTTAAATCGTGACTGAAATTGATTTGATTTCAAATCAAATCCACCCTGCTGCGAAGCAAGTCGAAAAGACTTTCCTTACCGATTCCAAGGGCCGGCGAATGCGTTTCAGGGGATTGAGGTTTAATGCGGCCCTCAGCTCCTGAAGGTAACAGGGCCCTTTATATGTCCAGCTGTCCTTTGTCCACAACAAATTGCTACTGTTTTTTTGTGTTGAATAAGTGCTATATGGTAATTGATGGAACTCATAGGTATCTCAAGCCATTTGCACATGTTGCCAGACAACCAGTCCATGTAGAATGTCAGCACCCTATATATAGAAATGAGCAAAGCAGTGATAGTTTGAGGAGCAGGGGAGCAGGCAAGCAGGCGGGGCCTATGACTTGCATCATAGGAGCCTACACAACACAAAACACGGTTGCTGTATGTCGGTTTTATTTGTTTTTTATCTTCTCTTTTGGAAATGTACATCCAGGTTTTTCCCGCTTTTGAATTTTTTGGAGGACCCCCAAGAGAGGGGGGGCGCCAAGCTACGGCTTGTTGAACTTAGACATAAATCTGGCACTGGCACCGCTGGTAATTCGACGCTGAGATTCCTGCCTAGCTGGACTGGATGATAGCGATAGGGATAGGGGTTAGGCAACTCTTCCTCAATAGGTTTCTATCCTTCTCTCCTTCCTTCTTCCTGCTCCCTTACAGGTCTATTAGAGTGCTGTGCCCGCTGCCTGGTGGGGGCGCCCTTCGCCTCGCTGGTGGCCACGGCCCTGTGCTTCCTGGGGGTGGCGCTCTTCTGCGGCTGTGGCCACGAAGCCCTGACCGGCACCGAGCACCTGATCGAGACCTACTTCTCCAAAAACTACCAGGATTACGAGTACCTAGTCGATGTGTAAGCACCTCCCGATGTTCCTTTTCTTCGCCTTCGTTCCCTCGTCCGTTCCCCTGTTCGTTTACCGATACATTCTCACATTCATATTCTGCAATCCATTTTTCACTGCATGTCCACATCAAGTTAAACCGCGACCACACAATCCATCTTCTATCAGAATAATATTCTGCAGTCCTTTTTCAACCGTATATCCCTCCTAGCTCTGGTGGGGGGTCAGACTGGATGACCCTCGGGGTGCCCCCACTGTACCGACGGCCCCCCTCTCTTTTCTCCCCCACAGGATCCACGATTTCCAGTACGCCATCTATGGGGTGGCCGGCTTCTTCTTCCTCTTTGGTGCCCTCCTGCTGGCTGAAGGCTTCTACACCACTGGCGCTGTCCGGCAGGTCTTCGGCGACTACCGGGCCACCGTCTGCGGCAAGGGCCTGGGCGCCACGGTAGGCCACAAGGGGAGGGGGCCCCGAGGACACCGGCCCGGCCGCTCCTGGGAGCTGGTGTGTCACTGTGTGGGAAAATGGCTGGGCCATCCTGATAAGGTGATCTTCTCCTCTTTCGCACCCAGCGCTGCTGCCGTTCGAACCCGGGGCATGAGACTGCTGACGGTGGGGGGCGTTAAGGAGAGTATGACCAGGATATATTGCATAAGTCTTGTCCTTCCTTCCTCTGGTTGTCCATATTAAGAGGAGGCAGCAAGGCTGATCCTTTCTGTAAAGAAAGGATTTTATCCTTCCAAAATGGAAACCTTCCTCCGCTTGATTCTAGGTGCAATAATTGGGAATGGCTTTACTTACTAGTTCCAAGGTCCTTGGCCAAAAAAGAGGAAATTCCACGTCTAAGGAATCCAGCAGGGCACTTTTAACCCCTTCCTGCCTTTGGACCTCCATCCCGGAAGGACGCTCCTGGCACCAAGGGACTTGCACTTGTGACACATGGTGCCATCAGAAAACCACCTGCTGTGCCTATGGAGGCCCCCCTCCCAATCCCGGGCCATCTGAGTATTCCTGCTTTCCCAGTCCCAGATTTGACTTATGAGGGGTGGAAGAAGAGGTCGCTATTTTCATTTTATGGGACAGAATAGGCGGTCTGTATTTTAATCAGATTAATACTTGTGGGATGGAATAGATGGATGGATTTGTGGGAATTTGTGGGATGGAATAGAAGATCCCTATTTCATTAGATAAAATATTTGGGTGATGGAATAGGAGATCCCTGTTTTAATCAGATAAATATTTGTGGGATGGAAGAGGTTTCTGTTTTCATTTTAGGGGACAGAATAGGAGGTCTCTATTTCCATTTTAGGAGATGGAATAGGAGGTCTCCATCTTCACCTGAGAATTACCCAAATATAAGCCGCCCCTGAAAATAGGATTTTAATGGATCATCTGCCCACCCCTTGTGGGAATATCTGGAGGAAAGGTCCAAGTGGCTGGGAGTTCCTCAGGTCCCAAAGGTCTCCAGTCTCATGCCCCATCCCCCGGAAGCTCCTGGCGAATCACTGACTCTCGTTTCTTCTCCCTCCTTTCAGTTCGTGGGCATCACCTATGTCCTGACCGTCCTCTGGCTCCTGGTCCTGGCCTGCTCGGCCGTCCCCGTCTATGTCTACTTCACGGCCTGGACCACCTGTAATTCCATCGCCAACCCCACCAAGACGGCCGCCGGCATCGGGAACCTCTGCACAGACGCCCGGATGTATGGTGAGGAAGAACCTAGTTTCCTGGGCCACCTTGGGGAGGAAGAATTTCATGAGGGGTCTCCCAGGAAGAAGGTTCTCAAGGTCCTGGTGGAATAGGACATGGAGAAGGTTCTTGAGGTCTTGTTGGAACACCAAGTTGGTAGCAGGACCTGAGAGAATCTCAAGGTCCTGGGGGAGCCCCATCTTCCCACGAGTCTCACCCAATGAATTTCCAGAGGGATGAAGGTCAGGAAGGATCTTGGAGTCTTGGTAGACCAGCAGCTTGCCATCAGGACCTTGGAGAAGGAACTCAGGAGGCTTGGTGGTCCTCCAACGTCACATGAGTCAACCCAAGGGATTTTCAAGGGGGGGGGGAAAGGTCAGGTCCTGCCTTTAGGGAGAATCCTATGGACCCTGATGGTGGGCTCAGGGTCTTTGTAGAACACCAACTTGTTATCAGGATCTGGGAGGATGTTCTCAGGGTCTTGGTGGGCCTCCATCTTCACATTTCAAGAGGGGCCAAGGAGGTGGGGAGAGGTGGCCCTTCAGCTCTCAACTGTTCTGTGTTTTGGTGCCCCACCACAGGTGTCTTGCCATGGAATGCCTCCCCGGGAAGAGTGTGTGGCCAGAGCCTTCTCTCCATCTGCAAGACATCCGAGGTAAGTTCTCAGTGGTCAAGACTAGAGAACTTTCATGTTCCTTTCTACCATTCTGTTTCTACATTGAGTTCCTTCAATGGGTGACCCATTCTCCTCCTCCTTGTCCTCCCTCTTCTCCTCATCCTACAGTTCCAGATGACGTTCCACCTGTTCATCGCGGCCTTCGTGGGAGCGGCAATCACCTTGGTGGCTCTGGTAAGGACAGCTTCCCACAACTCTTCATCTCTGGGTGGAGGGTTTGAACCACACGTGGGGCAAAGGATGGGATGGAGGTCTCTAGCAGAACCCTGGAAAATCCTGCTGGACTCAGCTGCTGACTCCTTCCGACGGTCCTGGGAGGAGACCTGCTGAGCTGTCAGGTAAACCAGGAGGAATGGGCAGCAGACCATGGTTGATGGTCTTCAAAACTGCTGAGATATCAGGGGAACCAGGAGGAATGGGTTTTAGCAATTCTGCTTCTGTTCCCCTTCCTTCGTAGGTGACGTTCATCATTGCGGCCACCTACAACTTCGCCGTCCTGAGGCTGATGGGCCGGGGAACAAAATTCTAACCTGGCACCCGCCCGGGCTGAGAGACTCCCTCCCTCCCTCTTCATAATAATAATAACAATCGGTATTATTTGCACCCTGGACTGGTCTTCTAACCGCGAGGCTCTAACCAGGCGGCTGCCGACCTCCTGCTCTAACTGCCCGCCAGCCAATCGGCTCATCCCCATTTGCCGGGGTTGGACTAGATGACCCCGGGGTCCCTTTTCAAAAGCAACCATGATTCTATGATCTCACTCGACCCTGCCGGACCCAAAAATGGGATTATTCCCAGTCCGGGGATTTCGTCGGCGCAGGAAACCGATGTCGGAGCGAGAGAGAGGAGGTCCTCCAACCTGTTAGTCCTGCTTTTCAGAGGAAAAAATCACTCCAGCCCCTTGAAGATCCCCAAAAGAAAGACCTTTTTTTGGAAAAAAATAATTGCAGTTTTATGCTCCAAACGGCGGGAAATCATTCAATGGGATGACACCATTTTTTTGTAAGAGGCTAATAAAAACATACACACACACACACACACACACATATATATATAAAATGTGAAAACCGACTGTTCTTAACACGGCGTGCGGAAAGCTGAGATAACGAAGGATAATGTCGAAAATAAATAATGAAGGATAATATTGAAATAAAAACGAAGGGTGAATTTCACGAGAAGAGCTTGTCGGTTTTGCTTTCCTTGGTTCGAAATAAAGGGAGGAAAATCATACTGATATACCGTATTTTTCGCTCTATAAGACACACTTTTTCCCTCCTAAAAAGTAAGGGGAAATGTGTGTGTGTCTTATGGAGCGAATGCAGGCTGCGCGGCTACCCCAGAAGCCAGAACAGCGAAAGGGAGCACTGCGCAGCGCTCCCTCTTGCTGTTCTAGCTTCTGGCTTAGCCCCTCAGTCCCTTCCCCCACCTCCCGGAAAAGCCCCCAAGAGCCGTGCTCCCTTTAAAGAGCCGCGTGGAGCTCTTTAAAGGGAGCGAAAAATACGGTATATATCCATATTTATATTTTTATATATGTATTATGATCCATCTGTGTCTGTCTCTGTTTCTCTCTGTGTGTTTTAAAATATTCCTCATGAAATCAACCTTCATTCCAATTACCGGTACATTTCCAACAACAGGGATGATGATGATGATAACAACTTTTATTCTTTATACACCACCCATCTGGCTGTGTTTCCCCAGCCACTCTGGGTGGCTTTCAACAGAACAGAAATAAAATTATTATTAATAATTTTTAGAGAATTGGCCCCCACCCTTCTTTTCTATGGTGGAAATAGGGACAGCCCAATCTGTCCCATGACATTTTTAGGGCCCCTTGAGTGTCATGCAGTCCAGCCACTTCCAATAAAATAATAATAATAATAATAGTAATAATAACAACAACAGCCCTATCCCTAATAATAATAGTAATAATAGTAGTAGCAGTGATAGTAGTAGTCTGGGCAGCTTTCAACAGAACAGAAAAAAATTATTATTATTATTATTATTATTATTATTATTATTATTATTATTATGGAAAATGGCACTGGAGCACCTTCCGACTCTATCTGGCTTCCAGCAAAATACTTTTATTTTATATTTTTTATATTTTATTGTATTTTATTATATCATATTATTTCTATACCCTATATCCGAAGGTCTCATGAATACAATAACTCATCAAATATAAAGAGCTTCCCTATCTCAAGTAAATCGTAGAAGAGGAAGAAACTACAACTCGCAGCATGCCAAGCTGCGATCCACCCCCACCCCCCGAAAATGAAGGAATAGAGGAGATTTTGGGCTTTTAAATAAGAGTTTATTATTCATTCGTCCATCATCAGGAGTTGAACCTGGAACTGGAGGTGGGGAGCAGGAGCTTCAGGAGTGTATAATTCCCAACAGGGCGCCCGAGGGCGAAGGGTTGAAATAAACAGGATTTTTTCTGAGTGGGGAGAACTATAGCAGCAATTCCCCCCTCTGAAATGAACAGGACACATCCTGTATTAACCCGCAGGTTAATACTTTTTTCATGTAAAGCACGCTAGAATTCCCATACTGCCACCCGGGATCTGAGACCAGAATCCGAAAAAATTGGGGTTATTTTTTTTGGGGGGGGGGGGAGGGGAATAATGGGAATCGAAAGTTGAGATCGGATGAAATGAATAGACGCGAAGACAGGGAATCCAAGCTCAAAATTAAGTGTACTTTTGAGTGGGGTTTAGGGGAGTTGTAGTGCCGCCGGGCACCTGCATCCGAGCTCAAAATTAAGTGTATTTGGGGGGGGGGGGGGTGATAGGAGACAGAATGAAATGAATGGGGTATAGGAGAGTCGTGGCACCACTGGGCGCCTGGGGGAATTCTAGCACCAACACCAGGCGCCCCGATTCCTCCAAAAAGTTGTTTTTTTCTGGGGAAGGAAACTAGCATGGCGTACGAGAAAAGAGGGGAACGAATGGGATTTGGGGCTGGGAGTGATAGCTTTAAAACCCCAAATCAAGGGGCAGGGAATTGTAGTGCTGACACCAAGTAATTGGATTGCCCCATCGGATACGAACAATAAATACCCCATTTTAAATTGTGTTTTAAATTCCGGCCGCCAGGCACCCCCAATTGAAAGGATTTCGGGAAGTGAAAGGACCAGAGAAACGAGTGCATAGAATGAGCCCCAAATTAGACCCGCGCTAGAATTCCCACCCACCAGCGCCCCAAACTGAAACAGGGGGAATCGTGGGATAAAGCCAACTCAGCACTCTGTACATGCACAGAGGACTGTTTTTCCCCGCCAGGGTCGGGAACTATAGCGGGACGTGGCTGAACAGGTAGGAGACGGACTCGCCATTGTGGGTGCGGCGGATAGCTTCAGCCAGGATCATGGAGATGTCAATCACCTAGGGGGGAAAGAGAGGGAGAGGCAGGGTTAACTGGGCACTAGGAGTTATATGAATGAATTAGTATTTGCGTCAGCCCTTGGCCATAGCAATAAAACAAGATGAATGAATGAATCAATGAATCAATCTTCACCTGCCAGTCAAGCTGTGAATGACTGAATCTTGATTTGTGCCAGCACTCTGCCATCACAATAAAACAACAAGACGATAGACAAAGAATAGAAATGCAATGCGGCGAGGTGGAGCGAGGAAGGGGCCAAATAATCTGGGACAGGCCATAGAGATAATAATAATAATAATAATAATAAATGACGATGGAAGGTGTGAGAACGATCAGAAACGTGTCACAGAGATAATGACAATAACAATAATAATACTAATACTAATAATAAATGACGACAATGAAAGGTGTGAGAATGATCAGAAACGTGCCAGAGAGATAATAACAATAACAATAATAATCCCCCCTACCTGGATTTTGGGGCAGTGCTTCATCTTCTCCTCCTGCGGGATGGTGTTGGTGACAACGACGGCCTCAAACCCTGCACCGTTAATCCGGGAGATGGCCGGACCGGAGAAGATGCCGTGCGTCAGGATGGCGTAGACCCGGGTGGCACCCGCCGAGAGAAGCCTGCGGGGGAAAGCGGGTTGGGCTGGATGACCACAGGGGTTGCCTTCCAAGCAGGGTGGGTAAAAATCAATGATTTTTTGAAATAATAATAACAACAATAATAATCTGATTTTTAAAATTTAAATCTGATTGTTTTCAAATATTTTAATTAGATTTTTTAAACATTTAAATCAGATTGTTAAAATTTAAATCGGATTTTAAAAAATTTAAATCAGATTGTTAAAATTTAAATTGGATTTAAAAAAAAATTAATTGGACTTCCCCCCACTTAAATTGGATTTTTAAAATTTTAAATCAGATTTTTAAAAATTTAAATCGGATTTCCCCCCACTTAAATCAGACTCACTTGTCCGCGGCGTGGCAGATTGTCCCACAGGTGTCGGCCATGTCATCCACCAAGATGGCTGCCCGGTCTTTGACGTCGCCCACCAGGACCATGCGGTCGACCTCGCTGGCCTTCTTGCGCTCCTTGTGGATGAGGGCAAAGTCGACGTTTAGGCGGTCAGCGATTGATGTCACCCTGGGAGAAGGAGGTTCTAGGTTGAGATGTCTTGATTTAAAATCCTTTTTTTTATTATTAAAATCCCTTTTTATGAAAAGGTTCAGCCTTGCTGGCATCCTCTTAATATGGACAAGCAGAAGGAGGTTTCCTTTTTGGAATAATAAAATCCCTTTTTTACAGATAGGTTCAACCTTGCTGGCATCCTACAAATATTGATGAGCAGAGGAAGAGCAAGGTATAAGTAATAAATTGTTGTTTTATTATTATTATTATTATTATTATTATTATTATTATTATTATTACACCCCCCGGGGGGGTGTCATCCAGTCCAGCCCCCGGTAAGGCAGGAATCTCAACGCAGAATCCCCGAATGGTAGAGCTGGAAGGGACCTGTGAGAAATTTTTGGAAATTCTGGGGTCACCTTTTGGCCCCCCCGGCGTCTGGCGAGACGATAGTGCAGTTCTTCCACTCGGCGATGTTCTCCTTGATCCACTTCAGAACAGCCGGCTCGGCATACAGGTTGTCGACGGGGATGTCAAAGAAACCCTGGGCCAGGAAGCAGAAGCAGAAACATATATTTATAACCTCATCCGTCTGGCTGGGTTTCCCCAGCAACTCTGGGTGGTTCCCAATCATCATCATTATCATTAATCTGATAAAAGCAGTTGGAAAATAGCATAAAAAGCAGACCATAATAACATGGTCAACGTAATAATACTGTAGTGGCCTGAATATAAGACTCACCCCCCAAATTCCGACCGTGAAAAGTTAAAGGGTGGCTTATATTCAGGCCAATATGGTACCATATTGACCTGAATATAAGCCTCGCTTTTTCCCTCCAAAAGAGCGCTCAAATATTTCACAACATATTAAAATTTAAAACAACATTATTAACGTAAGTGTTAAATAGTCAAAATATTCAGAAGGTTCACATGTGGCCATGCAGGCTGGACAGGATCAGCCCTGGGGGCCCCACCTGGATCTGAGAGGCATGCAGGTCCATGGTGATGATGTGGTCAGCGCCGGCCACCGAGAGCATGTTGGCGACGAGCTTGGCAGAGATGGGCGCTCGGCTCTGCAATGGAAAGGGGGCCGCTGAATCGGGTGCTGTGCTACAACTACCATCCTGCTTAGCAGGCAGGTTCCCACCCATAACCCAGTGTAGCTAGCAAGACTCCAACTCCCATCCTGCCCAGCAGCTAGGATCACAACTGCAATCAGGCCTAGCTAGCCAGACTCCAACTCCCAGCATGCCTAGCTCGAAAGACTCCACTTCCCAGAATGCCTAGCAGGCAGGTCTCCAATTCATTCCACCTATAACCCAGCCTAACTAGCAAGACCGGGACATCGCCGCCCTCAGTCCAGTCAACCCAGCAACTTCGCCCCCTCCCAAGTGTGCCATTAATATTAATCCCGTTCCCCCGGAAACCTTGTCCTTCTTGTCCTGCCGGGCGTAGGGAAAGCAGGGAATGACGGCTGTCACTCGGCTGGCTGACGCGATCTTGCAGGCGTTGATCATGATCAGCAGCTCCATCAGGTGGTCGTTGATCTCGCCGCAGCCGCTCTGGACAATGTAGACGTCCTCGCCACGCACGCTCTCGCCGATCTCCACGCTGCGGAGATTGCATTTCCCCCCCGAATTAAATAGATTTTTTTTCCGATTTAAATTGGATATTTTCCATTTAAAAGGGATATTTTCGATTCAAACTGGATGATTTTGATTTAAATTGGCTTTTTTAAAAAAAATGCTTTCTAAATATTTTTAGAATTCCAGTCCAAAGGCTATTCAGCAGGAAATTAGGATTTATTATTTTGACTGTTATTTTGGAACTGGTTCAGTTGTAGCCTATAATTGTTGTTGTTGTGGTGGTGGTGGTGGTTAAGGATAAGGGTTAGAAGTAACAATAGGACTTAGGGCTAGGGATTAGGAATAATAATAATAATATAATATAATATCAGGAAATAAGTTTATCATGTGTGCTAAAACACACTCTTTTTTAAAAAAAAAATGTTAAATCACATCAGTTAACAAACATGGATCCACATACTATCATGTTATTGTTTTAGTGAAATAAATGGTTTAGATTGTTATTAAGGAAACAATTATTTTTCTCCTTCCAATCAATCAAGTTGTCCAAATAGAAACCGTTAACTTAATACAGTGGTGCCCCGCAAGACGAATGCCTCGCAAGACGGAAAAACCGCTAGACGAAAGGGTTTTCCGTTTTGAAGTTGCTTCGCAGGACGAATTCCCCTATGGGCTTGCTTCGCAAGACGAAAATATCTTGCGAGTCTAGAGATTTTTTGGCTTTTCCCCCCCTTTATCTAATCTGCTAAGCCTTTAATAGCCTTTAATAGCCTTTTAGCAGCTAATCCCTAAGCCTTTAAGCCTTTAATAGCCGCTAAACCGCTAATAGCGCTAATAGCGCTAATCCGTCAATGGGCTTGCTTCGCAAGACGAAAAAACCGCTAGACGAAGACTCTCGCGGAACGGATTAATTTCGTCTTGCGAGGCACCACTGTATAACTCACCAGAATTTCATAATTATCTGTCAGTTTATTTATAAGAGTAGAACCAAATCAGTCATTTTTGATATAACTGTAAAAACGACTCTGAAAATGTATCATTCCTAAATGGAAAACTTCATCTGCTTGTCAATAAGAAAATTATACAAGCAAGAATGAGTCTTTCTGTTAAAAAATGATTTAAATCAAGTCTTACTGATTTAAATCGATTTGTTTTAAATCAAATCCACCCTGCAGAAAACTACAGTTCCCACAGTGATGCCCATCTCTGTCATGGAAAACTACAGTTCTCATAGTGGTGCTCCGCATTTCTTTCATGGAAAACTACAGTTCCCAGAGTGCTGCCCCCATCTCCTGCTTGGAGAACTACAGTTGCGGACATGCCCCCAGTCCCCTAGAGACGCAGCATTACATCCAGCCTGGAGGAACTACAGCCCCCAGCCTGCCCCGCGCACTCCCCTCAGACCCAATGGCTCCGTGGCCTCGGAAAACTACCCTTCCCAGGCTGTTCCGCGACCACGCATACGCCCAACCTACCACGTCCCTTGCGGGAACCACACCTCCCATCATTCCCCGAGCGCTCCCCTCAGACTCATTGGCTCGCTCGTCTCGGAGATCTGCCCTTCCCAGCCTGCCCCGCGGCCGCGCATGCGCCAAACCCATCGCGTCCCTCGCACCCAGCATGGAACTACCCTTCCCAGGTTGCCCCGCGGCGGCCAAGCATGCGCACAACCTACCACGTCTCCTGGTTGGAGAACTTCTTGGTGACCACCTTGCCCAGCTCCAGGCCCAGCCGGTCGGCGATCCTCTGCGACAGGTCCTGGTGCGAGGAGCCGCTGAAGAGCTTGATGTTGGGCATCCTGCTGGCCAGCGAAGCCGCCGGCGAGAACGACGTGCCCGAGCGCGACGTCGAGGCCTCGCCCACCTCCACCCCGGGGACAGGCCCGCCGCGGGCGGCTCGCCGCTCGCCCTCGGCCGCCTCGCGCCGCTCCAGCAGGCCGAGGAACGCGTCCGGGAGCGCAGGCCGCGCCCGCCGCCTCAGACGACGGAGCCGCACTGCGCCGCCATCTTGGGAGCGGGCCTTTATATCACCTCGGGCGGCGCGCGCAGGCGCGGCTCGCCAAAGGCACACCCACTCGAGCGAGGGGCGCTTGCGTGAATGCTGAGACAGGCCCACTTTGGAGAGGCGCGCCTGCGCAAAAGCACAGACGGGCCCGCTTTCGCGAGGATGAAAAGAGGCGGTGAAAAGGGCCGGGAGGCGCGTGCGCAGAGGGCAAAACACGCCCCTCCGCTAAAAAAAGCACGTCTGCGCACACGGCTCCTTGAAACGGAGTCTCCTCAATGGGTCGCCAGGCAACGCGCGCCTCTTCAGCAAGCGAGGCACGCCCCCACCGGCGACGGACGCCTGTGCAGAGCCTGTGCAGGAGTATCCAGTGCAAGTTTGCGCTTGCGCTGCCGGAGGAGGCGCGTGATTGGTCGACGAAAGTCGAAGGGCAGAAGCTGCCGCCCTGCGCGGCTTCGAGGGGCCCGTGTGCGCACGTGCGGACTCTGTAAACGAGGCAGGCAGCAATCCAACCGGTCAGTTGCAAAGCGCTCAGCTTCCATTTCTTGGGGAGACTTTCCTGGATGGGAAAGTTATTTTCCGGGAAAATTACAGAGGAATAAACCTCACCAGGGCCTTAATTCCCAACCATTCATTCATTCATTTATTTATTTATTATAACAATCTATAGCGATCCCTTGACATTCCTTAGTTCTTCTGCAGGACCCCTGCGCAGCGCCAGTGAAAGTGAGAAGAAGCGAAAGGAACTTGCAATATCGGATAGAGCCTTGTTAGGGATAGGAATTAGAGATAGGTTTGTTGTTATTATTATTAAATAACAATAACAACAACAACAATAATAATAATAAAAACCAGGTTTTTTCAGGCCTTCCCATCTCTAAACTTGAGATTATTATTAGGGTTAGGGATAAGGGTTAGAGATAAGGATAGAAGTTAGGGATAGGGTTGTTGTTATTCTTATTGTTGTTGTTATTCTTATTAGGTTATCATTATATCATTATAATAATTATTATTATTATTATTATTCTGTTCGGAGCCTCCCAGAGTAGCTGGGGAAACATGGCCAGATGAGCAGGTATCAATATTTTATTTATTTATTTATTACTTATATCCCCGCCCTTCTGGCCAGGTTTCCCCAGCCACTCTGGGCGGCTCCCAAGAGAATATCTAAAACATGATAAAACATAAAACCTGCAACAATGATTATAATTATGGTTTCCTTTGTTCAAAATAAATGGATTGATAGCGTATATATATATATATATATATATATACACACATACACATACACACACACACATATAATTTGTGTATGTATACACAAATCTGGGCGGCTCCCAATAGAATAATAAGAATAATAATAATAATAATAATAATAATAATAATAATAAAATAACCCTATCCAGTCTCTATCCCTAACTCCTATCCCTAATAATAATAATAATGCTATTAGTTATACAACGCCCATCGGGCTGGGTTCCCCCCACATTTTTTCCAGGGGGCAAAGGCTTAAAAAAACCCACCATAACCCGGCCCCCCAACCTGTACCCTCCCACCCAATTTCCCCATTTTTCCTCCAGGCCTTCCCATCTCTAAACCTGAGCCTGCAGAACTCCTGGCTGCAATTCTCGGAAGCTTTCCCAAACCGCCCAGAGATGGGTAGGGATGGGAAGGCCTGCAGGAAACCAGGTTTTTTCCCCTTTTTTTTTTTTTAAAGCTGTTTTTTTCTATAAATAGGGAGGGGGATATTCAAACTTTGTCAAACCGGTTTTCCCCAATTCCCCTGGGGGGGACAGCTTTGGGGGGAAACAGGAAAAAAAAAGTTTTTTCCCCAGGCCTTCCTTCTCTAATCTTGGGTGATTTCGTTTATTTTTTAATTTAATGTTATTGTTTCATTGTATCTCATCATTATTAGTGATTATTAGCATTTTTATTATTATCAGTATTTGTATTATATGATTATATGATTATTGCTGTTATTTCTATCCCACCCATTTCATAAAGAAATAAAAAATAAATCAAGGAAGAAATATGATGGTTTTGGGGCAACACAGGACAATAATAATTTTTGTTGTTGTTAAATTCATGAGCCAAAATGTCCAAAATCCATGGCGTTCCAGATCTGTATTATTTATATCCCACCCATTTCATAAAGAAATAAATCAAGGAAGAATTTTCATGATTATTTTCAGGTAATCCTCTCAGATGGGCTAGTACAAACAATAAAATGGATACTGGATATTGGTGCATATTGTTGTTGTTATATTTTTATGTTTATATTATTATTTATTTCCCCCAAATTTCATAAAGAAATAAGAGTCAAGAAAGGACTTGGATTATGTACGTTTTTCAAAATTAACATTATTATTAATATTAATATCAATTATTAATATTATTTGCTACTTAATATTACTTAATATTATTACTTGATTTGATTAGTTATTTAATAGTCCACATTAATATCATTATAAATTAATTTTAACCAACATTATTCTGGATTAATATTAATTAATATCATTGTTTAGGAATAGTCCATATTTTAAAATAAATATTATCAATTTTTTTAGGGGGGGAGAGATGTCACAAACGCAAGATCGATATGAAGATTCGTGTATTGGCATAAATTTGCATATAAGTTTCACATCTTTCTATATAGACAATCTCAGGTCAAATTTACACAGATATAATTTCCATATATCTATACATATATAGTCTTTATTATGTATAGTATATACAGGCATGTAAAAAAGGGGGGTTTTCTGTGTCCAGAGGGAACCGCAAAGGTCATCCAGCCCAACCCAAGGCAAGGCCACCTCAGTGCCAATCATTGTGGTACCAACCATTGTGGTTGCCAGAGTCATCCAACCATCTCCCAGCTTCCTTCTTTTCCTTCGTCCCTCCATCTTTCCATTCTTCCTTCCTTTGTCCTTACTTCCTTTTCTCTGTCCTTCCTTCCTTCTTCCCTTTCTCTGTCCTTCCTACCTTCTTTCCTTTGCCCCCCTCCCTTTCTGTTCTTCCGTTCTTCCTTCCCTGTTTCCTTCCTGTGTTCCTTCCTTTCTCCCTCCCTTTTCTCTGTCCTTCCTTCCTTCCTTCTTTCCTTTGTCTCTCACTCCCTTTCTCTGTCCTTCCTTCTTTCCTTCGTCCCTCCTTCCTTTTCTCCGTCCGTCCGTCCTCCCTCCCTTTCTTTGTCCTTCCTTCCTTTGTCCCTCCCTCCCTCCTTTTCTCCGTTAATCCTTCCCCATTTCCTTCCTCCCTTCCTCCCTTTCTCTATCCTCCCTCCCTCCCTTCCTTCCTTCCTTCCTTCCTTCCTTCGTCCCCCCTCCTTTTCTGTCCTTCCTTTCCGTCCTTCCGTCCTTCATCTCTCCCTCCCTTTCTCCATTCTTCCTACCCCATTTCCTTCCTCCCTTCCTCTGTCCTTCCTTCCTTCTTTCCTCCCTCTCTCCACTGGACGGTCCTGTGCCAATTCATGCAGTGGGTGGGGTCATCGACCGCATCCCGGCTTTCAGAGCCGAGGAGTTGGACTACATGACCGGGCTCCCACCAATGGAGCCCAGGGCACTTCAGCCCTCTGAGAGAAAATTGCCACCCTTCGCCTTCCCCGCAAAACAGCCGCCTCGTCACACTTCCCTGAACGTCCTCTCAGCAAGCCTCACTTTTGCCACGCACTGACTCCTCGCCCGCCTGCCTGGCTGCTGACTGCTCCGCCGCCCTTGCCAGGGCGGTGTAGTTCCTCGCCACCTCCTCCACCTGAGCCAGCAGTGCCCGCCGCCGTGCCTCTTTGCCCACCACCGCTGCCGTCTCCGCCAACCGCGCCAGCACCCGGAAGCTCCCGGCGACGGCCGGCAGCAGCCGTGCCGGGCTCTTCTCGGCGCCTGCCACCCGCCGGCAGGCGGCCCTCAGCTCCCGGAAGGCCAGTGCCAGCTCCCGCCGGCCCTCATCTGGCACCGACGCCCCATTCCCTGCCGCTGCTGCACATTGCCGCAGGGCGCCCAGCAGCCGTTCAGCGTCGTGCCTCACCGCTGAGAACCCACCGGGGAAGGCGTACTCCCGGCCGCACAGCTCCCGGATGCGGTCGAGGCCCGATGCTGCCCGCAGGTCAATCTCCTGTGTCCGGGCTGCTGCCGGCATTGGCATTGGCGGCACCGAGTAGCACAGCTCATCGGCCTCGTCGTCACCTCCCCGCGCTGAGAAGCAGGAGCGCACTGAGCAGCAGCCCTCTCCACCCGGCCCCAGTTGCCGTGGGCACATGTCATCCGGGAAACGCGGCGCTGGATCACCCTCTTCTGGAATGGCCCCTTCCCCGCTGGCGCAGCGCTGCAGCTTCTCGTAGCGTGGCGCTGCTGCCACCACACACTCGGTCCCCAGGCAGGAGGCGCTCTTTTCCACATCTCTCGGCTCTGGGCTGGCCGAGCGCACCCGTCGACTCGGGAATCCTTGTGCCACCCGCTGCGGGCAACTCTCTCTCCCTCGGCAGTCGCACCGCAACACACTGGGCGCTGTTGGCACAGGGCTGGTGCCAGGTGGGCAACCACAGCCCCCCGGCGCCGGACCCTTCAGGAGTTGCTCCAGGAACTCCAGTTCAAACTGCTTCACTTTCCGGAGTTGCGCCCGGCGCTCATCCGTTTCCCGTTTGAGCCGTGCTGGGAATGTCGCTGAGAAGAGCTTCCGGAAGCGGAACGCCGGCCGGGGCACCCGCGGCTGTGCCGGGACCTCCAGATCCTCTCCGTGTGGCACCTTGGGTTCGAGATCAGACACTTCCTGGAGCGGGGGAACCATAGTATCTCTCCAGATCCTATCCGCCGGCACCTGGCAGCTCTCTGTCTCCTTCTGGGGACACTCCGGTTCAGGGTTCGAGGGGCAAGGCTGAGCGCTGGGACTTGGTTTGGCCTCAGCGAGCCACGCTGGTGAGGACTTCCCAGTCTTTGCCTGCCAAGTGGGCGCCCCACAGCCTCTCAAGCGGAAAGGTAGGTCCTTCTGGACCAGGAAGCCATCCGGGTCGACCCGTTGCGCCAGGAAGTAGGTGGCGTTGGGGGAAGCGTCTGCGTCACGGCCGGAGTCGGGGTCGAGGGCGGCCAGGACGATGAGACCTGGAGAAACCACAAGGGCCGGGAGCATTAGGATGTTGAATAATAATCATAATACTAGGGTTATTACCCTATCCCTAATCCCTATCCCTAACTCCTATCCCTATCTTGAACCCCTATCCCTAACCCTAATTATTATTATTATTAGCTTATTATTTCTACTCTGCCCATCTGGCTGGGTTTCCCCAGCCACTCTGGGCAGCTCCCAAAACACAACAACAACGATGATGATGATAATAATAATAATAATCATCATCATCAACAATGATAATAATAATAATGTTGTTGTTGTTGATGATGATAATAATCCTATCCCTAATCCCTATCCCAAGGGATGGATTCAACTGTAGTGATCAGATGGGATTACCATGAGGAATTATAAAATATGCATCAAGCCATTGTGTCCACGATGAATGCATTGTGTTGACTGGGTTTAATTCATTGACAATAATTTCTGACCAAATCCCACAACCCTCTGCATCTCTGGCCATTTCCTCTACTGCCCATTTCTCTTTCTTGACAAGTCACGTACACAGCCCAGTTGCTTTGCCAGGCATGCATCCTGGGCCATAAAGATAGTGGGCAAGTTTCTTTGATGTAGCTTTTCTGAAATGTTAATCTCAGGATGTTGATCTTAGGGCCGGGAAATGATACCTGTCTTCCTGGCCATCCTTATGTATATTGCTTGTTTATCACCTCCCGGGGTTGCCAGATGCACTCCTTTGTAGTTCTGTTTTGTTTACCCCAGAAATATGTGTGCTTAATTAGTTTTAGTAGTTTAATTTTGTCCCCACATGGGGTTTGTTGAAATGCTCAGAAGAAATCTGATTGCTTCTTACGAACACTCTGTAAAAAGTTCTTTTGTGAATAAGACGACCTGGGCCGGAGGGTGGAGAGACAGATTATTATACGCACCCTTCCCAGAGTCTTGCTGGTTCAAGCATCTGTGTGTATTCTTATTGATCAGAGTTCAATTCTTCCTTTACTTTGAGAACACCTCACTTGACACCCTCTTCAATACTACTACTACTACTTATAATGATATTGATGATGATGTTAATAATAATAATAATAATAATAATAATAATAATAATAATCTATCCCTATGCCTGGGGGTGGACTTGACACCCTCTTCAATACTAATATTAATACTACTACTACTACTACTACTACTACTACTAATAATAATAATAACTCTATCCCTAACCTAGGGGTGTACTTGACACCCTCTTCAATACTACTATTACCACTACTACTAATACTAATAACCCTATTCCTAATCCCTATTTCAGGGGGTGGGCTCGACGCCATCTTCGATACCCGTGGCTGGCGCCGGTGGTCCATCCTCCGCCTCCGCCAGGGCTTCCAGGGCCTGCAGGGTCGACACCAGCGCCTCGTCGAGATCCTGGGCTCGTTCCCGGACTGTCCGGGACCCCGGCACCACCGCCTCGACGAAGGTCACCGGTAGCTGGCACCCGGCATCCTCGCTTAGTGCCGCCCGCTGGCGCCGGGCGTCGTCCTCATCAGAGCTATTGTCCCCGAAGCCAGGTGGCGGTGCCGCGATGGCCAGGGCGGTGGTGGGGTCGTCCTCATCGCCCTCGCTGCCCGGCGGCGGCAGCGCCGTCAGATCCAGGCCAGCACGGCCCAGGCTCCGTCCGGGACCGTCCACCGAGCGGGCTCGGGCACGCCTGGCACCGCAGCCCTCGCCCTCGGCACCCGGGAGTTTCAGCACTGGATCCGACTTCGTCCTGGGCCGCGTTTCCCCATCTCCGAAGATCCGGTTCTGGTTGAGGTCGGGGCGGCGGCGGCGTGGCAGCTCCGGTGGCATAGCACGGCGGTTGCTGCAGGCACTACGGTTCCCAGCCTCCTTCTCTCTGCCTGGAAAAGAAGAGACCGGAGGGTGAGGATGGTTGCCAGGGAAGGTGCTCCGGGGTTGTATAGTCCAACCCTCTTGACCCATGATTGGCCTGATTCAAACCTGGAACCTCCTGCGTGTCCGTAGGGCATTCATATTTTCTGCACCTAAATGTATTATTATTACTATTATTATTATTGACGTCTCTATTCTCAGTAGAGAAATATAAATGCATGATTGTTGTTGTTTTGTTGCTGTTGCTGTTATTGTTGCTGTTATTTCGGATGTCCCTATTTTCATAGGAGAAATGTAAAATTATTATTATTATTATTAAGATTGTCCCTATTATCGTTGGAGAAACGAAAGAGTAAAATTGTTGTTGTTGTTAATGACATCCATATTTTCATAGGAAAAATGTAAAATGATTGTGGTCATTATTATTGACGTCTCTATTCTCAGCGGGGAAACATTATTGTTCTTTTCTTGTTGCTGTTGTTGTTATTTAGGATATGCTTATTTTCATTGGAGAAATGTGAGATGATGATGATGATGATGATGATTGTCCCTTTTCTCGTTGGAGAAATATAAGAGTGGACGAATGGGCGGGATATAAATCAATTGTTGTTGTTGTTGTTAACAGGGACCCAGGCTGGCTTCCCTCAATCTGGGATTTTATTCCCTTTGGAAAAATCAGACATCTCAGCTGGTTGGAATTTTCTAAGCTTGGAAATGTACCTGTCTTGGTCATGGGAGCTGGTATATAAATTCTCATTCTCATTCTTATAATAATATAAGTACTAATATTCATATTAATATTTGAATTCTATGTATAGTAAATTATATATCTGGGAACTCCAGGATGTAGGCTGGTAGATACATTCAATTAATTAAAAAGAAAAGAATAAAAAAGAATAGCATAGCATGGCATGGCATAACATAACATAACATAAAATATAACAACAACAACAACAGGGGGACCCAGGAATTGAGCGGTATATAAATTCAATTAATAATTCTATTATTATTATTGATGTCTCTATTCTCAGCAGAAAAATGTAAAAGCATGATTGTTGTTGTTTTGATGCTGTTGCTGTTATTGTTGCTGTTATTTAGGATGTCCCTATTTTCATAGGTGGTGCTGGAGGAGACTCTTGAGAGTCCCATGGACTGCAAGAAGATCAAACCTATCCATTCTTCAGGAAATCAGCCCTGAGTGCTCACTGGAAGGACAGATCGTGAAGCTGAGGCTCCAATACTTTGGCCACCTCATGAGAAGAGAAGACTCCCTGGAAAAGACCCTGATGTTGGGAAAGATGGAGGGCACAAGGAGAAGGGGACGACAGAGGACGAGATGGTGGGACAGTGTTCTCGAAGCTACGAACATGAGTCTGAACAAATTGCGGGAGGCAGTGGAAGACAGGAGTGCCTGGCATGCTCTGGTCCATGGGGTCACGAAGAGTCGGACACGACTAAACGACTAAACAACAACAACATTGTTCTCATAGGAGAAATGTAAAATTGTTGCTGTCGTCTCAACAGAGAAATGTAAAAGCATTATTGTTGTTTTGTTGTTGTTATTTAGCATATGCCTATTTTCATAGGAGAAATGTAAGACTTATTATTATTATTATTATTATTATTAAAATTGTCCCTTTTTGTTGGAGAAATGTAAGAGTAAATTTAATAATAATAATAATAGGGGCCCAGGCTGGCTTCCATCAATCTGGGATTCTGGGATTTCATCCCCTCCAGAAAAATCTGACTTTCAGCTGCTTGGAATTTCCCTTGCTTGGAAACGTACCTGCCTTGGTCATGGGAGGCGGTGCGACCGGGAAAAGCGTCCTTCTGGAGTCAGCCAGTAGGTGGCAGTAGCCAGAAATGAGGCCAGCAAAATTGGTGGCTTCTGGCCACTCCATCAGAAGCACCAGCGGCTGGGGAGAGAAGTAGTATTGGAATCATAAAATCATAAAATATTGATCTTTATTATTATTATTGGAATAATAGGACCATACAATATTCTAGTCTATTACTATACAGTCATACCTCAGGTTGAAGTAGCTTCGGGATGAATATTTTCAGGTTGTGCTCCGCGGCGACCCAGAAGTAATAGAGTACGGGCTTCTGGGTTTCGCCACTCACGCATGCGCAGATGTTCAAAATGACGTCATACGCATGCACAGAAATGGCAAATCGCGACACGTGCAGACACGGGTTGCGTTCGCTTCAGGATGCGAATGGGGCTCTGGAACTGTAGGAGTGCACATTTCCAGAGTGTGGGGATCAGATGGGATTACTATGAGGAATTATAAAATATGCATCAAGCCATTGTGCATATGAAAGCATGGCATTGACTGGGTTAGATTCATTGACAATAATTTCTGATCAAATCCCACAAGCCTCTGCATTTCTGGCCATTTTCTCTACTGTTCATTTTCTACACCTGACAGGCACGTATCAGCATTCTAAATACACAGGCCAGTTCTTCATCAGGCATCCTGAGCCATAAAAGATAGCAGGTAGCTTCTTTGATGTAGTTTTTTAATCTTTAGATAGATCTTAAGGGCCAGGAAGAGTGTTCACAAAGAGATGGTAAATACTACCCGTCCTTCCTTCCTTTATTGCTGTTTATGACCTCCAGGTTTGCTGAATGCATTCTTCCTTTTTAGTTCTGTTTTATTTACCCCAGAAATATGCATGCTTAAATTAGTTTTGTAGTGTAACTTTGTCCCCACGTGGGGTTTTTTGAAATGCTCAGAGGAAATCTGATTGGTTCTTACGAAAACTGGGTAAAAAGTTCTTTTGTGAATAAAACGACCTGGGCCGAAGGGTGGACAGGAATTATTATTATACACACTCCTCCCAGAGTCTTGCTGGTTGAAGCCTCTGTGTGTTATTAATCAGAGTCTAATCCTTCCTTTGCTTTGGGAACGCTACAGGAACAGATCCCATTTGCATCCAGAGGTACCACTGTATTCTTATTGTTCTCATCATAATAAAGGCTGAATATTATTTAAATGAAAAATCTGATTTAAGTAATAAAAATCTAATTTAAATCAGAATATAAATTGAATCAAAAGTGTCAGGGAACTGACATCGGAGCTAGAGGCGGAGGGAAGGCTCTCAAATGATGCTGGAGAAGGGCCCAGCAGGGAGAGAGGCAGCTCCGCAGATGGGGAAGCAAATCAGCGCAACACCAGGGATAAAGAGGGGCTGATGGGGGAATCTGCGAGAGGGCTCCAGGACTCTTCACCGGACACCAGCGGGGAGAGCACGGGTCCTCCGCTACCCACGCCCTCCCTGCGCAGAAGACTTCCGCGCAGAGAGAGTAGGAGGAGACTGGGTGTCAAACAACTTTTATGTTGGAAAAGATTTAAGAAACGCCCACGGCCGGATTCTGCTAGCGACTGAGGCAGCCACGAAGTGAAGGGGCTGCCCAGACTGAAAGGTTTAGCAAGGCAACAAAGCCTGGAGAGGCGGCAACTTATGCACGAGCAACCCATACACATTACAAAAAGAATCCGATATAAATTGAAATAATCAATTTTTTTAAAAAATGTGCTTTAAATTAAAATCTGATCTAAATAAAAAAATCTGATTCTTTGAATAATTTTTTTTATTTAAATAGAAAAAAATGCGATTTAAATTAAAAATGTGATTTAAATAAAAATGTTATTTAAATCAAAAACCAAATTTATAATTTAAAAATCTGATTTAAATTTTTTAAATTCAGATTTAAAATTTTGAAAATCTGATAGAAAAAAAACCCAAAGAAAATCCGAGTGACGGGATGGCCCCCAGGCGGCCCTCCAGCCTGCCCACCTTTGCATCCACAATGCCGGTCTCCACCCTTGCCACACCCGGGTTCTCCCGGAAGAGTTGGACTCTGCTGATCTGGCTGAATTCGCACAGGACAGTAGTCAGGTTGGTGCGGAGGTCGATGACGTGACTCACGCCATGGCGGGGGCCCACCAGGAGGGTGGGGGCCGTGTCCTGGCCGTCCTACGAGAGAGTCAGAGTAGTCAAACTCAGACCTGGAACCCAGAATAAGGACCCGGAACCTGGAACCAGAATCCAAGCCCGGAACCCTAGCCGAACTGAACTGGAAACCAGAACCAGGAACCGGAAACCAAAACCCATAACCTGGAACCAGAATCCAGGAACTGGAACTGAACCAGGAACCGCAACTGGAATCAAAGCCGGGAACCAAACCGGAACCTGGAACCAGAATCCAAGCCCGGAACCCTAACCAAACTGAACTGGAAACCAGAACCAGGAACTGGAAACCAAACCAGAAACTGGAACCCAGAATACAAGCCCGGAGCCCGGAACTGGGAACCAGAAAACAGAACCTGGCACCAGAATCTGAGCCCAGAACCTGAAACAGAAACCAAACCAGAACTCGGAAACCCTACCATCCCAACGGTCTGGAAGATGACACCGGAGAAGGTGGGCAGCCGGTCGAGGAGGCGTAGGTACTGGAGCTTGGCCCGGGTAGGGGAGACCTGCGAGGAGAGAATTGGGGGGCCCCTTGGGGTCATCCAGTCTGACCCCAGGCTCAAGGCGGGGGTTAGGGACCCATCCCAGGGGTTAGGGTCCCACCTGGGCGCTGCGCCGCTGGTGCGCCTTCAGCTGTTGTGAGAGCGACCGGCGCAGGAGCTTGTCCTTGGTAGCCGGCAACAGAGAGGGAGGCAAGAAGGGCTCCAGACCCCACTCCTTCCTGGGGAGAAAAAGGAAACGCACACACTCCAATTTACCGTACTTCCTTCCTGCCTACCTTTCTCTGTTCTTCCTTCCTTTCTTCCTTCCTCCCCCCTCCCTCTCTCCCTTTCTCAGTTCTTCCTTCCCCATTTCCACCCTCCCTCTGTTCTTCCTTCTGTTTCCTTCCTTCGACCCTTCCTCCCTTTCTCTGTCCGTCCTTCCTTCCTTCCTTCCTTCCTTCCTTCCTTCCTTTCTTTCTTCCTCCCTCCCCCCCTCCCTCCCTCCCTCCCTCCCTTTGCTCTTCCTTCCCTGATTCCTTCCTTTGTTCATTTCTTCATTCCTCCTTCCCTTTCTCTATCCTCCTTCCCTCCCTTTCGTTGTTCTTTCTTCCTTGTTTCCCTCCTTCCTTTCTCTGTTCTCCCTCCCTCCTTTCTTTCTGCTGTCCCTCCCTCCCTTTTTGTTTTTCCTTCCCCCTTCCTTCCTTTCTCCTTCCTTCCTTCCTAAGGAAGGAAACAAAGAAGGAAGAACAGAAAAAGGGAGTGAGGGACGAAGGAAGGAAGGACGGTTGGCTGTCCCAGGTGTGGGAACAAGGGTTGGTCAGGATGACCCTCAGGGTTCCCCCCGGAACTCACTCACTCGACGTTTCTGAGTGCCACCTTGTGGCTGGGACGGGTGGCTGAGACGGTGATATAGATGTGGAGCGCCGTCAGGACCAGGAGCGACTCCGGATCGGGGTCGGCACCAAACCGCTCCCGGATGACATCGTTGCGGCTCTGGAGAGGGAATTATAAGCACTGCCTAGTGGTTACCGCGAGGGACTGGGAAGCAGTGACTAGTGGTTATTGACTAGAAAGCAGCACCTAGTTGTTTGTGAGTTGTAAGCAGTCCCTAGTGGTTAGATCGAGGGACTAGGAAGACTAGTGAGCTGGAACTAGCGCTTACCCCCAGCAAAATAATAATAATAATAAATTTGTACCCCGCCCATTTGAGGAGCAGTGAGGACCACTAGGTGGAGCAGCCGGCTGACCTGGATGTAGAGGTATTCGAAGGCGGCGGCGTCTCGCCGCAACAGTTCGGCAGGGTCTTTGGGGTAAAAGCTGACCCGAAAAAGGCACCGCATGCCTTGGTAGTGGGTCCGTTGAACGACCTGGGGGGAGGAAGGAGAGCTCTGGCAAGGGGGTGGGCTAGATGACCCTGGGGTCCCTTTCCCCTGTCCATCCTTGTGGGATTTGGGAGGAAGGGAGGGAGGGACGAAGGGAGGATGGGAGGGATGATGGAAGGAAGGAGAAAAGGAGGGAGAGACGAAGGAAGGAGGGAGGGAGGGAAAGAAGGAAAGAAGGAAGGAAGGAAGGAAGGAAGGAAGGAAGGAGAGAGAGAGAGGGACGAAGGAAGGAAAGAAGGTAGGAAAGAAGGAGGGAAAGAAGGAAGGAAAGAAGGAAGGAAGGGCAGAGAAAGGGAGTGAGGAAAGAAGGTAGGAAGGATGGATGGGAGGGAGGGAGGATTTCAAAGCTCTGGTGAGGGGGGGGTTGGACTAGATGACCCCCGGCTCCCTCCTGACTCACGTGGGCCAAAGGCTGCTTCTCCTGTAGGAGGAGAAACTGGTGGCTCCGCTCGGGGCTGCGGTATTCCAAGACGAGGGAAAAATGCTCAATCCGCCGCAGGGAAAGGCGATCCTGGAGGGTTGCCATCACATCCTGGGAGGGTCGAGAGAAAAGCATTTTTGGAAGAATAAGAAAAATAAATCCGTTTTTTTACAGTAAGGTTCAGCCTTGCTGGCACCCCCTTAATAGTGACAATCAGAGGGAGGTTTCCTTTTTGGAATAATAAATTTTTACAGTTTTGCTCTAATCACTAGACACTGCTTCCCTTTCTACCTTGACGGTGGTGCGGCTGTCGAAGGTGAAGGACTTGACCTGCCCGTTTTCGAGGAAAACCTTCAGGACGTTGGGGATGAGGAGGAGGGCTTCCTTCTTCAGCATCTCCTGCGGGCGGAAAAGCAGAGGCTGGCGGAATAATAATAATAATAATAATATAATAAAACAACTACCTGACTTTTAGAAGACATCTGAAGGTGGCCCTGTTTAGGCAAGTTTTAAGTTTTGATGTTTTATTCTGTTTTTAATCTGTTTTTAATCACCCAGCTGGATGGGCCAGGTATAAATATAAATAATATTATTATTATTATTATTATTATTATTATTATTATTATTCTTAATTTACTACTTATACCTCACCCACCTGCCCGGGCCTCCCCAGTCACTCTGTGCAGCACATTAGCTATCTTTAACAAGCCCAAAGAGGCAACGGAGACATGAAGAAAGGAGATGACCACATCCCCACCCTTCCAGAACTTTCCAGAACTCACCGGCTCCGGCTCTGAGAAGCGCACTTTGGCAGGGTTTGACCTCAGCTTGGCCTTCTTCGCAGCACTGATGAAGGCCGACTTGGGCGACTGGAAGGGGAGAAGGAAAAGACGGGCCTTGTGGGAGAGGTCGGCCGCCTTCCAAAATCTCAGCCGGAAAAGCAGATTCCCGACTTGCCAGGGGGTGGGGGTTGAGATGGATGACCCCCCGGGGATCTCACCTGATGGGTTTGCAGCACGGTGAAGATAGCGGACTCCTTGGCGCTTCTGTGGCAGGAAAGGAACAAAGGAGACATTTAGGGTTTCCTTGAGATTTCTGCCTCTCCAGGGAGTTGGACTGGATGACCCTCGGAGGTCCCAGCTCCCCTGCGTTGAAATTCCTCCAGAAAGAATCCATGGATTTGTAGAGGAGGCAGGAACTGCAGCTCTTAAATTTCAGAAGGGTCACCCTGTCTGACCAGCGTGTCTTGAACCCGCTTCCTCCTTCCTCACCTCACAATTTCGATGAATCTCTCCCGGGCAACATCACTCACGTCTTCGTCACCGATGGCCCAGATCTGGTCCCCGGGAAAGAGTTTGTCCTCCGAGGGTCCGCCTGCCAAAGGAAGGGGCAGCTGGTGTCTGTCGGGGGGAGAGAGACCCTCAGCGTCATCTAGTCCAACCCCCTTCCAACTCGATGATCCGATGCTGAGATTTATCCCCGGAATCCTCACCTGCCACTACTGAACGCACCACCACGGGCCTCTCGCCACCGGCCACAAAGCCAAACCCTCTGTCCGGGTGGCGCCGAATCGTCACCTGTCGGAAGGCCTCGGAAGGCGGTGGTCCCCATTCCATAGCATCCCAGCTTTCCTCTGGCATTGCATCTCCAGCGGCAGGAGAAGACAGGATTCCAGGACACAGGGAGGGACGAATCCTATCCTCGGTCTCTATCCTAATGCACAGAATCTGGGATGCCAGCAAGGTTGAACCTTTCTGTAAAAAAGGGATTTTATTATTCCAAAAAAGGAAACGTTATCCCTAACCCTATCGCTATCCGTATCCCTAACTCCTATCTCTAGCCCCTATCCCTAACCCTTATCCGTAATCCCTAACCAGGGGCATCTTACCTATAGAGACTAGTGGTATGGGGCATCAGGGAAGAGGTGGAGGCTGAATGCGGCGCCTCCCAGCATCAGCTCGTCACCCTTGCCTGCCTCCTCCAGCCCCGCAGGCAGCGCTGTCCTCCCTAAAAAAAGGTGGACAACTCTGGGAAACGGGGGGGGGGGTGGCCCTACCCCTAACCCCCAACCTCATGCCTAACCCCCAACCCCTATACCTATCCTCAACCCCTAACCCTTATCTCTTCCCTGCATTTCAGCCTTCATCAACTGCAAAGTTGGCATCGATTTGCACATTGCATTTTCGCCAACCAGGTCCGGCATTATGGCTTTCTTTTGCCATTTTGTAATCAACTGCAATTCAATAACTGATTGCATTTTTTATTTTATTTTTAAACCAGAACCATTTTATTTATTCGTTGGGACACAGCTTCTCCACAAAAAGGCCCCACAAATAATGCAAACGTAAATGTCCAGTTAAGGCACCACCTCTTTTAACATTCACAATAGAGCTCAAAATATTGCTTTTTTAAATTATAATTCATCGCATTTCAGCTGCTGTTTGCAGTTGGCCTTCAGATCCAGGAAAATCCAGCAGCAGCAGGGCCTGATCCTGTCTCAGAGGAGGAGAACCCTACTCACTGTGGGTGGGAGAGATGCCCTCTGGCCATGTCACCTCCTCCTTTTCTCCTGCCAGAAAGAGGGGGGAGGGATGGAGGGAGGGAAGAATTCAGCAGATCAAGAATATGAAAGGAATTGGCTGCTGGCCTGGTCCCAGAGAAAGGGATGGGAAAAGAGGGGGGGGGAGAGAAGAGAGGGAGAGAGGAAGGGAGATTTGAGAGAGGAATGGAGAGGCAGAGAAAGAAAGGAGAGAGAAAGAGAGAGGAGATGGAGAGAAAGGGTAAGGGGAGATGGGGAAGAGAGGAAGGAAGGGGGGGGAGAGAGATGCGACACTGGAAGGAGAGGAGAAAGAAAGAGAGGAGAAGGGGGGGAATGGGGAAGAGAAAGAAGGAGTCCAGGGAGGGGGAGGGAGGGAAAGAGAAAAAGAGGGGGGGGGAGAGATAAAGGGAGATTTGAGAGAGGAATGGAGAGGGAGAGAAAGAAGGAGAGAAAGAAAGAAATAGAGGAGAGAGACGGGGAAGGTGAGAAAGAGAAGGAGGCCTGAGATTCATCCGGCATCGGCATGACCTGTTTTTGACATCCTAATAATAGTAATAATAATAATACAGTAATAATAATAGGCGTTCCTCTGACCCACCAAGCTTGTAACTGCACCCAAAGTAGCCTTGGCGGTCCCTTCCCGCCCTATTATTATTCTCCTCTTCTCTCCTTCCCCCCATCTCTCCTCTCTTCCTCTCATTTCGTCGTTCTCTCCTTTGATACCTTCCTCGGAGGTCGGGTGGTTGGATGGAGATTCTTGGAAACGGACCATTCGCGGCGGCAGGAATCTCAAGAGAGAAGCCTGGAATCCAGTGAGGTGACATTCGTGGTTCCCCCAAACCCCGAGGTCCTTTTCACACGTGCTATGAGCAGCGGGTCAGACTGGATGACCCTCAGGTACCTTCCCATCCGAACCTTCCATTCGCCAGGCAATCACTGGTGCCGGGGAAAGGATCGAAATGGACTTACCCGCTTGGTGTGTGTGTAAGGAGGACTTTGGGGGGAATCCTGTCCCCCATCTGTCCCAATGGGGGTCCCCCACGCCCCACATTCGCCCCACAACCGTCGCCATCCGTAGCCCTCCAAAAGCACGAGGCGAGATGGGGCGCCGTTGCATCCCCCTTTGTGAAAGCGGGGTGGGGAACCAAAGGGATTTGCCCGCCGGGGGGGGGACACATACCCTACAAACTGCCCCCTTCGTAGCCCCCCAAGCGCATGCTTTGGGCTACGGGACCGCCCATCTTTCGATAAAAGAGGGGCAGGAAGAGGGAGGGAGCCGTTTTGGGGGGCATTAGGAGAACTTGGGGGCCCCTCGACCTGCTCCATCGGGAACCCCAAAACCAGAAGGGGGAGAGCGCATACCTCGGGCGCATGCAGACCCCCTCCCCAGTTGTGTTTTTTTTATGGGGGTCGCGGGCCTTACCGGGACTCCCTGCGGCCCCCCGAAATCGGACCGGGAAGACGGCGGGGGGGGGCAGCTCCGGCCGCGCCTGCGCACTCGCGGCGCTCGTCGTCACTGCAGTACACGGGAAGGGAGGGGGGAAGCGAAGAGGGGAGGGGCGCCCCAAAAGTCATCCAGACTGACCCCCCCCGCGAGGCGGGAAACGGAGCGCAGGATCCTAGAATGGGGGAGCTAGAAGGGAGCCCTAAAAGTAATCCAGTCTGACCCCCCTACAATGCAGGGATCTAGAATGGGGAGCTGGAAGGGAGCCCCAAAATTCATCCAGTCTGACCCTCCTGTAATGCAGGGATCTAGAATGGGGGACCCAGAAGGGAGCCTCAAAAGTCATCCAGTCTGCCCCCCCCCCCCGGTTGTATATAGATTCTAATAATAATAATAATAAGAGGATGATGAGATTCCTGCCTTGCTGGGGGGAGGGGTCAAACTAGATGAAACCGGATCTAGTCCGGCTGTCAGATTTTTCCCCTATACATCTTTGGGGGGGGCGGCGGGTGGAAATGGGAGGTTTCGGGCCTCGCCAGAATGGAGCAAAGCATTGTGGGAGAATCCCTGGAATGCGGGGTTGCTTAGCAACTGACCACCGATGCAGCAGAGGATGCTCTTTTTCCCCCGTCTGGAGGAACATAGGGGAATTGGAGAAGCGAAGAGAAAATCCTAGAAGGGCCAGGCTGGAAGGGGATCCAAGGGGTCATCCAGTCGGACCCCGAGCAAGGCATGAACCTCATGAGAGATTAATAATAATAATAATATACCACCCTATACCCGGGAAATAACCCTAGAATGGCGGAGGCGGAAGCGGGTCAGACTAGATGACCCCATCGACCCATTCTCCTCTCTCTTTCTTTCTCCTCTCTCTGTACTCTCTCTTCCCCCCTCTTTCTCTCGTCTCCATTCATCTGTCTCTTTCCCCATCCCTCTCTTCTCTCTCTCTCTCTCTTTCTTTTTCTCCTTCCTTTCTTTTCTTTCTTCTCCTTTCTTTCTTTTTTTCTCTCTTTTCTTTCTTTCTTTCTTTCTTTCTTTCTTTCTCCTCTCTATTTTTTCTCTCTTCCCCTCCTCTTTTTCTCCTCTCTTTCTTCCTCCTTCCCTCTTTCCTCCATCCCTCTCTTCTCTCTCTTCCCTTCCTTCCTTTCCCTTCTCTTCCTTTCTCCTCCTCTCTCTTTCCCCATCCCTCTCTTCTCCCTCATCTCTCCCTCTCATTCTCCTCTTTCTTTCTCGTCTCCCTCTCTCTCTTCCCCCCTACTCTTTCTGTCTCCCCGCCCCCCCCTTTCTGCGCTTTGAGGGCGATTTCCCTTTATTTTGGAGAAAAATTTGCTTTTTTCTTCCGGATTCTCATTTCCTTTATTTTTGGGGTTCTCCCCCCCAAAACTGCTCTTCCTATCACGTGATTCCTTCTCCGTCCCTCCCTCCCTCCTCCTTTCGGAAAGGCGGAGCGCGGAGCATCCTCTGCAGCGGCCGCCGGGCCAAACAGAGGCGAGGGCCTCCCTGCGCCCCCCCCCCCAGGAGCGGATCCCACCCCCTCCCCGGCGCCCCCCGAGCGCGGATTTCGAGGCCTGCGCGCCCTTCCCCCCGAAAACGCGCATTTTTACGCATCCAGACGGATCCGCCGGCGACCCCCGCCCTACGCCACCCTCCAGGTGCGCATCGTCCACCGGCGCCCCCCAAGTGCGGGTATTTGTGCCCCCTCCCAAAAGGCATCGGGACACCCCCCCCCCCCCGCGGATTGGGCCCGAGTGAGGATTTCGCGGCCTGGCTGCGCCCCCCGAGAGCGCATTTCGCCGCCGGAGGGATCCAAGGATCCGGCCTCGTCCTCCTCCACTCCTCCCCCCGAGACCGGATTCCACCTTTTCCCGGAGGTCGGCGCATTTCCCGCTCTACAGCCTTCGGGAGCGCAACTTCCACTTTGTCGGATCCGTCCGTGGGCCCGCCAATCTCGCCTGTACCCCCCCCCCCCGAAAGCGCATTTTCCCACGCTACGCGCAGACTCTCCTCCTGCAAAGGCGCATCTCCTCTCCAAAGGCGGGATCCTCTCCTTGGCGCATTTCCACGTCGGCGCGCAGCTTCTCCTCCTCGGATCCGGCCCCGGTCCCGCCATCCTCGCCTGCACCCCCCGAAGGCGCATTTCCCACGTTGCGCGCAGATTCCATTGGGGGGGTCTGTCCTCCTCCAAAAGCAGGACCTTCGGGCGGCTTCTCCTGGGCGCATTTCCACGTTGGCGCGCAGCTTCTCCTCCTCGGATCCGTCCCTGGTCCCGCCGTCCTCGCCTGCGCATTTCCCACCTTTGGGCGACTTTCCCCCCAGCGCATCCTTCCCGTGGGCCGGAGCGTCTCCATTCGCGGCCTGTGGCCCAGACAGCGTATTTCCCGCCTTTGGGCGCGCAGCCTTTCCTCGCATCAGTCCTTCCCGTTGGACTGCGCGCCCGCCCATCCTCGCCTGCGCGCCCGACGGCGCATTTTCCTTCTGACCGTCTCCAAAAAGCGCATTTTCTGCATTTGGGCTTAGCCTTTCTTCGTCTGTTCAGACAGTCTCCGCCGGCGGCCGATCCTCACCTGCGACCCCCAAAGCGCATCTCCCTCCGTTGGCGCGCAGCCTTTCCTCGTCTCCACGCTCAAGAGCGCATCATTCCTCTTGGCCAGAGACTCTCTGCCGGCGGCCCATCCTCGCCTGCGCCCTCCAAAGCGCATCTCCCTCGTTGGCGCGCAGCGTTTCCCTGTCTCCGCGCTCAAGAGCGCATCAATCCCGTTGGCCGATTCTCGCCTGCGCCCCCCAAAGCGCATTCCCCATATTGGGCGCAGCGTCTCCGATTGCGGCCTCTGGAGTGCAACTTCCGCGTCCCGCCGCCGTCTCCCAAAGCGCCTTTTCCACGTGCGCCCGCTCGCCGGAGACTCCGTTGGCTCCTCTCCGCCGCCACCCTGCGCGCAACTGGAGCGCATTTCTTCTCCCGTCCGTTTTGCGCTATGGCGAGGCTGCCGGGAGGAGCCTTTTCCAGCGCCTGCTGAGCGCCGCTCTTCGATTCGGATTTCCATTCGCTTCAGGTGAACCGGCCGGCCCCACCGCTGCCCCCATTTTGGGGGTGCTGCCCCCCACCCCGACCTCCCACCCCTCGGAAATGCGGGGACTGCGCGACGGCGCATGGGTTGCGCTGTGTCTCCTCCTCTGCTGCTGCTGCTGGGCGCACAGGTAGGTTGGGGGGCTCACCTGGGGGTTTTGGAGGGCAGAAACGTAGCAGGGTTCTCCCTTGGGGTTTTGGGGCGGTGGACAGGGAGTGGGGGCTCCCCTGGGGGGTGTGGGGGGCTGTCGGGTAGCGGAGGACTCACCTGTGGGTTTTTTTAGGGGGTGGACAGGCAGCAGGGCCCCCCTGGGGTTTTTGGGGGGTGGACAGGTAGTGGGGGCTCACCCGTGGGGTTTTAAGGAGGCACAGGTAGGTTAACTTTGGGGGACTCCCCTGGGGTTTGGGGGGGCCGACAAGGTATCAGGGGGTTCACCTGTGGGGGTTTTAGTGGGCACACAGGTAGGTTAACCTGTGGGGGGGGTCACCTGGGTTTTTTTAGGGGGTGCACAGGTAGGCTAACCTGCAAGGGGCTCACTTGTGGGGGGGTTCTGGGGTCCCCTAGCTGCCCCCCCACAGAATAGGGGAGAGACCCCTCCAATTGCCACAAAAAGCATGATGCCCCCATATTTCAACCCCTCCAATTTACATGAAATTCATATAATATATTATATTGGGGTTCCCAGCTGGAATTCAGGGGGGCAAGTTTAAAGGAGGCCGTGAGTGCATGAAGCATGATGCCCAATATTTCAAATGCCCCAAATCTATATGAACCCCACAATATTTTATTCCAGTTAGACACACCAATAGAATATATGATGGGCCCCGCCAAGTTTATTGGGGCACCCAATATCTTCTCCCAAAATTTCATTCCAGCTGGGAACCCCAATATAATAGATTCGGGGGCAGGTTTAAATGATGCCATGTGGGACCCTCCATGTTTTAAACCAGCTGGGCACCCCAATATACAAAGGACCCCAAATGTATAGGGTGCCATATGGGGTGGGGCTCAATGGGGACCCCCCAATATTTTATCTCAACTGCTTTGAGGACTAACCATGGTCTTCTCCTGTTTTGCAGCCCCTCCACTGGCAACATATCCGTGGTCAAGGACATTGTGGACAAGCTCCTCAAAGGCTATGATGTTCGACTGCGGCCCGATTTTGGAGGTAAGGCAGCGTGGCCTAAAGGTTAGAGCATGAATCCAATCGATAATAAATCAGGTAATCAATAATACGCCGGGTCATAAATAAATAAATGATTACCTATTATCCACTTTTATTATTTTATTATTAATCTATGGTTCGGTTTTATTTCGGAGGTAAGGCAACGCCGCCTAAAAGAGCATAAATCTAATCGATAATAAATTAGATAATTAATCATAAATAATAAGTTAGGGCATAAATTAATAAATGAGTATTTCTTATCCCCTTTTATTATCTCTTTTAATTTTCTTATAATCTATTGTTCGATTTGCTGTTATTCCTTATTGACTTTTAGCCTTTATTATTTATTATCTAAAGTTATGATTTATTGTTTATAATTTAATTTCTTAATTTTATGGGGTTATTTTTTATGATTATTTTATTATTTCCTTTTATTATCTCACCTTCCCATTGAGGATTTGATTTTATGGTTTCATCATGTGATCATCTTTAACATTTTAGCACGTCACTAAATTAACCAATTATGAGTTTCATTAGCAATTAATAATTTTATTACTTCATTTTAATATAATAATCTATTATTGTAATATAATATGATATAATATAACAATATAACATAATATATCTGTTGCTTTGGTGTTGTTTTGTTATTGTTATTGTTATTATTTCAGGGAACCCTGTGGTGGTGGGGATGAGCATCCACATCTCAAGCATTGACCAGATTTCTGAAGTCAACATGGTAAGTTGGACGAACTTCCACTGGATCCAGATTCGAATCCTGCTGGAAAAGATGGATTTCCTTCTGTCCTTCTTTCCTTCTACCCTTCTTTCTTTTTCCTCTTCTATCCTTCTTTCCTGCTATGCTATCCTCCTTTCTTCCTTCTTTCCTCCTATCCTTCTCTCCTCCAATTTCCCCCATCTCTCTCTTTCTTTTCTCCTCTGCCAGGACTATACCATAACCATGTACTTCCAGCAGAGCTGGCGGGACAAGCGGCTTGCCTACGGCGATCTGCCGTTCAACCTGACACTCGACAACCGAGTCGCCGACCAGCTCTGGCTCCCAGACACCTACTTTCTTAATGACAAAAAGTCCTTCCTGCATGGGGTCACCGTCAAGAACCGCATGATCCGCTTGCACCCAGATGGCACCGTCCTCTACGGCCTGAGGTGGGCAGATATTAATGATATTAATCACCACTAATCAAGAACCGATTCGCTCCTGCCAGTTCATTATTGCAAATACGGTCAATGGGTGGTTTCGTTCTCGCCTAGTGATCACCGCAAACTGGGTGCTAATCAGTTTTTTATTGTGCGTGTTGATCATAACAGGGCGGGGCGATTAATGGACGGGTCATTATTAATGGACGGATCATGATTAATGATTATTAATGGACAGGTCATGATTACTGGATGGATCATGATTAATGACGGCTTTCTTCCATAGTGGAATAAAGGTATGAGATTCTCGGCATGCACAACACTCAGGGAAAATATGTACAAAATGATGTACAGGTGGTACGTAACGCCCGTAAAACTGGAAAAAATATATAAAACTGGTGATAAATTATGCTGGAAGTGCAAGATTAAGGAGGGCGATTTTTATCATATGTGGTGGTTGTGCGAGCCTATTAGAAAATTTTGGGAATCTATTTACAATGAACTAAAAAAATCTTTAAATATACCTTTATAAAAGACCTGGAAGCCTTTTTGCTGGGGATAATTGGAGAAGAAATCAAAAAGGAAGATCAAACACTCTTTCAGTACGCGACAGTGGCTGCCAGAACTCTAATAGCGCAGAATTGGAAGACACCAAGAATCCCAACCATAAATGAATGGCAATCGAAACTAATCGACTATCTAGAATTGGCAAAAATGACACAGAAAATAAGAAATCAAAAAGACACAAAGTTTAATAAAGATTGGAATAAATTCATGGCATACATGGAAACAGAGGTAAAAAAAACTAAAAAACACAGTAGGTGCGATATAACACTTGTGATGTAAAGAATTTTTTTTTTGAGGAAAAAAAATAGAAAAATTTTATAACACATTCCGAAACCGAGATGAAGGGAAGTCAGTCAGTGTTGTGTGTTATGTAGTTAATGTAGTTAATTTGTTGTTGTCTTATGTCAGGAGTATATATATATATATATATTATATATATATTTTTTTCTTTATTTAGTTTTTTTTTGGTGTGAATGTGTTGTGTTTGTCTTTTTTGTTTGTATGGTGTTATAAAATAAAATTTATATTTAAAAAAAAAAAAAGATTAATGACGGCTTTCATCCTTGCATAGTGATCACGGTTAAATATTATCAATTTCAATACATTTTGCTAGTCCATAAAAATTAGCCATCCGATAAATACTTACCTATTTATACTTATCAATTAATACACATTAATAGTCCATAAAATTAACCATCCAATTAATACTTATCAATTAATACTTATCAGTAGGCAAAATTAGAGAAATATTTGCGAGTTCAGACATTGGACCAGGAATATCATCCAAAAAAGGGGTTGGAAAATCCCCCCAAAATCAATATATAGCATTCCCCGCATCCGTCAATCAGGGATCCCCATAATGGATCCTGGGAATCCTCTCTCTCTCTCTCTGCAGGATCACGACAACCGCCGCCTGTATGATGGATCTCCGGAGATACCCCCTGGATCAGCAGAATTGCACCCTGGAAATTGAGAGCTGTGCGTATCATTCAATTCAATTAAATTCAATTATTGCTTGTTAATCAAGGAATAATTAAAAGTATTATCCAGGAAAAATCAATGAATAATTTTAAGGCAGGAATAATTTTAAGCCAGGATTAATTTGAAACAGGAATAAGTATAAAATAAATTAAAATAAAATAATTCCTTGTTAATCAAGGGATAATTAAAATGAATTTAACTTTAAAGCAGGAATAATTTTAAACCAGGTTTATTTTAAACCAGGAGGATTTTAATTGGGGAATAATGTTAATCCGGGAATAATGTTAAAACAGGAATACTTTTCCACCAGGATTAATTTTAACCCAGGATTAATTTTAAGACGGGAATAATTTTAAAATGGGAATAATTTTAAGACAGGAATAATTCTAATCTGGGAATTAATTTTAACCCAGGATTAATTTTAAGGCAGGAATAGTTTTCAACCAGGAATCATTCTCATTATTTCTTATTTTCTTTCCTCCCAGATGGCTACACTGTTGACGACATTGTCTTCTTCTGGCAAGGAAACTCTTCGGCCGTGACGGGGATGGAGGTCTTGGAGTTGCCCCAGTTCACCATCATCGAGCAGAAGCTGGTCACCCGTGAGGTGGTCTTCACCACTGGTGGGTTGCCCTGTCGGGTCATCTAGTCTAACCCCCTGCCTGAAATCCTGGGGTTGTCAGACACAGGGTGGGAGACCACAGTCCTCCAGTCCACCCTTTGCTGAAGATACCAGAGATGTCCTCACCGATTCATCTGGATCCTGGGGTCCCGTCCGGCTTGACCATCTCCTCTTTCTCCAACAGGCTCCTACCTCCGCCTGTCGCTCAGCTTCCGCATCAAGAGGAACATCGGCTACTTCATCCTGCAGACCTATATGCCCTCCATCCTCATCACCATCCTCTCCTGGGTCTCCTTCTGGATCAACTACGATGCTTCAGCCGCCCGGGTGGCCCTAGGTGAGGAGATCCTGAGATCTTGCTCCGGGGTCCTGCTACCAAGGGTCCATGTGATTCTCCCTAAAGGCAGAACCTGACCTTTGTCTCTCTTGAAACATATTGGGTTGGACTCAGGTGAGTATGAGGTCCACCAAGACCCTGAGAACTTTCTCCTATGTCCTGCTAGCAAGTTGGTGGTCCACCAAGACCCTGAGTCCATCGGGGTCCATGTGATCCTCCCTAAATGCAGGACCCTCTTGACATTCATTGAGTTGGATTCAGGTGAAGTTGGAGGACCACCAAGCCGCTGAGAACCTTCTCCCATATCCTGGTAGCAAGCTGGTGATCCACCAAGACCCTGAGGTCCACCATCCTTCTATTGGTCCATCTGATTTTCCTTAAAGGCAGGACCTGACCTTGATCCCATTTGGTGAAGTGGTGCCCAGTTCTCCAACCCATCAAGGTCATATGGAATCCAGATTCAATATGAAATCATTGGATTTCCATGGATGTTTTTATATATTCATCTTCAGTCACGCTTGACTTCCAGTATGAAAAGGTTTGATTTCACTAGGCGTTTCTATATATCCGTCTTCAATCATGACATCGATTGATTTCAGAGTATGAAAACGTTTGATTTCAATATATCAGTCCCATCTTTGGGTATTATAAAAATATTTCGATTGTTGATCGTGACGGAGGTTTGAATTATGGTGCCTTCCCTGCGCTATAATTCTCGGCCACCCAACTAACCCTGTTTCTTCTCCCACCCGCCGCGGCACCCAGGGGTGACGACCGTCCTCACCATGACGACCATCAACACCCACCTCCGGGAGACGCTGCCCAAGATCCCATACGTCAAGGCGATTGATGTCTACCTGATGGGCTGCTTCGTCTTCGTCTTCCTGGCGCTGCTGGAATATGCCCTGGTGAACTACATTTTCTTTGGGCGAGGGCCCCGCCAGCAGAAGAGACGCGCCCGGCGCCTGGAGCCCCGGACTCAGGTGCGAGATTCCTGCCTAAAAAGTGGGTGGGGATGGGTGAACCTCAGGGTCCTGTATTTGAGGCCGAGATCCCCGTGGGTTGGGGTAGATGACCCTGAGCTCCCTTCTCTCCTTCCAGCCCGACCCATACGGCAACCTCCTCCTAGCCGGCGTCTCCGACAGCAACTGCCCGCTCTTCTCCACGTCGCCCTCGCCAGACCCGCGCACCTGTGGCCTGCGTGGGTTCGAATCTTCAGGCACCGCCCTACACTCCCGGAAGGCACCCGCCTGCCGCACCGCCCGGGCCAACTGCCGCCTGCGCCGGAGGTCCTCCAAGCTGAAGCTGAAGATCCCCGACCTGGCCGACGTCAGCACCATTGACAAGTGGTCCCGGGTTCTATTCCCCATCACCTTCGGCTTCTTCAACCTTCTCTACTGGTTGTACTATGTCAACTGACGTCCAACAGGGAGAGCTCCAGGCGCCGGGTTCAGGTTCTGCCCCCACTCCTACCCCAGCCTTGCCTCTTCTCCGCTTCCCATTTGTTCTGTCCCCTCACAGTCCCTTCTTCTTCCCTTAAGAGTCACTTCCTGTACACTCTCAGGCACTTCCTGTTCCCTTACAGGCCCCTCTCACCACCCCTTCCTGTTTTTGAACAGCCCCTTCCGGTTTTACCCTTGTCCCTTACTGTTCCCTTCAATTCACTTCCTCTTTGCTCTCAGGCACTTCCAGTTCCCTCACAGTCCCCTTTACTCTCCCTCAGAGTACCTTCCTGTTCTCTCACAGCCACTTCTGTTCCCTCTCAGGGACTTCCTGTTTCCTCATTGACCCTTTCATCTCCTTCACAGTCCCTTCTTATTCTCTCTGAGTCCCTTCCTGTTCCCTTAAAGTCCCTTTCATTTCTCCCTCACAGCTACTTCCTGTTCCCTCTCAGGGACTTCCTGTTCTCTCACAGTCCCTGCTTATTCTCTCTCAGTCCCTTCCTGTTCTCTTAAAAGTTCCTTCCTGTTCCCTCACAGCGCCTTTCTGTCCCTTCCCCTCTCCTTCCCTCCCCACTTCCTGTCCCCTTGCAGCCACTTCCTGTCCCCAAACCAGCCATGGAGAACCCACCGTTTCGAGTAACGGGAAACGAGGAACAAGCCACGCCTCCCAACTTCCAGTACTTTCTCTTCCTCCTCCTCCTTGGACCGGCTGGGCTTCCTTCCCTCCGGCCACTTCCCTTCCGTTGCTTCTGCCATTACAGGTTCCGGTGGACGGACTTTTCCGGAACCGACTTGAACCGAGTTTACAGTTTTCTACCTAGCGACCGACCGACCAATTGGATCTCTCCATTCTCACATTTTGGGTTTTCCCCCCCTTGTTGTTCTGGGAGGGATTTGGGGAAAGTGCTCCTGAGCGTGTGCAGAGTTCCTTTCCCCCCCTAAGCAATGTACATGAACCTTAAAAAAACACATTTTGGAAACTGTTCGATATCCGTCGGTTGGGAATCTTTCTCGTCTTTTTTTTTCCCTTATAAAATCGGGAGAATTTCACTTTAAATATACGGCCTTGGAAGAAAAACAACAACCGGTGTCTGTTTCTTTCCTTTCAAAAACGGGGCTGTGGGGCTATGTTTTATTATAATAAAACATCATCTATAATATTAATTGGATCTCATTTATATTTATATGATATACACACATGCTTAGACATATTATTGATATATCCTTATATTATTGATATATATTTATATTCAATATATTATTAGATATATATAAATAATATAATGATGTGTTGCGTAATATATCATATATTTATCTTGTTTATGGTTTTATATATATATATATATATATATATATATATATATATATAGGCAGAAGAAATGCAACCACTATGCAGAGAAATATAGATGTATATATCATTATCTAATATTTCTATATATATTTTTACTTACCATTTATATTTATAATTATTTATAATTATTTTCCATGACCCGCCCTAAGACCACCAAGTATATATGTGTGTGTGTGTGTGTATACTTTTATATCATATGTATATCATAATGTATCTCTAAATTAGCTATATAATTTATATTGATTTGCATCTTTCTATCTACCCATATTTACAATCAGCTCCAAGCAACAAACTTTTTCACTTCTAAAATGAAAACAGGAGGGGAAGTGTGTGGGGTTTTTTGGGTGGGGGGGAGAAAATTGTGATTTGTATGAGAAATTTTGGGCAATATTGGGCAATATCATTAAGGAGTGTCTCCACCCCCATCGTTCTACCCGGACACTGAGGTCCAGCACCGAGGGCCTTCTGGCGGTTCCCTCACTGCGAGAAGCCAAGTTACAGGGAACCAGGCAGAGGGCCTTCTCGGCAGTGGCGCCTTCCCTGTGGAACACCCTCCCACCAGATGTCAAAGAGAACAACAACTACCAGGCTTTTAGAAGACATCTGAAGGCAGCCCTGTTTCAGGAAGCTTTTAATGTTTGATGTATTATAGTATTTTAATATTCTTTTGGAAGCCGCCCAGAGTGGCCGGGGAAGCCCAGCCAGATGGGCGGGGTATAAATAATAAATTATTATTATTATTATTATTATTATAAAATTACGAATACGTGAATAAACTTTCCATTGAAGAGCAGAGAAACAAAGAGTCTGTGGAGAGGATTCGAACTCGGAGATGTGGACAGGAAATGGCTACAAGATATCTAAATATGCAACACATTTAGTAGCATTTCATAGTAGGATTTCATTCCCCCAAATCGTTTTGAAAGCAAAATCATTTCAAATCGAAAAACGAAATTAAGCCATTTTATTGGAGACTTTTGATCGCCAAAATCATTTCAAAACCAAAATCATTTCAAATCAGAAAACAAAATTAAGGCATTTATTGGGAAACTTTTGATCGCCAAAATTGTTTCAAAACCAAAATAATTTCAGATCGGAAAACGGAATTAAGGCATTTATTGGAGACTTTCAATCTACAAAATCATCATTTCCAACATAAAAAGGACATTTTATAGAAGTTATCAAAATCATTTCAAAACCAAAAGAAAAGGAATACATTTTATTTGGGGCTTTCCATCACCTTCCTTGGCGCATGGTATTTTTGATTTTTCATAATCATTAAATTATTATGTTTAAGAATTATTAAAATGATTAAATACTTTGAATAATTAAAGGATTGATGTAATTAAAAAAATTAAAAACCCATGCATTTATTTAAATTATTTAAATTATTAAATAATCTTTAAATTTTAAAATTATAGAAATGATTACATAATTTTTAAATTTAACAAACACTGAAATGATTAAATCATTTTTAAATTGATAATTGAAATGATTAAATGATTGTTAAATTTAAAAATCACTGAAATGATTACTGGGTAAATGATTTTTAAAATTCAACAATTAAAACCATACTTTTCATAATTTCAAGCCTTCCAACTCCACACAGCCTTGAAAAATCTTCCCTCCCTGAATAAAAAACTCCCTTTAATTGTGTTGGGAAACCTAATTTGCATATAATTTGCAAGGCAAAGGCAAGATAGAAAGACTATTGAGAGATTTGTTTGTTCTTGGCTACTGCATGCTGCAGCCGGCTTCGGGGAGGAACTCCTGCAGGTAGGTGATGGCCACTTTGGACAGGTAAGTCATGGTGCCAAAGCGCCCGCTGGGGGCGCTGTCATAGAGCAAGGTGCAGATGCCTGTGGCGGGGTCCCTCTCCAGCATGGCGTCATCCGCACCCAGGACTTTCTGCATTTGGTGAAAAAAAGGGAAGAGGAGACAAGAGTCAAGGCCAGAGAGCAGAAATTGGTGCCATTATTTCATTTTTGACACCAATGCCACCAGCTTAGCTGCTCCGTTTCCCCAGGAACTATGCTGTGGGGCCAGGTGATCGATCAATAAATCATCCCAAACAGCTGCAGAAAATCAATAAAGACAATCTGCCAAAAATACGGGTGAGATGTCGCCGTTCGGCGCTGCGATCCCACTTCTAACACCAATTTTGCAAGCAACGCTGCTCTGTTTCCCTGGGAATGGTGCTGTGGGGCTTGGGTGATCAATTAACTGCCCCATCCAAGGGTGCCTGCCCTCACCTGCTCCTGGCGGAACGCTTCGTCCGCCATCTTGATGATGTCATCAATGCTGACAAGCCTCCCGGCTCCATCAAAGTCGACCTCAGCCAACAGGGTCAACACCCAGATGGTTTCCACGCAGAGCTGCCGGTATTCTGGCTGCGGGATCTTGTTCAGTGCTGACTCGACGCCAACGGCAAACTTGATCTCACCCGGTGTCATCTGTCAAAAATGGAAAATGGGCGTCAGGATTTGAACCCGTGTCCAGCGGGAAACGGTAAAGAAACCAGGGGAGACTCTCCTCTCTCTCGTTTTTGCTCTTTTCATCTCTGTTTTGATCCCTCTTTTTAAAACTCTGTTTCAATCTCTCTCTCCATCTCTCTCTTGATGTCTCTCTCTCTCTACATCACCATCTGTCTCCCTCTTTCTCTCCCTCTTATCTCTTATCTCTTTCCTTCCTTCTTTCTTTCTTTCTTTCTCACTCTCTTTCAACCTCAATCTTTCCATCTTTCTTTCTCTCTCTTTCAATCTCTCCATCTCTCTATGTCTCCATCTTTCCCTCATTCTCTCCCTCTCTCTCTTTATCTGTCTTTCAATTTCTCTGCCTCTCCCTGTTTCCATCTTTCTATCATCATCATCATCATCATCATTAGTATTATTATTATGTGCCAGTAGGGAAACCGAGTTGCCATTACCTCTTGGGTGGCGGAAGACGGGAGGACAAAGCCACCGATGGATAGACCGTGGCACTAGGAAGAGAAGAGTGGAAATGGAGTCACGTTCTTGACAAATTTGCACCCAGGACCTGCTCCAGAGTCACACTCAGATTTGTGCTCGCTCTAGATTCAGACTCAAAGAGACTAGCGCATGCACCAGATTCAGCCTCATGCACTTAGGATCCGAATTCAGGAGATCCGCATTCACTCCAGATTCGGCCTGGCACACTTTGGATTCATACTCAGATATGTGCCTGCTCCAGAGTCATGCTCAGATTTGCACACACACCAGATTCGACCTTGCACACTTCAGATAAAACGCAGGAGATTCGCATTCACTCCATATTTGGCCTCATAAAACGCAAATCTGGGAGATTCGATCCTGTTCTGGAGTCACACCAGATTTGGCACTCACCTTCTGCAGGACCTTCCACACTTTCGGATAGAAGCCCACTGGCACCCTGTTGAGGGAGCCGTCGAGACGCCGTCGCCGTCGCCACCCGCCTTGACGTGTCTCCTTGGTGGGGCGCCAATCACCCCCTTGCTGGATTTCGCTCCGGAGCTGGGCGATTCCGGCACGCTCTGTTTTGGTGGCGCCAGCCATTTCACGGATGGAGACACCTGGTGCCGAGTCAGCGGTACGCACTGCAGGGAGACAGCGGGGTTCTTAGTGCTGGATCGGGGTGGAAGGGAGCCCCCAGAGGAATCTAGTCTGACCCTGCAAGGACTGACCGCTGCGCTCGACGCCAAATTCCTTTCCGCTCAGAATGTGGTGCAGGAGGCTTTTGACGTCTGATGGGCTGAGGTTCAACAAGGTCTGCGTGGCTTCGTCGGCTGGGAGATAGGGAGGGAGAGGGGAAAGGAAGAAAGAAGGGAAGAGGGAAAGGAAGGCAGAAGAAGCAGAGAATGAAAGAAAATAAAGAAGAGCAAGCAAAGAAAGCAGAGAAAGGAAGAAGAGAAAGAAAGAAGAGAAAGCAACAAGAAAATACAGAGAAAGGTAGGAAGAAGAAAGAACAAAGAATGAAGAGAAAGGAAGAAGGAAGAGAAAGAAGAATGAAAGAAGAGAGGAATAAATAAAAAGCAGAGAAAGGAAGAATGAGAAAGGAAGAAAGGAGAATGCAGAGAAAGAAAAAACATAAAAAAGAGAAAAAAGAGGAGGAAAGAGATAAAAAAGAGAAAGAAGAGAAAGTAGAGGAAGCTAGGAAAGAAGGGAAAGGAAGGAATGAGAGAGGAGAGGAAGGAAGGAAGAAGACAGAGGAAGAAGGAAAATGAAAAGGCAGAAAGAGCAGAAAGAGAAAGGAAGAAGAGAAAGCAGAAAGAAGGAATGAATATAAAGAAAGAAAAAAGAGAAAGAAAGAAAAAGAAGCAAAGGGAGGAAGAAGAGAAAGAAGCAGAGAAAGAAAGAGAAAGACAATGCCATATATCTGCTATTATATGGGGAAAATACAGCATTTCTCCTATTATACGGAGCAATCCCCTACATCTGCTATTATGTGAGGGAGGGGGTATACTGTACTTCTCCTATTATACGGCACAATGCCGTATATCCATTATATGAGAAAAATACCGTATTTCTCCTATTATATGGGACAATTTCACCTACGGTATTTTATGGAATTGGTGGCCTTGTGACTAGGCTCCTGCCTACCTGAGCACGACAGCGACTGCGCCAGCTCAGTCGCCATCACCTGGATGATGAGCCCAATGCGGAGGCGGAACATTTCGGCAAAGAGGGCCGGCTGCGTCCGGATGTACATGGCCAGGTAAACCATAATTTCCTGGAACCAGAAGAGAGGGAGAAACTATGACTCCCAGAGGATTACAGATCCTGGAGAGTAAATCTCCAGGGAATGAACTACGACTCCTGGAGGACTATGGTTTCCAGGGAGCAAATTTCCGGGGAACAAACCACTGTTCCCGGGAAAGCCGGGTGCCCAGAGTTCCTGGAAAATGGGGTCCCCACCACTGTTCTCCCCAGCACCCCAGCACTCACCTGGGTCAGGATGCAGACGCTAAGGTTCCCCTCACTGGCATCCTCAATCAGGCGCGTGAGCTCCTCATACGGAAGGGGGCTGGCAGGGAAAAACAGCTGAGTTGGGAAGCCGAGAGTCATCTAGTCTGACCCCGATGAAGGCAATAATGTCTCACCAGACATGAAAATTTAATCCAGGACACTGGGATCGAGAGTCGCCAGCTCTACCAACTGTTTTTACGCAACATTTCGATGACAAATTTAATAGGGATCATAATTTAAATTTAAATAATTTAGATTTACGGAAATTAAGAATAATTAAAAAAAAGTGATAATACTAAGTTAAAAATTTTAAGCTTACGTTTAATTTAAATCTGAACTTAAATTGGCGAATCTAAAAAAATTAATTTAATTTAAATGATTTAAATTTATGGAAAGTAAATATTTAAATTTTAAAAATAAGGCATTATGGTAAGTCAAAAAATTTAAGCTTACATTAAATTTAAATCTGAAATTGAATTTAAATATTTAATACCTAACCACTTTAATTTGAAAATTTAAATGTAGAATTTAAATTCAAATTAAATGTAAATGTAAACATTCAATAATAATCATTTTGTTTTTAAGTTGTAATCATTCAACTTGTTTTTATTATTGCTTGAAAGCCGCTCTGAGCCCGGCCTTGGCTGGGGAGGGCGGGGTATAAATAAAAATTATTATTATTATTATTATTATTATTATTATTATTAAAATTTCAAAATTTTAAGCAAATTGAATTTGGATTGTACTTAAATTTAGAAACTTTATTAGTAATTTAAGTCTAAAAATAATTTTAAATTTTAAAACAAAATTAGCATTAAATTTAAATCAATTAAAATGAAAATGAAAAAACTGACAATAATTTATAATTTAAAATTAATATTAAATTGAAAAATATAAATCAGTAATAGCAATAAATTCATACCTTTAGTATTCTACCTGTCATGGCCCATTTTCAGTTGGCCTGTACCAGCAAATTAAAAAGCTTTAAGTTAAATTAAATTAAATTAAGTCTCTGAAAGGAGAGATGACTTTTGTACAACGAGAATGCAAGAAAATCAAATTAATTAATTGATTGATTGATTAACCTAGGAGATTAAAACTGAGCCCATCCTCCAGCTCCCAGTAAGGATACTAGGACTAAGGCCAACGTGCCCCTGGTGCAAGAGACATGGGTTTGACCCCTTCTGGAGGTCCAGATACCCCCATTTTGCCCCCGATTATCTCCCCGGTTGGGATTGCCCCCTGATTGCCTTCCCCGTTGGGATGGCCCAGTGCCGGAATCGAGTGGCGACCCCAAAAACTCACGCCGAGATGGTCCGTTCGCGAGGCTCCGGGGGGAGACCCACGGTGAGGTGCTTCTGGTGTGACAGGAGGCTGGTACAGGCCTGGGGAGAGAGAAGGGTACCTTCTCATCTACATTGACCCCCTTGAACTCTTCCCAAAAGGAGGCTGCCCAGAACCCTATTTTTTCTTCAAAATTTTAATATTTTTTCAAAATATCCCAACCTCATCCAAAGCTTCCACCTTCTTTCTCAGGACACCGGAAATGTAGCGGATCAAGCCCCACTGCCGAGCGGTGCCAGCTTTCGAATACAGCTCCGTGAGGAGGTCACCCACGGTGGCTCCTGCCTCACCATATAGCTCCGTCTCCCAATCGGGACCCCTAAAAGGAAGTGTCCAAGTCGGAAGGGGACCCCAGAAGGTCATCCAGTCCAACACCATCTTAAAAGCCAATAATGGCAGAGAAATAGCATTTGAGTGGGATTATGGGAAAGATTATGGAAAACAATAACATAAAATAAGGAAGGAGGGCAGAGAGAAGGGATCTTGTGCAAGTGCTCTTAAATCCCAGGGAAAGGACCTGGGGTCATCCAGTCTAACTCCCCGCAACGCAGGCGATATACAGATTTAATCAATTCACCGAGGTCTGAAGTTCTCATGAAGGAAACGCCAATGGAAGAAAACTTTAGTTCCTACTTGAGGCTGTACAATATGGATAGGCAGTTGGCCTGATCCTGCAGGGTGGCGCAAGCCCGGAGCTGATCCACCAATGACCGGCAGTCCACGTTCCCGTCGGCATCTTTTGGGAGGTCCGCCTCGGTGGGGAAAGACGTCTGGGGGGCAGGGAGGGAGGCTGGTTGAGTGAGGAGGCACCCCAAATGTCACCCAGCAAAACCCACTATGAGGGGTCTCAAAATGGAATGGGAAAATGCCCTCCCTCTTATGTAGCTTTTAAAAAAGAGAAAGAAAGAAACCTTCCCTCTGGCTTGGCTTTGAGAAATGGGAGTTTAGCATTGCGAGGGAAAAGCCTCGCTCCCAATGGGCTTCAAGAAATGGGAGGTTCGGGCAGGAGAGGAAAGCCCTCCCTCTTATGTGGCTTTAAAGAAAGGGAGGGGAAAAGGGGTTTTTACCTTCTATGGGTTGGCTTTGAGAAACGAGTGTTTCCTGCAGAAGTGAAAAGCTCTCCCTCTTGCATGGCTTTTCCCGCCCCCAAAACCCAATCAGAACTGGCTACTCACCTTGCCATCTGGTGGCGACCCCAGAAGGTGGACTGAGTGGCGTGACTCCTGGAAGAGGCTGGAAGGGATGTACATGTTGACATCTGCAAGGAGAAGGTGGAACGGTTGGGCTGGAATCGAGAGGTCATCCAGTCTGACCCGCTTCTGGGAGGCCATACTTACTCTCCACGTGGAGCTCCTTCGCCTTCGACCGCAGAGACACCAAGTCCTGGGTGGTGCGCACCGCCGCCCGGAAGCGGTGCAAGCCGGCTTTCTGAGCCACGGGCGGGAGGTGGGCCTTAGGAGCCGCCTGGTGGAGGAGATGGTCCAGGTATTGGGCCACCTCGTCGCAGATGTCCGCTGGAAAAGAGAGAGGGGTGATGTTTCTCTGTGAAAAGAGGGGACGTCCTACCATCCCTTCTGACATCTCTCCGATGGGATCTGGGACACCTTTAAGGCAGCGTCTGTGTAGCCCAGAAGGTCCGGATTTGAACCCTTTGCCAAAAATGGGGATGTCCTATTCTATCCCCTCCGGCTTTTCTCCGATGACATAGGACAGCACTCCGACTGGGATGTTTTTAAGGCTGCGATCAGAACGATAAGGTTCGTCTCCAGTCCGAGCGAGCGATTGCAAAGAGGGACGTCCGGAGGGTATGTTCTGGGTTAAAGCCACCAATGCCCTCTGATCGTTCCGGGTTCGAATCACAAGTCAGGATGGTTTCAAAAAAGCTGCGGCATGGGAACACACCAAGGGCTTACCATCCGGCCCAGCGTCCATGAAACTCAGGTGGGAGTGGCACGAGGTGGTGAGGAAGTCCAACAGGCGACCGGTCTGGATCCTGCAAGGATCAGAGAATCATAGGTGACCCCCAAGGGATCCCTCCGAAATCGACCATCCTAAGAATGAAATCCTGGCAAAAGCTTCCCATAGATAAATCAACCCAGAGCCAGATTCTTCTGTTGGGCTGATAATGATAACAATAATAATAATTTAACTATTTTGATGCCTCCCATCTGACAGCATTAAACGATTCCTGCAATCCTCACCTCGCTCCTCCGAAATATCCGTCCTGCAATTTCCGCAGCATGGCCAAAACGGCCGGGTGGATGCCATCACCACTGTCATCTTGCCAGGCAGAAGAAAGGAATGAAAAGGGAAGAAAGGGAAGGAGAGAGAAGTTAGGATGGGAAAAGGCAGCCATCAGAATAGAAGAGAGAAGAACGAGATCGCAATAAGCAGCGTAAAAGGGTGGCCATGAAAATTCAAGTCAAATCAATCCCTGAAATTCAGTGGAATTTCTGAATTATATTTTTTAAAGGAAGTCAACAGGTTGAGAGAAAGTTGAAGGAAAGTTCAAGTTAATTTGTTAAAAAGTATGATATTTAATAAATTTTTGAAATTTAAATTCCTGAAACGTTAAAAAAAAGTAGGTCCAAAAGTTAAGAGAAATGCGCATTGATTTGTTAACATTTCTGAAATGTCATAAAAATTCAATACAAACTGTTAAGGGAAATGCAGACTAAAGTTGAATTTGTTAAGATTTATAACATTTAATAAATTCCTGAAATTGAAATTTCAAAAAATATGGAAGTCAAAAGATTAAGGGAAAGATGTGTTGATTTGTTAAAATTTCTGAAATGTAATACGAATTAAAGTCAAGCTGTTAAGGGAAATATGTATCAAAGTTGAAGTGAATTTCTTAAAACTTCTAGCTTTTTTTTAAAGCGTTTATTAATTTTCCAATAAGAACATCCAATTAACATATCAAATCAAATCCAAAAACCCCACAAAACTAAAATAAAAAATTTCCAATTGTCTTCCAAATTGTAATAAATTTTTTGTTTTGGCTTCCCACGGTCTGAATTCTGAAGCGTTTTCAACATCATAGTCCTGCCTCTCATCATCATCAGTGGTTTTCATAATTCCATATCGTGATTTTATCCTCCACGTTTTGTCTCTGGCTCTGTGATCCTCATTCATGTCAGAAAACAGACACTTTTTTTTCTATGGAGTGCAGATTTGTCCGTTTATTATACTCTTTCAGCTGTTTTTGTTTTTCATCGCAACACTTCATTTAATTGCATCCATTCCAGACTCTTTGAGAATTGTTATTTTGGCAGCTCCCAAATTGTTAATCTTTCCTGTCAAGCTGTTATCAAAGAAACAGAGAGAAACCTCCTTCTAAAACTCCTTGTTGATTTATTCTTAAGCAGACTGTTTGCAATGTAGCCATGTATCAGACAGTTAACAATTGGCCTTTGGAATCCACCCAGTCCCCTCTTCGGGCCCTAGAGGGGGGCTGCCAGACATCCATTTAGCCCTTTCTCTTGCTCATAATAAAAAACTTCTTTTTGCAAACAGTTGTATATATAATATTGTTTCCAGTCTTTATGACCAACCATCAGTTAGCTCCTGTTTCTCTTAATCAGGGAGGTATTTCAGATATTCCATAAGTGCGTAGTGGGTAGACGCCATTTTGTTCTTTGTTTTCGTCTTTAACGGGCATTTCAAATCTTAAAAGAAAAGTGGCTGCGAATAGGTCCCAATTACATATAAAAGTCCATCTGTACTCACTTTTTGAAGAGCAATTTAGGTTCTTAATGAGGCTTGGCATGCAAAATGAATTGTTAATGTTAGAAGAAGAAGAAAAAACATACCAAGCCCCTCCAGATCCCAAACATCATGATGAGGATCTCTTTGAACTTCGATCTTTTACACCAGAGACTGTACATACTGCAGGTTTTTTCCCAGCTTCATCAGTTCAGAGCGTGTCTGATTTGAAAATCTTTATATTTTTCCAAACAGATGCCTCCGGCTATGGGGTGGCATCACAGGAGTGTCAGTCCGTCTCTTGCTCCGTGACCCAGTGCCCCTGCCGTGGGGCAAACCGCGGGTCATCGAGACAGTCCTCCCCTGCCCTGGGGAGGCTGCCAGGGCTAATTACCCCCATATCAGCCCTGAATTATCGGAACGGCTGGAGTCCGATCGTGTGGGAATCTGCCATTTCCCACCGCCGGAAACAGGAAGCCAAAACTTCTGACTTTTAATAAAGATCCAATTTGAGCTGTTAAGGGCAATATGTATGAAAGTTGAAGCAAAGTTGTTAAAAATTGTTAAAAGGGAAACGTGTGCAAAAGATGATTTGTTAAAATTCAGGTAATTTAATTGAACTTTCTGAAATTTCAAAAGGGTTTTAAATGTCAGAAATTTAATTGAAATTTAGTTGAAAATTCCAAAATTTAATTTCTGAAATTCAATTGAAATTTCTGAAATTTCAATTTATTATTTTTTTTTACAAATTTATTTTAAATTTAAAACACATGTGACACACCAAGCATCATGTGCGAGACAGGGAAGGTGATGGTGGGACGCCCTGTCATCCTCCAGCGGCTGCACAGGTAAGAGAGATCTGTCCGGAGCATTTCGACGATCATTTTGTTATCGAGCGCCAGGAAGAATTGCTGCTGGTCGAGGAACTGTGAGGAGGGAGGGAGAGGTGGGTAAACAAGGGGGGGAGGGGAAGGGGGCATATATTGAAACATTTTTTTGATCGTTGTATCCATGAAAGAGGAGAATGGAAAACGGTGCTTTCCCCCCAGAGGGGGAAATAACAGCTATGATCAAATTGGGGATTTTTTGTTAAGAGGATAAACTAATTGGCGGCATTCTCCTGATTCACCAAATTTGCGGGGCGGGGGGGGGAGAAATTTGAAGGGGGTTGGACTGGATGACAGCCAGGGAACTTCCCACCTGTGGCGTGAAGGCAAAGATGGTGCTCCGGATATCGTAGAACTTGGAGGTGCCCAGAACGCCCATGTGGCGGAAGGGGCGCCCACTGAGGGTCATGTGCTGGTTACGGCCTGTGGAATAATAATAATAATAATAATAATAATAATAATAATAATAATATATTATTTACTCCCTGCCCATCTGGCTGGGTTTCCCTAGCCACTCCAACAAAAGAAAATAGAAATACATTAAAACAACAGCGGAAGGCAGTGGAAGACAGGAGTGCCTGGGATGCTCTGGTCCATGGGGTCACGAAGAGTTGGACACGACTAAACAACTAAACAACAACAAAGCATCAGTTGTTTAAAACTTCCCTAAAATGTCATTCAAGGAAATGTTATAGGGTTTCAAACTCGCACCTTAGATGTTGCCTTAAAGGCGTCCCACATATCTTCTGATTCTATCCTGCTCATTTTATGTTTATTTCCCATAATCCCACTCGAATACCTTTTCTCTGCCGTTCCTCCCCTTTATTTCTAAACGGAATCAATTACAGCGCATGTTTTGGGGTCAGACTAAATGACCCAAGGGTCCCTTTCTCCTCTTCCAATTCTATCTTGCTCATTTTATTTTTATTTTATTTCCCATAATCCCACTCGAATGCCTTTTCTCCACTGTTCCTCCAATTTGTAATTTTTTGGGGTCAGACTAAATGACCTGGGCTCCCTTTCCACATCACCTAATCGGGCGTAGATATGGCTGAGGATCCTCGCCGGTTGCACCCGGATCGGACAGACGCCGGAAACCGTCTCCGCCTCAATCCCCTCCTTCCTCAAAGCCGATTGGATGCCCTCTGTCTCGGCCAAGATGCAAACTGTGGGGAAACCGGAGTTAATCTGGAGCTGCTCCGGTCCCGGAAAACCCCGAAACAGGCATCAATCAAGGAATCAGAATTCAAACCCCAAACCCAAGTCTGGCCCAACCTGGGTTGTCAAAGCCTCCCGGACTAAACTTGGCTCCAATTTTATGAAATATCCTATTATCCTGGAGACTATTAAAGCACAAATAAAAATTTGGATGAATATAAATAAAAATAATAAGGATGACCCCTATCAACATGAGAAATTAACAATATGGGCCAACCCAAAATTAAAAATTGGAAATCAAGTAATAATTTGGCAAAATTGGATGAAAAAAGGTATTTTGACATTCAATCAATTAATTGATGAAAATTACAAATTTGTGGAATATAAGACTGCAAGTAAAGTATGGATTAACCAGTGAAACACCATGGCAATACATCCAATTGAAACATATGTTGGAAAGGCAGTTTGGCTATAGCAGCATCGGAAACACCCATGCTGCTACAAGATTCAATTTGTGCAACAAAAACAAAAAGCTCTACACTTGCACTATATAAGACCCTACTCAACAGGAAGAAATATGATTTAGAATACGATATACAAAAATGGAGTGAAGAGTTGGGGGTACAGATAACAAATGATATATGGGAGTCAAGTCAACAGAAATAGTCTCCATGGATCTAAGACTAAGACTTATTCAGCAGAAAATAGTAATATCCACTGGACTCCAGCAAAACTATACCAGAAGAAAATAACAAATGCAGACAACTGCTGGAGATGTGGGAGTAAAAATGCGAACTTAGTACATATGTTGATTAAATGCCCGATAAGATCATTTTGGTGCGAGGTGAGGATATTTATAGCAAGAGTAATAAAAAGAAATTGTTATTTAGGGGAACTGAATTTAATTCTAAATTATATTCCAGAAATGTGGGAAGATTTCAAAGGGTCAAAAAAAAAATGGATGCACTGTGCTATATTAGAAGCAAAACAACTTGTTTTGATGAATTGGATGAGCCGCAAAAAGATTCCATTGAGCACATGGATTGATAATATGGACAGACTAGCTACATACAAACAAATTGCATGTCGGCACAAATTAAGAATGGATAAATATCAATAAATCTGGAAGGAATATTTAAGTGATAAGGCAGATAGTGGTGGGAAGTAGGGGGAGGAGAGAGAGGCGGGAAAATATTGTTAAAAAGGTGGTCACAGGTATATCATTGTATCCAAATCTGAATTGTCAAACTGTGTTATTATTGTTATTATGGTTTTTGTTGTATGTGTCTTTTGTGGTTGATGTTTGTATCAAAAAAATTATTAAATAAATTTATTTTATTTCTAACCCCCCCCCCCCCGGAATGGGCTTACCTTGGACCACCACGTCTGGCTTGGGGACGGTCGAGAAGCGCCGGTTGAGAGGATCAATTTCGCCCGGCGCCAGGAAGCCCTAAGGAGGGGGGAGACGGGTTTGATTCCGGAGCAGGACCCTGAACCTGGGATCCCAGGCACCCAAGGGTGCTCACCTCGGAAAGGAGGCACCCCAAGATGTACAAGGACTGGCCCCACATCAACGGCAGCTTCCCCATTGGAACCCGGTCCACCGTGTGAGGGTTTTGGCATTCCTCGTCGACCTGCAGGGAGAGAAGGTTGCGGGTTCTAGAAATGGGAACCCAGACGGCAGACCCCCCCCCAAATAAAACCGCTCACCTTGTCCGATGGGACGCTGTAGAGTTCTGGGATCAAGCGGATCCCGTCCTTCCCCTTGATGAGGATGCCTTCCAGGGCTTCCCGGTACTCCCGGACCTTTGGACAGACATGCATCAATCAGGGACTCGGAATTTGAACCCTGAACCCAACCTGGGTCATCAAAGCCCCCCCCCAACCTGCTCGTCATTGCCGCGAAAGATTCCGTCAATCAGCAGGTAGGTCCAAAAGAGTGGCCACTCGCACTCAATACTCTCAAAAAGCTTCAGCTCGGAGGGTTCGTAGTAGAGGCGTTGGGGGTCCTGGGAAAATAAGAAAATAAATAAGTTAAAATAAAGAAATAAATATAAAAATGAAATGAACAAATAAAATAAAAACTAAAAACAAACAAACAAAATTAAAATTGAAAAACATATAAAATAACAAAACAAAACAGAACAGAACAAAATTCACCTCTTTGGGAGTCCGGTAGCCATCGCGGAGGAACCGGCAACAACCGTAGCGACCCTTTGGAAGAGGAGGAAGGGGAAACTGCTTTACAAATTATTTTTACTGATTTTTCCCAATGTGACTTTTTAAAAAAGAAATGAGAAAATGATTAATTTTTAAAGAAAAAAATTTTGCCTGCAGCTTGTCGATGATTTCCCGCTTGGTTTTCTCCACCACCTCAGCGTCCTCGACGGCAAAGGCTGGGTACGAGATGATGGACAGGAGGCTGGCGTCAATCTCCTTGGAAGCCGATGCCCTCGGCAGCATCGAATGGAGGATGGACTGCGGGGAGAGGCAGACGAAACATAGAGCACCATCCTAGAAGGGTCATCTGGTCTAACCCCCTCAAGAAAAGGGAGACCAGGAAAGCAGGATGCAATCATAGAGCCGGAAGAGACCCGAGGGCCACCAAATTTCAAGGCTAATTTCAAATTGTGTTTGAAGTTAAAATTTTTAACTTTTAATGTTAATTTAACATTTTTAATGTTTTCAATTTCAAAGTTCCCATGTTAGTTTTAAATTTAAATTTTTTAATGTTAATTTTAAATTTTAATTTACTTTTTCTTTATTTTAAATTTTTAATGTTAATTTTAAGTTTTAAATGTTAATTTTAAATTTTAATGTTAATAATTTTGTTTGATGTCATTTTTTTGTTAATTGTTCCATTTTCCTTGTTAATTTAAAATTGTAAAGTTTCAATGTCCATTTAAAATTTCCATTTCCAATTTTCAATTTTAAAAGTCTCGGGCATCCGGGACGGGTGGCCCTCCAAGCTCTGCGTTCAAAACAAACACCCTGAGGAGGAGGCTACCTAGAACCCTCTGGATTTTAATTTTGGGAATTTTCTAAATTGTAAATTTTCAAAATTTTCAGAAATTAAAGTATTTCGGTAAGTCGACCCCCTGCCGAACCCAGGTCTGTACCAGGCAGTGCTGCACCTCGTCCGACAACACATGGATCACTGATTGGGGGCTTCCGTTGGCCCCGAAGAGGTCCAGCTCGTCCAAGGCCTCGAGGGCCGCCTGCAGAGGGAGAAAGAGCACCCATAGATGAGCACCCATGCTTAGGCATCCCTGAGTGGGCACCTGATCCCGCCTCGCCCCGTGCCCCTCACCTTGGCCATGCCGACTGAGCTGGCGTTGAGCTCCGTGATGCCCCGGTTAGTCTTGTCGCCACGTTCCCAGATCCCGAAATCCTGCCCCACAAAAAACATGGGTTATTATTATTATTGGGGGTATTAGGGGCTACTGTTTTTATTATTGCTATTACTAGCAGCTATTATGATCCTAAGTTCGGATTATGGGCTTATTATTTTTATGAGGAATTCTTCTGAGGGGTGTTTGTTATTCTTAGGGGTTTGTTTTTCTTATTTGGTTGACCATTTTTATTAGGGGTTATTATTATTGATATTATTAGGAGTTACAGTGGTACCTCGGGTTACAGACGCTTCAGGTTACAGACTCCACTAACCCAGAAATAGTACCTCAGGTTAAGAATTTTGCTTCAGGATGAGAACAGAAATCGCACAGTGGCGGCAGCGGGAGGCCCCATTAGCTAAAGTGGTGCTTCAGGTTAAGAACAGTTTCAGGTTAAGAACGGACCTCCAGGACGAATTAAGTTCTTAACCTGAGGTACCACTGTATTATGATCATAGGTTCCTATAATTTTTTATTTTTTAATTTTTAGTGGGTTTATTCTTCTTAGGTTTGTTACTCATAGGGGTTATTATTATTGTGGTTTATTAGGAGTGACTGTTTTTCTTAGGGGATATTATTATTGCTATTATTAGGGACTTATTACAATCATGGGTTTGGATCAAGCTTTTATTATTTTTATTAGGGGTTCTTCTTCTTAGGTGTGATTCTTTGGGGTTTCTTATTCTGTGGGGTTATTATTCTTATTAGAGGCAATTATTATTGCTATTATTAGGGGTTATTATTTTATGGGTTATTTTTATTATTTTATTGGTTATTTTATGGGTTATTCTTATGGCTTATTATTATCATGGGTTATTATGGGTTATCTTTATTATGGATTAGTACTAGGGGTTATTATTTTTATGGATTACTAATATGGGTTATTATTCTTATGAGGTATTATTCTTATATTATTCTTATTAGGGGTTACAATTTTTATTAGGGGTTATTTTTCTTGCTATTATTAGAAGTTATTATGATCACGGGCTCAGATTAAGGGTCTATTATTTTTATTATGATTTATTTTTATGGGTTGTTCTTATGGCTGATTATTATTATTATGTGTTAGTATTAAAGGTTATTACTTTCATGGATTCCTACTATGGTTTATTATGCTAATAGGTTGTTCTTAGGGGCTTTTATTCTAATGGGTAATTATTATTTATAATTTTTATTATGGGTTGTTATTATGGGTTATTTTTATGGATTATTATTTTTATTAAGGATTATTCTTACAGCTTAATATTATCATGGTTGTTATGTTTTTTATGCGTTAGTATTAGGGGTTGTTAATTTTACAGATTCCTATTATGGGTTTGTTATTCTGAACAGTTCTTATCATAATGGGTTCTTATCGGTTTCTATTTTTATTGTGATTATTTTTCTCAGGGGCTGCACTCGGCGCCACCCATCCCAACCCACCGCCGTTTTATACGCTGCTTCTATGTAGAAAACCAGGTTTTGCACAAAGTTGACTTCATCCAGGCTGTGGACGATATGCAGCCCTGCAAAAAGAAAGGTAATAATAGAATAAAATAATGAAAAATGTATTATTATTATTTTTAAAAATATATAGTATACTATATATATATATATATATATATATATATATATATATATATATATATAGCATAATAAAAAAACAATAATAAAACCAGAATAAAAATAAAAATAAAAATAATAGAATAACATAAAATAAAAACAAAACCAAACAATAATAATAATACATTAATAATAATAATAAAAGAATAATAATAACAGAATAAAAAATAAAAGAATAAAATAAATAAATAAATAAAATAAAACAATAAAATAAAATATCTCACCTGATGCCGTCATCTGGGCCAGCATTAGGAGGTACAATGAGGTGGCGTCCAGTTGCAAGTGACCCCACTGGTCGTCACCGACAACGGTGGCGCAGGTTCCGGGTGCGAATTTGGCGTGCAGAGCATCGCGGGGGCTCTGGGTATATTTAAAGGCCTCTACTTTGTCCACCTGGAAGAAAAATGGGACATCTAACTTGACCCCAAATATCAGCTCTGGGAAATGCTGGAAAAACCTCCCTGTGTGGTCCATAAAATGGCAGGGAATTGAGGGATGGGACACCCCAGTGGTCATTTAGCCGGACCCCGAATATCAGATCCGGGAAAGGTTGCAAAAACATGGGAAGGTACACCTAGCGGTCATCAAGCCTGACCCCCTACCTGTCTCATCATGCACTGCAGCAGGCCTCGCATCAGCTTGACCACGCTCTGTGGGGAGAAGAAAAACACCACTGTAAACTCAAAACTCAAACTCGGGACGGACAGCCCCAAAGCTCCTCCAACCCAGGCCCGAGGCCAGGGGTTCGAATTGCCGACCTGGAGATCCGCAGCCAATAGAGTTTGTTTGTCTGTATCTCGTTTTTTCCTGCTCTGCTTTTCGACTTGGCATTTCAGGCATTCGGCCTAGGAATCAGGTTTCGATCTCGCCCCCACCCCCGCCCCGGGGTCATGTCAGGACAGGCAGAAAACAGCTGCCCCGGCTGAGAGGCGCTGCGGCTCTCAGGTTACAGGGCGAGATAGGGAGATGTATTGCCAGCAAGGAGGACCCAAAAGAGGATTCCCAAGAAGGGTGCTTCCCCACCCCAGGGTCGGGGGGGGGGGAGAGGGAAAAGCCAGTCTTTTGGGGAATGGGTTTTTGGGTTGTGGGTGTGGATCTTTACCCGCCAGGAAGCCTTCAGGCCAGAGGGGTGGCAGCCTAGCAATATGCTCGGCGCCTTGGATAATATTATTTTAATTTCATTTCATTTTCATTTTCACTTTGTTATTGTGTTCTATCTTATTGTATTGTACTTTTCTTTTCTTTTAATTTCTTTCCCTCCCTATTTTATTTTATATTGTTTTATATTTTATTTTATATTATTTTCCAACTTTGCCCTAGTTACCTGCTCCAGCTCATACGCCTTGGCCTTGTCCTCGTCGCGGTCAGCATTCTTGCGGTAAGCCAATCCCAGCGCCCAAACTGCCAGGACGCTGTAGACATTGTCGCGGACCCAGGCGTCCGGGTGGTCAGCGCTGGCTGGCAGCAGGCCCGTCACGGGGTTCTGCAGAGAGATGGGCTTGTTGAACACCTGCCTGCTTGCACACCCTGTAAAAAGCCCCCTCAGGCGCTCCACCTGTTGAATATCTGCCTGCCTACCAGACATTTCCATGCCTTCAAACCCTTTAAAAAACACCTACTGCTCCGCCTGTTGAACTTCAACTGCTTGGGTGCCGGACATTTCCATGCCTGCCCGTCGTACAAAAAGCCACCGTCTGCTGCTTTGACTTGAAGTCCTGCCTGCCTGCCTGCTGAACATTCCCATGCCTTCCCATCCTGCAAAAAGCCCGTCTTTGCCACTCCGTCTGTTGAACGTGCTGAACATTTCCATGCCTGTAAGCCCTGCAAAAAGCCTCATCTGTCGCTCCACCTGTTGAACTCCCATCTGCCTGCACACCCTGAAATTTCCCTCATCCACCTCTCCACTTGTAAATCCTGCCTGCTTACTCATCCTTGAAAATGCCCCATCCGCAGCTCCACCCGCTGAAATTCTGTCTGACTGTTGAACATTTCCATGGCTTCATGCACTGCAAAAAGCCCTAGTCTGCCGCTCCACCTGTCAAACTCCCATCTGCCTGTACGCTGAACATTTCCATACCTGTCACCCACTGCTCTGCCTGTTGAACATCTGCCTGCCTGCCTGCTGAACATTTCCAAAGTCTTCCCGCCCTGCAAAAAGGCCCCATCCGCTGCTCCCCCGGATGACCTCCCGCCTGCCCTCACACAATGCAAAAAGCCCTGTCCGCCACTCCACCTGTTGAACTCCCGTCTGTGTGCAGACCCTGAAAAAGCCCTCATCTGCCACTTCACCTGTTAAACTTCCACCTGCATATGTGCTGAACATTTCCATATGTTTACGCCCAGCAAAAAAACCCATCCACTGCTAAACCTGTTTAACTCCCGTCTGCCTACTCACCCTAGAAAATGCCCCATCTGCCACTCCAGCCCTTGAACTTCTGCCTGCCTGTGTGCTGAACATTCCCATGCCTTGAAAAAGCCTCATCTGTTGCTGCACCTGTTGAACTCCCACCTGCCTGCACACCCTGAAAAATCCCTCATCCGCTGCTCTACCTGTAACTCCCGCCTGCCTACTTGTCCTAGAAAATGCCCCATCTGCTGCTCCGCCTGTTGAATTTCTGCCTGCCTCCATGCAGAACATTTCCATGGCTTCATGCACTGCAAAAAACCTCACCCATAGTTCCGCCTGTTGAACTTCAGCCTGCCTGCGTTCTGGACATTTCCATTCCAACCCCCACCCACCGCTTCATCTGTTGGGCTCCCGCCTGCCTGCAAAAAACCCACCCACCTACTGAACTTCCGGCCTGCACCCCGAACATTTCCATGCCTGCATTCAATGCAAAAAAGCCCCGTTCGCCGCACCGCCTGTTTAACTTCCACTTGCCCAAAAGCCCCACCCACCTGTTGAACTTACGCCTGCCTATTTCTATGCCTGCCCGCCATACAAAAAAGACCCGTCCGCCGCTCTACCTGTTGAACTCCTTCTTGCCTGCAAAAAACCCACCCACCTGTTGAACTTCCGCTGGCTTTCAGGCCGAACATTTCCACGCCTGCATTCAATGCAAAAAAGCTCTGTTCGCTGCACCACCTGTTGAACTCCCACCTGCCCGCCTACACCCCAAACCCTACGCTCCGCTCCATCCGTTGAACCTCCGCCTGCCTGACCTGGTGCCCGAGGATCGTTTTCTGAACGAGGCGGGCATAGCCGTCCAAGCGGACGCCAGAATTGCTCCTGCTCCGCATGACTCTCGAGCTGCTCTGGAGCCCAGCTGGTGCGCCAACGTAACCAACCTCTCCTGGCCCCGCCTACTTAACCCCTCCTCTGCAGACACCGAACTCCCGGATCCACCCGCTCTATACGACGCTGCCCAGCAGAAAAGGGGTTAAACCACCTCTTGCCGACCCTGGCAGCGCGGTAGCCCAAGAGACCGAAACCCTTACCAAAAAAAAAAGCGGGGCTCAGACTGATCCCCGGGAGCCGCTCCACCAGAAGAAGCGGGGCTTCTGCGCCGAATCCCCACCTCCGCCCCGCCTCGCAAAGGTCATCGGAGTGTGGACTAGCGCCCTGCCAGGACCTGCACCCGGCGTCTCCGGATAGCTCCTATTATACTGAGCGGTTTGGCCTGGAGCGTTTCGGGAAAGGCGTTCCCCCTTGCGGGCAGAGAAGGAACTGCGTCTACTCCTTCGTGTTTTCTTACTAGTTTTTATTTGTTATTATTGCTTTCTTCCTAATAATTATAAGAAAACAATCATAATAACGCTTTCTTCCTCTTTTTATTATTTTCTTCTTAAGTTGCTTTATTATTAGTATTGCTTTCTTCTTAATAAGCAATTTTTCTTTTTGCTGCTTTGTTTTCTTTTTATTCTTTCCTTCTTACTGATACTACTACTACTACTACTACTAATACATTTTTATTTATACCCCACCCTCCCCAGCCAAGACCGGGTTCAGGGAGGCTAACAACCAATAATAAAAACAAGTTGATGAAAATACAATTTAAAAGATTAAGATACAACATTAAAACAATTAGGGAGCAATCTCATCATAGGGGGAGAAAGGAAAAAGAAAAAGGGGGAGGGAATCAAACTGATTCTGAGCCACAGGCCAGGCCCTGCGGAAAGAGATCAGATCCCGTAGGGCCCTGGTCTCAAGAGACAGAGCATTCCACCAGGCTGGAGCCAGTGTTGAGAAGGCCCTGGCTCTGGTTGAGGCTAATCTGACTTCCTTAGGGCCCGGGACCTAGGGTGTTGCTATATATGGACCTTAAGGTCCTCCGTGGGGCATACCAGGAGAGGCGGTCCCGTAGGTACGAGGGTCCTAGGCCGTGGAGGGCTTTAAGAGCCCTTCACATTTTCTTCCTATTATTGCTTTCTTAATAAGCAATAACACTTATTGCTTTATTATTACTGCTTTTTTCTTATTATTGCTTTCTTATTGTTAAGAAGGAAGCAATAAGAAAGCAGTACTAAGAAGGAGCAATAAGAAAGCATTATTATTATTGCTTTTATTATTATTAAGAAAAAAGCAATAATAATAATGCTTTCTTCTTACTGCTCCTTTCTTCTTCTTAGTATTGTACGGCTTTCTTATTCCTTCCTTCTTAACGGTAAGAAAGCAATAACCCACCATGATGGGCAGAGATGGGACCCAAGGTTTATCTATCCCAACCCGCTGAAATGCAGGAACTGCAGCTTAGAATAGGCAGAGTCAGCTAGTCAGGAGAAATTCCCTGGAAATGCCACTTATATTTAGCCTGCCACTTATATTTCGGTCTCAGGTTCGGATTTAGATCAGAGCAAGGAGTCCCTCCAAAAGGCATCGGCGGCTGTCACTTGATATTCCTCTCTCTTTAAGGGTCACCCCCGGAGCTGTCACTTGATATTCAGCTCCCTTCCCTGTGACTCAAAAGGCCTTTTTGTTGGCTGCTAATAACTGCATTTTGACCAAACTGCAGGAGGCAGTGGAAGACAGGAGTGCCTGCCGTGCTCTAGTCCATGGGGTCACGAAGAGTCAGACATGACTAAACGACAACAAATAATTACATTTGTTACTGTAAAAACTGCAACCGTTACTTGCGATAATAGCTGCAATCATTATTGCAATAATAACTGCATTCGTTGTTGCAATAACTGCAATAGTTATTGTAATAATAACTGCAATTATTGCAATAATGGCAACCATCATTGTAGTACTAACGGTGATCATTATTGCGATAATAATGGCAATCATTATTGTATGCAATTATTTTTGTAATAATACCTGCCACCATTGTTGTAATAACTGTAACCGTTATTGTAATAATAATTGAAATTATTTTTCCAAGGGCCAAGTAGGAGCCGGCCCCAAATGTTTCCAGGCGGAAATAAGAATAAAGCCACTCAAGAGAAGAGGAGCCCCAGAGCCACATTGCAAGATGCTTTTATTGGCGAAAAATAATTCTGCTTTCCTCATTCCTCCGCACACGTCTTCATCCGCTGCTCTGTTTGGCCGCCAGCCGCTTGTCTCGCTCCTCGGCGATAGTGAGGCGGATGCCTTTCCCGCGAGGCAGCGAGATCCATGGCTTGTTGCCCTGGAAGGAGCGATAAGAGGCACTTATTATTATTATTATTGGATTGATTAGCCCAATCTCTTTCAACCTGCACTCTCATTGAAACAAACTGAGTGCAATTTAAACCAAATCCAAATTTCACGCCCCAAAGGGACTCCAGCTCAGTGCACTCTTAACGTGCTCAGGAGAACCCCAAACTTGATGAAATCGTAGTTACAGGTATGTAGCCGTGTTGGTCTGCCGTATTCAAAACAAAATTTAAAAAAGTAACTTAGTCTCTACGGTGCTACTGGAAGGATTTTTTTTATTTTGATGAAGTTGGTTCTCCTTGGTGTCGCATCACATTCCCCCCGCTAATATCAGGTCATGCCTCACAAATATCCTTGCATTACAGTATACTTGCTTAAAAAAAACAAAAAAGAATTACATGCAAGAACAGAAATGGCACTGAACTGAATCAATTGGGTGGTGATTTATTTGGAATAGCTGTGGAAACAAATCCTTGAAAAATAAAAACAACAGGAGAATAATAAAAGTAAGAATATTTTAAAATGGAAATATAATTTTTTAATAAAAAAATGCAGAGGAGAGAATGAATTAAAATAATTTTATGAATTAAAATAATTAAAATAATATTATGGAAATAATATGGCCAGTGCCCACCTTGCCAATGACGAAGATGTTGGTGGCGAAGCTGTTGCCATTGGTGTCCTTGACGTGGACCACGTCAAAGGAACCGGGGTGCCTCTCGCGGTTGGTGATTACCCCGATGCGCCCCAAGTTGGCACCCCCCGTCACCATGCAGAGGTTGCCTGTCAGAGAGAAGAGGGAGGGAAAGGGTCAGAAGGTGCCTGGGCAACAATGGTCCTGCGAGGCGGAATTGGGACTGGCAGGGGGGACAGATTAGATAGATAGATAGACAGACAGACATATGCATGTATATGGAAATAATAAAATAAAACTGCTTCAAAAAATATGGGTGCTCTGGGAGCCTCCAGGGCCAGAGGCAGTCTCCCCCCCATTGGGGAAGGATTCCGGCGCTCTCGATGCGCTCACTACCTATGTCAAACTTGATGAAGTCGGTGATCATGCCCGTCTGCAGGTCGACCTGGACGGTGTCGTTGACCTTGACCAGGGGGTCTGGGTAGTGGATGGTGCGGGCGTCGTGCGTCACTAGGCGGGGGGTGCCCATGGTGCCCACCAGGATACGGCGCACCTTGCACAGCTTGTACTGCCAGGAGGAATGAGAGAAATCTGTCCTTTTGTCAATATTAAGAAAAGGCTCCCTCAACCTTGCCCCTCTAGATGTTTTTGAGACTACAATTCCCATCACCCCTGACCACTGGTCCTGCTATCTAGTGATCATGGGAGTTGTAGGCCAAAAACATCTGGAGGGCAGAAGTTGAGGAAGCCTGATTAAGAGGATACCAGAAAGGTGAGTCTTTCTGTAAAAACGGTATTTGAATCTGGTCTAACTCATGAGGGATTTAAATCACAAAAGCACTCCGAGCACTGATCATTCCTTCCTCTGGTTGTCCATCTTAAGCCAGCAAGGCTGAGTCTTTCGGTAAGAAAAGGATTCAAATCGAGTCCCCCAATTCTCACCTTGGCCTCCTCGGGGCTGATGCAGTGCACGGCAAAGCGCCCCTTGGTGTCATAAACCAGGCGGAAGTGCTCGCCCGTCTTCTCGATGCTGATCACGTCTGCGGGGAGAGAGGGCGGTCGTTACAGTGGGATGCCAGTGTGGTGCAACTGTCACGTAAACCCAGTTTTCCGCCCTGCAGAATGTCCCACCGCTGGAAATCGAGCATTTCAAACCCCGCTACTGACACCTAGGGCCTCACCCATGAAGCCCGCCGGGTAGGTGATGTCGGTGCGAACCTTGCCATCAATCTTTACAAAGCGCTGCATGCAGATCTTCTTGACCTCGTCGCCCGTCAGGGCATATTTGAGCCGGTTGCGGAGGAAAATCACGAGCGGGAGGCACTCGCGCAACTTGTGGGGTCCTGTCGACGGGCGCGGCGCCTAGAACTCCAAAAAGAAAAGGGAAGGTTACAGGGCGGCAAACCTAAGCGCGTGAAACTGCAACTCCCAGAATCCGGTTGGCCTTGTTGCTATTATTATTATTATGATGCAACCATGAGAAAATATCTGAAGGCAGCCATCTCTAGGGAAGCTTTTTCATGTGTATTATTTTTTTAAAAATCTATTTATAAAATATAGACAGACTTCCACTGGTCATGGAAGCTCAGTAATCTATGTATTTATTTTAGTGTTTTATTCATGCATTTTCCCAGATGTTATTTTACATCCCTTCATTGTTTCGTCAGAATGTTCGACTGACTCACTAACTTATCCTTCCCCAGGATCCTTTATTTTTCTACATATTGTTATTTTGATCTATAATGTTGTGTTAGTTTCTCTATAACTTGTTATTATGCATTGTGTTCTAATTTTGCATTTTTCTGCTATAAACTATCCCGGGATGAACGGCGGGATTTAATAAGAAACCACAAAGAATTTATAGATTTAATATAAATTTATAGACTTAATAAGAAACCACAAGAAATTTATAGATTTAATAAACAACCACAAGGAATTTAATATGTAAATAAGGGGAAAAAATTAAGGGTAAGGCGTTTAATAAAGACGGTAAAACGAAGAAGCCCAGGAAAGGAGCAGCCAAGCATACTAGGACTCAATTTCTTGACTTTAAGAAAGCCGACTTCATAAAACTTAGGGAAGTGCTGGGTGAGATCCCATGGACAGTAATACTAAAAGGAAAGGGAGTTCATGATGGCTGGGAGTTTGTTAAGAGGGAGATAGTAAAAGCACAACTTCAGGCAATACCAATGAGACGGAAACATGGAAGGTGCCTAAAGAAGCCAGGGTGGCTATCTAAAGAACTTTTAACTGAGTTAAGATTAAAAAGGATGTGTACAAAAAATGGAAAAGGGGGGAAACCACCAAAGAGGAATTCAAACAAATAGCCAGCACGTGTAGACACAAAGTCAGAAAAGCTAAAGCACAGAATGAACTCAGGCTTGCTAGAGAGGTTAAAAGCAACAAAAAAGGTTTTTATGGGTATGTTCGTAGCAAAAGGAAGAACAAAGAAACAGTGGGGTCACTCAGAGGAGAAGATGGTGAAATGCAAACAGGGGACACAGAAAGGGCTGAACTCCTCAATACCTTCTTTGCATCAGTCTTCTCCGATAAAGAAAACAATGCCCGACCTGAAGAATTTGGAGCAAATGATTCAGCAGAGGAAACACAGCCCAGAATAACTAAGGAGATAGTACAAGAATACTTGGCTAGTTTAGATGTATTCAAGTCTCCAGGGCCAGATGAACTGCATCCAAGTATTAAAAGAACTGGCAGATGTGATCTCAGAACCACTGGCAGTCATCTTTGAGAATTCCTGGAGAACAGGCGAAGTCCCGGCAGACTGGAGGAGGGCAAATGTTGTCCCTATTTTCAAAAAGGGGAAAGAGAGGACCCAAATAATTACCGCCCAGTCAGTCTGACATCAATACCAGGGAAGATTCTGGAGCAGATCATTAAGCAAACAGTCTGTGAGCACCTAGAAAGGAATGCTGTGATCACCAATAGTCAGCATGGATTTCTGAAAAATAAGTCATGTCAGACTAACCTGATCTCGTTTGTTGACAGAATTACAAGCCTGGTAGATGACGGGAACGCAGTGGATGTAGCCTACCTTGATTTCAGCAAGGCATTTGACAAGGTGCCCCATGATATTCTTGTAAAGAAGCTGGTAAAATGCGGTCTTGACTATGCTACCACTCAGTGGATTTGTAACTGGCTGACTGACCGAACCCAAAGGGTGCTCATCAATGGTTCCTCTTCATCCTGGAGAAGAGTGACTAGTGGGGTTCCACAGGGTTCTGTCTTGGGCCCGGTCTTATTCAACATCTTTATCAACGACTTGGATGATGGACTCAAGGGCATCCTGATCCAATTTGCAGATGACACCAAACTGGGAGGGTGGCTAACACCCCAGAGGACAGGATCACACTTCAAAACGACCTTGACAGATTAGAGAACTGGGCCAAAACAATCAAGATGAATTTTAACAGGGAGAAATGTAAAGTATTGCACTTGGGCAAAATAAAAATAAAAATGAGAGGCACAAATACAAGGTGGGTGACACCTGGCTTGAGAGCAGTACATGTGAAAAGGATCTAGGAGTCTTGGTTGACCACAAACTTGACATGAGCCAACAGCTCAGCCAACGCGGCAGCTAAAAAAGCCAATGCAATTCTGGGCTGCATCAATAGGAGTATAGCATCTAGATCAAGGGAAGTAATAGTGCCACTGTATTCTGCTCTGGTCAGACCTCACCTGGAGTACTGTGTCCAGTTCTGGGCACCACAGTTCAAGAAGGACACTGACAAACTGGAACGTGTCCAGAGGAGGGCAACCAAAATGGTCAAAGGCCTGGAAACGATGCCTTATGAGGAAAGGCTAAGGGAGCTGGGCATGTTTAGCCTGGAGAAGAGGAGGTTAAGGGGTGATATGATAGCCATGTTTTTTTGTTTTTTTTTAAATAATTTTTTATTAAGGTTTTAAACAAACAAAAAAGAAAAACAACACACACAAAAAACAATACAAAACTTAACAATAAAAACACAAAACATAACAATTAAAAACAAACTCTCTTTTCCATTTCCAATTTTAAATTACTTATTTTCTGGACTTCCTCATACCTCCCTCTTTTGTATTCCAATCCACATTATTTGTCCAGCAGTTTCTTTTCCACTTTTTTAATCCCAATCTTTAATTTAATAAAACGTTAAAATATATAACTTCAACTTTTTTAGACCTAATCCTTGATCTTAATGTCATATAGCTTTAGATTTTTCCCTTTTATTATCAAATTTCCATTTCTTTAAACATCTTTAATCTTGATCTTTAATCTTAATCTATCCTTAACTTTAACCTGTATAGCTGGAAACCACTTGTTTTCAGTCCAACATCACTCTAACATTCCTTAATTTTGCAGTGTTTCTGAAGATAGTCTTTGAATTTCTTCCAGTCTTCCTCCATCGACTCTTCTCCCTGGTCACGGATTCTACCAGTCATTTCCGCCAATTCCATATAGTCCATAAGTTTCATCTGCCATTCCTCCAGCGTGGGAAGTTCTTGTGTCTTCCAATACTTTGCGATGAGTATTCTTGCTGCTGTTGTTGCATACATAAAGAAAGTTCTATCCTTTTTAACACCATTTGGCCTACTATGCCCAGGAGAAAGGCCTCTGGTTTCTTGGGGAAGGTATACTTAAATACCTTTTTAAATTCATTATATATCATTTCCCAGAACGCCTTAATCTTTGGGCACGTCCACCAAAGGTGAAAAAAGTACCTTCAATTTCTTTACATTTCCAACATTTGTTATCGGGCAAGTGATAGATTTTCGCAAGCTTGACTGGGGTTATGTACCACCTGTATATCATTTTCATAATATTCTCTCTTAAGGCATTACATGCCGTAAATTTCATACCTGTGGTCCATAACTGTTCCCAGTCAGCAAACATAATGTTATGACCAACGTCCTGTGCCCATTTAATCATAGCCGATTTTACCGTTTCATCTTGAGTATTCCATTTCAGCAGCAAGTTATACACTCTTGACAAGTTCTTAGTCTTGGGTTCTAACAATTCTGTTTCTAATTTGGATCTTTCCACCTGGAAGCCAATTTTCCTGTCCAATTTAAATACCTCCATTATTTGATAATAATGAAGCCAGTCTCGCACTTTGTTTTTAGTTTTTCAAAACTCTGCAATTTCAGTCTATCTCCGTCTTGTTCCAAAATTTCCCAATATTTCGGCCATTTGACCTCCATATTGACCTTTTTCAAGGCTTTCGCTTCCATTGGTGACAGCCACCTTGGGGTTTTATTTTCTAGCAAATCCTTATATCTTATCCAAACATTAAACAGCGCTTTCCTGACAATGTGGTTTTTAAATGCTTTATGTGCTTTGACCTTATCATACCATAAATATGCATGCCATCCAAATACATTATTAAAACCTTCTAGATCCAAAATGTCAGTGTTTTCAAGAAGTAGCCATTCTTTCAACCAGCAAAAGGCTGCTGATTCATAGTACAGTTTAAGGTCTGGCAGGGCAAATCCACCTCTTTCCTTTGCATCCGTTAGTATTTTAAATTTTATTCTGGGTTTCTTGCCCTGCCAGACAAATTTAGAAATATCTTTCTGCCACCTCTTGAAACAATCCATTTTGTCCACGATCTGCAAAGTTTGAAACAAAAATAACTTTCTAGGCAATACATTCATCTTTATCGCAGCAATACGGCCTAGCAGTGAAAGCTTCAAATTTGACCAAATTTCTAAATCTTTTTTCACTTCTGACCAACATTTTTCATAATTATCTTTAAATAAATTCCCATTTTTTGCTGTCATGTTAATCCCCAGTGTCAGGGGTTCAGGGAGAGAGGCACAGGGTAGGCAGGAGATGGAGAGCGATGGGGAGGAATTCCAAGCCAGCGAGGAAGAGGATGACAATGACTCAAGAGATTCCATGAGTCTTTCCAGCGAATCAGAGGATTCCCAGAAGGGGCGCCGGTGGTTAAGGCCAGGAGCCCCAGGGGGACGTGTCAGGAGCAGGGGGCCAGCGGAGGATCCCAAAGTGGCAGCTGGGCGTCAGGACCAGCCTCCCCACCAGAGTGCAGCGAAGGGGGGGTGGAGTTTCCAGTGTGTCAGAGGAAGCAGCTCCGGGAGCAGAGAAAGGAGGGAGGTCAGAGTAAGCCGCCCTTCCGGAAGGGGAGGGGAGCAGTGAAGGGCGGAGTGTAACTGTCAAAAGGCAAGTTAGAGGTTTGGCGCGCGCGCCGAGTTCAAATGTAGAGGCGCGCGGAAGTACAGGGAGCCCGGAGGAGGGGCCCGGTCCCAAAGCCCCCAGGCGGGGGGCAGAGCAGTCTGGGGATTCAGCGTCAGAGGAATCCAGGAGGGGCGAAACCCCAGCGGGCAGAAGGACCCTGCGGAAAAGGAAG